CGAGTACAAAACGAGGGGTGCGGCCGTCATAAGACATGTGATCCCACCGGTCGAAGCAATGGAGATGAAGGAAGAGCTTCAGAAGTATATTGCTGCAAACCCACAAACCAAAGCATTTCCAACCGACAATCCTCAAGCATACGAATTATATTGGTCACCAGCTCAGATCCGAGCGCGGTCCCACCCGTATCTCTTAGCCGCTCAAAGATTCCTTCTCTCTCACTGGCACTCGACGAATCCTTCCGCTTTGTGGTCCACTGCACATCCAACGATTTATGCGGATAAGCTCCATGTACGGACACCAGGTGACGATGCTTTAGCATTTGGTCCACGTGTTGACAAAGACGGTCCGGAAAGATGGAACCCCACCGGATATGGTGACTCTCAGGTCTATGAGTCAGTCTGGAAGGGACGGTGGGAAGATTATGACCCTTGGGAGATCAGTTCCCGATTATCTGTAAACTCGGATCTATACCAGGGCGTCGGAGGCTGCACCATGTTCCGTGCAGCACAAGGCTGGTTATCACTAAGCACCATGAATGCAGGCGAAGGAACTCTGTTGGTGAACCCGATGCTGAAGCATGCGACAGCCTACTACCTTCTGCGACCCTTCTTCTCTGCCAGAAAGGGGCCTATGGATCCACGAACCGGAACATTCGACGAATCTTTCCTTGCGCCAGACAATTGGACCATGGACTGCCTCGAAACATCCTGGCTCCAAGGTGCGTCGCCAGGGAAGTCGCAGGAGCTGAGTAACGTACTTCATCCTCATCTGGAGCTTGACAGCACGATGGTCCATATCCCCGAAGTCAGACCTGGTGATTATGTCGTCTGGCATTGTGACCAGATACATGCAGTGGACAATAAGCACGAAGGCACTGCCGACAGCTCAGTCTTATACATTCCTGCGTGTCCCCTCACGACTCGGAACGCAGAGTTCCTCGCCCGTCAACGTCAAGCGTTTCTTGAAGGACTTCCTGGTCCCGATTTTGGTGGTGGCGTTGGAGAGACTAGACACATCGGTCGATCAGGTCTCGAGAAAGTTGAAGAAGCGAGTCAAGGCAAAGACGCAGGTATGGTCGCGTTTGGCCTTCAAGAATGGGACAGTTCAGCCTCGGGGTTGAGTGAGACACAGAGAGAGCTGTTCGACAGGGCGAACAAAGTCCTAGGCTTCTACGACTAGAGCACGGAAGACGACAAGAATTACACAACCCCTGCCATGACATTCGGTCCTTATGGATACGAGCTATCGATGGGTGGCCACAATTCATGAGTACAGGTCGTTCTGGAATTGGAGCTGAACTGCATGTTTACCACCTCTCGCGTACTAAAAGCAGTCACAGTGTAGTTATTTCCCCGACAAGAGCCGCGATCGAAAGTGAGTCAATGTAGCCACGACTTCCGATGGAAGCTACTTCTTCCTGCAAAGTATTGTGCACTTCTATAGCTTACAACATCACTGTGCGTCACCGCGAGAGAGAGAGGGGGTGATTGGTAGTTATGACCATCTATGGCTCGCGAGGAAGATGCAGAAGTTTACCCCGTGTACGATACTTTCTGAACATGTACTTGAGGAGAAGCGGACGCTTCGGAACGGAAGCTCATGTGCAGACTTCTTGTACTTCTGGGGTCTGTTTCTCATGACTGTTATCCATCTCCTGGACTTGCCTGTTCGGTCTTCATACGATAGACAAGATATCAACAATCTCTTTGATAGTCCAGTTGCAGTGTCATAAGGTGGCATAAAATTTGGCTATCAGCACCTAGGGCAAGCACGGCAGCTGTTCCTCCCCGCACCCCGGAAGAGTATCAGTCCCAAAGAGGCAGCGGCAAGAGATGTCGGCCGGCGCACAGTCCCTATCCTCTCCATATCTCCGCTTATCGCAGTCGAGACGGGAAGTACTCGAGTACACACCAGTATCTTCAGATGTGCTTTTTGGTTCAGTATGAGCGGCCATCGGCTGTCTAGGTTGCCACCGAACGTCGACCAGATGATTACATCTACTGGTCCAGCCTAACAGTCTAGTTCTTCTCTGTCCTATCCTACAGCTTAGCTACCAGCATTGATAGCTATATCATCCTTGTTGCCATTTCCTCGACCCACAGTCTTTCCACGGCGTGCAACCTCGTTCCTTTCCCCTTGTTCGAATCCTCTCCTTTCGTTTCTAGAAACACACTCTCGTACAAAGACCAACCTCATACCAACATGGACTCCAAACAGCCGGCGGACAAGCTGACGCCTTGTCGATCTGACCAGCCCGAAGTCGAAGAAGGCACTATCACCGTCAATACTTCCGGCCATACACAAGAACTCGATCGCAACTTCAACATAGTCAGCTGCTGTGCTGTAGGAATTGTAACCGGCAACACATGGTAAGGTCGATTCAAATAGCCACGGTGCTTGGACGCGTCGATCTGACTGTGATCCCACGTTAGGTGCGCCCTTGGAGGATCTATCGTCGTAGCTCTGTACAACGGAGGACCGACTGGCGTGCTCTTCGAATTCCTCGCAGTCAGCGTATTCTACTGGATGGTAGGTGCTTGCATAGCAGAGTTGGCTTCCAGCATGCCGTCTTCAGCAGGGGTATACCACTGGGCAAGCGCCACGTCGGGACCGAGTTACTCAAAGTTCTTAGGCTTCCTAGCAGGTTGGTGGAATGTCCTAGCCTGGATCTTTGGGTCCGCCTCGATGTCATCGATCCTAGCGAACGAGGTACTGGCTATGTGGCAACTATTCCACCCAGGATACGTTGCTGAACGTTGGCATGTGTTCATCGGCTACATCATAATCTCTTGGTCGTGTTGCGGTGTCGTGCTGTTCGCCAACAGAGCTTTGCCAATGATCAATAACCTTGGCCTCTTCCTTACGCTGGGAGGCTGCTTCCTCACAATCCTGGTTTGTGCTATAATGCCTACCACGTCTGGTGCGGGTTATGCCACCACGGCAGCGGTCTGGTCATCTTGGTCGAACGACACTGGTTACAAATCCAATGGTCTCGTCTTCGTCACAGGAATGCTCAATGGTGCATTCTCTGTGGGTACTCCAGACTGTGTATCGCATCTTGCAGAAGAGATACCTCGCGCGTCTCGCAACGTGCCCAAGGCCATTGCTGCGCAGATGGGTGTTGGCTTTATCACCGGTTTCGCATACCTCATCGCCATCTTCTACAGTATCAACGACATTGATGCCTTGATTAACAACCCTTATACCAATCCATTGGCTGAGCTTTATAGACAAGCCACGGGATCAAAGGCCGGATCTTGTGGATTGCTTGTCGTAGTTTTCCTGGTAAGTCGGCTGCACAATTCAGTGATACATGATCGATACTGACTATAGTATTCGGTGTAGCCTACAGTAGCCAACTGTATCGGCACTTATATCACCTGCGGACGTATGCTTTGGACTCTTTCGCGTGGTCAGTAACACAATCCCATAGATTGGGGGTTAAGTGATAGGAAGTGACTTACGCTATACNNAGACCGTGCCACCCCCTTCTCGGACACACTTGGTAAGATCTCACCACGTTGGGGGAACCCTTTTGCTGCTACCGTTGCCTGCCTCATTATCACTACTGTGCTGGGCCTCATCTATCTCGGTAGTGCTGTGGCCTTCAATGCTTTTGTCGGATCGTTCATCATCCTCTCGTCGGCTTCGTACCTGGCCGCTATTCTCCCTCATCTGCTGAGCAGACGGAGAAATATTGAATTTGGACCGTTCAAGATGCCGGATAAGGTTGCTGCAATTCTAATGCCGATTGCATGTCTGTATATCGCATGTTTCATCGTCATCTTCTGCTTCCCTTACTCGTAAGCAAATTCTTTTGAAGAGGTTCGACACAGACTGACTTGAATGCTAGGNATGCCTGTATCTGCCGAAACGATGAACTACTCATCAGCTATTACTGGCGGACTTACGTTGATCATCACGCTGTTCTACCCGTGGCAATGCAGAAATGGATTCAGGAGTCCTGTCGAGATTGTCAGGAGTAATTCCACAGCCAACGTTGTCAAGGATGATCGGGAGTGATCGATCAAGACTTGATGTCGTTGCTTTACTGCATATCTCTGGATACGCCTGTAGTTTCAAGAACGTTGTGCATTTTGACAGCCACATATCACTCAGACCCCTGATCACGTTAGTACTCGGCTTCCTCGTATGTTAGAGACTATCATATGTAGTTGTAGAATTGCACGATACCTTCCAGAACGAAGCAGTCTCCACGGGGAGACGAAGTCTCTAGGTGACTTCTACGGTTGCTTGTCATTGTGAGATGCAATTGTGCATCGTCATAACTTACAATATCACACTCGGTATATCAGCGTGAGAGAACGTTAGTGTGACAGTCTTAGCATACTGGAGATATCTTCTGGACACCTAACTTCGTTTTAGGCAGATCCGCAGGTATGTGCAACGCACTCAGGGGTATGCTTGGAGATCAGGGATCAGGCTGTTTGCGTGCTCATGTTTCGCGCAAAGAAGCCCGCGGTCTACGGTCCAGACGGCACGGCGTGTTCGGTAATTTCGAGCTCGGAGGACGAGAGATAAAAAGGCAGCGGTTCCGACGGGAGTTGGTGCATTTGGCGGGGCAATTTAGCCGACGGCTATAATGACATGTGCTGTGGGGCCCGGTCTGCAGCAACTTGGATGGCACTCAGATGATGGGTGGCTTCTGTTTTCTGCCATTCGCAGGCTGCGGTACCACTGTCCTGGAAAAAAGCGATCGCTATCACCCTCTTGGAACTCTGCATACTCTAACCCGAATCTTCGGCAAGCCCTCTGTATCATCCGTGGCTGCTTGATATCATCCTCAATTGAGCCTGCATACATTCCTCTTGTACGTCCTCACTCTTGCTCATTATTCTGGTTCTTCTCCTCTCCTAGCTCCTTTTTCCTGCCCTCCATCTTCGTTTGAGGCCTTCCCATACTCCTCGCCTGATCCTTCCATTGCACCAGCTCAACCATCAATCACATCACAACTGCTTACATCATGTCTCAAGTCTTCAAATCAGGTCTCCAAAGAAGCCTCAGAGCTTCGGCCTTCCGTGCCCCTCCTTCTTCAACCACATACAAGCTTCAATCCTCGAGAAGCTGTGGTAGCTGCGCCGCTGCTGCATACCACCTCAACTCCAAGAAAGTCACAAGAAACTTCTCCGCGACAGCAACACCAAAGATGGCCTCCGTGCAAGAAGTTAACCCTGCTGACGCCAAGGTAACTTGTCACTCCCGCCATCATATTCACCAACGTACGGTAAAGACAGAGCTGACGGTACATGGTGTGCAGAACTTGTCATTCGTTCTTCAGAAGCCCTACGACGTCAAGTTCGAGGACCGTCCTATTCCCCAACTTAGAGACCCTTACGATGTTATCGTCAATGTCAAGTACACTGGTATCTGCGGATCCGACGTGCACTACTGGACGGATGGTGCTATTGGAGACTTCGTAGTCAAGGCTCCCATGGTACTGGGCCACGAGTCGGCTGGCATTGTCGAGCAAGTGGGAGACAAGGTGACAACACTCAAGAAGGGCGACCGTGTCACTATGGAGCCTGGTGTCCCTTGCCGCAGATGCATACGCTGCAGAGAGGGCAAGTACAACCTCTGTGTCGACATGGCCTTCGCAGCCACCCCCCCTTACGACGGAACCCTCGCCAAGTACTACCGCCTTCCCGAAGACTTCTGTTACAAGGTCGCAGACCACGTCTCTCTCGAGGAAGCCGCACTGGTCGAGCCGTTGAGCGTCGGTGTGCACATCACCAAGCAGGCCGACATCAAGCCCGGCCAGAGCGTTGTTGTCTTTGGCGCAGGTCCTGTTGGTCTGCTCTGCATGGCCGTCGCAAAGTCGTTTGGTGCCACCAAGATTGTCGCCGTAGACATCAACGAGGAACGTCTCGAGTTTGCTCAGAAGTACGCTGCCACACACGTCTTCCGCTCTCAGAGAGTCAGCGCTCAGGAGAATGCCAAGCTCCTCAATGACGAGTGTGACCTCGGACTGGGTGCTGATGCCATCATCGATGCCACTGGAGCCGAGCCCTGCATTCAGACAGCCGTCCACGCAGTGAGAACCGGTGGAACATACGTTCAGGGTGGTATGGGCAAGCCAGACATTAATTTCCCCATCATTGCTGTTTGTGCAAAAGAGGTNGACGGTGTGTATTGCTCTATCGTTCATCTTCGTGAGATCATGCTAATTGTACTTTCGCTTTAGGTGAAGGGGTCGTTCAGATACGGACCCGGCGATTACCAACTGGCCCTCGATCTCATCACTTCTGGCAGCCTCAGCGTAAAGGAACTCATCACCGGACGCGTCAAGTTTGAGAATGCCGAGCAAGCATTCAAGGATGTTCACGCCGGAAAAGGTATGAGAAGAAATCATACAGCATTAATCTGATCAAAAGGCTAACATTCAAACAGGCATCAAGATGATCATCGAAAACCCCCAGTAGACACATGAAGTGGAGGGAAAAAAACTATTAGCATTTTGATTGGGATCATGTACTTTTGGTAGCGTTTTGGCAGAGTATCTCCTGAAAGTGTACAGAATTGAATCTTCTCGAAACAAGATCATGTTGAATCCACCTCTATGGGGAGGGAACATGTAACTCATATATACAACTGTCTCTCAAGTGCTGAGGCCGTGCTTTGTCTTTGGCAGTACAGGTTGACATTCATTGACAACCTGTACTGCAGCTAAACATCCAGTCTCCTGGCGGCAAGGCTGGTATGCTGCAAACACCAATGTGCTTCCTCCTCGTGGACTCGTCGAGGTCTTGACAGCGTTGGTGGGTGGCCTGTCTGGCTGCGCTGTGTGACTGTGGAGGTGCATGTGCTGCATTGTCGCATTACATGGCAATGATATGGTATGTGTGGACTTCTCATGAACCTAAATCGTATATATCGTTGAACACGGCGAAGGGCGCTCATGTCGAGAGACTTCCTAGCATCAAATTGCGATCGGTCGAGGCAGAAAGCACTAAAATGGGGTAAGCGCGAGTCAAACACAATATGTTCAAGAAATCCTTACTCAGTGGCTCGTCGTTGGGGGCAAAGCGGACATCGTTGACGGAACCCTTGTGGCCAGGCAGCTTCTGCAGCAATTTGCCTGTGCTGGCCTCCCAAATGACAACAGAGCGGTCACCACTGCCAGCAGCGATGCGCTTCCCTTTTGTATCCCAGGTAGCCTTGATCAAGTACTTGTCCATTCCTGTGGGTGCACCATCGAAGGTTCTGATGTGACGCTCGGTAGGGGCGAAAGGACGAATGTCCCAAGTGCGGACGGTGCTGTCGTGCGAATTTGAGAGAAGTGTCTGAGAGTCGGGCGAGACGGCCAGCGAGGTGATGGTGTCGCTATGACCAACCAGAGAATACGAGACCTGCTTCTTCCTCAAATCCCAGACCTTGATGTCGTTGTCGATGCTGCCCGAGTACAGTTCGTTTCCAGCCTCGGCCAGAGCTATGGCGGTGACAGGGAAGCGGGTCTCGATAAAGTCGACGGCGGCTTTCTGACGAGGGTCCCAGATGCCTATGTATCCATCGTCGGAGCCGCTGAAGAGGACGTCCTCACCACGACGGCTAATGTCGAGGGCGTTGATGACCTCGTCATGGCCCTGGTGTCTTCGTATGCGCTGGGCGGTCTCGAGGTCCCAGCTGGCGATGTGCATGTCCGCCGAGGCAGAAAAGAGATTGCGCGAGTCGCGCGACCACTGCAAGTCGAGAATGGCGCCTTTGTGGCCCGACAGGATGCCGTAGTTTTCGCAGTCGCCAGAGGTGCGCCAGAGAAGAATGTTGCGATCCATGCCCGCCGAGGCGATGTAGTTTCCCTCGGGGTTGAAGCGCGCAGCTAGCACCTCGCCCGTGTGTCCAGACAGTTCCATGACGGGAGCGGACAGAGCTGGACCACGGAGGGTGCTCTGGATGAGGGCGCCATTCTGCGAGGCCGAAGTCAGGGCCATCGAGTTGTCCGACTTCTGGCGCTTGACCAGGGAAGCCGCAGTCATGGAGCTGGACGCCGGCCGCTTTTCTGACATGGTGCGTGATGTGGGCGTGTGAGAGGGTGCAGATTGGGAGTCGAAGCAGTTTAGGAAGTCGCGAGCAGCTCAATGCCTGTTCGAAGATTGGTGATTGACCGAGCTTGGACCCCGCGCGCGACGATGTACATTCGACCAAGGGGACCCTCTCCGCATCCACCCCCGTCCGCTCATCCTCGTCTGTTGATACTCCCGAACATGGCTACCAAAGCTGCCCGCCTCGGTGAAGAGTGAGTGCTCAGCGACATGTCTCGCGCGACCATGGCTTGCTGACATGCGACAGGGTGTGGAAGTAAGTCGGCTACCGGCCCGCCACGCGCCCCAACTCACACCCCTTCTCTGACACCATCGACAAGGACCCGCGTTGACAAGGTCAATGCCGAACTCGTCACCCTCACCTATGGCACCATCGTCGCCCAGTTGTGCAAGGACTACAACGCCGACTATGCTCAAGTCAACAAGCAGCTCGACAAGATGGGCTACAACATGGGCATGCGCCTGATTGAGGACTTCCTGGCAAAGTCAAACTCCGGCTCTTGTTCCAATCTGCGCGAGACGGCCGAGATCATCTCAAAGGTCGGTTTCAAAATGTTCCTCAACATCACCCCCGTCGTCACAAACTGGTCGTCCGACAACAAGTCCTTTACTCTGCTCTTCGACGAGAACCCTCTGGCCGACTTTGTCGAGCTGCCCGACGACGCAAAGGCACAGGATGAGCTGTGGTACTCCAACATCTTCTGTGGTGTTTTGAGGGGTGCCTTGGAGATGGTCAGTAGGAGCCGCCTGTTATCGCCCGCCAACGACTAATCCATCTCANNGGTTCAAATGCAAGTCGAGACTCAGTTCATGAGTGACGTTCTTCGCGGCAACGACACGACCGAGATACGCGTCACGCTCATCAGGTACATTGAGGATGAGATGCCGCCAGACGATGAGTGAGGTGAGCCCTCTCATGCTGAGTACCCGCGGGACTTTTTCTCTGTTCCCACATGTCACGACGTCACGAACAAAACCAACTTCGAATCTGCCAATTCGCAGTTATATGGCTCAAGACTAGACGTTCCTGCCCATGCGTATCAAGGGGGGGGGCTACATAGCCGAGTAACCACGTGCAAGCGCAATGCCCTACAGGCCGATACGGACATTTCGGCATGGTTGCACAGCAGAGGCATAGAAACGGTATTTCTACATAGACATGGCAGTACCTCGACAGGCAGAGAAAAGGGGCATATCCGGGGGCAGCGAGTGCACTATAAGCACGATAAATGCAAAAATTCACGTGACTTCTGACTCGTTGGAACTGGAGGGCGCTGGATGGCGTCGACAATGGCGGCGCTGCGTGTGTCTCGCGGATGAAGAACAGCGGGCAAGGGCCAGAGGTGGATGGGATTGTGTATAGCGGGCAATGTAATGGTCGTCGAATGGGACATGGTGTGTCTCAGTCTTGTTGGTCGTCGGTGGTCGAGCCTTGGCGTCTTCGCTGTCAACGCCTCGCTCTCCTCTTGGTCCTGTCCGCTCGAACCCCATCACCTCACCCACATTCGTCCTTTGTTGATCCACTTCGCCCCGTCCGCCGTGCCGCTAGGCTATTGCGACTCCCCTTGCGCCTTCACTGTGTTGCGCATCTGCAGCGACGACTGCTGCTCTTTCACGCGCCTCAGCCCGTGTCCCGTGTTCCGATCGGCGACACCACCCACGCCTCGGCTTGCTGCTTGCTGCTTGCTCGCTGCCCACCCACCGCGACCGACACCACCGCCCAGCGCCCAGCGCCCATCGCGTCCGTCCTCGTCGCCAGCCTCTAGCACCGACACGTCTGTCCTGCTCTGCTCTGCCATCTCTCAATATTGACTGTTTCGTCGTCCGCCTGTCGCACCCACCCCATCGCCTTTGTCGTCCGTGAGCGCGCCCCGAGTCCGAGACATTGCCATCGGCCACCATCCCCTTGCGACTCCCGCACCACTGGCTGAACAAACCCTTCACTCTTTGGCATGAGCCAACCAATGAACATCATGGGCGGGCCCACTCCCAATTCCGGCACGCCAAACAACGCGTCCAGCGGGGACATGTCCCGCCAGAAGCTCAACACATATATTTACGACTACTTTCTCAAGCACGGCAACCATGAAGTCGCCCGTGCCATCCTCAAGACTGTCGATCTCGACCTTGATCCGCACCAGAGCCCGGATCGCAAAGACATCAATGGCTTGAGCGACTCGATGGACACCGACTCCAAGGACAACAACAAGAAGCCCGACGACCTTCCTTCACCCAACGTGCCGGCCGCTTCAGACGGCAGCTTCCTGTACGACTGGTGGCACCAGTTCTGGGAGTGCTTCAATGCCCAACACGGTCGAGGCAACAACACGCAAACCGCAAAGTATCTGAGCAACGTCCAGGTATGTTGCTGCTTTCCCCAAGACACACCCTTGCCCCTGCCCACCACCGAGCCCACTAACCCGCAGCCCTAGGCCCGAATGGCCAGCGAGCGACAGAGGCTGATGCGCGTCGATCCCCAGATGCAAGCCAATATGGCCATGCGCCCCGGCATGGTTGGCCCCAGCATACCAGTACCCCCCGAGATGGCCAAGAAGTTTGGCCTTCAACCAGGTCGTCAACCGTAAGCTTTAGCCTTGGGCACATTGCTCGCGATCGAGGTGCTGACATGACGATTCAGTACACAGCAACAGGTGGTACAGATGCAGCAGCAGATGCGCATGCAACAGATGGCACAGCTGCAGCAGAACGCCATGCAGAGAGAAGGTTCGACCATGGAGCAAAGGCCCACGTCTCCTGGCGGCGGCGGCGACGCTGCTCCATCGCCCAAACGCCAACGACTGGACGGCAACTTCAACGGCGCTATGGGCCCTATGGGGCGTGGTCAGCCTCCGGGCATGCCCGGGCAACAGGTCTGTCTTTCCCCCTCGATGCGCACATGGCCACGGACGCTGACAAGACGNCAGATGGCCAACCCTCAGGCAAAAGCCATGCAACAGGTATATGCCAACTCCATGCGCCAGCATATGCAATCCGCCATGGATTCTAACGTGGACAAGGGGTTGATGCCTAACGGAGCGCCTCAGATGGCACAGGATCCCAACTCGGCCGAGTTCTTCAACACGCAGATGCGTCCTATGCCCGGCCAGGCGCCGCCCAACGCCAATAGCAACCACGCCCTCCAGGACTACCAGATGCAGTTGATGCTGCTAGAACAGCAGAACAAGAAGCGCCTGCTGATGGCCCGTCAAGAGCAAGACAACATGACCAACGGACCCAACGGCCCTGTGCCTGCTTCTGGACAGCCCCAAAACTTCGCCCCGGCCATGTCGCCCTCCAACAGCAGGGCTGGGCCTTCTCCAGGCCCCAACGAGCAGATGCGACGCGGCACTCCCAAGATGGCTCCCGGTGTCGTCCCCTCGCCCACCGCCGACGGAGGTATGCCCGGCCGCGCATCTCCTGCTCCCGGCCAATTCGATCCCAACAACCCCATGAACCCGGCCATGTTCCCCATGGCCATGATGNNAAAAGGTCCCAATGGCCAGATTATGCAGCCTCCCAGCTCGCATCCTGCCTTTGCTCAGATGAACCAGCAACAACAGATGGACATGTACCGCCAGGCTCAAGCACGCAACGGCCAGGCACAGATGGCCAATGGTTTCATGCCCCAGCCAGGTCCCATGATGGGAGGCCAGCCTCCACCACAACCACCCAACATGACTCCCCAGCAGCGCAATGCCGCTATGCCTCCTCCGCCCGCTCCTGGCAACGACGGTCCAAGAGCTGGCACCGGTCCATCATCACCCTTGCAGAACCAAGCTCCACCCACGCCCTCGCAAGCNGAACAAGCCCAATACCAAGTCCAAAAAGGACAACTCCAAGGCGGCGAACAAGGTAATGGTTACAGAGCATTCTTGGTACTTTCTGGCGCTAATTTTTGTCTTCAGGGTGGCAAGAAGGGAACAACTGGTGCTACTCCTCAAGANGTCGACCGAACAACCCCCGACCCCAACTCCAGCACCACCAATTACGCCCCAGCCCACTTCAGCTTTCCCCCAAAGCCAAATCAGCCCCCGAACCAGCAGCAACAATCCAATGCGCAATCCGGCATGCCTGGCCAACAAAATCCTGGCGGCGACATGTCCAACATCGGAGCTCCATTCGGCAATATGGACGACAACGTAAGTCATCAAGGTTTTGAGGCAAACCTCACGCTGACACATGAACAGTTTGGCAGCATTGGCGGCATTGATTTCGAAATGGGCGGCCCAGATGTGCTCGACAATTTCGATTTCGACTCTTTCCTCACAACTGATGGCGGCGCCGACGGCTTCAGTTTTGATCCTAGTGGCATGAACTTTGGCACCGATGGCGGACTCGAAGCAGGTGGTGACCTTTAAGCACTGCTCACTTCACGCTCGGAGTCTCCGCCATGATTTTCTATAATCCGGCTTCTATAGTACGGACATGTTGATTACATACGACTCCGTGTATCTTCCCATTAACAAGGCCACTGCAGACCGCTTGAAGGTGCGCTCCTTGACCCCGGCCAAAAGCATCCACGCAGTCGCGTCATTTCTTCTTATTCTTACCTCTTTACGACGAACGGTTGAATATATCCTCATATTGCTGCTGCATAGGGATTCTCAGATTTCAACACCTTTTATCTCCGAGACCAAACGACTCTCATTCTCATATTTATCTTCTGTCTATTTGGAGGAGGTCGAAACGTATGAAAGAAGAACTCCACACACACAAGCACACAAGCACATTTCTTATACTTCTTTACAAAAACAAGTTTCCTATTTCCTTTATACAAGAGCTCAACGGCGGGGTTGGCGTCTGGTGTGCAAGAGGCAAGAAGGAGTAAGGGCCTCCGTCAATGTCTCGGCCGAATGAGGCTGGGAAGGGAAAGGGAAAGGGGGACGTCGAGCGGTTGTTGTCCATCATCATCAAGATCTATACCCCAGTCTGCACTACTTATGTTTCTTCTTGACCTTTCCTCTTCCATGACTCCTTACCATTCTCGGTGCCGTACAGACTGTCCAACCCGGCAGCGTGGAGAGCACCACTACCGTCCACATATTGATGATTTGAAAGTTTGTGAGATGTAAAAGGATCCAGTGTGTGATGTTGCCCATGCGACCCTGCTCTTGGCACGAAGGTCTCCTGGAAGACAAGTAGATGACAAGAATCTGGCACTATTGTTGACCGTCAGCCTATACGAGAAATATTAGATACTCCAGGCACTCTGGTAACCGAAACAGTAGCGTTTTCCACCTCGGATTTGCGTTGGCACCTGTGTTGTGGTAACTCTTGACAAATATCGAGCAGACTACATAAATCTTGGGTGAGACAGACTACCTACCACTGTCCAGGACTCGCCTATGAGATGACATGACTGCCGGAGTCATGTAAGATCTAAAGAATGTAGGCTCAGAGAGCTGAACTGCAACGACCTTGCTGCTTCAAGGACTTTTCCACTTGCTGCATTCGAGATTTTGTCTCAAGACGAGATATCTAGGCTCCACAATGACACCAAGGTGGAGGAGCTGGGAGCTGTGCCTTCCAACGGTTGCTGCAAAACATCCGAATCGAGGTGACCAGAATTTCCTTATGGCCTATGGCCCATAAGGCGGACCTAGAATGGATGTTAGGCATTCGATGAGAAACGGGTTTGAGCCCTGCATGGTGTCTCACGCCAACAAGCGATCAGGCGAACTGTTTATCTACAGCCCTGTAGGAAGCCGGAGTCCGAGTGTTCGGTGAAGAATCCAAGGCCTGCTTCTGCAGCTCAAGGAGGTCCCAGATGCTTAACCATTTCCTGCTCATAGGCAAGTAGCAGAAGAATTAGTCGCCAACATCGCACCGAAACAGTGCTCTCTATGCTGAATCGCCTGTCCAGATACAGTCTATGATCATGCTAACCTGTGGAAAGGCGTGCTCTTGACACTGGAGGCTTGACCTCGGATGCTTGCGGACAGGCATAACTTATCAAGTACATGATTTCGATACCAATTTCAGGGTCTGGAGATGAGGTCAGAGCGACATGACAAAAAGACGAAACCATGTGGGGATTGGCGATGCTGTCGATCGAGCGTCGCATCAGAGATCGAGGCTCACGGGCCGAGCGGCCCATGGACAGCAGATAGCGGTGTTGAACGAAAAAAGATACGGTAGACACATGCCAAGAGCTCGTGGCAATTGTATGGCACTGGACGTGGAAACGACATCAGTCAAGGCCCAGACTGCGAAGGAGTGTGAAGCGCAAGCGTTGGAGATGAGAGAGCTCGATCAAGGGTTCGCAGTAGTTGGCAGTTGGACAACAATCGATAGAAACTATTGACAACACACGGACGCCGCCGGTTGCGACGGTAAACGGGCTGTGGATGGCATGAAGACTCGAGCGGGGCGATGGATAGCGTCGAGGCATGCTGAAGCTGGACTTGTCGCCAGGACAGCGAGCAATATATCTAACACGAAGAGCACTTGCAAGCAGAAGGGCTACTCGATGGTTGCTATGAAGTTTGGCTGGATCCACCTTCCCTTTAGCATCTCGTTGTTTTTGTGATCATTGTCTGACCCGAGGTTCCGAGAGCGGTCAGAGGTCAGGAAATCCGTCTTGGCCCTCGACACACAGACTCCTGCTCGTACTTGCACGGTCTGAGGGGTGGTGAGCCGCGCCTTCCTCTTCCCTCTCTCCTTGTCCTTGACTGCTCAGGCAAAGTCGCTGGCGGTAGAGCATCTGCTGTGACGATCGGTCGTGGAGAAAAACAAAGAAAAGCATGCGCGGCTGAGAGGGAGCGGGTATTCAGGAATTGAGTTCACGTTGCAATGGTGCTCGATGGACGGCTGAACAGGCCGGCTCACTTGGCTGCCATGGCCATTCGACCCGTCAGCATCCAAGCCACGACAACGACTACTAAGCCCACGCCTGCGCCTGCGCCCACGCCCACGCCCACGCCCACGCCCACGACTACCACCCCTCCTTCTGCCCCTCCGCCCATCTCGCCTCCCTGGACGGCTGTATCCCACGCGCTCAATCCCTTTGGCGACTCCAATGGCCGTCGCGACAGCTTCACCACCCCCATCCCATACCGACGCACCTCGACCTCGACATCCTTCTCGCTGCACGCCGCTCCCGCCCGCCCGGCCCTGGCCCGCAGCATGACTTCGGCCTCGTACCTGCCGCACCATGCCAAACTGCACAAGAGGTCCGGCTCGACCTCGTCTCAGCCTCCCGCCGTCTTCACCATGCCCTCGCCCATCCAGAACGAGTTCACCCAGCCCAACTCGTCCATGACCACCACTCAACATGCCCGCCACTCTTCCGCCAACAAGATCAAGCCCTACCTCCGCAAAATGTCGTTGCGGGACGATGACTTGGACCAAGGCCGCCTCGATCTGTCGCGGCCCTCTGCCGAGAACGAGTCACTGACCGGTCTCGGTATCTGCGACGACGCTCCGTCCTTCTCGAGATCCGCCTCGGATGTCTCGTTCATCCCCTCCACCCGCCGCAAGGCTTCTCATTCCCGTGCCACCAGCGGCCCTGCCTCGATGACGGTTGTTGCTTCGGGTCCGCTGCGTCCGACGCAGCCATTCGCTCCTCTACGTGAGGCCCCGCGGTCGTTTACCCCGCCTGCAACCGTCTCACAGGTTGACACATCCGACGATGAGGCAGAGGAGAGCGTTGGTGTCCTCACCAACGACATCCGCCAACCCGACTACGAACCCTGGAAGCCTCGTAGATCCATTTCCATCTCCTCCAACCCAGCAATCACNCCCCTCTCTCAAACATATACCGCTGGTTCTCTTACCAAGTTGACCAGTGCATCCCAATCCAATCTCTCTATTCGATCACAGCCCTCGTACGACCATATCAAGTCGGGTCGCTCTGTTCGAAACACTGGTAGATCCAGTGATTACCCAGCGACCCCTTCTGCTCGTACTTCGATTGACAAGGCCTTCAGCTTCATCACTCGCACCTCCGAGCCAGAGGACGCTGCCTCGCGAGCTGCCGCCATTCGTGCTGCTCGTCGGGCTTTTGAAGAAAAGGAGGCGGCAAAAGACCGCAAGTATGAGAAAGAAGAGGTCAAGCGCAGAACCTCGGTCATCAAAAAGGAAGAGCGCAAGTGGCGGAAGCCGGATCCACGGGCGAGCATGACCAGCAACGGTAGCAACAGTATTGTTGTCGACGAAGAGAAGGCTGTTGCTGGCACCGATTATGCCACTCAAACACCTGCGCACGACCTCAGTCTCCCCATTCAAGGAGACCTCAGCGGTGCTGCTCCAACGGTACCGCTCTCACCGCCATCGCCGAGCAAGACCAAGCAGGCTAAGGGTGGGTGGAATCGATTCCTTGCCTGGACGCGAACCAGGCTTCTCAACTGCGGCGGGAATGCTTGATGCGGCGGTGAAGTGATGATGAAAGATGAAAATGCATGCCAAAGAGCATTTTGCAGTGGGCGAAGCACATGTGTATGTTTTCAAAGATTTTAGCGCGGGAGGCACAGCGCTCTGGACATGTTTTCTAGCATTTGCATTTGTTTTATGAGCGTGGAGTTTATGGTTATACCCTCGTTGGACAAGACAATTAGCAGGGACGGATTGAAGGATTTGTTGCATATATCGGGTCGACAGCATATCATCAGTACACTAGCAATCAATCTAGGCCCCCATGGCATTCACAACACAGTCAAGAGATGGCCATTGTTCACCTGAAAAGCATTGTCTGGAAGGAAATCGATGAGCGCTGCCAAGCGTCCATATCTCGTTGCGGAGCGGAGATCGGGAGTGAGTGGAACGACTGACGGGTCCATGGAAAATCAGCTCGGCAGGCACATTTGATGATTTGATATCAACATCATCAACCTACCATACTGCCATTGCGTCTGAGATCGACTGTCTACCCTGGTATCTGGTACTGTAAAACACATCGAATCACAGCAGCTCCATCACCGTCTTCGTTCAGAATGGCGACGGTCTCGCAACCACCGCAGACACCGCCGTCGCAACCGCCTCCACCGCCGGGAACCACTGTGCCTCAGACTAGTCCTCAGCTCGTGCCATCGCGTCAGCCACTGCCTCTATCCGCCTCACAAGAAGGCCAAGTGCGAGAGATCTACCACAAACGAGTACGGAACAAGTGCGCCGAAGAAGTGCGACGTATGTCATTCGTCACTCTAGAACGACATTTGACCTCGAGCTGATTGTCCTGCCTTGTAGTGTTCGCAGCATGTGCCACCAACCGTACCTTCACCGCGCCCTTCTATTGCCGACCCGAACGCCGCCAGATGAACGCCTGCATGCTTCAGTACGCCAATCAAGCCGAGCAGGACGCCGCCCGAGAGGAGTGGTTTGCTACTCGCGATTTGCGCCGCAAGGAGCGAGAAGCCAAGGAAGAGAAGAGGAAAGAGCAGGAGAAGTTCCACCGGGAGTGGTGGGGCTTGGATGAACACGGCAATCGTGTCGAAAAGAAAGATGTCAAGTAGTGTACTACAAAAGAGTCTCCACGCCATCTTATCTGTGAGAGGAGGATCGATTTGCATCAACAAGGGCATAGGGAGGCGTTCAAGCGGTGTTCAGCGTGCCATTTTGTACAAAAAATCATGGTTTCTTGGTCGGTATGTATCTTCAATACTACTCTTTAGTGCCTCACATATGCAGCGGAATCTCCTTCAAGTCTGCAACATATCTTCGACGCTGCTGAAAGTCCTATCTATCCACCTTTGTGTGTTCCAACCTCGAAAGACCGAAAAAGTCGAGCTGCAGATGGGAATACTGGACCTAACAATTATGATCAAGATACGACATGCACTAACGACCAGAATCCTAGCAGAGCATACTTTCGACAAGAGCTTTACTGGAATTAGGCTCCCATCTTCGCCAGGCATTGGTATGCACTCGTACTGACTTTAGAAGGACATGATGCTCTTCAGATCGGCGGTGTTGTGGTTCTAAATCCAGTACAGGCGCTCCTGTCGAAACCCTCTGGGTCGCAGACGCTGTGTACGTCTGCTAATGGTTCGAATCTTCCTTGACAGACAACTGAGACTCTATGCATGATTATTCTTATCAAAAGTCCAGAATATCAATTGTCACGATTGCCAAGATCCGGGGATACCTCGAGATGCCGAGGCATGTGAAACCGAGGATAGCGTGTTAAAGCTCACTCTAGTCTCCTGCATTTACCAAATGCAAGCAGGTTTCTTTCTCTTGCCAACCTCGCTACATACCATCCACAGTACTAAAATATGCACATCAAAGACAGGCTATTCGTCATTTCTGGTGGCTCGTCTGGCCTAGGTCTTGCCACGGGTCGTAATCTCCATGAGAAAGGAGGTTATATCGCCATCCTTGATCTCAACGCCGACTCTGGAGCAGAAGCCGTCAAGGAGCTTGGTTCCGAAAGATCTCGGTTTTTCGAAGCTGATGTCAGTGATACTGAGAGTATCAGGAAAGCTGTAGAGGGAGTCTCAGAATGGATCCAAGAGACCGGAAAGCCCATTGGTGGTATCATTAGCGCGGCTGGCGTAGGAAACCCTGGAAAGGCATGTCTGACCATATCAGAGACGCTCTCGATTGCGAAATGCTGAGTGCAGACANNGATGATTGATCGTAACAACGAGCCGCTCTCCTTGTCATCCATCGACTTTGTTTTGAACATCAACCTTCGAGGCACTCTGGATTTCGTCCGCCAACTGCTCCCACTTATGACCAAGAACCAACCTACAGAGCCGGACAAGGAGCGAGGTTGTGTGATCTTGGTCAGCTCTTCCGCTGCATATGATGGACAACCAGGACAGGTGAGTTTTACAAGCAGTTGAACTACCTTCGGCCCATGTTGATACAGAGAANNGGTCTCGTATGCTGCAAGTAAAGGAGCGGTAAGGTCAATGACGCTACCCATGGCCCGTGATCTTGCTCAGTTCGGCATTCGCGTGGTGACAATTGCGCCTTCATTGTTCGAGTCCAACATGACAGCCATGATGAGCGACAGGGTTCGAAAGTCGCTTGAACGTGTCATGGAGTTTCCAAAGAGGGCGGGTAAAGGCGAAGAATTTGCCGAGTTGACAAGACACGCAATTGAGAATGTCATGTTGAATGGAGTCGCGCTACGGCTGGATGGTGCTATGCGGATGCCGTCGAGACTGTAACAAACTTGGTAGAAAGATGTTCTTTATCCAATGTAGGCCCAAGCCACTTGCATGATTTTTCCATATTTCTATAGCTCTGTGTATTTTTCATATGTGTTGTCTAATCGACCAAGTTGTGCGTAGATGTTGACCTGTGGGGCTTCTCTACAAGAGGTAACCCTGTCTCTTAAGCTCTTTACTAATAATTTACCTATTATTTTATTTATATTCTACTAAGAATAAATACCTTTTTAATAGTTTAAGCTACTTTTAAATAACTCTTTATCTTTACTATATCTACTACTTTTACTCTTACTTTCTCATAGCGGCTTTTTTTCTTTTTTTAGAGATCTATAAAGTAAGTGGCAACCAAATCGCCCTCATTTCCTTACTTAATCGCCGTTTGCGCTAGCTTGCCAAATAATTAACCACTTGCGTTACTGCCCTTAACGCATTAACTAACAACACTTACTAACAACATTAACTAGCAATGACGACGGACAATGCTCACTTCCACACGAGACTTAGCAGAAAAGCTCCGATAAATGGAGAAACAAAGATTATTTCGCGATCGTCACCTTCTAGAGGAGTCGTTACATACACACTCCAAATTGGTGTTGTATCGGTACCAAACGTCTCCATTACAGAAGTGACCGACTATGTCTCTGCCCATGCCCTAGAAATATTCGAAAACCAGAAGTTCGAGCATGACATCAATGAAGCCGAGAAGAGACAGAAAGATCTCATGGCCGCAAAGGCATACGCTCGCAAACAAAACAGAATCTTAGACGCCGACACAGCCTCTGATTCTTCCTCGGCTCGTGCTAGATCCGTGTCTGGCACCCCGTTTTCTGGCGCTGAACACAGCAGAGCGACAGTTGGTGGTAGGCAAAGACCAACATACACGCATTTCTACCCTAAGCAACGGGCACCACGAGGATCTCTCAAAACCACCACCTTTACTCATAACAATGGGCCGTATGGAACAACCGAATCAAGAGGCAATGGCAGTGAGTTGAACATCGCACACTTGGTTTGGAACATGATCAGCTAACATTGATTAGATCACAGAGATAGCAAAAGACGCCGAATGAGAGAGGATCGTGCTGGCAGCGACGTGCAGAGCATCTATAGCGTGGTCTCTCCTGACCCACCAACCCAGCCACCTTCGGCCATGGAGCAGGCGGCAGGTCTAATCTCAGACGCACGCGAGTCTGATCCAATGGAATTGGACGACGAGTCCGATTGTGACGTCGATATGCCTATTCGACAGCCAACACCCAGTGTCTCGGCCACAGCCGATGAGGTAGTCAGAGATGACAAAGGCAAGGGCGCGGCAAGCGCTTTCTTCACATTTAGAGATCATGCCATGCCTCCGGCCCCGCAACCTTTATCCGCCAAAGCAAAACTCGTGGCCTCACTGACTGCACGGCAAGTGTCCACTACTCCGGCAAAGGCAAGCATGCCATCGGCATCAACGTTCAGCTCTGTCCGTCCAACCGAGACACAAAACTCGAGCGTCAACCCTGCCCGTCAAGCAGTCGTTGACCTCGATGACTCCGATGCTGATTCTGACTCCGACGAATCCGAAGTATACATTGTCGAGAAGATTCTCGCCCACAGCCTCTCGGATCCTAGATCTCACAATAAGTCTGTCCGTGGCGACAAGCCAGTCATGCTGTACCAAGTCAAGTGGGAGGGCTACGACGACACAACCTGGGAGCCAGAAGCAAGTTTCCAGGACAGGGATGTGCTGGAGCAGTATCTGGCACAGCAAGAGCAGAAGCAGAAGGAGAAACAAAAACAGAAACAGAAGTTGGTGGCTTCGTCACCAAAGGACACTTGACGTTCAAAGGCCAGAGTAAGATTTGATGTAGAAACAGCGAGTCGAAGAATGAGACGGCAGTCAACGGAGAGTATGAGATCTGTTCTTCTTATCCTCGTGCCGCGCAGTGTATAGCATATCAATGCACAATACCTTTTGATAGGAAGTAACGTCCAAGGAGAGACATCATCCTGGAACCGTCTCTGTGGTCACTCATCTATTCGGTAAGCAATTGTGCATTCTTGTAGCATACTACAACACCAGTTGCTGGCATGGGAGAGAGCGCTTGTGACTGCCTCGAGTACAGGGAGATCTCAAAGTTGACCACATGTTCTCTGAAGAGGCCAAATATTACATAGTTGGAAGTATGTGCATTTTTTCGTCTATTATAGGAAGTAATCTGAGTGAAGCATGCTATGAATGCCGTCATGATTCGTAGACGAATAGAAGCAACGCTGAGGGAGTGCAAGTAAACAGGAAGAATCGCTAGTGGGTATCGTGCGGTAGGAAAACAAGGATAAATAAGAAGGAAACAACGGCAACTCCGAATTAATAGACGAGACTCTAAGACAACCTCGGCAACTAGTCATCATCAATGAGAATGACTTGGATGCTCTNTTTGGGTGCTGGAGCTGCCTCGTCTTCGGTCTCCTCGTCGTTGCTTTCTGGGATAGGCGTCCAAGAGCCATCACTCTCGATATTAATAGCGCGCGTCTTCAGCATGTTTTTGGCTGCAAGAGTTTCGCGGACGGTCATTAGAAAGCCATCAACTATTAGGCTCTGCGGCCTAGAATCCGCCTTGCAAATGGGACATTTCCATGTGTCAACCTTACTGATGCGGTCTTTAGGCGGCTGAGATTGTTGCTCAAGACGGGTTTCTAAGAAAACGTCAAGGTCGAAAGCTTGCTTGTGCAAACAGTCTCGACCACGAACCGGAATATCAAAGATTCTGGCATTGGAGAAGGGTTCGTAGAGTTGCAGTGTGAAGTTGGACTGCATGACAACATCATCGTCGTCGCTAGTGAGAGACTTCTTGATCGAGTCCAGAATCTTCTCGGAAGGAACAAGTCGCTTCATGCAAGCCTCTTTGATACTGTCGCGAGTGGCAAAGCCAACGACTTCAATGGCAACTGCATAATTGAAAGGTGATTTGTCGTACTTTGATCGGTTTACTCTGACAACGAGCTTGTTGAGGCCCGCACTGACGCAATGTGTGATGTCGATAGGGAGGTAGCGGCCGTGATGCAACTTGCGTCTTGGTTCAAGTGGGTTTTGATTGACGGCAAAGTAAGCCTGGACTGGCCAGCTGCCGTCAAGAAGGGCCCATCTGTTCTCATTTGGAAGTGGTTGAGATGGCGAGACTTCGCAGCATTTGAGTCTTAACGTGATCGAGTTGATGTCGGCTTCTCCAAACGGAGGATCGCCGTCGGCGCTCATTTTCACTTTCAAAAGTCGTCCAATAACTTGGGGCGGGAGGTTGAACGGGATCTCTTGGACCGGTTTGGTCGTCAGCTTGTGAGGCGGAAGGGCAAAGCCCACGACACGACGATAGTGGTCGTTGGTTGCGGCAGAGTTCGAAGTATCAGGCCTCTTTGGTACAAGGACAGGACTACGCAAGTGAGCTTGATGAAGCGCTGATCGGCGATAGTCCGGGTGAGCAGGCTGGGGGACGGCGGGGTTCGGTCCTGGAAAGAACAGACGAGGGGTGGGTTTGATCGTCCTTGCTGTGGACGAGACATTTGAGTTGGACGTGAGGGAGTCGACGGCGAATTGGAAGGCAGAATGGGCTGTTGCGGAAGCATCTGTTGTTGATANCATCATCAATGCTTGCATCTGGGCGGCGTCATGAAGTGCGGTACGCGGCAGTGCAGTCACACCTTGCTGAAATTGAGCTGGGAAGGTGCTGCCAGAATTCTGGAAGTAAGCCGAGGCTGGAAGTGAAGCACCTTGTTGTTGCTGGTTTTGAAAGTGAGCAGGAAGTGGAGACTGGATTGCGTGTGGCTGTGCGTGCGCGTGTGCCAGAGCCTGTGCTTGGGCTCGGGCACGCATTTGCATTTCCCGCTGTGTACGCATCTGCGCCTCCATCTGAGTGGTTGGCGATTGGGGACTGGTTGGTATCGGCGCCTGAGCGTGATGAGGTGGTGGGACGCGATTCTGACCAGGACGAAGCGACTGTGACCGAGGCATCTCAATGTTGTGAAAGGTAGCCACAGCTGGAGCAAGGGCGGGTTGCTGTGCTGCTGTAGCAGTGACCGAGGCAGTGTTGGCCAGATCTGTGGTTGGGTTCGACTGAGTATGCGGAAGTTGAGTAGATCGTACGTGTTGGTGGAAGATGGAGCGGTAAACGTTCTGCTGATGACCACGCACTTCTGTCGATTGGCCCCNCTCGGCCCCAAATCTTTGTTGTTCGATCATAAATTCCCGCATGACAAGTTCGGCCATCGGACCACTGTCCGAGCCCCAGGTGTTACGCAGAAGAAAACGAAAAGTTGCTCGTTGGAATAGTAGCGAACGGATACCAAGGCCTCCGATGAGGTCCGTTACAGTCGGAAGGGTTTCTGCCTGGCGGCACTGCAAGAGCACACGGTCTAGATTCATTGTTATTTGATGTAGACAGCCGGCAATATGGCGAATGGCCAGCATGAAAGATTGATCAGTCAAACAGGCTCTCAGCTCGTCCAGAGGCTTGGGAAAGCTGCTGATAAAGACCTGGACTTCGTTGCTCAAGGAAGTGCCACCCTCGCATTGTTCTCCCAGAAGCCTCGCAAACATGGGGAGGCTGTGTTTTGGAAGATGAGTTTGGACAGATTGAAGTGCCGGGAGGTTCAAGGAGTGGCAAGCCAAGAGCATGAGCAGGATGACAAAGTACCAGTCATTCTGGGTTGTGGCGTCATAAAGGATACCCAGTCTCTCCAGGTCAGCATCGCTCAGGTTGCCGTGAGCCTTGGCGAAGTCAGATAGGCGCTTGGTACACTCGGCGCTTTGGAAGACAAGAGACCACTGAGGACCGAAGAGCGGGGCATTGTTGTGTTCGGGGAGACGAGGTTGGGTATGCGCCGTGGGAGTAGCCGACGTCGAGGGACGTGGCAGACTTGGGGTGGATATGCTCGGTTGTCGTGAGGAAGATGTGGCAGGGATGGGTCTCTTCCCGGCCAGGCGGGCAGTAGGGTGGACTTGAGCTTGGTGGAGAGCAGGCTGATGAGCAATAGGATGGCTCAGAGGTTGACGAGCAGGGGACAGGCTCGGTGACTTGTCGTGGTCGCTGGGAGTGGGCGAAGGGAGAAAGTTCCTCGCATTGGAGGTATCCGGCATCTCATTCTCCAGCATGGATCGGACTTGGTGAGGAGGAGAGGACTGCAGGGGGACAGTTGCGGGAGATTCGTATTGGACCGTGTGCGGGTGGCTGGCAATCGGAGTGGGACCTTGTCGCTGGACGTGTTTTCCAGAGGCACGAAGGGGCGGCTGTAAGAGCATCGACGAGGGTTGCATCCAGGAATAATGCGTAGGGCGGCCCAGGATGTTACGTGCATTTGCACTGGGATCCGAGGGCGATAGGGCCATGTCTTGGAAGGGTGAGTCCCATCTGCGCGTGGTCGACGGGGCAGTACGGTAGGAGGGCGGGCGAAGGTATAAGTAGAAGTAGGGTGCCGGATGAGGAAACGCGCCTGCAAAGTTGCGCAAAGGCACGCGAAAGCGAACAGCAAGCAGAGGCAGCAGGGAGCTCGTATGACCAAAAGGCCAACCCAGCTGGCGCGTCGCTCGCAGCTCTTGCCTTGCTTCTGCTCTCGGTCTTGCTTCTTCTGCGCCTGCCTCTTCCTGCCTGCTGGTTTAGCGGAAACCTTGTATTCAGAAGTCGCCAGCAGCTTGGCACTTGCCTTGCCGCCCCACCCTGGACGACCAAACACCACCTGAAGTAGGTACTCTTTCCGTACTCCCGCTGTCTCTACGCCGTACCGGAGCCCGACCGCGACACAATTCCCGTGCACCGCCAGACCCGTGTTTGTTTCAGCTCGACCATCGTCCACCGACGGGCCACAACTCGGCTGCCGTCTCGTCTCCGCGACAAGGTGCCAGGGACGCCTCGGACTACACGCCTCCACCACAGATCGCCTTGAGACTTCGATGCTCCCGCTCCAGACGTAGCGTGCCCATCCCTCCGACAGCGCGCCTCAATGGCCTCTCGTCAGCCCTCGGACCCGCGAGAGGTTCCGCCAGGCTCTATTCTGCTCGTCGTCCATGACTTTATCGCCCGCAGCCCCGACGAGCTGAGTCTGGCCAAGGGCGACCGCATCGAACTCATCGAGCGAGACGACGACTTTGGTGATGGCTGGTTCCTCGGTCGCCATATGACCACCAGTGCCACCGGCCTGTTTCCTGAAGGTGAGCAGACACGCACAACCATCACCTCTCAAACCTCGTGAAACACTTCCGCTCACGCCAATTCGCGCGCCCTAGTCTACACAACCCCGGCCCCGAGAGGCACCCTTCTATCCACCCAGCAGCCCCCAGCCCGCCGCAACGATGCATCCCAATCCAACAGGCCTCAGACTGCTGCTTCGGCCGCCTCGAGTCAATCTACCAACTCTCTCCCCGCCCAACGCGCCTCGCAACACAACTCGGTCATGCACGAAACCCTGAGTGTCATCGACGAGCATATCACAGACATGCGTAGCCCGCGCGACGCACCCCTGACAAACATACACAGCCACGACACTGAGAGCATCTACAGCGCACACGCCTCTAACCGCCTATCTTACATCAACGGCCGCGAAACCGACGACGAGGAAAACCAGCTGCATACCGAGGCCGAAGTCATGTTGTGGTCACCTGTACGCGTTGCTGAATATCTCGAAGACCACGGTGTCGAAAGGTCGCATTGTGACACTTTCCGCGAGCAGGAGATATCTGGAGAGGTGCTTTTGACCATGGAGCAGTCGGCCGTCTTTATCAAAGAGTTCGAACTTGGTTCTGTGGGGAGGCGATTGAAGACGTGGCAGAAGGTAAAGGCTCTCCAGGATGAAGTGCGCCAAAGCTCGACCAACGTACCTAGGAGTGTGTCTGAATACTCGGCTGCTGGCGACGACCTACAGACCGAGGCTGGAAGGAGACGGAGCCAGAGCGTGACGGCCTCCCCATACAGACCTGTCAGCAGTATAGCAGCCCCGTCCATGACCTTCACTCGGCCAGACAACACCCAGCGTCCCTCCGCCGCTTCCATCCGTAACCTCAACCATTCTCGCAGGCACTCGTCCATGGGATCAATCGATAGCATGAACCGCTACTCACACCAAAGGCAGTCTTCGGTCGGTACAACCTCCGGAGCACCCACCACCACTCGGCGGCTTTCGATTGCTCATGAACCAGCAGCCGACCTCGGAACCGCAATTGCACAGGCTGATGGAGGCGTTGGCGACTACGGCTTTGGCTCACTCTCTTCACCAGTCGATTTGGACCGCGGTTACTTCTCTGGCAACGAGGTTGATGCCCGCAACAAGCGCAATGTCTTGCAGAAGAAGTCGACATCGGCTCACACAAGGAACATAAGTGCCGCTACTGATTCTGCTCGCCACAGCGCCTCGTATCGAAACTTCCCCAGGATGTCCAGCGTCGAGTCGATGCGCGATCCTGCTTCGCCCATCATGTCCCCTGCGTCCAGCCAGTTTTCCTTCAACAAGCCTACTAGTAACCGTGCTGTCAGCAGTCCACACTCTGCCGTCAAACCCCTGGCATCAATCCAGCAGCCCGTGTCACCCATTGTCACACGACTAGATCAAACTTTGGCTGACAGCGACAATTCGTCACTCAATCCCTCACCATCACCTGCCTCGAACACTCGATCCTTCTTCTCCAAGCCTCGTATCGGCGGTGGCCTTCGGATAGCTTCCGATGCCGTGACTCAGAGCGAGAAGAAGCAAAGTACCTTGAAGCACGAGCCTCTCGCTTCTCCTGCTCGTACTGGTTCTACCACTCCTTCAACTGAAACTCGTTCGTTCGATCTGCAGAAGTCAGACAATCAATCTCGCGTATCAACGGGCTCTTCAGGCGCCCTTGCTCCACCTGCAATCTCTACTCGTCCTAGGCCAAAAGTGAAGAGCAAGAAGTCAACATCAGCATACACTCGCGGCCTGGAGAAAAGGTCACCTGCCGAGCAGATCGCCGATTGTGATTACAGTGGATGGATGAAGAAAAAATCCTCGAGCTTGGTAGGCTCTTGGAAGCCTCGTCTTTTCGTGCTTCGTGGTCGGAGACTGTCCTACTACTATTCTGAGAACGACACGGAAGAGAAGGGCCTGATCGACATCTCATCACATCGCGTCCTACCTGCCGAGAATGAGAAAATGACAGGGCTGCACGCTGCACTCACAGGCGCCGGGTCGTCCCCCATGGTGCCGCAAGGGACTGTAGCGCCATCTGCAGATGGACAAGGTCTCTTCATATTTAAACTGGTNCCCCCACGTCAAGGACTTAGTAAAGCTGTCAACTTTACAAAACCGACCGTACACTATTTTGCCGTAAACAGTAGGCAGGAAGGTCGATTGTGGATGGCTGCACTTATGAAAGCCACTATTGATTATGATGCTTCGAATGGTAAAGTCACGACAAGCTATAGTCAGAACACAATATCCCTATCCAAAGCTCGCGCACGCAATGAGCGCCCACCTGCTTTGCAAGATACAATCGCCACGCCCAAAGTCGTACACGAACTGGAAGATTCTTCAAGGCCCAAATCTAGTGGCCTGGGTATTGGTGGCCTCGATGAAGCTCAACCAGGAGCCGAACGAAATGGCAGCTTGAATGGATCGATGACATAACTTGGACCACATCTAACGTCTTCTGATTGACTACGACACGACTTATGAAAGGAGAAGTGGGATCTGTGGTATTTCTGTATCCCTTGTAATTATATAATTGCGCCGCCTTTTTTCTCTTCTTTTCATTGCCAGTTTCCTCTATTCGTACCCGCATCAGTCTTCGAGCGAGGTGTCAGCAACAAAAGCACCATTACTTCTCCATTTCTTCTTTTATATACATCATGCTAATTTCGTGGTTGGAAGTATCATGTTGTCTTGTATAAGCACGTCGGTGTTCTGCAACCCATTGACATGGTCCTGCTCATCATGAACAAGCACAACACCACCTCGGAGCGATTTGATTGACATCATGTCGAGGTTGGTCATCAATAGTCGCTGTGTATCAAGCGAGTCGAGGGTGATCTTGCAGCTCGAAGTGGAAAGGTGAATAGATTATATCCACATGAAGCGAGTCGGCATTGTGTGCGGAGTGCGACGAAGCAATAGAAATGTCATCGGACATCGCTCTGTAAACCCAAAACCGAGCTCCAGCATCATTAACTGTACCACTTTGGTCTTCCCCTGTACTAAACCAAGTGTAGATCGGTCAATGACTGGTTCATCAAGATGAGTCGAGGAGAACGATCCAACCACGAGGTGAGGCAAGAGCGGCTCTTCGTGCATATGATATTTATGCAACTGCCCCCACCTTTCGGTTTTCTCGGTGCAATGACACCCCGGTGTCTGCACGACATCTCCACAATGATTGGGGAACCTAGACAAGAAATGTTTATTAAGAAGAGGCCCCTTTCCTCACTCGCGCGTCTTCCGTTACAAAAGTCGAGCATCCAGATACTGCCAGATATAGCGAATCGCGATGACAACGTTACTTGCTGGAAAGGTCGCGGCAGTTACAGGCGCAGTGACTGGCATTGGACGAGCTATCGCCCTCGAATACTTGCGCCAGGGAGCAGCCGTTGCTGTAAACCACTATCCGGACTCCAAATCAGACGAACAATTCAAAAGCATGCAAAAAGAGGCTGGAGCTGGCGCAAAGCTCATTGCTGTACCTGGTGACATAGCGAAGCCCGAAACAGGCACCGATTTTGTCTCCAAGACAGTATCCGAATTTGGCAGGCTGGATGTGTTTGTGAGCAACGCTGGCGTGTGTCAATTTGCCGAGTTTCTAAGGTGCTGATGTCGCAAAGATCCCGTATAAGCATGCGTCCAACTAACCTTACGACTAATNAGTCTAAGCCCCGAGCTTCTCAAGTCGACCGTGTCCATCAACCTCGAGGGTGCTTTCTTCGCCGTCCAGGCCGCGGCTCGTCAGATGAAAGAGCAATCGCCCCAAGGCGGCAGTATCATCGGTGTTTCGTCCATTAGTGCTCTCGTTGGTGGTGCTGGACAAACACACTACACACCCACCAAGGCAGGCATTCTATCTCTTATGCAGAGTTGCGCCTGCGCTCTGGGTCCGTACAACATCCGATGCAATGCCTTGCTACCGGGCACAATCCGTACTCAGCTCAACGACGAGGACCTGGCAGACCCCAAGAAGAAGGAATACATGGAGGGTCGCATCCCGCTTCGAAGGCTAGGCCAACCCCATGTATGTATTCTAAGTCTGACGAAAAGGGTAATTTGCTAATAGCTTTTTCCANNGGATCTTGCCGGACCAGCGGTATTCCTCGCTTCAAGCCTCTCATCATACGTCGTAAGTCTTCGTCACTCAAGAGCTCAGCTTACCGTTACTGACTCTAGACCCTAGTCTGGTGCACAGATATTAGTAGACGGCGGTGCCTTTGTAAATTTCCAATAGGATCTTGGGACAGTTAGGATGAAGAATTCAACCTCGTGAAATCTAATGTTTCATACCAATATAGACAAGCATATCTTCGGAGTGGGGGGGGAGAAAAAGAAAGAGGCTTCAAACGACACTCGAAAATAGCGACAGGAAAGATGAATATGAAGGGACATTTGGCTTGACCAAAAACTCTCACGTTGAACATATGCAAAGGGTATCTAAGAAACTGCACTTATTCTTCAAACCCGCCAAAACTTTGACCAGAGTCTGACGCATCACCTGATTCTTGTGGGTTCTTACTCGCTGCAACTGCGCCCTTCCTGTTGTTCTCGAGCTTTCGAATATAACCGCTCTTTGTACTGATACGGGCCTTGGGCTTGCCAGTCTTGGAATCCTTGCCAGAAGTAGATCTCCTGGTCTCGATGCCGCGTTTCTTGAGCTGCTGCTTGTCGCGTTTGCTAGGGGTTGGTAGAGCGTCCAGCAACCATTGCTGAACGTTTGATGTGCCGCCTGCTGCTCCCCTTTGCTTCTGACTGGCAACAATGATGTTGGCGACTGTCTTGATGGACGCGACATCGTCATCTGTGTAGTAAGTCAATGCTACACCGCCTTCTCTGCCAGCACGGCCCGTACGACCAACGCGATGGACGTAAGCTGCGGCAGACGTCGGTGCATCGTAGTTGATGACAGCGTTGATGCCACGGAAATCGACACCTCGAGACAAGAGGTCGGTGGTGATGAGAATCCAGACCTCACCCTTGCGGAAGCGAGTCATTACATGGTCACGAGCAGTATCGGAGAGATCCGAATGCAGAACAGCGATACGTGAGATGCCGCCTGCTTCGGCGGGGATATCGTAGAGAAGTTCGGAATGTAGGGCCACTGCACGCTCTATGGTCTGGGTGAAGATGAGGAAGGGGGCGCGAACGACGGGTTGCTTGTCGACGCCGGTCGAAGTAGGATGCAAGAGCTGGCGCAGAGCCATGAGCTTGCCTTGCTCGGTGGCAGCATAAACTAGACGATGGTCGATGTTGGGCACAGCCGAATCTTTGAGGCCAACGACAAGACGAACAAAGGGTGCGATCTCGACAGGCTCGGAGCTGGTCCCGGACAGCCTCTCAGCACGACCTTTGATGGTGGTCTTGACGAGCTCCTCGATGCTGGACCCCATGGTAGCAGACCAGAAGCCAAGGCGCAGATTGGGGTTTGACAGGGCGTTCCATATAGCCAGGGTCTGATCGCGGAACAAGGGGTCCAGCAGAACATCGGCCTCGTCAAGGACAAGGAAGCGGATATGGGACAATGCCTGTGAGCTAGCTGTTGCATCTCCAATCGCGTTTTTCAAGGCAGCCGGAGTAGAGACGAGAATGTCAGACTTGACAGGAGGCACGTCCCTTTCAGGGGCGTCTGGATCGGGCGAGTGGTCGGAACCGAGGTGCATACCCTTGCGCACATTTGTGATACGTATAGCAGTGTTTAGAGCCAGCTTCCTGCCTTCGTTGGTGATCTGGCTGGCGAGTTCCTTTGTCGGGGCGAGTATTATGGCCTGAGGACCGGAGTGTGGTTGAGAGCGACGTGCGAGGACCAGGGCATGGATGAGCGGAATCATGAAGGCCAAAGTCTTTCCACTGCCTGTCGGGGCAATGCTCAGAAGATCGACATCCAGCACAGGTGCTTGTTCTCGGTTTTTGCCGTGCTCGTGTGCGGCCAAGCGTTGGCGTGAATCGAGCAGGAGCGGCAGTGCGGCGAGCTGGACTTCGGTCGTGGTGCTGTAGCCATTGTCCTTGATGTTGCGGAGAAGGGCCTTTGAGATGCGGTATCTCGGGGCCAGGCTGCCAAAGTCACTGACGGGCATGGGATACAGAGGTGTCGCGTGGTCGTCCGAGGTCTGAGAGGGTTTGGCGTGCTTGTCGGCCTTGTCCTTCTTTTTCTTCTTTGCGGGTGCCTCGCTGGCCTTGGTGAACTGAGTGACCTTGACCTTGTGGCGTCCGAGCAGCTGCTTGCATTCTTCGGCGCTCATTGCGACGGCCGCTGCTGCTTGTTCTTGCGGCAGCCTTGATTGCTCTTCCGAAGCGTCCTGCTCTTGCTCTCCAACGTCTCTTTCCTTGGCCGATGCGCCGCCACCGAAGAAGTCCAGACTAGCCGTCACCGTCTCGCTCCCTCTCTTGCGTTTGCGGTTTGCGCCTTGAGAGTCGTTGCCATGGTCGAAGAGTTGCGGATTTGATGCAGGCCCCGAGGATGGTGTATTTGCCGTGCTTTTCTTTGCAAATTTGGTCGATCTCGTCAGCAATCGTAGGGCATCCATCGTGGCTTGTTGTAAGAATCGGGATGCAGACAACAAGGTGATATTTGGAAAGAAGATTATTCGAGTCTGGAAATTTTTATCTCGTCCATCTGACGCTCGCTCTTGCTTGACTCGCCATCAAACGGCACGGACCAGTTCGCGAAGCGGCCTCCGTAAACCTTCTTTTTCGCCAGTCATATCACCCTGTTCCTGAGTAATTATATCACCACTTGCTGTATGCCGTCACCCTCTTACACGTATACTACCTACTTGTTTCCAAATGTCCTCCATGATGTCCCTCGGTCATGCGTTCTGTTGGTGTGAGTGACGGTGCTTCGACTGGCATCAGAGGAATTCTCTCTCCTGTTCAACCAAGGGAAACATGACAGAAATGTATTATCCGTCCATGTATACAATACCTACTCAACCCATGTGCACTGTTCAGCAAGCTCAAACGAACAAGATACAAAAGAGCATTGTTAAACAGACTTTTCAAGAGTCCAGGCAAGAAAGAAAAAATGGCGATCTAGGCTGTTGTACACGGCTAAGAGACAAGCTCATGTGTCGCTCCCATATGTGCATTGCTATGCTTTTGCAGCGTCCGCCCCTCGGCGTCTCGGCATGGCCAACTCGATCCACCATGCCGAGCCCTCCAGCTTCCTTCACGTCGGTATCGTATAGCGCGTCTTGTCCACCCTCTAGTGGTGCTCGTCGTGAGAGCTCGATCGGTAGCCAATGAGCTTCATGCGTCCAATCATCTCACCGACCGTGAAGAATCCGAGGATCTCGGCCGTCACAACGCCGGCAGTAAGGAGTTGGGAGCTGCCAATGTTGCGCATGGCCTGGAAGGGGTTTGACGGGCTGTTGGCGCTGGGGTTCTTGACGGCGCTCATCAAGTTCTGGCCGTAGGTCTGGAAGGTCTGCACGTTACTGCCAAATACGTAAGCTGAAGCGCACAACCATTACCCGATAAGCGTGACGTACGGAGGGCTCATCTTCTGGCCGCGGGCGACGAGTCTGGCAAGCTCGAGGCCGACCTTGCCGTAGTAGACGGTGGGAGGAATCATGGCTGCAAACAAGCAGAACAGTCAGCGAGATTGCAACGGAAGGGGTCCGCAGGCAGCGTGTCACGTACACTGGACGAAGCTGATGACCTGACCGGTGCGACCGCCGACGCTGTTCATGGCGTTGGTGGCAGCTCCGGCAGCCTTTGAGATGCCAGACTCGGCCGACGACGAGACTTTTGAGAGGCCCTGCGAGGCCTGGGTTGTGGCCTTGGAGGCGGCGTTGGAGGCAGCATTGGCTGCTTCGGATGTGGTCGAGGCGTGGCGCACAGCGAGGCGGCCAATCTGGGGGGTGCGCAAAAGCATACGGGACGCCGAGAAAGACATGGTGAAGACGGGACGCAACGACGGATGGGCGACGAGTGGGAAAGAAACGTGAGGGTGCGTGGTCTGCTGCTCGCTCGAACTGCTCAAGACGCGCCGGCCAGAGGTTGCAAATCTACAGCGTCCGTGTCTTGGCACCTCTCCGTTCCTCTCCGCGCCAGCCGATCTGAACTTTGTGCCTTCGTCGACTTCACCTCCTTGTGCGTCCTCGTTGCGAAGGGTAGAAGCTGCTCTCTCTCACCTGCTGCATCGCTCGTCCACCTCTGGCCTGCACAGTTTCATTTCTGCCCCTCTCGCTGTTGCGAGGACGCTTGTAGAGCCAACGTCCCTTGAGCATGTGAGCTACAGTGTAGTACATATCTGACAGATCTTGTGAGGTCAAACATGCTAGACCTACGGGACCCTGCCTGCTCTCCCATGCCCACCTCAATATATGCCTCGAACAGCTCTTGCAGAATTGAGCTTGTTTCGTGCTGTCTGCATCCTCCCTTTCAATTCTGTATGTAGTCCAATCTTGTCGCCCTCTCTGATCGTCGAAATGCGAAGAAAATATGATCGGTCAGTTTGCTATTGATTGGAGCGCCATCTACTTCGCTCATCCGTCTGACTGCTGGAACTCAACGTTTTCAGTCCCGGCTATGAGGATCAGGACGGCAGAACAAGAAATCCAATATTCAGCCGCACATGGCTTCTGCAAGTATCTTGTACAATGTCTACCTCTTCGTCATCTGTAGACACAGGAAGGGTGCCTGTAATTCCCGACACCCTCCAAGGGTCGTGTGTGCTCTCCCACCCTCATCAATGCGAAACATGAATCTCTACCAAACTTGGCGATCTGAAGTTGAATGGAGCTGAATGCGGCTGCCATCAAGTCTGGTTGCCAAAACGGCTCGGGAGTGGATGGATATCGCATGTGATTCGTCTTGAGCATGCAGACGTCGGAGCCGACGGATCCTTGGCTTCACTGGAGCAATACGTTATTGACCCTACAAGTAAGCGAATCGTTCATGTAGACGACTGGTCAAGGATGGCGATCCCATGTGTCGTCCACCTTGCCCTCTCGCAGACAGCCTGCCAAAACGACTGCTTTCCCCGAATACGGATACACATCGCTTCGGGACGGATAACGTACTTCCCCCAGCGATCATCATAACTTACTTGGAAGCCACGATTCCAACCCCAGATATAAGTATACAGGCTCACATGTCTGGGCAGAAACGGCCTGAGGATCAGCTGTGCTGCCCACGAGCACAAACGACGGTAGCAGTAGTCTTGTGATAGATAACAACCAGTCTAGCTCTGAGTCCGCTCGAGCGGCCGACCGCCTGCCCCACCGAAACAAGTAAATCGGCTCTAAATTGGACCCTCAACAAGACGACAGAGGATCAAGTTCGACCCGAGGCTGTACGAACAAGTGTGCCACTTGAACGGGTAACAACAAATGCCTCGAGGAACGTGACTAGCATATGCCTCTTTGCTGGTACTACGGCTTTACCTACAAGTCAAATTCCCCTCGAGTTCTGGCATTCTTGCAAACAATTCACATACCGGTTGTTCCATGCGCAGGATAAGAACCCCGTAAGCTTGGTATCGATTTCCGCCAGTCGGCATGCAGTCTCGTTTGACGGTCGAACCTGCATACACACTGTATGTACATGCATGTACTGTTGGTCTGAGCGTAAGAGCGATTGCCTATCGGTCCACACCAAAGACGTACATCACGGTCGACGACTTGCAGCACCAATATCGATTTATGACGAATAAGTTTGTTTCCATGACGAGACGATCGGAAGCTGAATTGTCGACCTAACCCGTGGTCTCTTCTGTCTTCAGCATTCAAGTTGTTCGATTTTCGGTTACAGCAGCGCACATGGCAATGGCGAACAGGCCGAAGTGTTGACTTGTGGTCTTCTAATGGTGCTTGGACCATGTACACTAAAAGTGGCGTTATTAGGGTCGCTCGCGAGAACAGCGATTGCCATGACCCTCAAGTGGTCAGTTATCGCCGATGATATGCTCGTACTGAGGGAGCTTCACATGGGCCAACTCTTCTTTACACTGCCGGCCCAAGCATCAAGATACCAAAGTATGCGAGCTGCAAGTAATTGCAGAAGGGCGGTCCTGCAAGTACTCCGTACCTTGGCTTGCAGTGTTGCTCGTTCGCTCGCCTGGGGATGCCCATGCATGACAGCAATTGTGGGCGAGCTGATCTTGGGTGGCTCTCTTGCTCGTCTGCCCTGTGCCAAACAAATGCTCTAGCTACCCTACTATTTTATCAAGCGCCGATCAGGCCCTTGCGGCGTGCGGCTTGCGGTAGACGGAGGACCCCTCATTCGCCATTGAGCGACTAAGTTAGCCTATTGTGCGCACGAGCGCGCCCATGTCCACAGTCCATGCTCCCCCACCTTCAAAGCGGGCTGGCCGGTTGCTTGTCTGAAGAAATCAAGGTCGACAGCACCAGTAGTGGGTGGTATCGGCGGGTGATAGCTCAATGCGGGCGCCTCAGCGAGACGACCGGCGACCCTCCGACGCCTCTCATCACCTTCTGATCTCATCATGCCATGCCACTATTACCCACTACGCGAACTCTTGCTAGACCAAAATTTCTCTGAATCCACCAAGAGTGCACCGCAACGCAGCCGAGCCCAAGATGTTCATATACCTCACTCCCCCAGCGGCCCTGCAAGCCTCCTTTTCCTATCCTTGGACCGACGCAAGTGCTGCTTCCTCTCTCGTTTTTCGTCATGCTGCTGTCGTGCTGGGCGTGGGCTGCGGTTTTGCTTTTGTAAGTCTTTTTATTGTCCAGACCTACACACTTGTCATGTGCTTACCGCTGTCTGCAGNNCGTCTTCCGTTACCTTCGACTTGTTGTCAACTTGATCTCCAATTGGACATATGAACCCATCCCCGTACCCGAGAGTCCCAACTACACCAACAAGGATGTCACTGTCATCATTCCCACTATCGAAGGGGAAGGAGAAAATCTCTGCCGGACGATAAAGACGTGTTTGGCAACACAGCCTTTCGAAATTATAATTGTCACCATCGATGCTAGCATCAAAAGGGCCGAGAGGACTGCTGCTACTTTCAACACCAGTAAGATTCGCATACTGAGTGTGGCAAAGGCCAACAAGCGAAGCCAGATGTGCGCTGCCATCCCTGAGGTTATGACCAAGATCACCATCTTTGCGGACGACGATGTGATCTGGCCCAAAACCATTCTTCCATGGATACTAGCCCCCTTTGAAAACGACGAGATGGGTGGCGTAGGAACGTCTCAGCGTCTGATGCGTCCCAAGAAGCCGACTATCTGGAGCTTCCTTGGATCTCTTTACCTAGAAAGACGCAATTTCGATTGTTCTGCATGTCTTAATATTGACGGTGGGTTGCCTTGTCTTTCGGGTAGGACAGTTGCATATCGCACCTGTATTCTGCAAGACGATGCATTTACCTATGGTTTCACGAATGAGACATGGAGAAACTTTCAACTCAATGCCGACGACGACAACTTCATCACCCGCTGGATGTATACACATGGCTGGAAGATTGCCATGCAATATCACAAGGCCTGCGAGGTACAAACAACCCTCGAAGATAGCCCGAAGTACTTGAAACAGTGTCTTCGCTGGGTACGCAGCAACTGGAGGAGTAATTTGACAAGCATGTTCGTCGAGAGACATTATTGGAGGTGTGTTTAACCAGAATTCGTCCGCCATAAAAAATTCGAATACAGGCTCACTAGTTGCAGATCGACGCCCTGGACAACTTATGCAGTTCTCCAGACTACTCTCACCGCGTGGGCTTTCACAGACTTCTTGATTTTCTTTGTCTTTTACAGAGCTACAGAGGACCTGCCAGCAGACACTCGACGAGACCTTCTGACTGCAGTTGGTATATGGATCTTTTTATTTGCAAAATCCATCAAGCTCTACGGCCACTTCATCCGCTATCCTGCCGACCTCTTGTGGTTGCCTTGCTCGATACTCTTTGGTCATGTTCATGGATTCATCAAGCTTGCAGGATTGCTGACACTCTCTGCTGTACGTTACTCTGTGCTTTAAGCTAATGCTGGAAGCCACTGACTAGTTTACAGNACATCCTGGGGAAGTCGCGACGGTGCAGACGAGGACAACCATTACAGAATGATCAAGCTCCCACCCTACGATACAGATGACCTTGAAGCTTCTCTGCCACCGGCTTCAAGTTCTGCCACTTCGCCATCAATGACACAACATCCCCCTCCTTATAAGAAACACAAGCCCGACGAGACTTGCCCATTGCAGGGCCGTTATAGCGACGACTGATGACGATGCGATACTCCGGAAGACTATCAAAATTAATACTAGACGAAAAGGAGAAGACCCGACGTTTTCGAGATAAGGAAAAGAGACGCGTTTCTGCACAGTAAAAAGTCAGGACTTTTGGACAAAAAAAAAAAGTTGTTGGTGCTTAAATCTGCGAAGGGGTCGTTGATATAGTTGAGGAATTTGGAAAAGAAACAAGCTCTTTCTAGCAACGACTTTGCAGCGCTGGTGTTAGTGATTCGATGCTTTGGTTGTTTTCTTCATCTCTCCCCCTGATCATGAGATAGATCTGTACAGCCACCAACTGCAGAGACATTGTTATGTCCCGTTTTGGCAAGAGGTTCACGGAAAAGCTGAGATTGGCCAGTTGACAATGTCTTTGCAACCGCTGTTCCTGCATCAATTCGCAAAGCCCGCTCGCACCGACATGGAAATTGGGAGTTGCGTGGTCAACATGCTTGTGACGATCAGTTCACAATACTCGAAGCCAGGCGGACCGTCTCCGTTACCCGAGCGAGCTCGCTTCGACTATGCTAGAAGGTGGGCCTCTTTGGTGACCCATTGACGAGTTGGTGTCTGATTGATTTTGCTTTCACTGGACCAGGACCAACAGAATCATCATCAGTGTACTCGAGCAGGTAGGTACAGGATATCAAAAACGATGTTTCATGGACCAAGTCAGGAAACCCGCGTTTCTGTATCGAGGGAGTTACCTTTCCGGCGTTTACATGCATGCATACTGCACTGCACATGCGCCGTCCGTGCCTTCTAGAGGGCAAGGAGTAACATGGACATTCTTCTGATAGCATCTCAACCATTTTCGCTCCGATTTGTGCATCTTGTTCCTGACTCAGGAGACAATAATCCTGACTTGGTTGAGTTGGACAAGCACAGCTGCTGGCAAATCTGCCGACCTACGGATTTTTTGTGCTCTATCTCCTGGTGCTCAAAGCAAGTCCGAGCTCAATGCGTGGTAAACCCTGATACGCGAATCTGTGCGCAGGGTGGCATGTGCACGATGCCGCAGCGAGCACACGCCATGCCGAACCTTGCAAGGGCTCGTCCAAATTATTATCTCCATTCAGACTTCAATGCTTGGCCGAGAGGAATGTCGGATTGGCCATAAGGAATCTGCTGACTGTATTGATTGAGTTGACGGACCACTCACCGGTGTCCGCGAGAGTCATCAATGTGACAACTTATGAGGGAGTGGTCACTGATCTGCTGGACTCAGACCTGTCTCGATCCATCAAAGGCTGGCCAGGCTCGGGTCAAGAAGTATCTGGTTGCGCAATCAGAGCTCACATCACACACGTGCTCGTCCGAAGACATCTTCTGACTCTTGTTCGGCGGGTCTCACAAGGGCCAACTCGAGTACAGTACTCCACAATTGACTAGAGCGACACGGACCTTTGACATACGGTAGACATACGCGTTCGGCTCCCAGTGCAATGCGCGCGTGAACTTCGATATATTAGTGCCTATGGGGCAAAGGCTCGTGCTAAGTGTCAGACCGAACCTTAATTTGACAATGTCACTCGGTACCATATACACTACACCTGTCGTTTAGAGACCGGTGTCATCATTTCCAGGTAGCCATGTATTATTATGAGAATTGCAAACGACGACACACTTGATTGAGGATCGCGATTGCATTTTGCTGTGATGCCATATGGGAGACATCGAACTACTTCTTCTTCTTCCTATCCGCACCCGTTGTGGTACTACCTAAGATCGAGTCGAAGGTCAAGTCTGGATCGTATACGCTCACTGGTCTTGCTGGTCGAGTCTTGGGTAAATCCAGACCAAGACCCACTGCATTCCGACCCTGGACATCGCCCACAGGACTGCCACTCCTACTAGAAGATGCCTGTACTCCAGCTACCGCTGGAGGGTCGACTCCATAACTATCAACAAGGTGTTGCGAATGGAGTACTGAGGTCAGTGCTGTATCTCCAGCACTCCATCTCTTTGCTGCCTGCCAGCAGTGGCTCCGGAAGTATATGCCCTCGGCACCATGATGGAAGTCATCAGCAGGGAGGTGGGCGATACCACCTGCTCTGGCTATTCCGGCACGACTCGCGTCGCGCAGCGCCTCTTCCCTCGCCCAAGGCACACCGACTCTGGGAGACTCGCAGAGGAAATACTCTACGCCCTGAGTATGCTGAAGCCGAGGTCCGTCAACCGTGACCATCGGTAGAGTTTGTAACACGGCGTAGACGAAAAGCCATTGGCCCATGCGAATTTCTGCCAGTTCCTTGATAGTGCGATGTTTCGCCGCTTTGCGTTCGAATTCTCTGAAAGAGTTCAAACATGGCGAGGGAGGCACGTCAATATTGTGTGAGGCTGTCATGATCTCCGCAACGTCGTCGTCTTTTAGTCTTCTCGACATGGCCTTCGCTTCTTTCTTTGGGTCGCCCCATCCATTACACCGGGTCTGTCTTAGTGACGGGATTATAGGAAGATCGTAGGGAATTGGCGGCTTGACTGGCGGCGAGGAGCGGTCATATTCACTTAGTACCGCACGAAGTGCTCGCACCCGCGGCGCATCAGCATCCCTGTCGTCAATCAAGACACCGTCCGCAGTACGATTTGTTAGACTTGAGCGGTCTACCAACAGGTCGTACACGGCGCAAAAATCATGGTACAGGTCTCGACAGACCGTTCGGTTAAGACCACTCGTTCCGAGTTCGTTCTTCTTCGATGCCTTCGGCGGCCACGAACCATAGCGAGTTTTGTAAAATGCAACGACAAACTTTCGAGTGGCGAGAAACGAATCTCGCAATGAGTCAAAATCAACATCCTTGCGCTCGTCGGCTGTTTTGCTGTTCAGAAGGCCAGAAAAGAGTTGCGGGAAATCAAAGTCTTCCAAGGTGTGTTGAACGCTTTCTATGCGCTTCTCCAGGTCCATCGCTGCACGTCCCAGCCTGTTGGCAGAGATGGGACTGATGAGTCTGTATTTCGGACTTCCTATCTTTAAGAGCTCGTCGTGCGTACCGACAGCATGAGTGAAAGACTCATTGTACAGCTTGATATTCTTCATGCGCTCTCCTAGAACAACGCCCTCGATGGTCTTCTCACAGCTTGATCTCACGTCTGCGAGGCCGAGCTCATCGACGTACATATCGAAACTAGACGTTGCAATCTCACCGAACGTGGAACCATCGATGTTGGAGAAACCGAACTGTTTCAGAGTCTCCGATACTTTTGAGAAGACAGAGAACATAGTCGGGGTCTTCTGCGTGGCAACTAAGGACTCTCCAGCAAGAAAAGCAAAGAGATTGCGGACCGCAACAAGCGTCTCCTCGTCAGCCGATACTTCTTGAAAGCCAGTAGGCACCGACAACACCATGTCAGATTTCAGTGCAACGGGCAAGAAGAGCTCGCACCTTGATCCGGTCTTAGGAGTCATAGGAGGCGTATGAGGCTCGGTAGTGTTTGAGTCGATGTCTGAAGGCGGGAGACAGTCAGCGCTTGCTTGTACTATGGCTGCTGAGAGCTCTTTTTCTCACAGCCCTGGAGCACAAACACNCTTACCAGTCTCGGAAGGAAGAACCAACTCGGTCAACAACTTGGACGAAGCCAATAGTTTCGAGTCGAGTCGGAACGAAGGACCCTTGCCAGAAGTCCTAGGGAACAAATATATCTCACAGTTTGCGCTTTCATCCCATAACTCTGACAACCGCTCTCCGCTTGTCAGACGACCAAGTTCGTATAGTCGTCGCTCCGGATGACTAACGATCCATGCCGCGGGGCCTCGGTCTATGCTGTCGGTGCTCTTGCTTCGTCCAAACCACGATCTCCGGCGGGTCTTNNTTCTCTCGTCCTTCTCGACGACAGTTGGATGCAGTGTGTCGGCAGTCTGATTATCAAACAGTGTGTCAGAAGGTGGCGAGGGAGGACTTCCATTGCGAAGACGAGATGATGGTCTCGATTGAGGATTGGGTGATCGGGGACGTTGAGGTTGTTCCGATGTAGACAAACATCCAGCCTTCTCAGCAGCAGGAGATGCCAGCGGAGAACTTTGAGCACTGCGAGTCGACCGTCCAGAGGTGTTTCGAGACTGGAAGAAAGATGATGTTCGGAGCCGCATACCCATGATGACTGCCAAGAACTCTGGGGTGTATATATATCGTTCGATTTCCACAACCTGGTATGTCTACTCGGAAGGACGGTGAAGTTTTAAAAGATTTTGAAAGAGAAGGGGAAAAGATAACCGTCCGAGTCCTGGATGCCTTTGTTGCTTTGTATAGAAAAGGTCATGCATGCATGACGCAAACTCCTGGCGAGAGAGAGGCGAAGTCTGCATAACGACCAACGAGCACAGAGGAGGCTATGTCCTTGAAACAGTCCGTGACACCTCAGGGCATCAGAAATAGCAAGGGCCGGGCGTTCAGACTGACACATCCTCACCTCGCAATCCAACAGATTCATCGTCCTGGGCGCCGTGTTGGTCATGCACATTGGAACCAAGCCGTCAAGCGTCTACATGTTTGTCGTGCACCTTGAGAACCTGAGCCTTTGTAGCAGCTGCCTGCTGACTTTACAGTCGCAATTTCTCTGCTTTCCGATGTTTGACGGCGAACACTTTGCTCACGAGTAGAGAATTCGGCGAACCGGCCAAGATCGATTTTCAGACTCTTGAACAACTGCATGTTCTCCGTCGCCAAGACCGTCGGGGGTGCGGATGGCCGCGTATGCAGCGAGTACAGCGATCGCGTCTTTGAAATGTGGCAATGCTTTGGCAGACAGTCTCATGGGATTTGTAGTTGACGATAGTTGTGGCTGCTGTACGCGTAGGTGTCTTTGGTTCACATTCGACTTCCAAGTCGGCCTTTCTAGCTAGCACCTTTGGGCACTCACAGCATCTTTTCTTGACAACTACATTCCTCGGAACGCATTTTTAGCATTGCACATATTTGGGAATTGGCTGGAAGTACGCGTTGCTTACATAGCAACATGTCGAGCTTGATAGATTGGTATTGCTCGATCTGACCTGCTATCCTAAGTCTACCTAGTGGTAATCATCTGCCCTGACGCTGAGAAGACGCTCGAGGCCATCCACTCTTATGCGAAGCTCTCTCTCAATGAGCACATTGTACAACCTCTTCAGGTCCTGGGAACTCCAGCCCATCTTGTCGTCTCGGTCGAACGTCTCCAAGCCTAGCAAGATCCAGTCCTTGGACCAAGGAAGATGATGTAAACCAGAGAGAAAGACTTGCTTTAACTTCTTGAAAGGACTTTGTTCGACGATACTGCCTTTGCCTACCGAATGCCTTACCACTTCTTCTATGGCCAGTTGCTTTTCAAATCGGAACCACATCATCCAAAGCATCTGTGAATACCGAACGGGGCTTCCGACGGTCATTAATGCGCGGTTGAACGTTGATCTTACCGACTCCGCTGTCGAGCCAGAAGACTGGCTTGTGCATCGAAGCAACTCTTGGTTTATTGCGAACGTCCATGTCACAAGGGGTGACTGACCGTGAGTGAGAACTTGATTTCTGAGTATCGACCTTACCCTGTCGTCAAGTCGGAAACGTGCCTCATTGTCTCGATACAATTCAAGAAATATGGTGTTGTCCGGGAAGTGCGCAATACTTGTCTCCAGCTCGAAGCGTACAAATGCAGGTCTGTATGGTCGTCTTTGACGGATATGATAAGCGATCAAGCCAGCCTTGACTTGGTGCAACAACTCAATGAGCACATGTTGGTTCGCAAATTTCTGTTGCGCTGCATTGCATTGCTCATGTACTGCGTCAAGAGATGCTTGCAGTGCATCTGGTTCTGTTAGATATGCAACAAGCGCCAGCATTTCAACATTTAGTGCAGCAATGTGAGGTTGGTGTTGGCTCAGTGAATGCTCAAATCCATCTTTGAAGGCATTGCGCAGTCTCAACAATGTCGCGGTCGACATCGGGATGATGTCACTTCCATTCGAATCTACGCTACCACCAAAGGATGCGAGATGTGACAGTGCCAACTGCGGTTGATTGGCTTCCATATCACACCATATCCATCCTCGCCATAGTAGAACCAGTTCTTTCTGTGCTGTGTGTGAAAAGCTATCCTTCATGTTGATCGCACTGGACCAGATCTGAGCAGCTTTCTCGACTTTCCCTAATTTTGCTTCAATGGTTGCACATGCATTATAGAGTCGGAGACTCGATGGTCGTTGCTTTAAGACGTGCTTGGCAGCTTTCGACGCCTCCCGAGGAAAGTACGAAAGTTCGAAAGCTAGATAATACTCCGCCAAGTCGTCGTCGTTGGTAAAGTGATTCACCATGCTTGATAGTATTCTTCGAGCGAAATCAATAACTTCATGCATCGATCTGTGGGTGCGAGCACTATCCTCAGCTGGTCCCGAAAGACCTCTGAAAGTGTTGGAGAATAGTAGTTCCGTTGTAGTCTGATAGCTTTGGACATGTTGGTCAAGAATGCTATCAGCCTCGTCAGGCGAGTTCAGTTGTAGCAGACCATGACGAAGAAAAACATCGGATCGCCATTCGGATTGTGGTTGAGCGCCGCCACCGACATCTATTCTCAACCTCACGCTAGGGAGACCTAGGTAACACAGTATAGCGTCGAGCAAATCATGGCGGTCGAGGGCAGTTGCTGTCACCTCGAGGACCTCACAAATGTCCGAAAAGAAAACGACATGGAACGGATCATCAGCACCTGTCTCATCCATCGTTCTCCCAGGGAATTGAAAGAACTTGCTCGTGGTTGTTTCTAGTGTTGAGAAGGATCTGAATGGTAGCTTCGAGTCTAATTTGTCCTTCAGCGGCGATTGGAGATCGAATGCGACATCGGTGTCCTGAGGGGTAGCACGCCATCCTCGTGCTCCGACTTCACCAAATCTTGGTCTCTCACTCTCCCAGAACTGTTCAAAGTCGACGAGAACCTGACTTTTGTTGTAACCAGCGGGGTGCTCTGGTTTACACAGATGGTATTCACACAGAGCTTGCCAGGTAGCTATGGATAGCTCATCGTAGCCGGTGTTTAGTAAGAAGACAGTGTAGCGCAGAATCAGGTAAAGGATCATCTTTCGAGTCTCAGACTGATTGCTTGACTTGGCACTCGAGCCAAGTGTGCGAAGACTGCGCATGAAAAGAGCTTTGACATCTTCGAAGCGGAAATCGATAGGGTTGGCCTGGCAAGCGTTCAAGTACAGAGTCCAGATGGGGAAGCTTTCGGAATACTGTTCGAGAATGTTCTGAAGCTTTTGCATATACTTCTGTGTTTCCCAGGCAAGAGACGCCTCATGCAACAACTCCAACACCAAGTGCTCGCGACTGGATGCTTCACTGTTAGAAAAGTGCTTAAGGGCCTTTTCGTAGACGGCTATGCGCATGTCTGCCAGAGTCTGCCTTTCGACGTTGGTCAAGGACTGAGCATCGGCACCAGGGCTGACAAGGTATTCTTGGTGCTTCGCTAAATCAAGCCAGGCTTGGAGATCAGAAGGATCTGATTTGGTGGCTCGCACAAGTTGGACGCTTTGCTGGCGAATGTGCAGATCGGCAGCTGGGGCCACATCCGCGATTTCCTGCTGACGGATGTTGTGCAGACCCGAATGTGTTGTTTGATCAAAATCTTTGAAAGGAGCAGAAGCACCATCCATCGACTCGGAATCACAGTCACCGGTAGAAGGTGACAAAGCCACGAAATCTTGAGCTAGATCTAGGTCATGTTCGTCATGCATATGCAAAGCAGGAAGTTCTTGTTTCCGTTGACGCTTCAAAAGCAAGCGCTGAGAGACCTGCTTGGAGGTTGCAGACTTGTCAGCAATGAAGACCTTGTCAAGCGTGCTTTCGGCGCGGTCTATTTTGAACCTGAGAGGCAGACCTAGGATATTTCCGTGGCCTACTCGGTGATAGGACGGAATGCTATACTTGTGCAGTCTTTCATAAGTAACGTTCTGTTGGTCACCCTTTCGGTCAACAACGAAGAGACCGGCATTCTCATCATGATGAAGCAGTGATGGAGGTCTGCTGGCTGCGGAATCACGTCCTTCGCGATGTGGAGCTCGGACACGACGATGAAGGTCGTGAGTTTTCGAGTCATACTCAGATGAGGCACGGTGACGATGAGATGAAGACTCCTGCCGTTCGGCACTTCTGTGAGATTTCACAGGGCCATGATCATGTTCGAAAGTCGACTGACGCTTGCGAGTTGTTGAAAGTGATGATGGCTGTTCTTGTGGCGCAGGCTTCTTTGCACGGAAACTCGAGAACTTGGGCACTTCTCTCGAGGGCTCCGACATGTAGGACTTGGATGCAATGGGATGGCGGGTATGGGAAGTTGAAATGCACCTGATGCCGACAGTTGGAGCAGGGAGAGCGATGGAGGGCCGTGCTTTCAAGCTCACCGCCCTCGGCGACTGCGGTGCCAAGAACAGCGAGTTTTTGGCAGAAAGTGGAACTTTTTGGCAGGAAAGTGCAGCCAGCGCTGGAGGCAGATACCAAAGACAGCATCTCTGTCGCCGCCCGTTCCCACCACCTTCCAGGCCGTCGACCGCTGTGTGAAAGACTCATCGTTCGAGACAGTTGGGCTCCACCAGGCGACAGCAATCGGCACCATGGCCACCGCGTTGCAACAGCAGTTGGCGCAAATCGCCAAAAAGTCGACCGACCAACTCGATCTCAAAGCGCAGCGCGCGCAGCACAGCAAGTCGTTGCTGTTCGACGCAAGAGTCGCCGCCAACCAGACCTTTGAGACCATCTACCAAATATGCGCCGAAGCCTTCCACGAGCTATGCATGCTCGACGCCCGCTTTGCGCCCTTTGCCGCCAATCTTTTCAGCGAACAGTCAAAGTCCGAGGAGCGCATCAACCTGACCAAGAAGGAGAATGAGGACCTGGACCAGATCATCGACAGCTTCTTGGGCCTCGTCAGCTCCAGGCTGCTGCTACGGCCGGGTCTCAAGGCCGTCGAGTGGCTGGTCCGCCGTTTCCGGTATTCCTACAGCGCCTCTGACCCTACACGCTACCAAACACAATGCTGACTTGCTTGCAGCGTGCACGAGTACAACACCGAGTCCCTCGTACTCACCTTCCTCCCCTACCACGCAAATCCCGTCTTCCCCACCGTGCTGTCTATACTTCCCAAGACGCTTCCTCCGACCCTGAAATTCTTGCAACCATACGTTTCCAGCCTGTCGTGTCCTCCCAGTCAAGCTCTGATATATGCCGCCATCAACAACCCCTCGTTCTTTACTGCCTTCAACACCTATGTCGTCCGCACTTCCAACCTGGGCCACCACTCTGTCATGCTCCTGCAGTTCTGGGCCGGTGTCATGACCCCGACCATAAACGGTATGCTTGACGCTGCCATGTCGGGCCGCGCCGATGTACGCAGCCAACGTCAGGAGGACCTGTTGCTTCGTGTCGTTCCTGTGCTCCAGCAAACGCTACGCATCAAGAACGTCCCCGAGCTTTTCCTAGGCGCCTGCATGATCATCTGTGTTCTTGTTTCCAAAACCCAGCTCGATGACAAAGTCCTGGATAGTCTCATGGACGCAGTATCTCGAGGCTGGACTTCACAGACTCTGGACCAAGGCCTATCAACCGTCGCCATCATTGCCGAAGAGCGTCAATCATTGAAACTTACGCGTCCAGTCACAAGAGCTCTTCTGAAGCTTCCTGCCCTAGATACTCGTATACTCGACTTGCAGACAAAACAACACACTGGAAGACTCCTTACCGGTCTAGCCATGACTTCGCTCGACGAGACTTCGAGCCCCGAGGCCTTCGATTTGATCGAGAGCGCCGTCATTTCGCACATCCCTACTCTACCTCAAAAAGCTGCCATCGTCCGTCTCTTGTTTTCTGCTGTTTCAGATCTCCAGACAGCATCGGAAGCTGCTGATTCTCAGGAGCGTCTTGCCCGCATCTTCTCTGCTCTTTGCCAGTCACCTTCCACATTGCCACTAGTACAAGGCGAGGCTGCTCGGCTCAACCTAAGCCTCGAGTCTGTTGAGGTTCAGCTACAGATCTCGTTAGCCCCGAGCGAGACACTGGCTTTACCATCTGCTGACGCTGATACTGAGATGATCGATGGACCTGTTTCTACCCCAATGGACCAGCTAGACGAAGCCATTTCCTCATTGCCTCAGGAATTACCCAAGGCTTACTCCTTTGTTTCAAACGTCGAGAATTCTCCATTCGACGCCTTTGCTCGTGCTTTCCTGATTCTGCTTCAGCAGAACAAAGATCTGGACCAGCTCCTCGGCAAACCAGCACTCCGTGGTGCAGAAGTCTTGTCCTCGCCAACATACTTGTCATTCTTAGCGAGACTCTGGACAAGTGTTAATCCTATTGTCGCGCGTGTCTCTGCTCTCCGCTCGGCTACTGCACTCCTTCAAGCCCAATCTTCGGAAGTCATTGATATGCAGGCGTTGACCCCGTTCGTGCTCGTAGCTCTGGCAGATGCTTCGGAGGCCGTGCGCAAGGCAGCTGCTGGCTTGCTTATTGCCATCACCACTCTCTACCATCCCGACCCAGCAAAGGGCAGAGTTAATGAATCCATAAAATCATGGGCAGCTCAGAACATCTATGCAGCGGCTTCTAACAAGTCGTCTTTGTCTGGTCCTAATGCTTACAAGATTCTCTCCGATGCGCTCGTACCTAGTCTGGAAGAATATATTCTGGACCCGAGCCAGATTGCACGCGTGCTGGCTAGCGCACTCAATGGTCCGGCTCAAACGCAGCCTGGACACCCGTCTACTGCTTCTGTGGAACTGAAATCAACCTTGAGGACATCTTTTGCATCATATCTCTGTGAGCACGCTGCCGCGGTGCCCTTGGTCGCTGTCAAAGTCCAACTTCTCTCGTTCTTAAGTCCTGTTGGTAAGGCTGCTTCTACAGGCCGTGTGCAATCTCTGGTCCCATCTCTTCAATGCTGGATCCAATCCGATTTACAGCTCCGATCCGCTTCGTGTGCCTCTTCTCGTGTTGATGTATCAAGTGTTGATAGAGCTTACGTTGGCTGTTTGACAAGTCGAACATCGGAGGAGTTGACATGTCTTAGAACACTCGCGAATGGAGAACTGGGACAAAGCGCTTCCTTGTCCACTCTAGCGATTCAGAGGTTTAGAGCTCTATGGCCAAGCATGAAGCCGATCGCACAGACATCCGCCTCGACTTTCCTCCTCGACCTCGCACTGGACGACCAACTGGACGACATCTCTGAAGCTAGACAATCCGAGGCTACCGATCTTCTCCGCCAGGTCTCATTGCCAACCGAAGTCCTTTTGTCCTTGTTGGAATCAGTGCCTAGCATTGCACAGATGGAAGACAAGCCCCCGGCTACAAAGCGTAGAAGAACTAGCAGGTCCGAGTTGGCGAAATCACAAAGCATCAATGTTGCAGATTTGCACACCGTCATTCGCAGACTAACTCTTGTGCTGGAGTTGATCGAGGGCTCTCGTCCCGAAAGACACCCAGAACTGCTCAAGAGCCTTTTCCACGTCCTGAGTGAGCTCCAGCACTACAGGACTCAACTTGGCTCAAACCTGGTTTATCTGCAGCAATTGGTCATTGGCTGTCTCTTCTCAATCGTTGACTCGCTGAAACAGAACCCTGCCGTCAAGGTCGACCGCTCCGTGTTGAGGGCAGACCTTATCGTTGAATGTGTGCGCACCAGCACCAATGCTCAGATCCATAACGCTGCCTTGTTACTGATTTCGAGTCTGGCGAGCTGGGCCCCCGACTTAGTGTTGCACAGTGTGATGCCGATCTTTACGTTCATGAGCAATACCTTGCTGCGACAAAGCGATGACTACTCAGCTCATGTTATCGATCAGACTGTATCTCGGGTTGTTCCTCCTCTTGTCGCTTCCCTTCGCAAGAAGAACCAAGACCTTGTAACAGGAGCTGCCGAGCTCTTGCTCAGCTTCACGGCCGCTTTCGAGCACATCCCCCTTCATCGTCGCTTGCGTCTCTTCAGCCATCTTGTCAATGCTCTGGGTCCTCAAGATTTCCTACCTGCTATCACTGCGATGCTCTTCGACAAGTACCCGACAGACAAAAGGGTACCCACCTTCTCTGCCGAGCTCATGGGATCCTTCTCTCCGGAAGTTCAGCTCATCGCTGCATCTCAGTACATTGATCTGGTCATTGATGCTCTGCAGCCCAAGTCAGTTGTGTCCGAAGCAATCTTCGGATTCAATGACAAGACCCCAGAGCAGATCGAGCAATCAGTGGCGCACCTATTGCGTTCTCTGGGACTTCTTTTGCAACAACGCTCTCTTCACGTGCAAATTCTCAAGGCTCTCGATAAGGACGAAAGTGCACATGGTGGCCTCCAGTCTGCTGCCGCCGATATCTTGCAAAAGATCATGCAGTTCTCTTCTTCCAAATCCATTCACAACAAGCCTGATCTGCAGTCTGCTTCTAACGATGTGCTGACAGCAGCCTTGAGCCTTCTGCCAACACCTTATTTCGTTCGTACTGCTGAGGAGCTCCTGCAGAGATCTGAACAAGATCTTAGGCTCATGGTCTTACGTTCGCTCGAGAAGCGTGGTCGTGAAGCCAAGCTCGCTGATGCTACAGCAGCAAATGCTATGTTATCTGTCTTGCCAAGCGTAACTGGTATTATTAGTCAGGTGGGCTCCATCGAGCTGGTGCACAGCGCCGTCACATGCATTGACGTGATCACCGAGAAGTTTGGCAAGAAGGATACCGACAAGGTCATGTCTGCTGCTCGTGTGGTAGCCTCTAAGCACGCATTGGGCAGCCAGAACGATGAACTTCGCATCATCTCTCTGCTCTGCCTCGCTACCATGGTTGAGGTTCTGAGAGACGACCTCGTCGACATTCTGCCACAAATTTTGACCACTTCGTATGCCTACTTCGACTATGCCACCAAGACCGAGTCTGGAAATGCTCGCCTGCACAATGCTGTGTACTCTTTCTTGACAAACGTAATCGAGTACATCTCCTGGATGTTCTCTGCTGAGACTCTGGATCAAGCTTTGTTGCTCACACAACAATCGGCTTGTAGCGAAGCCACAGACATCCAGACCTCGGGCAGTCGTCCACAGTTCACTAGCTTACTCTCTCAAAAACTTGACGCCAGGACTATACTGGCAGCTTTGGAGCGTACCTTTGACAATGCTGTCACACTTGGCCACCAAGCTTGCCAAGAGATCCTCACTACTCTTCACACGGTGATCAAGACGCATCCTAAATCGGCTCTAATCAAGAACGCCTCGATATTGTTCTCGATTCTCAACAAGTCCTTTGATCTCCGTCGCCTGCTTTCCCAACAGCCGACGGCACCTGACAGTGACCAGCTTGCAGCGATGGAAGCACAGAGAGATGGGTTGGCCCTGGATGCCATCATGAGACTGAATGACACAACGTTTAGGCCATTCTTCACTCGTCTCGTATCGTGGGCAGGTGAAGGTCTACCCAAGAAGGAACAAGCTGGTCGAACCCTTCGTCTGATCAGTGTCTATGGGTTCCTAGCTAGGTTTTTCGAGACCCTGAAGGTGAGTTTCTTGTATAGCATGATTTTAAGAGCAAACGCTGACCTGATGTCTAGNTCTATCGTTACTGGATACTCTGGTTACATTCTGGAACAAGCCGCGTCTATCCTTCAGCATGTCAAGCCACAGGGAGAGTCTGAACAGCTTCTCTTGAAGGCTCTCCTCCAGACACTTGTTGCCAGCTTCAGCAACGATCAAGACGACTTCTGGCAAGCCCCGGCGCACTTCGACGCTATAATGCAGCCTCTCCTGGACCAGGTGACTTTCGCCAACGAGCCCGAAGTCAGAGATTCGCTTGAGATTGTCTCTGCCGTCACTGGGCTGGCGGGGGCCGCAGCGTCACCCGAACATCACAAAACGCTCAACTCGGCCATTCTCAGGCTCATGAGACACGACAATGAACTGACCAGATTGGCGGCAGTCAAGTGCGAGCAGTCTTTGACCGAGAAGCTTGGAGAAGACTGGCTCGCTCTTCTACCCGAGATGTTGCCATTCATCAGTGAGTTGCAAGAGGATGATGACGAGGATGTTGAAAGGGAGACGACAGCCTGGATCCGCCAAATTGAAGGCATTCTGGGTGAGAGTCTTGAGGGCATGTTGCAGTAAGGATGAACAAAAGTGATGGGAGGCATGGCGACGGTGTTTTGTGCGTTTTGTTATGATAGGATTTACATGTGTTTTGTACATATTGAGCTCTCATTCCAGAGTATTGTTTTCGAAGCTGATGTCTGTGCCAGTTGAATGTATGAAGAATGGTCGAAAGATCGATCCTCCATCTGGTAAACGCCCTTTTCTGCCCAAATGTACATCCCGTTTTGGTGTGGTCATTATCGCATCTGTCACTCCTCTATCAGCGTCTATTTGAGTACGGGCTGATATTGCTGCTTGTGATTCGCTGTAGGACCTTCGCCCTTCAAACAACTCTCAAGAACCACGCTGATTCTCTTCACAGCTTCAATCATCAAGACTTGATCAATCCAGCTGAAGGTCAGTCTTACGGAATGCTCAAACTTGACACTGTCATCACCAGGCACCTCGAAAATGTTCCCTGGTGCAATGATGACTTGAGCTTCAATCTGGCATCTCTTTACGAAATCAACTGCCTTGATCGTGTCAGGCAGTGTCAACCATAAGAAATAACCCCCTACGATCGGCTGGTTGGACTTCGGCAGCTTTGCTCCATGAGGGCAAAGGTGTTTCTGAATTGCCGAGACCAATGTCTTGTATCGTGCAGCGTACGCAGGTTGTAGTATCTTGAAGATGTGCTCGGACATGGTGCCCTCTTTGACCAATATATTCATGTACGTCGATGTGAGTTGAGACGGGGCCCCTCCGCTGCAAGAGCTGCCAGTTTGAGAAACTCCGTATGCGAACTTTGGCGACCCCTCCGACCACCCTACTCGCAGACCAGGCCCTGCAATCTTGGAAAAGCTGCCGCTACTGGTCGTGTTGCCATAGCCATCGGCTCCGGGACGCTCAGCCCCTCCGTCAAGGAAGCGATCGATATCGACCAGACGAGGCAACAGCGCTTTGGTGATGCTGGTGGATTTAGAGTCGTTAGGATCTGCAGGCCATTGCAGAAAGTCGTAAACATCATCTGAGATTACTAGAGCGTCGAACTCTCGAGCCAGCTTTACGAGCTCGGTCCTGCGATCTAGTGGCAAGGTCCTGGATGAGGGGTTCGAGAAGGTGGGCACGCAGTAGATGACATGGCGGTAGTATTTTGCGTAAGGTCTTGGTGGTTTGAACATCTAAGATGGTGTCAGCAGAGAAGATACGGATACCGAGAAAGAGTAGCGCACAGGACTTCTGTTATCAGGAGAGCGCTTCTCGCTTTCCTCGAGTGCTCTTCTGAGAGCAACCATGTCCATGCCATGGTCGTCCTCGGGTACCGCCTTCATCTTGCCCGAGAAGCCATTGTCTTGGAAGATTCGAAAAGCCAGCATATAAGCAGGGGCAGCAAACAAAACATCTCTGGTATAGACGGGATCGGTAAAGACTTGGAGGAGGCAAGCCAGATTCTGAGAGGCACCGCCAGAGATTGTGATCCTTTCTTGGCCAATGGGTTGCTCGGGTTGATAGAAAGAGGTCAACCAAGATCCAAGTGTGTCCCTCAGTGGGGCATAACCCTCATCGGGACCATAAAGTAGGCCAGGGAAGGCGATGGAAGTGTCGGCCAATGCTGTTTGAGCTGCTCTGCTCAGATGGTGGGTGGGCAGCAGCGACGTGCTAGGCCAGCCTTTGATCAGGTTGATGGGTTCTAGTGTGGCCATTTGAGCGATATGGGTCAGAAGCACGGCAGGAGTAAGAGATATGGCTTTGGATATTGATGAGTATATGACGTTGGCAACGATTGTCAAGACTAGGGCGTCGCCAAAGCACGACAAGGTATGCTGGGCCGGCGCGGGTAACAATCACAGATGTCTCACGAGTCGAATGATGCAGCGGGAAGGAAGCAAGATGCGCAAGTCGGGTTCAATCGTGCAGGAGCAGAGAGAGAGCGATGTGTTTGATGCAGCTAGTCGAGTAGAGATAGCGGGGGGCGTCTGTACCGTACCCCACACTGTCGGCATGCTCGGCTGGGGCCCTCGGGCGTGACATTGATGGACTTTCGCGTGCTGGTCTGACCTCGAGTTGCTGCAGACACAACATGGCAGTCCAGGACAGGTCAAAGAGCGCAGAGGTGGCATTGCCGCCGATAGCTGCCCTCTTTCTCGTCGTCTTTGACCGCAAGGTAGGGTGCGTCACCGAGCCCACGCACGACAGACGGTCCGCTGACGACGCCGCCGCTCTAGGNTACACGATAGCATGGCAACGCGGGATGCCNTCATGGTGAGTGCTCTGTCCTCGGTCCTCTGGCGCCGTAATCGCCAGACTGACGCCTGTAGTCAAGCTGGATGGCGTCGTCGAGTACAAGTCGCTCCCCTCGGGCCTCCATAACTGCGCCTCGGACCTCGTCTACTTTGTCCACGGACAGTGCGCCGGCATCAGCGCCTTCGCAAACCGCCCTGCCCACGAGTCTGAGAGAAACGCACACTTTGCTGCTGTCGGCGTCCTTGTACCTTTGACATACGGACGTCTCGGACGCGCTTGGCTACATGCTCACCGACTACGCCAGCTGGTCAGGTATCCAGTCCGTGCCATACTGGTACTCTATACCATGCTGACCCCGCTGNNTAGCAACATGGTCGACGATACCGACAACACCCATGCCCTCCAAGAGTATTGGGAAAACAACCGTATCTCTGGTGAAGATGAACCAGACCTGGCCCACGCCCGACGGAAGCCACGCGCCCTGTCTGATGCTGCCGCCTTGCATCCAATTAGCCCTACTCTGTCTCAGCATCATCCCGCCATGTCCCTGGCCGAAAACCTCGATGCCTTTGGCCCTCTCATCTTCCCACTTCAGAGAGCTGCGCTTCTCAAGAAATCCATCTTGATCATGTCTCCAGCACCCGTCCAAGCTGCCTGCAATCTTGTCTACAACTTGTCTGTTCTATCAAACATCCCACCTTCGGCAGCCGACATGGCTCGACAAAAGGAAGCCTTGTACCCGCTGAGGCCTTTGTTCAATGTCGGCATTCATGATATAGACTACCTATCTCAGTTGGCCTCCGAGTCCAAGCCGCAAAATTCCTGGATCGCATGCAGCACGGATGACATTTTAGCAACCAAGACAAAACTTTTTGACGTACTTGTCGAATTACCACCACATACATCTGACAAGTCTGCCATCAGACAATGGCCCCAAATCCGTACCTCTAGCGGTCAAGAAATAAAGGCAACCCAGCGTGACCTGAGGCGCTACTACATGCTCAAGCGAGAGCTGCACAGAGTGCAACAACAAAGCCAGACATATCATGACGCAGAAGCCGAGCAGTCAATCGATGACAATCAGAGTGAAAGCGCTCCACTGGTTCCACCAAGCCAAACCCAAAACAATGACTCCGAGCAATATATCCAGCTTGAAGGAGAAACAGAATTGGTCGAACGTTCTTCTTGGGCCTCGATTGCATATTCCAGTTTCCTCTGGTGGGCCTCGGCTGGAGAAAAAGATACTCTGTTGAACGACGAAGCGTGTCAAGATGCAAGATTACTAGACAATCTGCCTCTGCCAGCTCCGAGCAAGCGCAATCCGAGTAATGGCAGGAGGCATTCTTCTGTTCACGACGATGTGGAAGGAATTGATGTGGAGTCCCAATCGATGGCAGTACTCTTGATAGCGTATTCGCATCGTCTTACTACACTGGTCATGGAGACGCTGGCTGAGATTGTCGAAGCTGCCGACGCCGAGGCTCAACACGGAGACGAGATCACGATAACCATCCACAGCGAGGACTTGAGAAGAATGGGTTTGGATGATTGGAGCCAGAGTGATGGAGAATTTGTGAAAGAAATGGCTGCACTGTATTTTGGACGGGAACACGTCCAAACGGTCGGCCGGACTGTCGACCTCTGTGGCATTAATGTTTGTTAAAGAAAGCTCGGCAATCTCGAGATCCGTTAGATGGCTGGCGATCGAGGGACTTGGCCTCAAGACCAGCAAAGCAAGCAGAACTACTGTATCAAAAGACATACACAGCCGGCGACTCACGACGATATAGATGTCCTATTGTCATAGACAGGCAGGTGAAAGAGTGAGATGTGTGTAAATGTTGTCGCAACACAGCAAGTGAATTGTTGTTTGGCTGGATGGACGGAAACGTCATGGGCCATGGCCGAGTTGTTCCGAAGTACCGAAGCGGTTGGCCTGTGCGTGTGTTGGTTGAGAAGGCTTTCCCAGTGGTTGCTTCTAAAAATCGGCTACCACAATTCTTCTTGTCCATCCTCCACTCCAGTCCATACCATCTCCACTCCCCTCACTCCTGGTCCAATGTCTGCCACCGGAACTGCTCCTCCTTCCTCTACCGGCTCCACCAAGGTGGACGCCATCAAGGAGAACATCAAGGCCGCCGCTCCCAAGAAGCTCAGCGGTCTTGACCTCTACTCGAGATTCGCCTTTGCCGGTGCTGTCTGCTGTTCCGTCACCCACGGTGGTCTTACCCCCGTCGATGTGTAAGAACTGCCCCGTTCCCGCGCGTCCTCTGCGCTTCTGTGCGCGGCGCCAGTGCAATTGACAAGTCCAATCGCTGACTCGACCCCCAAAACAGCNGTCAAGACCAGAATCCAGCTTGACCCCGTCACCTATAACCGCGGTCTCGTCGGTGGTTTCCGCCAGGTCATCCAGAACGAGGGTGCTGGCGCTCTCCTGACCGGTGTCGGCCCTACCTTTGCTGGTTACTTCCTCCAGGGTGCCTTCAAGTTCGGTGGTTACGAGTTCTTCAAGCAGCAGGCCATCTCCATGGTCGGCTACGAGAACGCTGTCCAGAACCGCACCTCCGTCTACCTCGTCTCTTCCGCCTTCGCCGAGTTCTTCGCCGACATTGCCCTCTGCCCCCTCGAGGCCACCCGTATCCGTCTCGTCTCTGAGCCCACCTTCGCTTCCGGTCTCGTTTCTGGTTTCTCCAAGATCGCAAAGACTGAGGGTCTTGGTGGTTTCTACTCTGGCTTCGGTCCCATGCTCTTCAAGCAGTAAGTTTCCGCATGCTACACTGTCTAATCAGTGTATGCTGACCATTGACTTAGGGTCCCCTACACCATGTCCAAGTTCGTTGTTTACGAGAAGGTCGCCGAGGCCATCTACCAGCGCGTCGACAAGAGCACCGCCTCCCCCGGTATGCAGACCTCCATCAACCTTGGTTCCGGTCTCATCGCCGGTTTCGCTGCCGCTCTCGTTTCTCAGCCCGCCGACACCATGCTCTCCAAGATCAACAAGACTAAGGGCGCACCTGGTGAGAGCACCACTTCTCGTCTGATCAAGATTGCCAAGGACCTTGGTNNCTTCGCGTAAGTACTCTCAAATATTGTATTCCCACTCGGAGCTTGATGCTGATTTGACATGTAGGGTTCGTACTCTGGTATTGGTGCCCGTCTCTTCATGGTCGGTACCATCACCGCCGGCCAGTTTGCCATCTACGGTATGTTACAAAAATTTCTTTACGCCCTTTACAGTGCTAACACACTTCGACCAGGCGACATCAAGAAGGCAATTGGCGCAGAGGGAGGTGTAGAGATCGCCAAATAAGCGTCTATAACTTGGATAGAGGAGTGACAGATGCGATAATGACCACACCAAAACGGGATGTACGTTTGGGCAAAAGGATGGACACCAGATGGACGATCCTTGGACCATTTTTCGATGTTCATCGGGTCCAAGACGTGGCTGGAACTAGTACCTTGAGATCCTACATAATCTTCGACTCGGTTTGTACTTTTAGGAGTCTTTCAGGGAATGCATTAGATTTTTTTCTTGTTCTATGACACGGTCTACTCTTAAGTGTGAAGGAACAAGTGCTCCCTCCCAATGTACCAACGACCTCATAGTATAGCTATATAAATGCACAATACTTTGGACGGCAAGAGCGACGTGCATGGAGAGACAACTGACCTTGGGCATCTCTATGGCCATGCCTCTTTTCAAAAGGCGATTGTGCATTTTTATAGCATACTACAATACTGTGTATCAGTGTGAGAGATGGATGGACAAGTCTACGGCACTGAGACCTGTCTACCCAAGGCGTTGTTCAGGAGGCAGGCTGATATGGACAAGCAGATGAGTTTGTAATCTGCGAAGCGGCTTGTGGGAAATTTGGCTGTACAACGTGCGTCATCGGCGGGCGAGTGGTCTCGGTAGGTTCAGGTTAAAGGTAGCTGGGCATTCGTGGCCGGGCCTTGGACGAAGCGTGTTTTGACCCTTGATCCGGGTCTAGTATTTCTGTCGCAGCCAGCGACTTCCGCGGCGACAGGCACCAAGAGCACCTGCACCTGGTCATCCTCAGCACGCTTTCTCTCGAAACATGCAAACATGAGCGGCGACAAGGCAGACGACTTTGGCTTCGGCCGAGACGCCCTCGCGCTGCAGCCCATAGCGAGCGCTCCAACCCACCACCATAATAACAATACACGCCTGTCGACTCCATCTCCTCCCCCTCCTCAACACTTACACGCCCCGTCGTCGACGCCACGCAACAACGACCGACGGAGGCCCACGCTGGACGACCGTCGCCAGCCCAGCATCCGCCTGCGCCGCCTCGGATCCGCCAGCACCCTAGCCTCACAACACACGACTGCGACGACTGACTTTGCTGCAAAGCCTTCGCCAGACACGTCTGGCAGGCGCCGTTCGTCGTCTGAGCCTCAGCGACCACCATGGGCCGCCGCCAACGCCAACAACCCCAACACCCTGAGCCTTCCGAGAGGTACCACACGGCCTACTTCTACCCACATGCCTCGCCTGGAAGAGGAGACAGGACGCCCATCCACAACCATCCCTCCGGACGTCGACATTGAGCAATTTGCCGCTACCGGACACCCCGCGACCTTCGAGGAGCCCATGCGTCCAGGTCTCTGGAAGAGAGCAAGCGTCGCCGCCCTTCAGCCCTTCAGACGCCAGCCGCACCCTGAGGACAACGACCTGGAAGCCACCCCGAGAAGAAGGCCCCGCCGNAGAACCTGGGCAAACGAATATGACTCTGATCTGGTTGACATTCTCGATGTCGTGGGTTCGTCGTCTTCAATCCCCCTTCCCTATGCCATCACAAGACTNTACCATCCTGCAGATCCCGAGGTGGCTACCCTGGCAACTCTTACTAATGTCCAGAACTCTCTGTTCATTCCGGATTTGGGCTCGTTTTTGAACCGTCGTCCAACTTATAATCTGACTCGTGAACCAACCTTCTTCCGTGATCACCCCCCACCAGCCAGAGCGCCTTCTGTCAAGCCGCCTTCCATCATGACTCAAAACCGCATCGAGACAGATGCTGCAGATGTCGAAGATCGTCCTGGTATGGACCGCACTTTTACCATTGCCTCGCACTTGAGTGATACCGAGGACCACTACGCCGTTCTTCCTCATGGCCTCAGTCTCGAAGGTTGGAGTCTGGCCGAGAAGCAGGAACTGAATGATCATGTTAGACACATGTTGCACTCTCGCCGCGCTGCTTTCAAACGAGGCATGAAGGGTTTTGGTCAATACGTTCGCCGCCGTGAGTCGCGTCCCTGCCTGTCAACTCGTTGTGCCTTTTGCTGATTTCTTCTAGCCCTTGGCTTGTTTGTCACTGTATATGCCACTCTGGTTACTCTGTTTGGACTTGCCTGGGTCCTCTTCCTTATCGGATGGATCAATGTCGGAGGTCGACAGTCCTATATCATCAACATCATCGATAACGTCCTGGTCGCCCTTTTCGCCATCATTGGTGATGGTTTGGCCCCCTTCCGTGCAGTCGACACGTATCACATGATCTACATTGCACATTATCATCATCTGACATGGAGCCTGCGCAAGAAGCGCAACCTCCCCAAGCTCAAGAACGAGAACGATCTTCCTGTTCAACCCGGCATCGATGCCGATGTAGAGACCGGCTCTACCGCCGAGGCTACTTCCGTTAACGAGACGGCTTCTGCTCTCAATGCCGATGTCAAGTCTGACAGATCAATGAGCAAAGATGACGAGGAGAGCGTGCTCACAGAAGAACAGCAGAGAAAACTCAAGCATCACGAGGACAAGTTTTCCAAGTCCCACACTTTCTACAAGCCTCATGAAACCGAAACTCACCACGCCTTTCCTTTACGACTTCTCGTTGCTGTTGTCGTCCTGCTCGATTGTCACTCCCTCCTCCAGATTGCTCTGGGCGCCTGCACGTGGTCCATCTCCTACCATGTGCGACCATTCGCCCTCACAACTGTCATTCTGTGCTGCTCGCTTACATGCAACATTACGGGCGGTATTCTCATCAGTATCGGTGATCGAATCACTCGCAAAAAGGATGTTGTGGAGCGCATGTTCAGACAGCAGCTCACGGAGCAAGCCATCCACAAGATGGAGAAGCGACGCCAGAAAGAGGGCGAACGCAATGAAGAACTGGACAAGCTTGTGACAGATACGCCTCCAGATGACACTGGAAAGACACCTCTGAACGGTACTGGGTTGGAACCAGGTAGCACTCCGGTGCAACCCAAAGTGCTTGGTGCTGGAGTGGATGCGGCAGAAGTGGTCGCCCGTCTATAATTCGGTTGTTGCAGGGATGAAGCAGACCCTGAGTGCATACGACAGATATTCTAGGTTGTATATGATTTTAATGTTTTTATGTTCTTGTTTAGGCCGTTGGTGTTCCGAACAGACTGCACCTCTACCACGATCGCTGGGATATATCTCGTCACGGTGGTCAAACACCGCAATTTTACTCTGCATCACGATTCTATTCATGTTTGATTGTTTATCTGTCAGTTCAGTTGTCCAGTGTAGACCCATTGTTTCCTCACCCTACAGATTCTTAACGATGTCTCGATATTACACCAGGGTCGCCCTCATGGCATATTGTCCAAATGTCAAGTTACAATGGTCAGATCGGGATGGTCTCTGCTCCACTTTACGGTAATTGTTAGGTGGCTTGGTCGTGCCTGGAAAATACCTGATATTGCTATCTAGTAGCGTCCTTCGAAGGTATCGATCTTCTTGCTGCCGACTTCGTCCACAGCTTGAGAGATTGGGGTTTCTCCACCAACAACATCGAATGCCAGACCAATGGTAGACGGGTTCTTGATGCATTGCACAATGGCCTCGGCAACATCCTCTCGGGAGATGCTGTTGCCCAGGTGCACTTTACCAGCTGCGATCTTGCCAGAACCCTTTTCTGTATTGAGTGATCCCGGACGGACGATTGTGTAGTCCAACTTGCGGCGGTCGTTTTGGGTGACCAAGTCGCGATCAGCATCAAGCTTTGCCTGACAGTAGACACCAATTGCATCCCACATTCGCTTGCTAACGGCAGTGTCATTGTCGTTGTACCTGTTTGGATGTTGGCATACAATCATTGTTGGTCTTATCAAGAGATCCTTNNACCATTCCGGGATTGGCCTGTTGCCACGATCGCGGATGTCTACTGCACTGACGATGATGAATCGCTTCACTCCTGCAGCAGCCGTGGCATCAAAGACCTTGATAGCGCNCTATCTCCTGTTAGCCATGGATGAGACTTGACTTGTATCTACCGAGTGTGACCTGCCTTCATGGTCTACAGCCTTTGTGCGTTCAGGACTGCCGCCTCCAGCTCCTGCACTCCAGATGACCACATTAGGACTGTGTTNTTTGATAGTCGCTGTGAGGTCGTTGACACTGGAATCTTCTATGCTTTGCACAATGGGCTTGGATCCAAGTGCTTCGAGCTCCGGGATCTGAGACTCCTTGCGAATAATTGAATGCACGATATAAGACGAAGCCACCAGCTTGGTCGTTAGGTGCCTCGCGACNNCTGGTCTTGTTAGCCTCACGCAATGGTCTCAGCGACATGTAAAGAGCACCTTTCCAGACCCGCCAAAGATGAGCGCTGTGGACATGATGTAATGATGGAGTGTGAGCTGAATTGGAGTGTATATACGCAAGAGCCTGATGTGGTGCAAGATTTTGGAGAAGTTGAACGTCGTAAGAAAAATCTTGTGATGCAGGATGCACATGGCATCAATTCTATCTCATGATGTGCTCGGCAGATGCTTACAAACGTCAACTGCCATGACGTAACTTTCAGGGATGCAAGAATTTTGGTTCGACAATCAATGGCAATCCACGACTGTGTGATTTTGGCTAGGAGCAGCGATTTGTGCTGTGGTTTCATGTCTCATCGAATAGGAATATGGCCAAATAAAAGCCTACAACCAGGTATCTAGGAAAATGCCAAGTTCATCAAGGTGTTTACACCTTGATGGCGAACTGCTTCATGTGCTCGTAGTCCTTGACGTTGTCTGCAACGGTCTGTTGGATGATTTTGGCAGCCTCCTCGCCGTACTTTTCGGACCACTCAGCGAAGAGCTGCTCGTCGCTCTTCTCGGCCTTCTTCTGTGTCTGTTGTCAGCATTCATCCGCCTCAATTTTAGCGCAAGACATACGTGAGTTCTAGGCTTGAGCTCGGTTGAGTTGATGGCATCCTCGTGGAAGCCTCTCCACTTCTCGAATGCCTCTTTGGCGTGAGCGTGATCGTCCTCATTGTCCCAGTTCAGCATGCTAGGGGAGTATTCAATGCCAACACTCTTGCAGAACTGCTCAAGAATGGCCGAGGGGTTGTCCAGAAGATCATCAGCGTCGATGACACAGATCTCTACAGGTCCGCTCTTTTGCCCGCCGTCCTGACCTGCTTGCTTGGGACCGATTTGGCCGCAAGAACGGAGGTAGTCGAACAGGCGACGCTGCTCATCGTAGCCAGCCTCGGAAGGCATGAAGTTGTAGAAGCCAGTGATGGCGTCAAGCGGGGGAATAGTGCATCTCCAGTAGCTAGGGATGCTGTGCTTGGGGTGGCGGATGAGGAAGGCGAAATGGAACTTGTTCAAGATTTCGGTGGGGACGACGGTGGGATTTCCAGGCTCGGCCTCGGTGGCATAGGGGTAGGGAGGAGAGTCCTTCACTGCACCATTGGTGTCTGAAGCGTTGGAGTCGTTGACCATGTCTGTCAAGGGGTTGCTGCCGTTGGTACCGACACCACGCTTGACCTTCATCAATGAGGGTGCGATGGATGCCGGCTTGCCATCAGGAGGCGCCAGGTAGTGGGTAATGTCCTTGATGAAGATGCGTTTGCCCTGGTTATGGTGAGTACAAGGACAAAGTCATATCTCTAGGAATGCAGTGGTGCAGTGGAGCACGTGTGCCTGATGCAAGTGGAAAAGTGATCGGCGGTCCATGAGCTGGTCCTGTCTGACGATTGGGGCTTGTGGGACAGCGGGAGCCAGAGATGGATAAAAGGAAACAATGGGAAGGAGAGGGATCAGTGGGACACGCAGCAAGACTGCTTCCCAGCGCTGTAAGGGATGCACACCTCTTCGTTCTCCTTCATGATGTTGTCGAAGATGGTCTTGTAGGTCGAGTTTTCAAAGCCGCTCTCTGCGCGGGCTTTCTGGTCTTGCTCGTATCTGTCGCTCAGTCTCTCGGGACCGAAGTAAAAGGCATCGCCAAAAGGCTCATGGACGCATTGCAGGGTATCCCGCTGAGTCATGAAGACCTGGTGCAAATGGTCAGTTGTCGAGGTCGCGGCTTGCCATGGCTCAGTCAGGATAACGCACTCGCTCGAATGCCGTCGAGCATGCTCTAGGGTGGGTAGCCACGAAGATGGGCTTGTTGGACATGGTTGCGGCTGTGGAGAGGGCTGGTTTCAAAGCTCGTCTCGGGCACAACAGTGGACGAATTGGAAAGTCTACAAATGTATGCAGAATAGAACAGGCAAAGGGAAAAGTGTGTGAAGAAGGATCAAAGAGACGACAGAGATTTATCAAGCATTATTAAACGGTAGCCCGATGGAGCATAGAGCCAAAGTGGTGACCAAAGTGGGTGGTCGTGATGACGTGCAAGCAATTCATGGCAGTGGAGTGGTGGGTGTTCTGGTGGGCCCGAGGCGTTCTGCGTGTGGTGGCCGACGCTGCCCTGGCATAGCGAGCCGTTTTAGTGGCCGAAGTAGCGCACATTTGGATCGAGCGTGCTGTTTACAAGGAACAGGTACGGAAATGCATCTTGTCGACAAGGTTTGCGCTGGCGGGGTATATTCCTCTTCACCCCGCTTCGACCATGTCGACGCCTCAACCATCAGACATGCCGCCGCAGTGCCGCAGTTCCTAATGCCTCAACCGAATGCTCTCGCGTCGTATCGGCAAAACTGCATGTCCACCGAGCGACCAATGCCATGCATATCACAAAGCCAAGTCTCGATTGTCTAGACATTGAACTGTAGCTTCTATATCTGGTCTGTCTTGCTGTACGAGAAGTAGCTATGAAAACGCACTGCTTTCTATAAAAGAGCGGAAATCCACAAACATGTTATCCGTGAGCATTTCCCATGGGCACCTCTCCATGTAAAGCACGACTGTGGATTTCTGTAGCATATAACAACACCATGTGTCAGTGCGGGAGAGAGGTCGATGACGAAGTCGTGGTTGTCTTTTGCACACGGGGAGGGAGTGATGCTGACTTTAGACTCGACACTTGCATAATCAAGTCCCAGCAAGGCGTGGGGTAACACTGTACCGCCGTACCATGAGAAGTACACTTAGAGAAGCCACTTTGGCAAACATGGCCTGTCGACTAGCATGAGACAGATTGCGTCAATTGGCCAGATCAAGGTCTGAAGCTTCACAGACGAGCGCTACGATTCGCTCTTCGAAGGGGAGCATGGCTGTGGCTATCGTATCTGCCTTGCCATGACGACGATTATAAGGTGGCAGATGACAACAGTCTGTGGCCAGTGGGAAGCAGGTTGGATGATGGAATTCGGCGACGAATAGGAGAGATTCGGCAGATGGATCAATCGGCGCCTGCACTGCTGAACTCGGCTTGATAGTACTTCAGAGTGGTCAGCATCAACTTTGCACAGATTCAGCATTGAATGGCAGGCTCAGGGTTGAGTAAGTACCTCTTGGACTTGGCCAGCAAGCCTTTGGTCACGCAAGGATGACTTGGGGCTAGGAATTTTCCAATTGTTCGTCTGCCACCACCACCTTCGCAGACGAGCACCGATGCTGGAGCCAGAGAAGTTGGACGAAGTGTTGTGCACCGTGTTCCAGTTCCTCCAGCCAGCGACGACCAGGGTCCAGAGCAGACCCTGGGTCAGAGGCATGAAGAGTTGGTCTCTAAAGGTAATCCAGGCAACCTTCTGCCAAGAGGTGGCGTCCTGGATGCTGGCGAGGTAGCTCTGTTCAAAGCGCAGGTCGGGCAGGGGAGGGAACTGCTTGCTGCGCGGCGTAGGTCTGAGGACAGACACAGGGATCTCGTCTTCATCGATGTTGGTGGGCAGCTGGTCGAGGTCGGGCTCGTCGTCGAGGCGCACGGGCTGCTTCATCGAGGCAGCAGTCGAAGGGTTGGCATCGTGGGCGGGCGAAGGGTGCCTGTTGATGGAGGCTGTCTGGATGGTCTCTGCGAGCTGGAGGATGTGGCTGTCGGCCATGGCGGTGGGTTGTGACGATGATGTCGATGTGGACGTGTGAGCAGAGAGACGTCAGACTGGCAGCGCTCAGGGCCAAAGCCAGCCAGCCAGCCCCAGACGTCGTCTCGGCGAGTCCAAGCAAGCACGGCAGCCATCCTTCCTCTTGCTTGCCTGCATTGTCTTACCCACAAACCCACACAACGCAAACATGGGTAACGCAAACTCCCAGATGCTCGAGAACCTGGTTCAGGGCAGCAANCTGTGAGCCTTGCCCGCAATCTCTCATCCTGCCGTGTGCTGACCGCCCCCTCCAACAGTCGACCGTGATGAGGTCGACCGCCTGCGCAAGCGCTTCATGAAGCTCGACAAGGACAACTCTGGCACCATTGAACGCGACGAGTTCCTCTCCCTCCCTCAGGTCTCTTCCAACCCTCTTGCCACACGCATGATTGCCATCTTCGACGAGGACGGCGGCGGTGATGTCGACTTCCAAGAATTCGTCTCGGGCCTCAGCGCTTTTAGCTCAAAAGGAAACAAGGAGGAAAAGCTGCGCTTCGCCTTCAAGGTCTACGACATCGACCGTGATGGCTACATCAGCAACGGCGAGCTCTTCATCGTCCTCAAGATGATGGTCGGAAGCAATCTCAAGGACCAACAGTTGCAGCAGATCGTCGACAAGACCATCATGGAGGCCGACCTGGATCGCGACGGCAAGATTAGCTTTGAGGAGTTCACCAAGATGGTCGAAAACACCGACGTGAGCAACAGCATGACTCTGGATGCCTTCTGAGCAACGACACACCTCTCTACATTTTCTCCCATTCAGACATGAGATACCACGGCGTTACGGAGTTGCCAACCATAGTCTTGCTTGCACACAGCAGCGAGCGGCCTATCCATTTGAATACATTACTTTCTACTCTATCCTCTCATTCACATTTACTATCTTCTGCTTGTCCGGCTATGTGTTTGACCATTGCGCCCCGGACTCCACCATTTCCGACTCTAGACCTCGCCACGGATCATCCTGAGCGCCGCCTCTCCCTTCGCCGCTGTCGTCAGGTTTTCCCACCCGTCCTTGGTAATCAGAAGATCATCCTCAATGCGAACTCCGCCGACCGGCATGAAGCGCTCGAGTACCGTTTTGTTGATGTATTCTGAATGCACTGGGGAGGGAAGGAAGACCGTCTCGAGTGCTTCGCGGTTAAAGTAGCTATGTCCTAGTTAGCTGTTGCTCTTCTTCACCCATGTGCATGTGAACTCACATTCCAGGCTCACAGGTCACGACATTTCCGGGCCGCAAACCAGGCGCGCTTGTTTCGCTGAGGGCACTGCTCCACATTGCAGGAACAATGTTGGTCGATAGTGACCTAAGTTCCGTGTTGTTGTCTATATCAGGCAGATGCTGGGTGATCTGTTTACACTTTAGCACATGTCTACAGCAGTCGCTCTGGTGATGGTACCTCGGGAGCGACTTTATCGTGCACGTCGGTTGCAGTGCTCTTTGTGAGCACCGTTGAAACATCGTGCACTTCCAAGCCCATATGATGACCCAGACCGTGTGGGAAGAAGGCAACAGATGTACCTGCTTCGTAAATCTCTCTCTTGGAGCCGTTATGGAAGATGCCCAAGTCGAGCAATCCTTCGATAGCCACAAGGTGTGCGAGATATTGGGCATCTACAAACCGCTTGCCCGGGCCAAGCATATCCATACATTTCGTCTGCATGTGCTGCACCAAGTCGTATATCTGTTTCGCCTCCTTGGACGGCCATTTGCCGGAAAGGGGAAATGTTCGGGTGACATCTGCTGCATACCCTTGCCACTCTGCGCCGGCATCCAAGCACATCAGTTGTCGATCTCCAAAATCCTCGTCGTTCTTGACATAGTGCAAGATCGCAGCGTTTGGACCAGACCTAGAATTGCTCAGCAAGGTTTGTGAATTGTCCCCATGTGCTAGTTTCTCCACAAAAGTAGCCGTAAAGGTTCAGGATGCTTGTATAGCCGATTCACATCCTGTGAAGGACTTCATCCAGTCGGTCCCTTTTAGGTACGCTCATGAATTGCACAGCAACCATTCCCAATCACAGCTACACTGTGCCGAACTTCAGCATATTGGGAGAACCGGAATTATTGCTTACCCAGCGATGATAGAATACGCCTGATGTTTGGCCCCATGTGCAGTGCAAACGTCCAGAATCTCGGCTTCAATCTGTGCTTCGTTCTTGAACGACCGCAGTTTTCGCAGAACCTTTTCATGAGCCAATGCACTAATATGGTTGGCTTTTCTCACTAGGGAGATCTCGTGTGAGTCTTTGATCACTCGGCATTCATCCATTGCAGGTCGAAGACTCTTTGAGTTGATTCTATGAGGAAGGCTTTCGGCAAGGGCATTGTTAGGATGAAGAAGATAAACAGACCCTGCATGCCTGGCGACCCATTTCTTAAGATAATGGTCAAGCGATGGTGTGAATCGAGCTTCATCAATGTCGTACTTATCCAGCGCTTCTCGGACAGTCGATCCTCTGCCGGTCCAGACAACCTTTCGCGGGTCGATAGGTGCCAACCACAGAACCAGTCTGTCTGTGGCGATGTCGTATGTCACAAAACAGTCCGGCTCTTGACATCCGCTCAGGTACAGAAAGTAACGAAGTTGTCTGAAAGCGCGAGGTTGATTACTGTCGGGCCAATTGATAGTCTGTTCGCCAGGCAGGTAGATGAGACCTTGATCAACGTCTAGGGCTTGAGCCACTCTTTGAGCGTGTTGTCTTGCTTTCTTGTCGTCAGCACACTGTGAATATGGCATTGTTCGTGGCTTAGAGACCGACCGGGATATTTATCTAGAGTTGATGCAGTCTTGATAGCGATGTCGAGAGCCTCCAAGACAGACATATTGGGCCCGTCACGGCTTCTGATCGAGAGACTCGTCGTATGACTTGTACGCTCCCAGTCCTCACGCATGGTGTTTGATGTTTTCGAAGTCGAGATGTTTGGGCCACAGCTCAAGGTGACTCGTTATCTCTGTCGACGTACTGGTTGATCATCGCAACCAGTGCACAGACCTTGAACCTGGGGTCGGTAGATCAGGCTCCATTTCTCTTTGCCGATTGGCACCCCTCAAACCAGAACGGGCAATGGCCTTCCATGCAACGATATCCAAGACAATATATTCATACCAGCCCCCGTGTCTTGGTCGAGGCAAGCTCGGTGTGCGACAGGTGCAAAAATGCGAGACTGAAGCCTCAACGTCATGAAGCGCCAACATAGAGCAGTCGCGCCCTCCAATCGCGTCCCTCCATCAACAAGCTCATTCGCGCCTTCCTGCGTGTTCCTTGTTTCCATGCTGGAACTCTGTAGGTCTGTGTATCAACTCCATGATGTCTGTCTCTGCTCCTCTCATCAACCCCCTTCCTCTACCCTTATCTGCCAGCTTCCATATCTTCCGCGACCTCCTTTCACAACTGTGATCTCGCTACATTGATTTCCTATCCTTCCTCGCTCCTTCAGGGCTTTTCGTTGGTCGCATCAGCCTGTATGACCCAATAGACAGCCCATCTCTTGACATACGGACTCGGCCCGCGAAACCTGCCTCATTATCTCTGATTCCTTTCCCACATTTCCAACATGAAGCACGGACCAATGGCATATATCCTGGCTCTGGCTCCTCATACCAACGGCTTGTTTACGCACCATATGAAGCAGAAGCTCGTTGCCCGTCAAAACAGCGCGGCGAATACNCCCCTTGTTGTGACGAACAATTGTCCCGATACGATCTATCCTGGCATCGCCACACAACACGGTACTGCACCTGGGCAAACTGGGTTCGAGCTCACTCCTGGAGCTACTGTATCGCAAACTGTCTCGGAAGATTGGCAAGGACGTATCTGGGGCAGGACGAATTGCAGTTTCAACGCTCAAGGCAGATCGGATGGTGGTGGTCAGGCCTGCACCACAGGAGATTGCAACGGTGTCATACCTTGTCAGGCAGCCGTAAGCTTTCCCGCCCAGACGAACTGCTCGACAAATACTGATCGCAACCAGGGTGCCATACCAGTGACGCTTGCCGAGTTCACCCTTGATGCAGGCGACGGTCAAAGTTACTACGACATCTCCCTTGTCGATGGGTACAACCTTCCGCTGGCGATCGTCCTTGTTCCGCACGGTAACTCATCGCTGGACGATATCCCTCCGAACCTCACCAACCCATCCTGCGAAGGCACAGGCTCCATGCTTGCTCCATCCAACTTCAACCCATACAGCAGTGGGACGTTCCTCGGCACAAACGCTTCATATCCATTGCCGTTTGAGACAAAGGTTACCACAAGTAATGCTAATCAGTGGTGTCCTTGGGATCTCCAAGTCAATGCCCCATCCGCTCCTGGAGACAATGTGTATCCTTACCCCGACGGCAACATTCAAAGACCTGCATTCGACCCTTGCTTCTCAGCTTGCGCCAAATACAACTCTGACCAATACTGTTGCCTGGGCAAATACAATGGACCGCAACAATGCAGTCCCAACTACTACGCCAAAGCAGCCAAGACCATATGCCCAGATGCCTACAGCTATGCGTACGACGACCAAACGTCCACTTTCATCATCCCTTCTGGAGCTGGTGTAGAAGTTGTGTTCTGTCCAGGTGGCAGGAGCACAGTCATCCTCTCCACAAAAGCAGCGCAACTCAAAGAATTGGCCAACACAGGTTCCGTATCAAGCTCAAGCGGCTCAAATTCCACAGCTTCCAGCTTTGCGTTCCCGAATCTTGATGCTCGAACACGTTACACTTTTTTGGTCTCTACGCTGGGGTTTCTCTTCAGCTACTGGTGATGAACATGGTCTACTTCTGAAAAGGTCGGGTCTTATGCAGCCTTTGGTTTGTGGGTTGGGCGCAATCATAGATTCAAATTCTACCACCCCGTCTTCACAGCTTGCATGTTCCATATCATCGTGACTCATGCTTCTTGTGTTTCAACCCTACTGGACAAAATAATGTTCTTGTCAACGCTGCCGCCCTTGTATATACCGGATGTCACCAGCTACCTTCTTCACACCCGAGCTACCTCTAAAGGAGGATCTCATCTTCATGTGTATCGCAGCCGATGTTATCATCCATCATTACCACTTCACTTGTAAAATACCAGTGATCCCATGGCTGATCTGGAAGATGCCAAGATCGAAATGAGTTGTGTTGTCCAAGCCTGGCAAAGGTGCTAAGTAGACCATGGAAAGTGTTAGCATTCGATCCGGCCAGGGTTGCGCTTCCAGCACTTCGCTCGAGACTAGCCTCATTGAGCTAGAGTGCTCTCGAGAGTCCTCTCGTTCTCGTAGTGCATGTGATTGGAAAGAATGACACCTTCAACAATTTCTTATCTCGACAGCCAATTTGCGATTCAACGTGTTCTTGTGTGGAGCGGAAACAGCGGTTATTGATTGGAAGCTGTCAGAATGTATACAGTAGACCGTTGGGAGATGTCAGGTCAGTTGTTTCGCTGCCCCTTGCCACCTTTGACCTTCTTGATCTTTAAATCAGGCTTCTCTTCTGACGACTCTTCTTCTGCGAACAATGCTACGAGCGTATCCGTGTACTTCTCCATCTGTGCGATGTCCCCTACCTTGATTCTCATGTAGTCGAAAGCGACGCAGACCTTCATGTCACTTCCTGCCTTGANTCTTGATGTGCTTTGCGACCTCGTGTGTTTTTGTAGGAGCGACAGGGGTTTGCTCTCAGACACAGGCGCGACTGTATCCATCACTGGGGTATCAGTCTCATTGTCACTGTTTGTGGAGATATCCATCTCGTCTCCACTCGCTGCTAGCGAGTTGACGGTACCGTCCTCTTCCTCTGTATATTCCAGGACGGGGACCTTTTGGTATCGTTGACTAAAATGGGTCAAGACACAGGCTTTTGCTCCCATTCCTAAAGCTACACCGAGGGCCTCGCTTGTTGTGGTATGATTCTTTGCTTCGGCATCACCTTGCAGCTCGTCATCAAATGTTGCCTCGTGGATGCACACCGTGCTGCCCTTGCCAATCTGTGCAAATGCTTTGGACGGACGACAGTCACCAGAATACGAAGCTTTGAAGCCCGAAGGGAAGGTCACAGATACAGCACGAGCGCCGTGACAGTGTTGGACTAGCACACATTGAATATCCTCGAGATCCAGTGCCTGCGGCAAGACCTGGGCACGAGCGACCTTATCCGCCCATTGCTCGTTCGGGTGAGAAGAGCTGCCGTTGAGAGATTGCGTTGAAAGAGGCGGAATAAACCACTGGAGAGTGGATTTGAGGTTTCTGTTCTGGAAGCTGGGAGTAATGCACAGCGGCGCCAAACGGGAGAAGCCATAATCGTCAGCGTGGCTGTATTCCTCGAGCCAGTGCAACATTGCTGCCTCTGAGATCACCGAGAGACGATCTTGTTTGCTGAATATCGAAGCAGCATCGAAATTGGCATCATTTCCCGGGTTGATAGTGGCTGCTGGTCGTGCGCCGTGGACTATTTTGTACCATTCGCGGATGATCGACACAGTACCAAGGTGGTGGTCGGCATGCATATGACTGATCCATATCACGCGCAGTTCTCTCATGATTTCGTCAAGGACTGTAGGGGCGTATACACGCTTCAGCTGGCCAAGAGTGTTTTCGCCAGCGTCGAGAAGCATTGAGCCCCAACCCGGAACGCGTACAAGTGTTGCCGAAACATTGCGGTATTTGGATGGCAAGGCTGAGCCAGTTCCCAAGGTGGTGATTTCCACGTCTTTTTGGGGTAGACTGTCGGCCCAGGCGTCGAGTGCTTGTTTGCTGGCTTTGACGTCTTCATTCGCAATCCGAGCGAGATTAAGGACGTCTTTGGACATTTCTGCCTTGACCTTTTCGACATCCAGGAGGGTGTTTATCTCGTTGTTTTGAATCTCTATCGACGGCTCTAGCTGCACCTTTTGTCCGCGGTCGGCAACAGTCACCAAATCTTTCAAGCCATCCAGAGACTCAAGTGCCTGTGTGGCGGCTGTGTTGTCATGGACTGGAATAGCGTAACGTGTAGGGTCGATCTGACCCAGTCTTATCGTAGCACCAGCGGCCGAGTCAAGAGCCAGTCTATTGCAGCAAAGATCCGGAGAAGACACGACATGCTTCATGTGCTTCATGTCTTCCATGAATTGCTTGAGCATGGGGTGTGAAGCAACATCGGGACCAAGCATCCAGATGAAGGCACCGACACCGGCCATGATCTCTTCCGATCTCCATTCAGGTCGCGAGACCAGGGCTTCGACATATTCGCGGGAAGGCAGATCAATCACAGCCGCACCACCACCCTGTTTACTTGGTTCCAACACCATATCTGGTGTCACAGTTTCACCTTTGTCGTTCTCGACGTTCTGACCCTTGCCTAGAGCAGCAAATTTGGGACCCTTCTGGACGCCCAGTGCTATTGCCTTTTGTGGCTGAAACTTGCCTCTCATGATGTGGTTGCGAAAGATGTATGACATGGCCACCTTTACGGGTTCGGTGGGCGGAAGAGATTCGATGAGCGCGCCAGGCCAGGGACGGCGAACCAAAACCTTGACATTCGGAACTGGCTCCTTACCTCCTGGCATAGGGCCGGTATACTTTGTCATCTTATTCGTTTCTGGATCGCGAACAAACAGCGTGGCAGGCAGCTGTACTTCGTTGATGGGGGTCTCGACAAGCGCATCCATACGCCAGGAGGAGTCGAACATTTCCGAAACTACAGCCTTGGACATCATCAGGGCCTTTTCCTTGTCTGCCTGGTGGAGGGACGCACGAGCGTTCGGAGCCTCCTGTCCATTGAGCTCATCGTAGCTACGTTTACGAGGGCTACTCGAAGCGCTCGTCACGTTCGAGACAGGAGAAACAGGCAAGGCCCATACTTGAATGTTATCATCTGACCATGTAGGCTCGGCTGCGGGAGTCTGGTGTTGAGCAAGATCGTGGCCGAACTCGTGTACATCGACAGGCATTCCCTTACGAAAGACAAAGCGGCGGGCAGTGGCCAAGGTGTAGTTGAGATTGGGCCCTCCGAAGATGGAGAGGCGCGCTCTATCTTTGGCCTCACGAGCGGCCTGCTCAGCAATGTCTTCGTCGTTGATATCGGCACCTTGGCGTTCTAGCTTGTTCAATATCTTTTTCTTAGTTTCCAGTAAGTTGGCCTGAGCACTGGACGAGGCAGCGTCGGCCAGAGTCAGGATCATGCCAATCAATCCTCCCGTCTTCTCCCAGGTTGTGTTTCCAGTCAAGAAGAGCTCCGACACCTTCAATAAGCGGACTTTCTGTTCGACCGACGCTCTCTGAGTGCCCTCGGCAACGTTTCCAATGAGATAGCGCTTGTTGTCAAAGTGCAGGAGGAGTGTGGTGCCGGGTGTGTCGGCCGTCGGCGTCGTGACGAACTGAAAGAAGGAACGCATCCTCCGGAACTTGATCGCAGGGACCAGGCCTTTACGACTGGGTATGTTGAGAAAGGCGGATGGCGGAAAAACGAGATTGTATTCTTGTCGCTGGCCCCGGAGCTTGGGTGCGCGGCTCAGGCGTGAACGGGCCGATGTCTGTAGAAGGCCTCGCAAGACTTTCAGCTTCTGGGACTCGGGTGGCTGTCTTGCGAGGTCTGGTGTGGTTTTGTAGCGGCTGAACAAGTCTTGGACGTGCTGAGCACCTGTCGAGCCCGGACGCGGCTTTTGCAATGCTATGCACGTTGACAGTAAACTTCGCTGCGGCCGTGTCACTGATATGCGACTCGACAAGGGGCTCCGTAAGAATGCCAGATTGGTAGCCACCGTTGTGCTGATACGAAAAGCCGTCTCTGAATTCTTCTCGTTGCCTGTGCAAGATGCATGACGAGGGCCAAATTTCTCGCGACTACAACCAAGCACGGTCCGTCATCCCGCTTCCGCCATGGTCACTTCAGTTGCTTGACGCTCCACCAACTGCCTAACTGCACCTCACTCTTTCCTCACATGAACATCTGAATCACGTCTGAGTACTCGGTACTTGGAAGCAGATTCGACCTTGAACTCCGCTTTCCAGTCTATAAAGAATTGCAATATCTACATTGTGAAGGAGAATAACCGACAACCAAAACGCCAACATTGCCCGAGAACGCTTCCACAAGGCGGGGGAATAAAGGACTCATTGAGAACCGATGAGAGAATGACTTGACAAAGGAAACGATATGCCCACACAGGCGAGCGACAAAAAACGAATGTGCCCTTTCCTTGCCAACCACCGCCAAAACATGAAACCCCTGCTTATTGGAGGTTGCTGGGAACCTGAAGACCATTGTTCAGGTTCAGCAGAGACATATCAAGAGGAGCCTCACGCTGCGAAGGTACCGATCCAGCGGTACCTTGTTGAGCTTGGCCTAGAGGGCCAGCAATGCTGGGGTCCTTGCTGATGTCCTCAATGAAAGGAGCATACGAGGGGTGACGCAACAGAACCTCGATGAGACGGCGGCAGCGGCCATTTTCCTCTTGGAGGCTGCGGTTCTCCACTCTAAGGTCATTGGCCTCCTGTGCCTTCATGGCCACTTCGCCCTCAAGCTGCGAGATGTACTCNNTACCATATTGTTAGCGAGCGTCTAAAGTGGTAGACTGATTAAAAGGCTTACCCTTTCTGCGGGAGCGGAAGGCACGGGCGGAAACTTTGTTTCGGAGCTGACGTCTCTCTTTGCTGCTGAGCTTCTTGCCCTCCTCGCTGTTAAGCAGACGTTCGTCCTCGTCCATGTCTTCCTCTTCCTTGCGCATGCGAGCAACATGAGGGAGCATGCCGTTGGCAGAGTCCTCTTTGCCAGAGGGCACAGCGCTACCTTGACGCATTTGGTTGAGAAGACGAGAGATGCTCTCCTCAGTGTGGGGATCAGACTGGTACGATGAAGCCCGGCTTCTGTTTGGTTTGACCTCGAGTTGCTGCTGTTGCTGCTGTTGTTGTTGTGCTTGCTGCTGCTGCTGCTGTTGTGCCAGGCGTCTGTGCTGTTGTTGCTGTGCTTCAAACTGCATTCTTTGCTGCTGCTGAGCATGAGCCTGGACCTGGGCCTTGGCCATAGCTGCCTGTTGCGCCTGCTGCTGGTGCATACCGGGCCACACTCTGCCTACGTTGTTGGGAGAAGCATCGGTGCCGATGGAAGCCGGGTCGACAAAGTCGGCAGAGCGCGGCTGAGAGGGACCGGGCTGGGGGTAATAGATGGCAGGGATGGTCTGGGTGGCGTTGAAGTCCATGTTCATGTCGGCGTCAACATCAATGCCAGAGGACCACGAACCACTGAAGCCAGGGTCAAAGGACATGTCATCAATGCCCGAGTTGAAACCGCCAAAGGCATGGCTGGGGGTGAAAGTGTCAGAGACGGGCTGGTTCAAGGCTGAGAAACTGGCGACAGAACCAACCGGCAGGCCGGTCTGCTGCTTGAAACGATCGTATTCATGGCTTGGGCCGGCAAACATGTGGGCGTCGTCTGCCTCAAAGGGCGAGGGTGCGTTGTAGTAGGCCGAGGCATCGATCGAAGGGCGAGGAGTGGGACCCGAGAGTTGAGGAGAGTTGAGAGAAGTGCCCTGGTTGAAGTCGAAGAACGACTCCATATCAAGATCCGGCTTGAGGGCATGCGGGAGGCTGCCCATCTGGGCAAATTGAGCAGTGGCCATGATGCTGGTGACTGGCGAGGGGGCAGAGGAGCGATGCGTGTGAAGTTATGGGTAATGCGGGTGTGCACGTTGTGGGATTACGCGGCCTTAGTGCCAAGACCAAGAAGCGCCTGTCGGATATAAGGTGAGCGAGTGACTGCGGATTGAGGCGTTGGCGTCTTTGCGACGGTGGTTTGGCGACGAGAGTGGACCAGGTGCGGTGATGCTGTCGGAGGAGAGTGTAGCTGGTAGAAAGGGACGTGGCTGCAGAGATTGAGGAGGACGGGAAGAAGGAGTCGAAGAGCAATGCGACCGGGCAGAATCGACCAGGGAAGAAGGGAAGGAACGATGACGGTTCTCCTCCCGAAACACACAGCCACACAGACCACTGACAGCAAACCTCAGCGGACGCTTGGGCCATCAACAGCTCTAGGCTCCCAGCAAGCCATCCGACTCAGCAGCGGCCTCAATCAGCCCTGTAGACACATGCTTATCCCTCTCTCCACGCTGTGCCAAGTTGCCAGTCAAGCCGTTCTGTTCCACGGACTCACGGCACCCCTCAGACAACGGCTTATACCACGAATCGATTTCTCACTCGACGGGTTCGCAGTGTTGCTTTGCGTTGAAATTGGATAGACCGGCGACGGTCGACCGCCCCCTTCACAGCCTCACAGGGCTTGGTTGGAAACTCTCAACTTGCTTTCCTTTGAGGCTGACCTCGTACGCAACGCAACCTATTTGTGGCCGACACCGGCCGTGCTCCGTCAGTGCCCGTCGGCTTGTCAGACTCTTGTGCTGCCGGTAGACGTTTCCTTCTCAACTCTTGTGAGTCGCGTTGTTCGGCGTTCCTCAGCTGGTAGCTGGTGCATGCCCTAAATCCTACACCAGGAAAGGATTGTTTGACAACAACAAACCCAGTCGATTTGGCCATCTGTTGTATTGCCATAAGAAACGACATATCACTCTTGGAATAGATGATCTGGTATATCCAATCTTCGAAATGCGTGTCATCATCTCTCATTAGTATGGCACAGATCGACGCGGATCAATCATTGTGATACGCAGAAACAAGCCCCTATGTCCTGCTCATGAACTTGTCAGGTCTTCGCGCTCGAATTACATTCAACACGACCGGCGGGTGGCTTCATCTCAGTGTATCTATGTCCGATGCGCCAGATGTCACCATGAAACTACGAGTAAATGATGAGCGAAAGATTCCAGTGCCACTTCACGACAGTGTACATTGAGTGTCAACATATTTCCTGGTTCAGAACAAGTAGCCGTGTACTCTCATGGCTACCGTGTACTGTGGCACTCTGATGAGATGAAGCGATTGAACATCTTGCTGTTGAGCGACGTTTTGAATTGAATGTGTGCGCGAAATGGGCTCTTGATTTGTGATTTGACCCCCAGCGCTAGAATGACTAAAACTCCCTAGGAGGCTGCAACGGTGGCTGGCCACGTCTGTTTCCGTGGCATGTATTCACGTCGCCGAAGGAAAGACGTCTATTTTTCGTGCGTCAGCAGCTGCGCCTTTACCTCGCTATTCCAAGGGGCTCCTGCAGACCATGCCATTTCCGAAAAGCTGCCATCTGTAGCAGACTAGCAGTCTCGTCATCTTATGCACCATAACCTCATGCCATTCGCGCCTGAGTAGTCCTACCCAGGTCGGTGCAATTTGTTCTGTCTCTTCCCATGGACCGAGTATAAGTGGTCGTTGGGACTTTTGACGTGATTCTTCTGCTTGTTTCAAGCAATACCACGCTGTTCTATGCCTCGAGGTTGATGCTTCGGCCGAAACGTCCATAAAGTGCTGTCTTCAGCTGCTGCATCTCTTCCCTGAGTTCGCCCAGCTTTTCTTCCACAGCTGTAACATCTCCATCGATCTTTTCGATTGATGCTGTCAGCAACTCCTGAACCTCGGGCAAAGGTAGCAGAAAGAACGAGTCTCCAATCTTGTATCTAGTCGGCACATGAGCTAAGCTTACACGAGTGGCTTTTGCTATTACTTACGAAACCTTCTCGTCTTCGTCGGCAAGCTCGAGTTCTGACGAGACTTCTTCCAGGTCCTCCTTTTCCTTCTGCAAGGCATNTGTATCAGCAAATTTGTCGCATGACTCCAGTGGAAAGGTCTAGAGGACCTCTTTGGTCTTGAGCTCCGCTTGCAACAACTTCTCTTTTTGATGCAGTGTACTGAAACGATTGATCTTGTCCTGGTCTTCGCGGCGGACCTCAGTCTCCTCGCCTTCTTCATCTTTCGACAACTGTGGAATCATGAGCATATGTCTTCGTGACAGACCAGGCGGGAGTTAGTTACCATCCTCCTTGACATCATGGCGGCCATTTTTGCGTTTACAATTAAATTTGGGTTGTATGGCTTGAGGTGTCGCCAGGTCACTCACGCTCGCTGTTGATGCAAACACGATCAAATTGCTTGGCGAGGACCCACAGCTGCACCTTTGTCTCTTTTCAGATTCTACCTACTTTTTTATCCCGTCTTACACAACTAGTCACCACCTATGTATTATTTCTGACTATGAGGGTCGCTGCACTCCCAATGTACAGGTATCAGGTTTGCAGCCTGTGGAAAGTCTTGACCACATTAACTCCATCCCTTTAAGGTCGCGCAACACCTATTTGCTAAATCCAAGCGAAGCCATCAAGGGCTTCTGCATCTTCTCGGTATGCTAGACTCACACATCGAGAGGTTACCAAGTCGTTTTGCTAAGTCTAATATTGCCGTAGGCTGACTCACCAATATGCTTAGGGTAAGACTGTGCCGTCTTACCTAGTCGTATGATCCACCAAAGGTGATGGATGGCCTTACTATCATCGGAGACTGCTTCCACTGCTGTCAGACTTTTGGAATGTGTTGTTCGGCTTGAAACTCCCCTTATGCTAGAGTATGTAATGTGCGTAGCTATGGAAATGCACAGTGGTATCAAAACACAAGGCAGTATCCACTGAGAGCCGACATTTGGGCGGTTCTCCTTCACTAATCTTCGGCATTAAGAAAGAATTGTGCCTTTTTATAGGTAGTCTACACTTCGCTCTATGCTCTTGTGGGAAGAGAGTGGGGTCACAGGCTTTAGCACATGGGAAGGAAGTACGAAATATACGTTGTTCAATATACGCCTGTGGTAGCGACCTCCTTATTCGCTTGGCGTGCATGAATTCATATAACCTCATTTGGGTTGCTCTGTTGCAAGGCCCTGTCTCGTTCGAAACCCGTAGGCGGTAGAAGGTGATCGCCTCCTTGTAGTAACTACTTCGACCTGTGAGTACATAACAATGAAGTCGAGTTGTTGGCACATATAGAGGCAGCGAATCAGCGCATTTGCTACAAGACAAAGTATGCGCCAATTCCTCAGCCGCAAATTAGCCCTACGCCTGACCACCACCAGCAGAACCAACACGTTGCCTGCAAGGCTATGGATGCCTTATATTCCTCTTGAGGAGGATCGTGCCAGTACGACTGATCATACATATGTCGCTCAAATATCGCTCTTTGTGCTCCACCGTTCCACAGCATTCTGTGCTATCTTCAATCTCAAGGAAGATCCGACTGCTGCCTTGCAGAACACCATCGAAATCCGCATATTTTCAGCATACGAGGACACTAGCTATGGTAGTGTCTCCTACAGCTGGCCGAGCCATCCTTCGTAAGCCCAAGAAAATCATCTGTGCCCTTGATGGTAAGTAAATGAGTTGATCAACCATGCATACACACTGACATATACAGGGACCTGGCAGGTAAACTGGTTCGCATCATACTGAACTTTTCGAAGTACTGACCACTTATGAANNGGATAGTGATTCTGGTTGGATCAACGGCAGTTTGAAGACACCTTCCAACGTTACCAGAATTTCGAGAGCCATCAAACCCGAGGATAGCGAGCATCACGCTCAGATTGTTTACTACCAGGCAGGGATCGGAACAGGGCTTGGGCTCCGTGACCAATTGTTAGGAGGCGGTACTGGTTTGGGGCTCTCGGAGTGAGGATTGCCGTTCAATTCTGTGAGATCATGCTAATTGTACCTTTACTTTAGGCACATCAGAGAGGCTTACTATTTCCTTGCGAACAATTACTCACCTGGTGATTCGATATTTCTGATCGGCTTTTCGCGCGGCAGCTTTACAGCAAGAAGTGTAGGTGGACTAATTGGCAACCTTGGATTGCTAAACAAGAGAGGCCTTCCCTTTTTCTACGAGATCTTTCTCGACTGGGAGAACGCAGGCAACCCAGACTCACAAGGATCTTCGTTCTGGGGACATTATCGCGACCCTCTGGATCCGGACAAGAAGAATATGCCTCAAACGCCATCGAATGATCCAACAAGAGTTTACGACTATCTAAATGAATATCGCGCGAGTACGTCTGCGAGGGACTTGTATATCATCTTTCTCAGTCCCGAGACATGCTGACTTGTGTCGCTTGTAGTGCTTCGGAGTTTCGGTCTGACTCATGTCGTCCCAGTTCGGGAGAACGAGCTACGCGATGTACCAATCAGAGCTATAGGTGTCTGGGACACAGTTGGTAAGACTAGCTCTTGTTCATCCTTATCAGAAATTCTGACCCTCGCAGGTGCTCTCGGTATACCGGTCAACCCTTGGTTTCAGAAACATCTCGGGCTACCTGGTTTCTTGCATGAATACAAATGGCTCGACACGAAGCTTTCTGACAACGTGGAAAATGCGTTTCAGGCTTTGGCATTGGACGAGCATCGAGCGCCTTTCTCGCCTGCCGTATGGGAGAAGCCCGAAGGTAGCCATACAGTCAGTCGACTTGAGTATTCTGCCGTGAGTAATCTTGCTGACTGCATCATANNGTATCTGAAACAAGTTTGGTTCCCTGGTGTACACTCGAATATCGGTGGTTCATATGATGATACAGCTACCGCAGACATATCGCTAGCATGGATGATGGACCAGCTATCTGGAGAAGGAAAGGATTCTTCCGATGCGCCACTGGACAAAAAGGATTGGATCGAATTCTATGACGACTACATAGACACGCAACAAGCACTGAACAAGGTCTGGTATCAGAACAATCCACCCACTCGAGGTTGGTCGTTAGGTACGATCTACGACTCCTTTACCTTTCCACAGAGCCTAGCGGGGCGAGTTGTTCGGACGCCTGGTCGGTACAGGGTAACCAACCCTCTGACGGGCGTGCAGAAGTATAGCGGGGTGCTCATGAGAGACACGCACGAGTTTATACATGCTTCGGTCAGAGCGCGTATGGATCTTGGAGGGTCTGCTTCTGAGTCCAAACCCAGCAAGTGGTCCCACTTTATGCAATGGTTGCGGAAGCTGCTCGGTCGGGAGGGCAAACTCTTGTACAAGTCCGAAGCACTACGTTGGTGGAGACTTCATGACGGACACAAACATCACAACGAATTCTCGATCAATTCCAAGCTTACAACAGGAGGAGTGAAGAGCGCGATACGGCCTCCCTGGTGGGAGTGGGTGGGCAAAGACAAGCTTGTAGCAAGCGGACGGGTGTTGAATGAAGACGTACTGGGAAGGTTCGAGTTGCAATTGCTTGGACATTACGAGGACGTGGCAGATGAGATCGAGGCCAGTAACAAAGGACTGGCAAGCGTTGAAGAGTTGAAGAGAGCGAAAGAGCGAGTAACTCGCAGGTCAGTAACAGCGTGACCGCAGTCAGTGATAGTTGTAGTAAATGATGTACGAGACATGATCTGGGAGTTGTTTTGAAGTGGTTCGTCCATCCTCATGTGCTTAAGTCTGTAACTCCACCCTTCTCCCATAAGAGCATGGAGCGAAGTGTATGCTATAGAAAGGCACATATCGTCCTTATATAGAGCAGAGGGCGAGCCATGGAGAGCCGCCAGGATGCTGGCTCCCGGTGGATACTGTCTTGTGTCTCCTTGCCACTGGGCATTTCTATAGCTTCCGCGTTGCATACCTACTTTAGCACACGGGGAGGAGAGACAGAAGACGACCGACGCCAAGCCTGGCGAGAAGGCGCCGCAGAATAGAGTTTGTGGGGAACTCTCACCGCCCGGCGCAATCAGAAAATGTTCGGGAGTGCGCAGAACAGACGCAGACACGCGGTTCGAGACAGCGATACTCTCAATCTCGCACAAGATGGTCAAGCGCAAGGTCGGAGCGCTCGAGAAGGTCGATGCAGACCTGCCCAATCTGCAGTACAAGGTCCGACGAGACCCTGCGTAGGTTGCCAGACGACCCAAGACGACGCCATCCAGTCTAACGCTGTGCCAGNNATCGTACAAGGATGACTTCAACAACCAGTACAGCCAGTACCAGGCCTTCCTGCAACTTTTCATGCAGGCCCCTAGTTCGACCGACTCCCAGGGTCTGGTCAGTCTCCGAGAGCTGATCGACTTTGTTGCCCACTGCGCCGACTGCTATCCCAAACTCACCGCCGACTTCCCTACCGACCTCATGGCTCTGCTCCGTCTGCACCATGCTGAACTGGAGCCCGAACTGCGCGACAAGGTTGTTGGCAGTCTGGTTCTGCTGCGCAAGAAGGATATCATCGACTCTGCCGTGTAAGTCTCGTGCTCGGTACGTACCCCTGCGCTCTGCTAATGCTTTCGCTTCCTAGTNCTGCTCAACGCTCTCTTTCCTCTGCTGGTCGACACGCCCAGCAAAGCTCTCCGTACTCTCTTGTTTACCAAGATCATCTCCGACCTCCGCACTTCAAACTCAAAGACCACCAACCACAAGCTCAACCGCACCATTCAGACTGTTCTCTACAACTTGCTCACATCCGATCCCACTTCGGCCAAAGGTGTCTGGGCTGTGCGCATCACCCGTGAGATGTGGGCTAGACAAATCTGGACCGATGCCAAGGCCGTAGAGATCATGAAGGAGGCTGCCCTGTCACAACACGAGAAGGTTGTCACTGGAGGTGTGCATTTCTTCCTGGGTGGAGACAAGGAGCGTGAGGAGAAGGCAGAGGATGACAGCGACGATGACGAAAACATCGACATGGGCAAGCTGCGCCACCAGGCCGGCATCAACAAGAAGACAAAGAAGAAGGCCAACGAGCTGAGAAGAGCCGCCGCCACTGTCAAGCGCAAGGAGAAGAAGAAGAAGGCCCCGCACCCTCTTAATTTCTCTGCCCTGCACTTGCTCCACGACCCCCAGGGATTCGCTGAGAAGTTGTTCCATCAACATCTCAACACCCAAACACCCAAGGCCAAACTCAAGCTCGACCAGAAGCTGGTCGTCCTGCAGCTCGTTTCGCGTCTTGTCGGTTTGCACACGCTGACTCTGATCCCTCTCTACTCCTACTTCATCAAGTATCTCACNCCCAAGCAACCTCAGGTCACTTCCTTCCTCGCATCGCTTGCTCAATCGACCCATAACCTCGTTCCTCCGGACGCTCTTGAACCTCTGGTTCAGAAGATTGCTAACGAGTTCGTTTCCGAGGCTGCCGCCTCTGAAGTCGCATCAGCTGGTCTGAACGCAATCAGAGAAATCTGTGTCAGACAGCCGCTTGCTATGAACGAAACCCTTCTCCAGGATCTTGTCGAGTACAGAAAGAGCAAGGATAAGGGTGTCATGATGGCCGCAAAGGGTCTGCTGAGTCTGTACCGTGAGGTCGGCCCAGAGATGTTGCGCAGAAGAGACAGAGGCAAGGATGCTTCGATAGGCATACAAAAGGGTACCCTAAAGGACAGAAAGTTCGGACATGTCGAGGCAGGTGGTATCGAGGGCCTGGAGCTGCTTGAAGAATGGAAGTCAGAAGAGAGGAGGAAAAGACGCATCGAGAAGGGTCTTGATCCTGATGCTTCTGATGCGGACGAAGATGACGAGGAAGAGAATGAGGAAGCAGGCTGGAGCAAGTGGGATCTTGAAGAGGACGATGATTCGGACGAAGAAGGTTGGATCAACGTTGAAAGCGATGGTGAAGACATCGATATCAGCGACAGTGAAGACGAAGACAAGAAGCCGAAAGCAAAGAAGCAGAAGACGGACGCTGAAGCGCCAAAGGATACCGAAGACGCACCCAAGGATCCCGTTGCCGAGTTCTCCAAACTGGCCACGACCCGAATTCTTACACCAGCAGATCTTGCCAAGCTACAAGAGCTACGGACGAGTGCAGCCGTGTCCAAACACATGCCTTCACAAAGACGTCAACAGCAAAGTGCTTCGGGACGTCACGCTGACGATCCTCTCACAGCTGCTGAGATTGAGGGTCTCGCGGCGCTGTCTTCACGCACGACCAAGGAAGAGAAGATTGCGTTGGCAAAGGGAGACCGTGATGAGAAGCACATGTCTACTACAGCCAAGCGCAAGGAGAAGAAGGAGGCCGAGGGCAAGAGTACGACCAACAAGGAGAAGGCTCGCAAGAAGAACTTCCTCATGACTTTAGGAAAGGCCAAGAGAAAGGGCAAGAGAAGTTTGGTCGACCAACGAAAGATCTTGAGAGGTCATATCGATCGGCAAAAGCGTGGTGGCAAGCGTGGAAATGCAGGATAGACAGCAGAATACTTTGTTTTTGCAGCACGTTCTAATCAAAAAGCATCATCATACTGAGCGCTTTGCAGGTATTGCCTCCACGTATGCCGGTAGTTTTGAGATACAGAGTGTTTCCCGAACGTGAAATGTGGCCACGGACACCCCTTGAGATGTGAGATGTTTTGCAGAGAAGGAAAGCGCCGTGTTCCCAGGTAGGCTACGGTATAATCGACTGTGTCATCGTCGGATTCGGATTGTTTGGAACGGCTTGGCACGTTTCTCTCAACATGACACGGAACCCGACGACCACTTTCGGACTACACAAGAAAAGCAGCACCGATTTATTCACAATGGCGAAACGACCCAGGAGCCCATCTCCCAGGAAGGATACTTCAGATGACCTAGACCACGACTTCTGGGTATCCGAACCAATCGAGGATCGCACATCNTTTTTCAAGGCTTTCTTCTCTCCAACCATGCCTTCGAAGAAGCTTCAGAATCTGGACCAGATCAAGGATGCTTCACATCGTATCTTGGCATGGCGAAGTCCTTCTTCGCAAAGAACGTTAGTCGGTAATGTGCGCACTCTTGAGACCGGTACAGACGACGACGGAGAACGATATGGAGGCCGTCACGTGCTGAAAGTTATTGAAGAGATGCGTGTGGAAGGCGCTCTCGTTGTTGCACGATGGTATGGAGGCATCATGCTAGGTCCTGCGCGCTTCGCACATATTGAGAACTCTGCAAGAGACGCAATCCGAGCTTGGCGGCAGAACGAGGACAGCGAAGGTCAGAAGCGCAGGCGAATCGAAGATGAAGACATGGAGAAGGCGAGTTTGATCGTCGAGTTGGCAGATCGAGATCAGAACATTCTGGTATTGAGACGACTTCTAGAGGAGAAGACGAAGCAAATGCAGTCACAAACAGAACCGAAAGCCCCGTCAAGGCCCCCGATACCGGCACCCGATTACAGTACGATGCCTCTTGAACGCCTGCGGCAGTTCGACAAAGCACGAGACAGTACTGTCGCGTTTCTTTTGAAGAAGATCAACGAAGCAGAGAAGCAGAATGGTCCAAAGAGCGCGAGCCCTAGTCCAAAGCCTTTCCAAATCGTTCAGGCTAAGAGTGGGAAGGAGGGACTCGACAATGCTGCTACAGAAAGTCTTGTTTCGAAGAACGAGCCTGTCAATACTGAAGAAGAAAGCCCGAACAGTGCTAGCAATGCCGAGAACGATTCGACTTCCGAACCGAAGAATGTCAAACTGCCATCTCTCAACCCTTTTGAGGAGGAATCAAGCGACGATGACAACGACAGCTGAGATACCTTCATCTATGCAAAGGGAGTTTTTCCTTCACCAAAACCAACACTCAACCCATTTTTGCCTATGGAGCCTCCACTCTCAATAGCTTCATGCGCCTTTCTCAGGCCCTCTAGATCCAGTCTAAAGCTCTGCTGCAAATGAGTCTTGACCTTTCCGTCTTCGACCAATTGCCTGAGCTCATCGAGTATCTTGCCGTGGCTATCCATGTCAACACCGTACCATGGTTTTGTACCTAGCAGCTCCCAGACAAAACTCAGGGACTTGGCCATAAATTCCGTGCCGTACATCTGGATATCCTTGGCTTGAACAATAGAGCAAACCTTGCCGAATGGAGCACAAATCTTAGCCGCCGGCTCGATATAAGGAGTCGTCGAGTGGGTGATGAAAATGTACTTGATGGGTACTTCCAATCCCAGCTTCTCGATTTGTGGTGGCAGATCTTCACGGTGATTTACCGTGTGTGTAGCTCCCATAGACTTTGAGAACTCGGTGGTTTCGGGTCGCGATGTTGTGGTAACGACCACAGGTAAATTGAGGACTGTTCTAGCGATCTGGCTTGCAACTGACCCAACGCCTCCAGAGCCGTTGATGATTAGGAGGCCGGCTTGTTCGCCCTTCTTGATCTCCATTCGCTCGACCAGAGCTTCGTAGGCAGTGATCCAAGTCAGAGGTAGGGCTGCAGACTCGATGAAGTTAAGGTTCTTGGGCTTCTTCGCAATGGACCGAGAGTCTACCAGCTGGTACTCTGCGTTTGAGCCTTGTCGTATGGGAGAGCCCGAGTAGTAAATCTCATCGCCAGAAGAGAAGTTCTCGACTTTAGATCCGATTCCTTCGATGATGCCAGCCCCGTCGAACCCGATGATCTGGTAGCCGCCTTCGCCGGGCTTGGGCTTGGGTACATGATCATAGTAGTCNNTGTGTAATAGACATCAGGAAGTTTGGTCTTTACGATGGCGTTGGACTCTAGGCTACTCACCGGCATAGTCGTCGTAGATTCCGGCCCGTACTTTCATATCAATCGGATTGACGCTGGCGGCTTTCACTCTGGAATCTATTAGCTTCAATGTTTCCTTTTCCGCCCTTTCCGCAAGCTATTGACAATCACAGTGATGGCTACAAACATTGACAATACTTTCCAAGAGCAGCGATGTCTATGGAGCAATGTGACTCCGAAGCATTTTCGTGGCCATGCTGCTCACTAGGAAAGCAGTTGTGCATTCTCATAGCTACTTCACCTGGTTCCGGGGAAACGGTTTTTCGTGATATTGCGACTGTCCTTAGCACACATGGAGAATCATGGGGTTTGGTGGTTATGGATCTTACCGTACGAGTACATCGTATTCCTCCAACTCTGTAGGCTTTGGCACTCGTTTATGCACAAGATTTCCGATGCCTCCGTACCTCTCCACGACGATGGCATTCATGTCAGGCATGATTTGCAGGTCGAGGCGGTTGACGTGTTGTAATCAAGACAGGTTCAAAGATGACGGTCATACTTGCCGCGCGCAGAGAGGGTAGGTAATATATAGTGTTGGTGATCATCGTGATGTCAGTCCAGCGGCAGTGCTACAAGGATCCCACATGCACATTATTAATGACCAGATGGGGTAGACATTATTTGTGCTCACAACTTCATCAAATATACGTAATGATGCGCTCGTAACAAACGAAGACTTTCAAAGTGTCTGGGTTATTGCGTATTAGAGGATGTTCTGTGTTTCATGACAGGGTCATAAAGACAGCAATCGACATGGTCCTGATGACCACCGAATCTTCTACAAACGAAGTGCTGAGTGTATCCGTGCTATACTTAAGATGAAATGTTGACACCATCTAAGAGATCGCAAGACGTATATCATGGTAGACAACAAATTTGAAAAGACAACCGCGACATGTTTCATCAATGCATTAACATATTCTAGCCAGCTAGCAAGCTAAAGGATGTTTGCCAAATTGACTCCTCTCACCGAGTTCGACACCATGCCTCTGGGTCTCGGCAGCATAGGTCATGACCCTGTCGTTGTACTCAGTTCTATCAATGTTGCCTTCGAGCAACTCCCCCAGAGTCGATGCATCGAAAGCAGCCTGACTAGTCGCTGCAGCCGTATGCGGTCGGAGTCCAGCGAGGGCATCTCCAACCAACAGCAGCTTGCCGCTAAAGAACTCGTTACTGGGCGATATGTTGTCCGTTATAGCTTGGACAAATGGATGTGTTGTCTTGTTGACCAGCTCGGCGAACTGAGGCGGCAGGACGTCTCTAGCGTCTTGCTTCTGCTTCGCCCAAACTTCATCCTTCATCTGATCGGGAGGAAGGGTGATGTGGTGCTGTGACTGGTCCTTTCCTGTCATCAGATCTGACAGTTCATCACTATCGTCCTCATAGTTCCTGTACCAGACCCAGTTCATCAGTCTTTTGCCAGGCTTCAATGTACCGTTCTCTCCTGGGATCAGATAGGCCAGAATTTGAGTGCCATCAGCGTGGTAGAATACGAATTTTTCGCTGAAAGCTTCGGCAGCAGATTCGGAGATCTCGCCCTCAGGAACAGTGCCTCGAAGAGCAACGTACCCAGCATATGTTCGTTGAACAGCTGGAAGTAATGTTCTACGCACTGATGAGCTTCCTCCATCGGCGGCTATCACGAGATCCGCAGTCATCTCTTCCTCTTTATCAGACATGTTCGTCCATTGTACGCGAATACCCTCCGAGGGTCCAAGGTCTTCGACAGATCTGACTTTACAGCCATATCGATAATCGGCTTTACCATGACCAAAGTCAGAAAGCCTGGCTTCCAGTTTCTTAAGATCGGAACTGGATAAGTAGTCGTTGATATCCATGTCATCCACTCTCCATCTCAGATAGCGGTAGAGAGTGTCCCAGCTTGTCATCCGTTGATCCCTTTTCTCGGCACTTCCTTGAATGACATCGCCTTTGCGGTCAAGGTATTGCCTCTGCGTGCTTAGAACGGCAAAGTCGTGCCCCGGACATACATAGCGAGAGAAGAANNAAGACTGTGTATCGGAACCGGCGACGACTCCAGCGCCCTGGTTGTGTAGAAGGGCGGATGGCGATCTTTCCAGAATTGTTACTCTGACCGATGGAGAATGTACAATGATGGCCAAGGCGTGCATCAGCCCGGCGAGAGATCCGCCAACAACAACAACGCTTTGTAACTTAGGAAGGTGAGGCATGTTCAAAATCCAAGCAACTATGCAACATTTACAGAAGAGGGGGAGCAAGGTACATGGACAATGTTGGAAGAGAGAATTCATTGATCAAGTGGCGCTTGCTCGTACATCTCACGTCATTGCCATGCTCAGACGCACTTCTCGATCGTCGCAGAGAGCGGCCGACCAAATAGGAAGACTCCACAGACCTCTTGGAAGCGATCATATGTGCTATCTCCTCCCCCGTGTACAAAAGTATGTAACCCTGCCTGCTCATCCACTGCAACATGAAGGCACATTGTACTACAGAAAGGCACAATTCTTCCAACATTGCATGTATAGCCACAGAGAGCTGATGTAATTTTGTCTCTCAGCGGTTGCTGCCCTGCTTCTCAAGACTATTGTGCATCTCTAAAGCTACACGCGTTACATACTTTAGGGCATGGGTAGACTGGAGTGCGCCAAATCAATTCATTGCGGCATATGACTGCGGGGAGAGATTGTTTGACATCAACACACACAAAGAATATGAAGTAGAAATTGTGTTGAGGCATAAAATACTATTGATTGTACATAGGAAACCAAGCGCCTGCGATTATTTATAGGCGATATGTTACATACAGCTCTTGAACAACAGTGGTGGCAATATCGAAAGGTACCTAGCCGCAAATCAATACTTAAGCAAGCCACTCTCCCGCAACCCAGCGGTTGACCATCTCGAGGGAAGCAACGGGCTGGTCGTAAGGAACCATGTGGCCACCACCATCAATTCTCATGAAAGTGAAGTTACCACTGCTCTTGACGGCTCCAGCAGTGGTGCCGTCCAGGAGAACGTAGTCCTCAAGAGGGGTCTTCTTGAAGTCCTTGTGACCGGGCCACTCAAGAGCCTCGGTCCAAGCTTGGTTACCAAGCCAGTTNNGCCTGGAAGTTGTCAGCAGTATTCTACACAAGAGGTCAGGTGATTACGAACAGATGTAGTCCAACGAGCCAGCGTAGATCAGGACGGGGATCTCCTTGAGGATACCAGGGACGAGGCGGTGGAAGGGCTGCATCCAATCGCCGGCGAAGAGGAAGTTTCTGTTGATGTCAAAGTTGCAGGAGTCGTACTTGCTGACCTCGGCACCGAGAGCCTTCATGACCTCGGGTCTGTTAAGGTACTCGCTGATCCAATCAAGCTCATCGTAGCAGAGGCTGTTGCTGCCGCACTTCTTGGTGATGTCGTAAGGGTTGCGGCCAGTCTTTTGGTAAGGACCAATCATGGCGTTGTTACAGTAGATGGAAGCAGGAACGCAAGACCAGACGCTCTCACTGTCGTAGCAGCTCTGAATCAAGCTCAAGCAACGGGGCAGAGCGTTGTCCATAGCCTGGCACTGTTGAGGGTCGAGGACGGCAGGAGAACCACCTTCGCCACATGCCATGGGGCGGTACTCGGGGTACTGGGTCAGACCGTCGGTAAGACCGTTGCCGATGAGAACAGACTGGAGGTTGATGTTGCGCTTCTTGTGAGAGAGAATCTCAGAAGCGAAGACGGGGATGTAGTGGCCAGCGTAAGACTCGCCAGAGATGTGGAAAGGCTGGCTGGCGTACTCGGGGAACTGCTTGAAGAAGAGAGTCAGGAGGGCGTAGACGTCCTTGCCGGCGGCGACAGTATTGGTGACGGAGCTGCCACTGTACGAGTAGCCGACGTTGACGGGCTGGTCAAGGAAGATGACCGAGGCGTTGGCGTTCCATGACGAGGGGTTGTACTTGAGGCTACCGTCCTTGTTGATAGACGAGGGGCCAAGCTCCATGAACAGACCGGTCAAGGAAGAGCAGCCGGGGCCACCATTGAGCCACAGAATGACGGGGTCGTTCTTGGGGTCGTTGCGGGACTCGAAGAACCCTGCACGATGGGTCAGTATAGGCTAGAGAGAGCGACAGAGCGGTCGCCACTTACAGTAAAACAAGTGCTTGTCATCCTCGTCATCGTCGAGGTAACCGCTGTACTGCTTGACCTTGTCGACGCCGAGGTGGCTGGGGTCGACCTTTTTGGTTCTCAGGCTGTAGTTCTCGAGCTTGCCCTCGATCTCTCTTTCCTTCTGGCCCTTGGCGTTCTCGACCCAGACGCTCTGGACGTCGGCACCCTTCATGATGTGGTCCCACTCGTTGTCATGCTTGCGCGAGTGAGGCTTGGGCAGGGAGAAGAAGCTGGTCTGGTCCATTGCCTCGGGGAACATGAGGGCGACCTCATCCCAGATCTGGCGGGCCTCGCCGGTCAAGGACTTGAGAGTCTCTTGCAAGTTATGCAGAGGCTTAGACCATGCCTCGTTCGCCTGCTTGGGGGCTTTGAGAATGGACTGGCCAGGCGTGATGGCAGCCGTGGCGGCTCCAATCAGAGAGGCGTAAGCGGCAACCTTCATGGCGGCGCAAACAGACTCGTGTGACGGCTGTGTAGCTGTTTGTGTAGCTTGATGCTATCAATGCAGCACAGAGTGTAGCAATTGATTTAGAAGAAGGATGGATGATAAGAAGCGGACCTCGAGGCTATCAAGGTAGAGTGGATGAGAGAGGAAGAGGAGAGGAAAGGAAAGAGGCAGCCTAAGAGCCATGTGTGGGGAGCATCAAGGTCATGCTTCCCATGCACGGTTCCTGGGACGCCCGCCTGCCGAATCAGGCAAGGATGTGACGGATGTGGTACCAAGCGGTCGCCCAAGTCTTAACCACCGGACCACCATTGAGATACGGAGATGGGCGAGAGTTGAGGGCTGATATGCGGCAGCCAGGAGGACCTGGTCTGGACACGTCAATAGAGACGACGTTGCACCGGAATCATGTCTGACATGACTCTCAGTGATACAGAGGGGCCGCTGGCTAAGGCAGGAGCAGACGGGCGGTACCATGTCCCTTGCGAGTCCTGTGAGCTTATCTGCTTTCCCCGGCGCTGCCATGACGACGTTTTCGCCAGGCGCGAACGGCTTTAGCAGCTTTTGCATGCCGAACTTGGTCTGCATGAATTGTTAATCCAGCCTCTTTTCAATATTCCATCGTATATCGTCACACTATCACAATAATGCCTTCGGCTCAGATCAACCAGGCATGTCCCGTGTCTCATCTGCAATCAAAACCTCTGGTATGCTGACAGCTATGCGCAGCCGTCGAACCAAATCAGACTTACAAATGTCTCTCTTGTCCGCATGAAGAAGGGTATGTTCACTCTCCCTTGCGCACAGTGCTATCGCCCCGCGCATCGTGTCGGTCTTCCCTCAATCAATATTCAAACTCATTTTCTCCANGGCAAGAAGCGTTTCGAAGTCGCATGCTACAAGAACAAAGTCCTCGAATGGCGTTCTGGTGTCGAAACCGATCTCGACAATGTTCTCCAAATCCCAAATGTCTTTCTTAACGTTTCCAAAGGTCAGGCTGCTCCCTCAGCAGACTTGCAGAAAGCCTTTGGAAAGGTGCCCTTGAATGACATCATTCTCGAGATTCTCAACAAGGGCGAACTTCAGGTCGGCGAGAAGGAACGACACGCCCAGTTGGAAAGAGTTCACGCCGAGGTCATCGACATTGTCGCGGGCAAGCTGGTCGATCCCAAGAGCAAGCGCGTCTATACTACTGGCATGATTGAGAAAGCACTCGACCAACTCAGCAGTCAAAGCGGAAAGGATACAACGACACCTACCGCGAGCGGCACCGCAACCCCTGTAGAAGGCGAGAGCCATGTCGAACACAAGTCAAAGCCCATGTGGACCGGCGTCGTGACCACTCGCGATGCCAAATCTCAAGCGCTGAACGCAATGAAGGCCTTGATCGCACATCAGCCTATCCCTGTCGCTCGTGCGAGAATGAGACTGAGAATCACCTGTCCTACTTCGGTCTTGAAACAGGCAGTCAAGAATGCACCCAAACCCGGCGACGAGGCCGAAGGCGAGGCACAGGCAAAGGGTACTGTCAAGGACAGGATACTGGGTTACATCGAGCAGGTCGAGAGTCAAGACATGATGGGCGAAGAATGGGAAGTTGTTGGCTTCGTGGAGCCCGGAAGCTTCAAGCCTCTGAGCGAGTTTGTCAGTGGACAGACCAAGGGAAGAGCCAGGGCTGAGGTTTTGGACATGGCCGTCATGAATGAGGGCGACTAGTCTATTGGCGGAGATGTCTGGTCTTTCTTTCATTGCTTTATAGCGAACATACCCCTGGAGTTTTGTCTACGCCAAAAGTGCTTCATTCTTGATTTGAAAACTACATTTCTTCACTCATGACAATGTGATCACCATGTATTTGTGTCGCGAGGGTTGGTTGTTTGTTCTGAAACTGCCTCATATCGTCGTTCACTTTACGGGACTCTCATTCCGAAGGTTGATATCGGGGCGGCAAAGAGTATTGTGTTTTTCAACGAGAAAGAAAAGGTTTTTATTTTCTTCAACAGCACAATGTCATTGAGAGCGGACCACAACAACAACCATAGTCTTGCGCCATATCCATGAAGAAAGCCGAGAGCAGACTGCTTTGGTATTTTTGATTCGGCTGTAAAACGCTGCACCACCACACGCCCCAATATCGTTCCGGGAAAATGTTGTAGAAAGCGAGTCGTTTACTTCTTCTTGCTGACACCGACGGTGCGACCACGGCGGCCGGTGGTCTTGGAGTGCTGACCACGGACGCGGAGGCCCCAGTAGTGGCGAAGACCTCTGTGGGCACGGATCTTCTTCAGTCTCTCGAGGTCCTCACGGAGCTTGGAGTCGACACCGTTGGCGAGGACCTGGAAGTCCTTGCCGTCGACAATGTCGCGCTGTCTGTTGAGGAACCACGAGGGGATCTTGTACTGGGTGGGGTTCTGGATGATGGTGACAATGCGCTCGAGCTCTTCCGAGGTGAGTTCACCGGCGCTGTTTTGTTCGTATTAGATCCTAGTCTCTTCTGCTGCGTGTCCGAGAGCAAATGCGTACCGCTTGCTAAGGTCGACATCGGCCTTCTTGCAGACCAAGTTGGAGTAGCGGCGACCGACACCCTTGATCTTGGTCAGGGCGTACATGACCTTCTGCTTGCCATCAACNNCTGTAAAGTACTATGTCAACACTGGTCTTTTCTTCTCGTCTGGCGATGCGTGCGTCTGTGGCTTTGCGTGTCTGGGTGTAGAGGGAGGCAATTTTGGGTATTGGAGGGTGCGCAATGTCGGGCGGATCGTGGGAATGCGTACGTTGGTGTTGAGCAGACGCAGAATGAACTGGAAGTTCGACTTTTCTCCGGAGACGAGCGACATCGTGGCGGTTGATGAGCGATGTTACTGTTGGCGGCGCGAATACAACCAAATCAAAAGCTGACGAGTCGAAAATGGGTGTGGACGAGTGCGAGCGCCAAGCCCGAGCTAATCGCGCAAAACCGTGTCTTGGCGTTCCCCACGCCCTCTTCACCCAAACTCGACTCATCGCTTTGAACTCCATCCAGTGAACCCGCCGATATGCAAGTATTGTGTCGGTGGTCGACTACGACCGAGGTACAGTGCATCTTGTCATGTGAATCAAGCACTGTTAGTAACCATGATCCGAGGTCAAAATGACAAGCAGGCAACAAATTCTTCTCATGTGCGATAGACAGCCACAATGTGGCTATAGAAATGCACAATACCTTCCATGACAGAGAGTTAGCCACGGAGAAGATGTCATGTCCAAGCATCTCCTTGGCCACACCTCTGTCAAAAACGTGACTGTGCATTTCTATAGCATACTAAACAAATATGCCGTTGAGGTAGAAGGGGTGAGCACCTCCATGTGTTTTGGTGTCATGGTGCTTGTACTCTCACTTGCATCAAAACTATATCAAAAGTCATTGCAGATGGTTCTTTTGTTACAAGCTAGTGTCGATTTCTGCTAAATCTCCCTCTCTCCGGAACCTGCATCACGACCCTCAGATGGTCGGAATTTTGAGAACTAAATTACAAGAATACCCGCTTCTTGCTCTCCAGATCCATAGGTATGCTGAATATCAACCACTGCTTGACATGGTTCTAGTGTAGTTTACCTGTCATGGCATAGTGAAGTTTGCAGGCTGGCAAGCTCCAAACTCAGCTCTGCCAGGTGCGTCCTTGCGCACGTAGACACTGACGCTCTTTTCAGTGCATCTGAAGACGCCGTAGCCTCTGTCATCAATGGTGACTGCATGATTAGATTTACCCAGCACATCGGTCCAGACCTGGCCAGCTTTGGTAGGACCAACGAACATGCTGTTCTTAGCAGCGCCACCGATGCTCATGATGACCACGCAGCCGTCGACTTTGTCCCAGGTACCATGGCGAACCCAACCAATCGAAGTTCTACTTTCGAGATAGTCAGTTTGCTCGCCGTAAGCGAAGAGTTTGCGACTGAGGATAAGAGTAGGCAGTTTGCCTTCACAGGCTGCCGGCGATGTATGTGGGCCCTTGATGCCGTACATGTCGCCCCAGAAAACACAAGGCAGACCTTCGCGGCGCAAGAGCATAATTGCGTAAGCCAGAGGCTTGAAGTAAGGTGCAACGGGAGTTTCGACTGTCTGACCTGGCTGGGTATCGTGACTGGTTACAAGGGTCTGTGTATGCTGGTCAGTGGCTGTACTTTGCCAGAGAATGGAGAAAAGACTTACGACCGCATTGCCGGGTCGGTGTTGAGTCAAGGTATTCTTGAAGACCTTTCTCAAGTCGACGTCAAGCTTGCTCGTTGCCATGGAGATTTTGGCAAAGTTGCCCAGAAGCGGGATGTCGTAAGCGTACACTCCGTTGTTCATTCTGTCCATCCACTGCAGAATTTTGTTGACGTTGCCGTTGTAGAACTCGCCCATGATGAAGAGATTACGGTTCTGGCGCTTGGCGGCTTCCTTTGCGATGCGGATCCATTCTCGGATGAACATCCAGCTGATATGAGGCACAGCATCCAGTCTGAAGCCGTCCACGCCGACTTGGTTCACCATCCACTCGCCCCATCTCTGGACGTCTTCTCTGACTTCGGCGTTTGAATAGTCGATATTGGAGAACATGAGATAGTCTCCGTTGCCCATGCAGTTGTCGACATCGGTGGCCCAGTCTTTCTTGTGCCAGGTGGGGTCCACGACGGCTCCAGGGCGGGNGAGTGTCTCCGNGGGATCAACGATCTTGTAGATGGCATTCTTCTGGGTACGCTGGTCCCAGTCGGTGCCACTGAAGTGTTGCCAGTGCCATTTCAGACTGCTGTAGCGGTCTCCGCGGCCGGGAAAGTAGAAATGAATCCAGGGCTCGATCTTCCTTGGTGTCGTTGTTTCGATGGTACGGTCTGGAAAGTCTCAGTCAGCCTGAATCTTGCATGAGAAGAAGAATGGGTGTGCGTGCGTGCCTGCTCTGTCAACCTCGACGGCCCAACACTCCTCTTTGGCGTCTCCAGCTGTCTTGTGGTTCAGAACAGTATCCCAGATAATCAGGACCTCCAAGCCTTTGGCCTTGGCGATCAACTCGTCGAGCTCTTCCCTAGATCCCCATTTGGTTGCACGCGTCCATTTCTGATCGAACTCGCCGAGATCCCAGAGGTCGTAGCAGTCGTAGCCGTTGCCATGTGGTTCATTGGCTTTGCAGCCGGGAGGAAGCCAGAGTGAAGTGATGCCGATGTCAGACAGGCCAGGGACTGTTTGTGCGAGGCGGGTCCAGTGTCCACCAGGTGTGTGCCATTCGAATGCCTGTAAAAGTGTTGGGTTCTGCGGTGTGGGTATTCCTGTCTCGGCTGTGCCTCTGACAGCTGGTGCCGTTGCGGTGCTTGACTCTACGTCATGGGTCAACTTTTTCGACCACAAAAAAGCTGCCTCGATGGTTCGCGCGACTTACGATTNTGTGCGAGCATCTAAGAAGCCCTCAAATCTCTGTGCTTTACTACGCAGCCACGAAGCCATGGTGGGTAGTGTGTGAAGAAGTTGTGTCGAAGACGAGATCCAAAAATCAAGTTGTTGTTTCGGAGTGTGTACGGGCCAGGGTTACTTTTTTATGTTTGCTGAGCTCGAGTCATTGATGCCTTGATTTCACTTGTAGCACTCCTCACTATTCAGTGATACACCCAGTGATCGTACTCGAAGAAAGGAGCAAGACAGAGTGCTGTGAGAAACCTCGAGTGAGACTGAATAAGCCGGAGGATCAGACAAGTAAGATTGATGAAGCTGATTGACAGCCAGTCCATGAAAAGGCTTGCGTAATCATCTATGTACTGATAAACAAGGCCAAAGTGAAAGCAATTACAAACATTAGAGGAATATCAAGTTTTGAAACAGAAGAACCACAAAAGATCAAGTGATAAAGGAACTCAGCAACACATCATGAGTGGCTGTCACTACTCGATACTGTAGCATCCAGGCCGAGGAAAGAAAGAATGCAAGACGCGGTGAAAGGCGCTTAAGGAACAGAGTGGAATTGCCGCTCAGTATCTCAGTTTTCCTACAAGCCCAAAGGTATATGCACATTCGCGTTCCTGGCCATAGTTAGCATGTTGAGCTCAACGAGCAGGGAAGGTAGGACTCACTGTTTTGTGTTGAATCATATAAGTGTCTGCTTTCGAGGCAAGCACTCCACCTGAGGTGACCGGTCCGGTTCTATCTTCCCAGACACTGACTGCAATGCCTGTCCTGGCGACTCTTTCGAAGCAACTTTCGCCTAGTGTAACATCCAACAGTGTTTCGCCTCTAGTCTTGCCACTGACCAAGATACGTTTCTCCAGACCGACTGTCCGAGGGCTTGCTGGAATTGCGGTGGATGGCCGTGGAGGAAGCAATATCGACAATCGCGCCGAGCCCATGTCTCTCCATTTGTTCTGTGACTCACGTATGTATAATCGAATCTTAGCATTTGTGATACCAAGCGGCGTTCCTTGTGACGGATCATAAACAACTGGAGTTGACGCTCCAGAAGAAAGCGACTCGCTTGTACCACTCCGACTGCCTTGACGGGATGTAATCGTACTCTTAGCAATGTTGAAGAGACGACTATTACCATTGAATCGGCGTAAAGCAGAAAAGGCGGTATTCATTGTACCGACAGAAGAGTCAGTCACTTCAGAGGGTGCCCGAGAGGTCTTCGATCGGTATGTGTTGCTCCTGCGAAGCGGGTTATGAAACCACGAGCCGTTCGCAGACCTCTGGTTTTTGTCTCGATTCATGGCTGCAGACCATGTACTTTCAGTGACTGGACCTCTAGCGTTTTGTAGAGCGATATATGTAGGATTGTTAATCCGAGCAGTGTTGATGAACGAGTACAGCATGTCGCACTCTTCCGCACTCCGAGAGCGGAACATGACGTTGTTACTGGCACGAATCAAGGAATTAGCCGTAGGAGGTGATCTGATGGAGATATCAAGTGCTGTGCCCCGACGCAAAGGAACCAGCGGGGTGACTTCAAACGCTATTAAAGGTTGTATACCCCTAGCAGAAGGACTAGTCACATCACTTCCGTCCGGGATTGCTTCTTTCAAGTCGAAAGCTTCTATCAGTCCAGGCGTGACAATAACAACGCATTCACTTAGGTGCAGCATTTCCCATGCGCCTCGATCTGACCATGAATAGATCGATGCGATAGTCTTAGAAGCGTTTGTCGCCTGAAGAGGAACTGTTCGATATGGAGCCTGAGAGGCAGAATTCGATGGGCCGAGCGTGGTGGTAGGCAGAGAAGCAAGCGACGCGGGTGGTGTGGCTTTTCGAGACCCGTCAACGAAAGGTAACTCGAGCGGTAGTACGTGTTTTGCTCCTTCCCCAGCTTCTTCAGATGAATCGGACGTGATTGATTCGTCGTCATCCTCAGAGTAAGACAAGTCACTCTCTGTAGAGGACTCACTTGTAATTGATGGTTCATACTCGTGCTTGAGAGGAGATGAAGACCTGCGATGTCGCTTTAGGAAATTGGGCGTGAAAGAAGGTATACTGAAGCGTTTCGGCTTTGAGGGTGGCAAGTCCTTGTCTTTGCTAGAGACATCCCCAAGTATGTCGTCAAAGCTGACACCCTTCACACTTGGCCGGCGTTTTTGTAATTTGATAGGTGCTGATGAGGCTTCTACGGACTCCTCAAGTCGCGTGCGATCTGAACGATCGAATAGCTCCGGAGGCTGGATGGGTGAATTTGGCTCGCTTCTTTGCCGCAGCTTCGGAGCTCGAGGAGGCTCGATCACTGGTACTGATGATACTCTACGGTGAGATCGCGAACGCGCTGTGGTTGGTGTATTTGTGTGGTTGTCATCTGCCTCCTCTTCTTCGGATTCGTCGGATGGAATTGTGGACGAAGGTATCCAAACACTGTACTCCTTTCTTGGTTGAGACAGAGTGGATAGGCTTGTGTATGAGCTCAAGGTGGTTCCAGTCTCCGACCTTGACATGTGATGGACAGGGCGTTCTGGATATGCTCTCGACTCCTTATCAGGAGGGAACTGTAACGAAGAGCGAGATGAGCTGGGTGACATAGGTGGCGATGATCTGTGACGCGTTGCCCTTGTTCTTCGTAGACCTGGTGAGTCTCCTGAAGACATCTCTGTCCGCGACACACTGGCGTGAGCATACATTTTTTCCTGTAATGCCAAATCAGGTAGCAANNAAAGCCATTCTGAACAGTTTTCGGCGATGACGGGATAGATTTTTGCGGTGATTTGCTATCCGGTATAAAGAGGCTNGGATGATATGCCATTTTCAGGAGCGGCTACGAGCTTCTCTTGCCCGCTGCGGTCCGAGATCCAGCTCCTAGACGAGCTAGGTCTCTCTCCAATTGGTATTTCGATCTCTTTGTTCCATTGAGCTCCCCGGTAAGTGGGGCTGACAGCAGGCGATGTGGCCTGTGGAGAGCGAGGACGGGATGGAGTTTGAGACTTGGTGAGGAAGCTAGATCGCCTTGCCAAAGATGGAGGAACAGGACTGAGTCCGAGCAACTCCACCCATTCAGGTCCAGTAGACTCGTCGCTGGCGCGCAATGACAAGAGCTCGTGCCACTCTTTCTTGTTAGCATACCGACCCCGTAGCATCATGACTACATCTCCTGGATTGTTGCCAGCTCTTGCGGAAACAGAGTCCTTATTGAGAGGCGGAAACAAGAGCCAGCGACCTGTATCAGACACTTCGCAGATGAGAATATCGCCACCGTTCCCTCGACCAGGGCCATCGTCACGAATCACGAGCTCAATCCTACAATCCAACTGTTGGCCACTGGAGTGGATAACGTTCATGTCGAAGTAGTCCCGGGCATGAACACATCGTGTGGCATCGATGCTGACTCCTTTGAGCAAAGCGAGGCTTCGAGGATCCCTGACACGAGTTGGATCAATAGCGGCAGCCGCTTCGTCCTCCAAACGAGCTCGTTCTTCATTGGATCTTTTGCGGGCCTCAGTGACTAACTCCTGATACTTCTCGGCCAGAGAACTCGCCGAAGCTGATGGTGTCAAGAAATGGATGCCNNCTGTTTTATCAGCACCACAGTCTTGAATATCCAAAAGATCTGGAGTAATGTCTGTACGTACCTTGAAAGTCTTGGCGAGATATTTTAGGCGCACCAGTGGTCTTTTCAACAAGAAAGCAACATCAACTCTCTCGCCGTCACCATTAATCAAGTCGCCATCCTCATTTCTCAACAACCCATCATCCCATCTTGTGCTGGTATCAGTATCTGCAGGTGCAAGATTGACCACGACATCCTGGAATCCCATCCTCCAGGCCTTCAGGTAATCATGGTAGATTCGGATAGCTCCTGAAGCCCATGATAGTAGCGCTTTATTGTCACTCTTAGGAACTCGGCGATGGTGTGCCTTCAGGCGCTCTAGAGCAACGCCCATGTCGACGATAGGTTTGGTGATAGCCGTATCATCTGCGGTGGAGCGTCCGAACAGACCAGCAGCGATTGCTGAGTCTGACTTGGAAAGTACACACGATAGTAGCACTGGTATAACCCCGTCCACCAAGGTGCGAAGTTCTCGCTGATATTTGACTTCGTCCGCGGTAAACTCGGTCCAGAGATCCTGGAGGGTCGCTTTTTCAAGCCTCGTTCGATTAGTCCGTATACTACGTGCTGAGACAATGCTCTTGGCATCGGCCATAGGTAGTGATAGCACAGACATCAGATCCTCGTGACGGGTCAATCTCCGCCTGAGCCCGTTTGCGCTTCTCAGGGATTCTGTACGATCGGGGACGATAGTTTCTTGTTCAGAAAATTCAGACTGGGCCGCAGGTTCTTGCAGAGTTTCTGCCGAAGCGATGGTTGACAGTCTTTTTCCTGTCGTGGGAAATCGCCTTCGAAGATTTGCTCCTGGCGCATGTTTGCTGGTCTGAATGTCGGGAAGCTGGATGTCAGATGGTAAAGACGACGTAGCGTACGAAGAGTTGCCGTCTTCGAAACTTGGAGGTGTAGACTCGGGAATGGTACCGAGCACCTCTCTCGATTGCGAATTTGGCTCACTAGGAGAAGATCGTGATGGAACGTGGCCAGTGTGCTTTCCATGGTCATTGAAAGCGTCCACGGCAGAGTCAGTCTGTATCCCTAGCCCATTCACCTTTTTTAGTTGCTTAGATCGACCTTTAGATGCTGGACCTTCTTCGTGCCCGTCTCTCTGTTGCAGAGCTTGGTCGGCAACGAAAGGATCGGGGGTCCCCCCAAGCCATGCTTCGATTCGACTTCCGTAGGCCGGGACTGCGGTAGGTGGTACATTAGAAGGGCNAATCTCGTCAGTCCCCGTTGCTCTAAAGGTGCCAGCCGCCGTGTCCTTCTTCCTTTCCTGCGCAGTCGATGGAGCTCCTCTTGACTTCCGGGTGTGAGCATTTCTAGCACTGATACTGTCGTCCGGGTCAAGCGTCTGTGCGATCGATCTGACCTCTGTATCTGCCTCGGAAGCTGCGGGTGAATCGTGACGGCGACGTAATCTACGTCTACGATCTGAATTATCGCGGCTTACTTCGCCAGCGCTCCTCCTGTTCTTGTCTCTGATGCGCTCCTCTGCCGTAGGCGAGCCGTGTCGATGTACTGAAGTCCGCTGCTTTGACGAACCAGAGCTGCCCGGTCGATCACTATCACCCTTAGGCGTACGATGCAGGTGCTCCCTTGGAGAATCCTCCTCCATTGGCCTTACTCGAATGCCGTCGTCTTCTGTCATCGGCCTGACCCTGATGCCACCGTCGTCCTTCAAGTCTTCGTTTCTGTGTATAGTAGTTCTCTTGATCGCGTATCGTTTTGGATCTTGCTTGGACACATCTTCAGGCGTCTTAGTAGGCGAACGGTCTTTGCGCCAGTGAGCATCACTGACTACACGCTTCAAGGGAGCCCCTGCATGTTTGACGTCGGAGTTCAAGTTGTTCCGGGAAGTGCTTCTCTTACGGATCCATGCTTGTCGGTCTCCATCAAGTTCTCGAGGAGTCTTAGGCGATTTAGTTGGAGACGACTGCCGGCTGCCCCTGCCTGCATCAGGCTGAAACTTGTCGTGGGAGCTCCTGCTTGGTCTTTTGGCTTGTCTCGTATTGTCTGCATCGTCCTCGTACTCGACAGTTACCACGTTCCCATCCTCTTCTGTGATGGCGGCTTCAGCACTGTCAGCCTGCCATCTTTGCACCCTCTGGTGAATCTTATCAGTGTCGTATAGGCCGGTTTGCTTGCCGGTGTCACGGCCGCTTTTCCTCATGTGTGACTGCTCGCGCCGAGAAGAGATTGTTGTAGTCGGGATGATCCTGGTAATGCGCTAAATATGTTGCGACTGAAAGGCGACAATCAGAGACAAGGTACATGGAGGATGTTGGTCCGACGCAGGATTGGGAATTGGGGATTGGTTCGAAGAAACGAGAGCGAAGTGATGTATACAGCACGGTATAGGACAGGGTGCGCAACCTTGCTAGGGAGCATGTGGGTTCGGGCAAGCAAGATCCAACTGCCAAACCACGTCAGTGTCGACCACATGCCCGTTGTTGTCGATGTGTGTCTTACGGTTTCAACGGCGAAGGTGGAGAGAACTGGACCCTGGTGGCATGTGTCAACGGTGGGGAACAGTCTTTTACAGCTCACACTTGACCGCGGGATTGTTGGTAGAGTGCATTGTTAGAGGAAGAGGTCGGACAAGCGCATCGATGAGAGCGAGGACAAGAACTAGGCTTTGTGTTTACAATCGGAAGGTGCAACCAGCCATCCCACGCATCACGATCCGCTCCATCCCCAGCCCGCGAAACGCCCCATCTACTGTACGCGTATCATCTTTCCTTATCTTGGCTCGATCGACCCCCCTCTCTCTCTCCCTCTCACAGTCATAGGCGCCGACTCTACAAGCTATAACATTGCACAATTGCTATCTGGACCACAAGCATGGCCATAGAGATACCTCGCAATAAAATGTCTCTCCGTGGCCAGGGCTTGCTTCTGGAAGGTATTGTGCATTTTTACACTAGTATATGATAGTCACTGGGACGCGAGATGGTGGATATCTGGAGCAGCCAAGGTCTGTTGGTTGTTGCAGTACGACTATACATTAGCGCTCTGTCTGTTGATGTTCTACCTGGTATCTTCGTCTTGAGCCCCTACATGGTCTTCTTCGAGCCCCTGGTCTCCTGGACTTGTCGAATTGCGTCGCCACTGGCCTTGACGCTGTTGTACAACAACACTGCNNACAATATCAGAAACTCTGCAAGAACACGCAACTGCCCGAACTACCTACCTGCAGGAATCACGATCCAGAAGAAGTTCGCTCCAAAATAGTATCCCCAGAAATAGTAGGCCTCCGGTCTCGAATATTCAATGCCCAGGTAGTAATGATCGGCCATGCTGGTAGCATAATAGAGAAGGTCGCCATAGCACTGCCCAAGACTCACGGCCGCTTGCAGGGGATGCCTTAGTGGATTCTCGGTCGCAATCAGCACAGCAACCACGAAGCTCAATGGACCCCAGAGCACNNCTTTTGGAGTTCACCAGTAAGCTTTGAGAAAGGCAAGAATTGACGAGGAATTACTTACTGCAGTCATGGCCTCAACACAAAACACAAAGACGTTCTGTGTCAAGTATCTGGAATCCGACAAAGCATATTCTTTCCAAAGCTGACCAAAGAATGTCTGCAATCCACCCATGCTCGTATGGTTATACGCGAAATAACNCTGGTAAAACACTCATTTTTAAATTCTTCCAGTCATTATTTCAGCACGACCTGACTCACCTTCGAAGAACAAGTGTATACATCCACATAACACGAACCACATAACTGTGAGCAGTTCGATGGTTGGCAGCCTCGGGTTGACCTTCTTGACGGCCAAATATGTTGCAACGAAGATTGCAGCACAGCCGGCAACAAATGAGCCCAGAAGCGACAAAACAGTGGATTGATTAGCCACATAATCGCCAATATTGGCATCCGTCGGGTAGTAGGGATGTTTGACGCCGTCGTAGCCCATCGTGCTGTTCATCAAGGCCTGGAGTGGTGAAGCCATTGGAGAGTCCGCAGAAGCACCCATCTCGTCCACAAAAGATTGTCAACCAAGCAACTAAACGAATGATTCCGCGGCAGAAGTCAGAGAAGGAAAACGAGGATATAAGAGGAAGAACCCCAGACAACCCAGACCGTAAATTGCCGGTCAACACGCAATACAATTCATTAATTATTTTCGAGCATGATGACGATACCATAACTCGACCATTTCCCGCGCTAAAGATTCAAGGTTAGCCAATCGGAAGGGCAGGGACTCCGATCGGCCCGCGAACGTGCCTGAGAGATCGATCAGTTGCCTCGGCCGAGTGTGGCACAAACGCACCACGCTGATCGCATCATGGGAATTGTCAAAGACCATTGTGCAGGTTAGGATCGTTGTTGCTCTTGAGAGAAACACGGGGTTTGACTTCGAGAAGCTGTTACTGTGTGTTCCAACGATGTGTTGTTGGTCATGCTGCGAGCCCACTTCATCCGACTAGACGAACAACTCGGTGGCTTTCAGCGAACGCCACAAGCTTACGGAGAGTAACTCCGCCAACTCGCAGTAATAGGTCATATCAAGAAACTGTCCAAGGTATCCAGCTGTGAAATTGTGGCTGATGAGCATATGAACAGAGATATTGCTTCTGCTTCTGCTTCAAGACTCGAACAGGCCTGCGTGGCTGGTCCCTCTTGCCTACAAGTGTGCACAAACGACTGCTCGAGCATTCAACACGAAAGGTGCGGTTTCATTCTACAAGAAAGATATGTATAAAGGATGTGCATAGAAAAGGGGTTTCCACGACTTAGACTGCACTGTAGCCTCCACGGCTGGTGCGTCCTTGGACCATACCAACAATCGAGCGGCCCCAGTCTTTGACAGTGTACGGCAGATCACGCCAGAAATCCGCGTGTGGTACTGAGTCGAAGCCTTGCGAGCCATACTTACTGCTATTAAGCCAAGTTCCGAAAATCAGATACGCGGCTGCTCCCAAAAAGGCNNGCTGTAGACGGCATTAGCAAAGGCCTAAGTTCGAAACAAGCCACAAGAGATCTTACATGATAAGGAACCAAGTGAAAAGGCCCCAGTGTTTGCTAGAGTTGTTGCCAGAGGTGGGCTTGTGTTCAGTCATACCCTCGCACGCGTACTTTGTCTTCCATTGCAGACGCAAGACATCGAATTCGGCATCACCCTCGCCCTCCGACCTGTAGCTGATTAGCTCCAGGCTGGCGTCCCCACAGGCTTTTCCTCGTCCTTTTTGTCATCCTTCTTNGTCATCAGACTCGGCGCGAATCACTATTCCTTCCGCTTCTTGTTCCTCGTCAAGCTTGTCGCGCGTGTCATGCTCAGAACCCTCCAGACCGGTCCTGTTGCGATCGCACTGGAACTCGATGATGGCCTTTTGCTGACGACCGTCGGACTTCTCGAAGGGATACCTTCCTCCATGCAGTTCCACTCTCAACCCCTCCTTGTTGGCATCGTCGTGTGAAGGAGAGTTCTTCAGGCGAGTCCACTCCGGGTCCAGAAATCTACCATGAGATCCGGCATACTGGCCAGCAATGGGCATGACTCGCCTGATGGTGCTGGAGTTGTCGGCGAGGTTATAGTCGTACTCGATACCGCAAACTACAACTTGTGAGCAAGCGGAATCACTGACACTGAAGTAGGACTAGATACCATATGTGCCAGTTTGGCATTCATTGTCCTTCGGGACGTTCTTGGTTCTCTTGAGCGGATTGCAGATATCGACAGTGAAGGTGGTGTTGGAAAGACTGGGAGGGTTTTCTTCGATAAGGTGCACAGCGCGAGGACCGGCCAGCTCCGAGAGATCAAAGTGTTGGCCCTTGACCACGACGTTCTTGCAGTCAAGAGATACGGCCGTCGCCGTCGTTGCTGAGAGAAGGAATAGAGCGGGCAATGACCCGAGCACGCCTTGTGCCCACATGTCTTTAGGGAGCTGTCGGAAAGGTCGTCGGAATGGATGCGCAGGGAAAGGACGATATGGCGCAGTTGCGGCAAGAGCGATGAGGCAGACGGACAGGAAAAGACGGATCCGTAGAAGATGCAACAGTGCGAGGAGGAAATTGAGAGAGCGCCCTCAGACAGGCAATCAAACCATAGTGCCAAGCCGCGCCCGCACTCTGGCTGGTACCTCTATACCTCTTTCGCAGTCCTCCTTCCACCTGCCACGACACATTCACGTCCAACCACATCACCCGTCATGTCTCACCATGCCCGTATCGAAGAAGTGTCCGACAGCGACTCTGACCCATCCGAGATGGATCCTTCGGACTTTGATCCTGGTCTTTTGAACTCCATCATCCAGCCCGCCAACATTCCCTCCACCGCGCCTCCATACTCGCAGCAGCAGCAGCAGCAGCAGCAGCCTGTCCTGCAGCCGCACTTTCCTGGCCGCCCGCCGCCAGACCAGAATGCCGAGCGCGAGCGCACCAAGCATTACCAGTGTCTATACCCCATCTACTTCGACTCATCTCGCTCCCGCGCCGAAGGTAGACGGGTAGGAAAGAACGAGGCTGTCGCAAACCCGCTAGCACAAGACATCGCCAATGCCTGCTCGCAGCTACCTGTCGCAGGTCAGGTTGTGTTCGAGCCTGCAAAGACACACCCCAAGGACTGGGCCAATCCTGGCCGCGTGCGTGTCTTGATCAAGGAGGATGGCAAATCCGCAGGCAAAGGCTCCATCAAAAACAGTACGTCAGCTGTCATCACATGTCGAGACGTCTAGTTCTGACTTCACACAGAGCACCAGCTGTACAAACTGGTTGCCGAGTACCTGCGAGCACACCCCACCACCGAGGAATCGCCTATGCGCATGCGCATTGCCGGCCTACCACCCCCGACCAAGCCCATCCCACCACCAGCTGCGCCCAAAGGTTGGAAGATCGGTACGATATTACCATTACACTCCCCCGCTCTAAGCGGAGGAGGCGTGAACGAGAACTACTTTAAGGATATGATGCAGGAAATGCAGGGAATGCAAGGTCAACCTGGAGTGCCCACTCTGCCTGCGGGTATGGAAAGCATGTTTGGTGGCGGTCCCGCTGCTGCGCCTGAGCCACCTGCTTCCAAGAAAAAGGATAAGAAGAAATCCAAAGCCTAAACGCCTGTCCAGTTCCTGGGACGCCCAACCACCTCCAACCGTCTAATGTACATAACCCCTGACATGAACGCTTGACATGAACATTTAAGTCGTCTTGATGACCTTGGGCGGAGTCATGGGCAGCTCGGTCTTGAACACCCAGTCCCAGAAGCGGCTGGTCACACCGAAGCCGTTCTCATAATCGGCAAAGTGGTGTGCCAGGTGATATTTCTTCAGCTCGCGCCAGTAAGCAGGAAGNNGCTAGAAGCTGTCAGTTAACGATGTTCGCTTCGCATAAAATGGAGCAACTTACGTCTTGTGGTGCAAGAAGTAATGAGTCAAATCGTAGCAAATGTATCCAAAGATACCACCACAGAAGACTGCAGTGGCGGCATTCCAGTCATAGAAAAAGACGGCGTGAGCGAGGTACCAGAAAGGTGTGGCAAGAACAAGGAAGAGGGTAGGAGGCATGACCAGGCGCAATCTGTCCATAGGCAGGTAGTGGTGAATGCCATGGAGCAGGAAATGCAGTGTGAGGCCAACGCGGTTGTCGGGTAGATACTGGTCCAGATGGAACAAGAAGCGATGCAAGACGTATTCGACCAGCGTCCAGATGCAGAGACCAGTGATCCAGTAAGAAGTCAGGCCAACGGTAGAGAGTCCTTGGCCTGAGAGGTAGGTGCCGTAGGCGACCGGAGGCACCCAGACAGTGGGCACTACCCACCAAGGAGTCTTGCTCAGGGGCTCAAGGAAGTTGCCAAAAAGAGGCGCACTGTCTCCGCCCTTGTAGTGACGAGGACGGTGCACTTGCTCAAGGTAGAAGTCCTTGGTGAAACCACCCCTCCATACCTGCATCAGCAGAGGCTTGTTGAGATCAAGAAATTTGTGGGTGCGATAATCAGAGGTAGCGTCCGTCTCTTTGGATAGATCCTCCTCGCAAGACATTCCAGTGTTCTCGTACAGCGGTTGGTTGACACCGTCCTTGCGCAGCTGCTTGGCACCGGTCTCCGAAGGCGGCAGGGGTACAATATCGGCCGGATGGGTGCTGTCGGTAACGGAGTTCATGACAGCCTCGGTAGCGACAAAGCCAACAAGATAGTCGTCGAGAATCTCCCAAGCAGATTCCGAATGGAAGTGGGAGGCTGTGTCGTCCATAATGTCCTTGACATCTTTGCCGCCATATTCGACAATTAGGTCACCACCACCTGGGTGATCCTCAAGAAAAGGAGTGATGTCGTAGACCTTTGTACCGACGGTGACATAACAAGACTTGGCAGTGTTGTGCGAGGCGACGTCGGCCTGAGGAATGGTGGGCAGTGTTCTTGTTCTCCCAGGCATGTTGTCACAAAGAGCCGATCAGGTGTAAGCCGGGAGCGGCGGACTGGTCGGATGTAAATAAAGGCGAAAGGTCAGATGCAATGTCAATTGGCGGGAAGAAATCGAAAACCAAAGGAGGGCGGACGCAGGCAAATATAACAGTCTCCTGAAAATGCAAACGTAGGCAACGAGGTTTGGAAAAGTGAGGTGATGGGTGGCGTGCCTGTCAAGCAACCCTTTCAGGGAAATTTGGACGGGCGCAAAACACCCGGGCCGCAACATGCCGCTCAGTCTCGCCGCGCCGAGGGGTCCGGCAGCGCGTCCATTGATTTGGCACCTAATTATCTATCGAACACCTTGCTTCGAGCCTCACAATGCACTTTGTCACTCGAGATTCCGATCAGGCATCGTCAGCTCGATACGCGTCTTCACGCTCATAGCGAGGCACATCATAGCCGGCACGTTATTGCCCACGCAAACGCTGATTTTGGCCGGCGTCTTTTGCAGAGATCTAGGCAGGCAAACCCCCGCGAAACGGACGCTCGCCAAGCACGCTCCGCGACTTCCCTTGTACAGTAGCGACCGAATTTGCTCTCTCTCCCTTCACTACCACCACGTATATTATCGCTCTTCAAACTTGACACCGTGTACATCCATCCCGTCGCAAACTCTCATCAGACAGACTCTACTTCAGCCCAGGATCAGCGTGCCAGCCGCCCCACGCCCACCCACGCCACAAGTCAGCGCAAGCCTTTGCTTTGCTTAGTTTTCTCACCAACCAGACATCATGGGTGCCCTAGACATCTCGGTCGAAGAACTTCTCGAGTCCGCACAGAGAGACGCCTCCGCTCAAGAAGCACACACTACCACCACCAGCAAGGACGATGACGCTGCTCGCTCTCGCCGCGGCACTACGGCCGATGTTGACATGAAGGACTCGGACAACGTCTCTGCTAATGGAAGCACACGTAGTAGGCGTAGAGACCGCAGCGGGGACCGCTCATCCCGCCGCCCTGATTCGCGTGACCGTCGCGAGCGATACCGATCCAGTGGTGGTGACTTTTACCGCGGAAATGGCCGTAACAGAACTAGATCCCCTTCAGACGACGACAGATACTACCGCCCCTCAGACCGCTCGCGTAGAGACGACGACCGTCCTCGCCGCCGTGACAGAGAACGTGGCGAGCGTCGTTCTCCCCGTCGCGACCGCGGCGATTCGTACCGTGGCGGACGTGCTGCTCGTGATAGATCCCCTCCTCGCCAGAGGACCCCTGAACCCACCGATGACGAGCGCGATCGCCGCACAGTTTTCGTCCAGCAACTTGCCGCTCGCCTACGCACCAAGGAACTTGAGGCTTTCTTTGCTCAGATCGGCCCCGTCAAGGAAGCCCAAATCGTCAAGGACCGTGTTAGTGGACGCAGCAAGGGCGTTGGCTACGTCGAATTCAAGGAAGAAGAGTCGGTCCAGAAGGCACTTGGCTTGACTGGTCAGAAGCTTCTTGGTATCCCTGTCATTGTACAACTCACAGAAGCTGAGAAGAATCGCCAGGCCCGTGTAGCAACTGGACAGCCTACGCAATCTAACGGCATCCCCTTTCACAGGCTCTACGTCGGTAACATCCATTTCTCTGTCACCGAGGAAGATTTGCGCGACGTCTTTTCGCCATTTGGTGAGCTCGAGTTTGTCCAATTGCAAAAGGAGGAAAACGGACGCAGCAAAGGTTATGGTTTTGTGCAGTGAGTGACCACAACAATCTAACATATACCGCCGCACGTGCTGACAATTCTCAGATACGTTGACCCTGCTCACGCGAAGGCAGCACTCGCCGACATGAATGGCTTTGAAATTGCCGGTCGTCCTATCCGTGTTGGTCTCGGCAGCGACAAGTTCACCCCCGAGTCAACCGCCAGTCTGCTGCAACGTTTTGGTAGCCAAAACCAGGCTGCTCAATTCCAAGGCTCGTCCTTTTCTGGCGCTGGAGGTCGTGGTGCCCACGCTGGCGGTAACAACAACTTCGACCGTGCTGGCGCACGCGAAGAGAAGGGTACTGGCGGTGCCAGTGCTCTCGATGATGCCGACGTTGGAGGCGTCAACTTTAACAACTTCAGCAGAGACTCCCTCATGCGCAAGTTGGCTCGTACTGAAGACCCTGCTCCACAGACCCAGGCCACTTCTTCTCGCCCCCGTGCTGATGCTAAAAAGACTGTTATGCATACTCCCGCCCCAAGCCGTTGTATCGTAGTCAAGAATGCCTACGACGAAGCTGCGTAAGTTGTCTTTATCCTTGTCCTGCTTGAACCTCTGCTCACATGTACCCTNAGCCAAACCGACCTGCACTGGGCAAAAGACCTCGAAGAAGATTTCAAAGAAGAGTGCAGCTCCAAATACGGCAAAGTCGTCCACATCGGTGTTTTCCGCGATAGTTCTGACGGCGAAATCTATGTCAAGTTTGCCGATATTGCCGGGGGCGACAGCGCCCTCAAGGGCCTTAACGGCAGGTACTTCGATGGCCGCACGCTGACGGCCACGCCAGTTGTCGATGCTGTCTACAACATGAACTTCCCCAAAGCTGCTAGTCTCTAAGTCTGGCTCGAGCACCAACGATCACGACAAACCAAGATGAGTGCTGACAATGCAGATTGCATGTTCTGGCCTGAGCGAATCGATTTGGGCACACCTTGAATTTTGACCCACAACAAAAGAAAGGTATAGCGACAGCACAGATGCTGTTTATTTCATCCTGAGCAAGCATGCGTCCTTAGACTGACCGCATTGCGATATACTCGGCGGCAGTGCTTTACCCCTCGAATAAACGTCTAACGCCGACGATGTTCACACATCGTCATCACGAGAGATTGGCAGGTGTTGATAGGGCGTTGCACGAGTTGAGTCAAAAATGGCCGCAGCAAAGAAGATCAGTGCGATCGCAACTGACACATGTATTTTGATTGACTAGAAATGTAAACTGTTCTTTCCGTGTTTACTCGTCCGTATGTTCCTAGCCTCATGGTGTGTCGAGGTATGCAATTCTTAGATTTGTACCGCAACAATACCGAGCGATTTGTATGTAGAACAAGATTTCTGATGCACAATTGTCTTCAACCAGAGATCTGTGTTGGGGAAACTGATGTGAACTCGACTCGGTGGACATTACATGAACTCTGGATACCGTCGTGTAATCATCTAGCTACATGCTCGACAAATCATGAAAAGTGGGTGATTGTTGCCTGTCTGTAAGTCGCAGAACCTTCAATCACTGGGTAATGATGTTCAACATTCTATTGATCCGCTTCGAACACTCTAAGCTGGCTTGCTTAGGGATCAAATCCAAATCTGAAGGAGAACACATCCTCTCTTCCTTGCCGCTTCTTATCATTCCTTCAAGGCCACTGTATCTCAATCTACCTGGTACCTTCTCCACTCGCCTTCATCTTCCCTGCCCTCCTTTTCCAGAGAGCACCAACACCCCTGTCGCCTTTGTCAAGCCTCGCCAGACATGGAACTGGGATGAGCCCGTCCTTGAACTGCTCTGCAGTGATTCGTTTGGTCAGCGTGGTCTGGTTGGGCCACTGTACAGCGTTCTTGGGTGGACTAGGCGTTCCATCATTTGCATGTATGCGTCGTCGTTCAAAGAGGCGGAATGGCAGATCCGGAGCTAGGTATCTGTCATGCATCGGCGAAGGAGAGGAGCTGCCATCTAGAAAAGGATTGCCGGTGAACTCTGAATACAGAGATGTAGGTGAGCTCGGTCGGTGTATGTTGTCCGTTGTTGGAGGGACTGGTCNNCCGGTGAGATTCTTCTGGCAGGACTACGGACTGTTGAAGAGGTTGGGTTCGTCCGAGTCATCTGGCTGACGCAACTTGGGTCGAGCAAGATGTTTCTGTTCACCCAACTTGGTTGCGTGATTCGCTCCTGAGGTCGTTCTTGCAGTGGCAGCTTGGGTACAGGGGAACAAGCTAGATGTAGGGAGCGTCCAGGCCCTGGAAGCTGAGGCTTTGGAGAATTGTGAGCAGAGTAATATTTTCTAGCCGAGTACATTTCTGGAGGAGCTTGATCGGGCAGAAAGGTTTGCGGAACGAGTTGCTCAGGGAAGTAGCGGTTTGGCGAGCCTGACATTGGCAGGCATGTTTCAATGGGCAGGTGCTGAGGCGAGCTTTGCTGACCTGCAGTTGCTTCCTTTTGCCCCGCGTGACTTCCAGCAGGTTGCTTGTTTTGTTGCTGTTCAATAGCCTCGGACTTCGTATCTGTCTTGTCGAGAACTTGAGTGTCATCTATAGCCTGGAAGCTCGATACCCTTGTCGATTGCACGTATGGCAGGCCACCCAGCCCAAGGTTTCTTTGTCGATACTCGCTCGTACCTTCTGCTCGCAGTCGTGCCCACTTTCTCGCTTCTCGAAACTTGGTTCCCATCCTCTCCATCTCGGTGAGAGCAGCGTCTACACAATCAACATCGCCGTCGACTGTGTAGCGAACCCACTCGCGACAGAAGCAAACACGGGTACTCAACATGTCGGACCTACGCATCGAGCCCAACAACAAGGCACCCAGCGTCATGGCCGTCTCCACGTTTTCTCCCATCCTAGCCAGAATACAGGCGACACATCCATCGGCTTGACGTGCATACCTCGGGACAGGCAAGCGACTGAACTTTTNCATGAACTCGGACGAGGACAGCCACAATGACTGTAGCTCATCCATCAATGCTAGTTGTTCGATCTGCGAGGCGGATAGAGCACCAGCTAAGGCCACATGCTGCCAAACATTTTGTGTTCTGACCTCGATCTCGTATCGTAGAGCCGCAAAGATGTCCTCCAAAGGTTTGAAGTTGAGACGACGGTGAAGGCTGCATAAATTGTGATTGGTGGACCAAGGTAAGAAGGATGGTAGTGAAGTGACAGCTCTGAGTTTGGGTCCAAGTAGCGATGTGCGCTGGTTGGTGTGTGACACATAGGCCGTCCACACAGCTCCATCTCGAGGTGTGTTGACAGGCGGCGCGTGGCAGAGGACTGATGCTAGCTGGCTGACTTCGAAGGGAAACAAGTCTTCGTAGCCTCTAGCACGACGGTGTGTAGGCAACGCTGGTGGAGGCGCGTGTCGACGGCGAGGTGTCCATTTCCCACGTTCTTCCGGTGAAGGCGGTCGAGCAACAGAGAGGTACGACAGTGACGAAGAGGTTGATGACGCCGAGATTGCTCTTTGTTGTTTGCCAACTGAGTGTTCCATGTTTCCAACGACCATGTGGGATTGTTGATTGGCCATTCGCTCACTACTGGAACGTAGAAGTTCACCTTCGAATGGCAGTTCTCAAGGCGCCGTTGTTGGTCGGATCTGTGGCTGTGTGCAGGAAGCAGTGTGTTGAGCAGTCACGGTGGTGCTAAGCTCGTCCAAGTAGTCGGTCGCTCCAAGACGGTACTATGAATGAATTGTAACGTGAGTATGTAACAGGCGTTTATTTCGAGTTAGGCTCAGATTGGAAACTTGGAAAGAGTGCTGCAGGTATCCTATATATCAGTTGCACCATATCGACGTATTCAGAAACAGGGACACGGTTGATCTGTGCAAGAAGCATGTCCTTCGAGACCCGAGTGGAATCTTCTAATCCGTCAGTATTTGTCTGGCATGTTCTATCCAAGACATATGTCTTGACGAGCTTGCCGTGCATGTCGTGCGTGTCTTTAAACATCATGCGAGGAACAACGAAACTCACTTTTTGCGAGTGAGGTTTCGAGTCAACAAGCAAGCACCAGTAACGATGACTTGAAGTGTTGCAACAAATTGGGCTTACATCAGCGATGGTTGAGATGAGACATGACACGACGGATAAAGATAGTATTTTTCAAGCCCATAGGGCGCCGTAATAGAATATGAAAGACCTATCTTGATACCACTATCTGTGCAATGTTATGCACCTCTCGTCTTTCCATTCTATGCGACTAATTCGCTCTGGATTTTTACTGAGCAGAAAATACTGCCAATGCCCGCCCGATGCAGAAAAGGAAGACAACACAACATGTTTTGGCAGGCGCTCGCTAAGGTCTGCCATAATGCTAGCAAAGACAAAAATGCAGTCGAAGTAATTCAGACTTTTCTTGGAGAAGAACGGTGCTCAAGCAATACTTTGCAACAGAGCCGCAGGATGCATGAAATCGGTGGGCAAATCACGGTATCAACCTCGAGCGGCCACCTCTTGTGATTTGACGAAGTGGGGTGCTCGGAGGGAAGAGGTCGGCGGAGTATATCGGGTAATTCCACCCAAAGTTGTATCGTTTCAATCATTGAATGCAAAATGCTTTGAGGAAAGATTGTGGACTTGTGGCGTAACATGTCTCAGAGCCCGGGAACAGTCCATGCATTAAAATTCTGCATTGAACTTGACCGTACCGGATGTCCGTAGGAAATGGGGTTGTTGCTGACGCAGAAAGAGCAAATATATGCATGTTGGGAGGAGTCAAGGCCAACACAACCAGAGTGGGAGTACATAGCACAGAGGTTGCATTGGATCATCCTACCGTCGTCGAATGGAATTTGGCAAATGCATCGTGTCGTGGAGCTCATATCGTTCGTGAATGATTGTGGAGGAGGTGCCGAAGTGAAAGGCATGGGCGTGTATTCCATCGTGAAGGAGCCGCGCGGATCGAATATTGGTGCTGTCGGTGTGGCCGTTGGGTAACTGACACTGTGGGATTTTGCGTGGGTATGTGGGTAAACCTGGGTGTTCAGAGGCAGCTGCTGCATCTGTTGGACTTGTTGTATATGCTGTGGTCTTTGCGGCTGGGGTTGTTGAATCTGTTGAGGTGCTTGAGGCGGCTGTGTCTGTTGTACTTGGTGCGGTTGTTGTATCTGGTGTACTTGATGAGGGCGTTGAGGCTGCGACAACTGTCGAGGTCGTGAGATACTCGAGGGAACAGTGTCCGAGCGACCGGAGCGGACAAGCGAGACTGTAGTCTTGTCAGATTGACGGTGGCTGGACGAGATCGGAATTCCTGGAGAAACGCGATGAGCAGCGGCCTGGCGAAGAGCAGCACCAGCATCTGCCTTGACATGCATCTCCTCTTTGTTCAGGTCCATGGCAGCCAAGTTCTCGAAAGAGCTGTTTAGCGAAGACAACGTGTTGCGTCTGCTTTGCACACTTGACGGTCGTTGTTGCTTCTTGGCACTACCCTGCCGTCTCAATTGTATCGCGGCTGCATAAGCAGTTTTGCACGGAGTTTTCAGCGATGCCGTCGAATTCGAGCGCGGCAGCTGTGCCATCTCGAGGTTGTCTGACAACGTGTCAAGCCTTGCCATTTTAGCCGATCGCTCTTGACCAGCATTGGCGTGGGCAAGCGAATCATGGCGGCTCGGCCATGTGGTGCCACATGTCGAGTCTGACTCGCTATCCGAGTCATCCCATAGATTGGGATACTTTTCCTTGATCGACTGCGAGTCCTTCTTGGTTTGGGAGGGGCTCTCTTCAATCACCCTAGTTTCTGTCCTCGCAGTTCCATTGGCGTCGATTGTAAGAACAACAGATGTGCGGACCTGAGGTCGTGAAGACTCAGCAATTGAGGACAAGGAGCCACGTGCTATTCGCTTGAGGGGAGAGGACCGGCGTGGGAGATTGCAGAAAGAGTTGCTTCGACCAAGCGAGGTTGCAGCATCGGGAGTTTGCGATACGATGGTTGGACTCGGTTTCAAGAAGTTTCCGACCGTGTTGCTGCGCTGCAGAGCACTATTCTTGACTGGTGAGGCCGAGGTTGAGGGAAAGGCAGGGGCTAGACATGGCTTGGCAGGCGACACAGGACGTGCCTCAGGAATGCTGGGGAATTGGCTTCTCAAAGGCGACGAACGGAGATGGATCGGATCCACACTGGGTGGTGCGGAAGGCTTTTTGGCGACGGTGGGAGTAGCATATGGAACATTGTTGGAGCTGGATGAGCGAGTTACGGTAGGACGTGAGGGAGCCGAGGACTGCAGAGGGACATGCGACCAGGACGACTGAGAGGCATGGGCGGGTTGAGAAGATATCGAGGGTTGGGTTGACCAGTGTGAGAAGGGATCGTCTTGGTTGGCAGTCCAGGCAGGAGCCGACAGCGGAGCAGACGATGGGCCCGAGAGCTGGCTCCACGAGTTCATGGAGTGCTGAGGAGCATTGAAGCTGAAGGCGGCAGCGTCAAAGCTGGGCTGGCGGAGAGCAGCACTAGATGCTGTAGGCGTAACACTGTCCAGTCGTTGCGGCCTCCGCTTGATGGACGAGCCTCGGGTCGGAGGGGGTGTCTGCATCTGGAAGACGTGGGATTGGGACTGAGGCTGGCTCGAAGACTGGCCCTGACCCTGGCCCTGGACAAAGGACGGACTCGTGGCAAAGTCGTACGTGTGGTAGGACTGCTGGTGCTGCTGCTGATGCTGCTGCTGATGCTGCTGCTGATGCTGCTGCTGGTGCTGAAGCTGGTTCTGAAGCTGGTGCTGAAGCTGGTGCTGATGCTGGTGCTGATGCTGCAACTGTGGGTAGGCTACATAGTGCGGGTTGCTGTCTATCGACGTGGCAGTGGCCGTCGACGCTATCGAGTCTCGCTTGTGGTGGGCATAGTCGTAGGTGGGAAAGGCGTCGTGAAAGTGCGTCTGCGTCTGCGTCTGCGTCTGCGTCTGCGTCTGTGTGGGCGGAGCGGCATTGTTGTCGACATTGACATCAAAGGCGGTCGTGGTCGGTGTTGATGACGGCGTGAATTGCTGCCAGTCCCTGTGACAAGACAAGGCGTCACGTCAGCTCTGGGCAGCAGCCATTTGTTTGCGTGCGGCTTGCTGATGCTTGCTTGCATGCAATGCAGCTCCGACGCCCTCGGCCATCGACTTACCAATTCATGCTTGCACCCTCGAACTGGCTCATCTTTCTCACCACAACAAAAGTGCGAATTCCAGGGCAAACGGCAGGCCCAAGAGTGTACGAGTAGAGTCTATGTACGAAAGTTGGGTCTCACGGTCCAGTCCGCCTCAGAAACGTCCCTTGCAGTCCACCGACACATGCCACGCCGTAGCTCACCAACAACCACATAGGTAGCTTTGTGCAGATGCCGAGACTGTCAGAACCGTTTGCTCTTCTCCATTAGACTTCCGCCAAACGAGTGTGCTTCCGCCGCTCCGCGATGCCCATCGCCCGCTGTTTCCTGGGTGCACGCCGTTGTCTCTAAATCCAGCCTGCCTCAGGGTCCGTTCTGCGCGCCTGCCTCGCTCGTGGCAGTGCGGTATTGCGTCAGACGAACATGGACTCCCTCTGCTCCTCTACGACGAGCCCTGCTCGTGCGAGGAACACCACAAGCCCATAGCAGGCCTGCCCAGCTCAGCAGCAACGTGCGATAGTCTGCCCACAATCACTGCATTACGCTTGCTTGTCTCCTGATATCATTACGTTGCAACCACCCGACACTCGTCAACCTGGCCCCTTTTTCCCTGCGTGACTGACACTGCTCCGCTTGGCCCTCGAATTACTACTGTTGGTGAGAAGCTTCTAGTAAAACGCAAAAGAGGTAAAATCCAAAAGCTTCCAAATTTCCCTGTGCAATCTTCGCAACAGGCAGTTGCTAGCCAGGCACAAGGCTGGGCTTTGCTCGCTTGAGCACGGTCGTTGTACCCACTGTGCAATCGCATTTGTCCTCAACACTCCCAAGCCTGAAAGCCACCTCTGTCCTCTGTATTGTATCTCCGATTTTTACAATATAGGATCGCACGTGGCAGTGGCAGGGTTCCTGTTGCTTGGCTCACATTTGTCCTGATATGGACTCTGAATGCCTCGGCTGGCTCCATCTTTGCTCCCAGTCTCCACCTTCACGTCCAACCTTGTCTGTTTCCTGCACATGCACTCCAGCCTTTGGCCCATTCAGGAAGTGCACTTCTTCAACCTACGCCTTGTTGGCTCTGCCTATCTATCTCGGCTGAAAAGTCCCTCGATTACTGAGCTGGCAAACGGTGTCCATGTCTAGCACTTTCAGATCGCTCGATCACCGATCAATCCAACGAAGCTGTCCACAAAAGCGTCGGGCAATTGACTTGAATCTGCCCGGACGGGATTATGCAAGCACGTTTCCCGAAGACTAAGATCCCACACTATTCCCAAGACGAGCTTCACGCTCGCTCGCATCCAGAGCACGTTTTGGTAAGCCCTAGTTACCACTCTGCTTGATCAACATTTGCGACTGCACGCACACTAGAAGAAGTCCGCACGCGCAGTCGTTCGTCAAGCTCTCGTAACACGGGAAGATTGGCTGATTGGACGTTTTACCCCTCACTCAACACCCTTTCTCCAGAGCCCAGCTCGCTCGGGTGACGACGATCTGCCGCACCCCACATCGACACTTCTCTTGCCTGTGTCGTCGAGGCTGCTTGGCTAGTCTATCTCATGCCGTACTATCCGTCTCGAGACCTATCTACATGCAGACATTCGGTCAAGTTGTGTGCGAGAATGGGCCTGCTTGAAGCTCCCAGCCTTCCCTCCTTCACGTCCCTTCCGTCCATCAACACACTCAGACACTGTATCCTCAATCGATCCTTTTTCTCAACAAGCGGGGGCACGCTGGCAAGCGCGTATCAACGGGTGCGGTCTTAGCAGAAACCAGCGCAGCCACGAGAAAAACAATCGGAGCAGCATGACATTCCGGTTTGAGTTAGAGGAAGAGAACATACCTCGTTCGTCGCATTCGAGTTCGCGGAGCCTCAAACAAGTCATTGCTTTCGCTCCCGGTGACAAAGACAATCCCCACAACTGGTCCCATCCAAGGAAATCCTTCGTCGTCTTCATTGGAGTGGCTTTGGTCCGTGTTCGTGTTGTCGAATACCAATCATTGTTCTGATAGGAAGCCTAGGTTATGTCTTCGACTATAGGGTCATCTATAGCAGCAGGAGCATCGCACCAATTTGCTACTTATTTCGATGTCACAAATCAGGCACAGCTGGTCTTGCCGACGTCCTCATACTTGGTTGGATATGTTGTCGGCCCGCTACTATTTGGGCCACTAAGTGAGAGCTACGGCCGAAAATGGGTCATGATTTCGACTTTTGTAAGGAACCGTGCTTGTCAATTGTTTGAAGCTCTGGTAATAACAGCTCTCATAATTCCTCTAGGCACTGTTTACTGCTTTCACCCTAGGCTGTGCTTTAGCAAACAACTTTGCAGCTTTGTGTGTAATGAGGTTGTTCGTGGGTATTGGCGCCTCCAGTCCTATCTCCGTGGTGGGTGGGTGAGTATGCAGATCCACAAACGTGGTTCGAATGCCTCGACTGAACGTCTTGCCAGCATCTATGCCGATGTATACCCTGACCCTGTGACCAGGGGTCGAGCTCTGACTATCTTCATGACTGTAAGTAATAATCCGCGGTACATGTATATCGCCCCACAAAACGAAGGGTGCTGGTTCCCAAATCCACAATATCTCCGAGCCTAGTTGCAGCAGCAGCTGCTATCTCTTGGCAAGGATCCTGGTGGCCTCCCAAGGCTAGAAGAGATGGCGCTGCTATCAACGGGTTGGACATGTCCGCGGTCATCTGCCTTCGCATGCAGGCTTATGCCTCGTGATGTACACGATTGGTCACTCTGCCAGCCGAATATGTTGGCACTTCTGATGCTAGCGCTCGACGTAGGAATAGTAGAGAATTGAGGAGCTAACTCCAGCCGCAGGCTACCACATTTGGCCCAATCATTGGGCCGATCATATCTGGCTTCATCGCTGTCGTTTCATGGCGCTGGATATTCTGGCTCTCGTTGATCATAGCTGGAGTCACTTGGCCGATCCTGCTTGTCAGCCCAGAGACTTACGCACCAGTCATCCTTGCCACACGTGCACGGCGTCTCCGCAAGGAAAACAGCAACCCCAACATCTTTGCACCGCTCGAGCTCGAGCATCGTGACATGAAGCAGATGATCACTGTTGTTCTGACCAGACCGGTAAGAATGTTCTTCACCGAAGCTATCGTACTATGCAGTTGTCTTTACCTATCCTTTGTGTACGCGATCTTTTACATGTACTTCCAGGCCTACCCGACTATCTTCAGCGGGATTTACCACTTCAATTCTGGCGAAGTTGGGTTGACCTTTCTGCCAATCGGAGTTGGAGCCATTTTTGCATGCGGTCTATACCTCTATTGGGATCGGGTTTTGGAGAGAGCAAAGGCGCGAGATCCGCCTGCTGCATGGTCACAGAGTGAGGAGTATCGGCGTCTGCCTCTCGCGTGCCTTGGAGGACCATTGCTCATGCTCAGTTGTTTCTGGCTCGGATGTGCGTATGATCCAGACGCACATACCGTACCACGAGATTGCAGCTTTGCTTACTGTTGTTCCTGTTCGGAGCACGTGTTATTACGACTGCCGCGATGCAAAAGTCTTTGGACTGTCTTCCTTCCTGGAAAGTTGCGGCAGGCATGGGTAGACTGACATCGCAACAATCTCGTGGTACTGTATTGTGGTTCTATCGAAGTTGTGCTGATGCTGCCTTCTAGGGACAGCTCGAGAGGATGTTCATTGGGCGGTGCCCGTTTTGTCGGCTTTGCCTTTTGGAATGGGTTTCCTGCTGTTGTTCATGTCTTTGGTCAAGTATTACACTTCCGTACTTTACTGCTTCGCCGGTTCGTTGGCTGACGTGGCCGCAGCTATCTTGTTGATGCGTACGAAGTGCTTGCAGCGAGTGCCATGGCAGCATCGGCTTGTTCAAGGAGCTTGTTTGGCGCAGTTCTGCCGTTCGCGGCGCGGCCGATGTAAGTGGTGAATATGCGATTTGAAAAGGACAAGAGGCCTCTGAATCTCGCAGCGGGATATTGGCCCGACTCCGCATACAACCTCTGTGGCGCCACAAGGTAGCATCACTAGCGATTGTGGCAACAGAGCCACGTCAAGGTCGAGAACTTACCCAAGAACGTGCTAACGTCAATGGATAGGTATGAACGGCTGGGTGTTGCGTGGGCTTGTTCATTGCTGGGCTTCCTGAGTTTAGCCATGTGCGTTATTCCCTTCGCCTTCATCCAATTCGGCGACAGCATTCGGGAGAAGAGCAGCTTCTGCCAATCCCTAAAACGACTCAAGATGCAAGAGGATGAAGAGCGGGAAGTGCAGGAGCGAAGAATGCAGCAAAGTGGGGTTGGCAAGGCCATAGCTGTGGAGAAGCTGGTTTGAAACGGACATGCAGTAGAAAGTCTTGGTTCAGACAAACATTAACGGGGCACTTGCTGGATATTCGGTTGAACGGTTTGCCTGGAAAAATGCATGTTTCGCTGGGCGGAATAAGGTGAAGTTCGGTCCAACAATAAATGACAATCGATTCTCTTTATGCAGGTGCGAAGTTTACTTCTGGTGAACAGTACCCTGCCAAGGTGCTCGGTTTTCTTTCAAACCGGTAACTGCCCATCTGTTAGCGCACGTCTTTCTAGAATGGTTCATCGAGTGTCTTTTCGCAACATGCAAGCAGTCGGAGCCTCTCGTTCTATTAGCATAACGAGTACAGACCTCTGGCATGGTACCACGTACTGCAAGTCAGATGTTCTATGCATGAACACAAGGATAGGATCTGCGGGATTTAGTAATTTCCAAGATAGCGTTTCTGGTCGTCTCGCTTTGCCTATTTACGCACGCTACAAAGCGTCTGTTTTCCCTAGCTTGCGGGTCGAGGATCGTAACTAAGAGCGGGATCCTCTTTTATCTCGTCGGCCGAGCGATCCTAGCCTTCTCAAGCCCTTGCTTCACATGCACATCAATAAATTGTGTAGGATCAGCAGTAGTCAGGACTCTGATTCCGACAGCTTCGTACTCGGGTACATAACAAAAGTCTCTGACCCGATGGTGGTTCAGATGAACCGTCATGAAACAAACTTCCGGCAGGATTGCGTGCTAAATCATGAGTTGAGATGCCATACTTTCCAACAGGTGAACCTCCTCGGCCACTTGATGAGATGCTTAACGGCCTTTCCACGAGGGACTAGTACTCAATTCGGCAGCATCTGGGAGTCTTACAGCAGCAATAAAGCTTCGACAATCTGTATAGTGATCAGCCTGAACTACGCCTGTCTTTGAACGCTTAGACTTCGTTCCCTTCCAGTGAAATATCGGCCGAGAGTGCATGCTTTTCCTCATTGAATACCCCCAAACGTCTCCATAAGTGTCCACTATCCGTTCCTGGTGTAAGATGCTCCCGTTCTTCTCGGTCTACCTCCTTGCTATCCTCCACTTCTACTCCCATAGTGGAGCAACGACCTCAACAGCCCGTTCTACCACGGCGCGTATCCTATCAGCCATGCTTCGCATGCTACATTCTACTTCGAGCGTCTCGAGCCAAACCTTGGCTACAATCTTGTCCACCTTGATCTCCAATCCGGGTACGGGAATGCCTGCTCTGTGAAGACGTTCTAGCTCTACCATCTCCAGCTGAGCTCTGGCTTTCTCTGCTGCTATGGGGTCGTCAGAGGCAATAGTGTCATCAACTTCGGAAACGTTGAGTTTGGGTCTCGAGATTGGAGTGATAGCATCCTCGCCAAACTGGGCTTCGAGGAACATGCATAGGCGTGAGAGTCTTTCTGATGGGCTGATGTGTGCATGGAGATTGCGCTTGTTTTCGTGGTGGTCGTGTGAGTGTGGATTCGAAGATTCTGCAACTCTGTTAGAATATTGGTCGCATGACTTCTGTTGATATAGGCACTCACGCTTCACAGCCGCAGGACTGCTTTCAACCGTGAAGAGGACGGCAAGAACAGCATCTGCTATTCCATCATTGGCAATGTTGCCTTCCCATTCAACTTCGACTTCGCCACGATCAGCCACCTTGACCCTGACTGAACCCATAACCTCGAATACGGTCTCCTGCTGTCTTTCGAGCTCCTCATCGGCGTCTCCGACATTGGCACCGTTCCCATTGGTCTCTGCCTTGACCACTTCGGAAGGCGAGGAAATTGTTTTGATGGCTCCAAAGGTGCCTTCAAGGGCCCATTTGATCAAATCAAGGCCCGCGGCAGCAAGTGTCAGTCTTTGACGGCATAAGATCGTTGTGGTTGTCAATCCAGCGTACTCCTTCAGATCCTCTGGCGCCATCAAGCTAAGTTTGAAATCGTTTTGCACCAAGACACCAGAAACTACCTGGTCCCCGTTCGCAGTCTTGAACTTCTTGTCATCTCTTGTATCATCGTCGTCAGAAATGGGAGGTGAAGGTGGGGCTGCTGATATCTGGATCTGGTTTGCGAGTCGACCAACCACTTTGGCAATCTTGTCCTGCTTGAAAGGAATGCGAAGTTCTTCGCAATTTGCTGGAGAGAAGACCTTGACGGGTGTTGTCTTGTTTGCGTTCAGGGACAACAGCTTGGACTTGAGTCTCATCATGTTTGTCTTCTCGCCGTGAACCAAAATNNCTGTTGTCATTGGATTAGCACGTATAGAAACGCTGCACTTTTTTACGGTACTAACCACCACAGGAGCTGCAACTTCCTCGATGAACTCGCGGTTCTCGGTTCCGTCGACATGTGCCGCGAATGAATATTCTTGAACTGTACACCTTCGAGGAATCATGACTTTTTCTCCCTCGGCACCCGGCTTTCCTCGACTACCTACACCTTGCACCCTACCACCCACTCTGCCGGTCATGACAGCTTGGATGCTTTCGGGCTCAGTAAGGATCATCTTCGCCATGGTGCCTTCGACGCTGTAACCAGTGACAATGACGCCATTCTTCGGATCGGGTGCCCAACGTTCGAGAAGAGCTCGAGACACGCCATTCTGGAGCATACCAGGAGATGCAAGCATGACACATCCCCCGACATCGTCGAATCTGTCAAGAGATTTTAGATTGCGGATCCAGCGGAAATCCCAGGGGCCTCCAGCACCAGCTTCACCATCGCTACCATCAGCTGCATGGGCAAGCCTGTTTTGGAACATTGACTTGATGTTGTCGTTCATGGCATCGATGTATGTTTGGTAGACAAGCATGCACTTCTTTGCGAGGTTACTGGCGTAGTAGATGGGATACTTTCTGTACTCGGGGTGGCGGTTCCAGTAGTCTTCAAGAATCAGAAGAAGTTCCTGCGCACGGCCGATGGCGAAGACAGGCATGAGGACACGTCCTCCGCGATTCAGAACACCAGTCAAGCTCTTCATCAAAGCAGTCTCACGTTCCAGTCGCGGGATGTGAGAGGCAACGCCGAAAGTGGACTCGGTGATCAAGACGTCCACCTTGACACCCTTGGGAGCCGAAGCGGGAATTAGATGACGGTCGTGTTCTCTTGAGTAGTCTCCAGTGAACAAGATATTGAGACCAGCGATCTCGATCACATACATGGCTGCACCAAGGACGTGGCCAGCTGGGTAAGGAGTTATGCGGATACCTGCGTGGGTGTGCGTGGTGTGGAAGGCAATGGTCTGGATCATGGGAAGCGTCGAAAGCACGTCAGCTTCAGTGTAGAGCTGTGTTGGCTGTTCTGCAGTAGCATGTGTGTTCCTGACGAAGCGTTAGTCTGTCATGATCGAGACATTGAGAAGAGAGAGATGGACATACTGTACACGGACTGAATCCTGCATTAGCCACTTGTAGATGGCTTTGGTTGGGTGGGTCATGAAGACACGCCCCTTGAAATTGGTCTTTGCCATGACATAGGGTAGAGAGGCGGCATGGTCTAGATGGAAGCTGCACAGCGTGTTAGCTATTGAGCTTGCATATCAGATACAAGCAAATCAAAGGTTCGGGCATGCAGAAGGCGAAAATTGAAACTCAGCTCACGGTCACCGGCACACAGGAGAAGTGGTGGAAACAGATTTCGATTTGGTTTATATACATGCTGCGGGGGGGAAGCTGCCTGGGTGTACAGGTTGTAGCATGCAGATGCAAGACAGTCAAGGGGGCTTGTGCAAAAAGAGAAACGTGTGCCGATGCAGTGACCGTGAGCGTGGCTGGTGAGCATACCAAGAAGACTTACTGAGTGATGAGGAGAATGTCGACGGTGCTCAGGTCGAACTCGTCGTAGAAGGGTAGAGAGGCCAGGCCATCGTACGCAGGATGGGCGCCGGCGTCGAGCATGACAGTTTTTCCCTTGTATTGTATTATATGGCATGAACGGCCGACCTCGTTTCCACCACCCAAGCACAGAAACAACAGTTCATCAGAGGGATCGATGGGCTCTTCGGGCTCGGGGGTGGCCGTGTCGAGCTTTCGCTTGGTGGCCATGGCGAGCGAACCTGTTGCTGGGAAGGTTGATGACGAGTCTTATAGAATATATAGCGAGGCTGATGGTATACGGGGTGTACTTGATGCGCGCATAAAATGTAGAGTGATGTGGCGTAGGGTTGTTGCTGTCGAGTGATGGATGGAGGAAGGAGGGTGAATTGCGCAGGCGCCGAGAGCTACAAGTGAGGAAGTGACGGTCGACGACGCGACACGGCAGCTTCCGCCGCGTCAAGGGCCCGGTCGGCAGCGCAGAAGCATACAACTTTCTACTGCTCATGACACAATCAACCCATCGCTAACCACTTTCGACATCGACGACGACTGTACATCTGTCGCCTTCCGGTCCATCACCGTCATCTTCGCCGTCCTCGCGCCTTACTCACACGCCTGGCCTGTACTTCTCGGCATGCTCTGTTGATACTTCCAACAACTGCTACAACCTTAGCTGCGCAGCGGCCACGGCCGCAACACCCATCCTCTCACCTACTCGCCCATAGTCGCCGACATGTCGCACAACATGTCGCCCTCCCAGCAGGCCCCGCCACCGCTGCCCCAGCATCCACTGCCGCCTCAGCAGCAACAGCAACAGCAGCAGCAGCAGCAGCAGCAGCCCCCACGACCAATTCCTCATCCTACACAGTCGCATCAGCCGCATCCACCTATGCAGCCTGTCTCGCGCCCTTACTCGCCTTATCAAAATAGTTCCTCGCCAACTGGCATCGCTCTGCCTCCTGCGAAAAGACCACGCCTTTCACCCAACCCTCAGTCACCTCATACCGCTCAGAGTCCATATCCTCCGCCTCCTGCTCTTCCCGAGACTCCATACGCCAACTACTCGCCCATGACTGCTGGCAGTCCCCCCGCTTTCAATGCGCCGCAACCCTACGCTCCTTCGCCCATGCCCGGCGCCATGGGGCCTCCTCCACGACCTACGCAGGAAAAGGCTGAGAAAGAGGACAAGGAAAAGATCACCGACATCAGCGACGTCACTGATGTCTTCCACGGTTCGGGTATCGATCTGAGGGAAGAAGAAAACTACATGACCAGCACCTACAGGAACGTGCACAAGAATGCGTCCTTCAACACCTCGTTTGGCTCCAATACGACTATTGCGTCACCGAATAATAGCTTTGGTCTGGTCTCGCAGAGCAGTTTTGGTAATCAGCCTGCTTTTGCGGGGAGCGGTCCCATTTCGCAACCACCAGTATCGCAAGAATCTGTCAAGGATGAGCTCGACCAGAAACACCGCGCTGCAGCACTTGCGCACAACGAAAAGCGTCAGCAGCACCTGAACGACCCGTTCTTACAAGCCAACAACATTCGTCATCGTATGCACCGCATTGCATATGATCAAGGCGTTGCCCTTAACGTGGAAGGACTGTATGACAAATTGCCCGAACGACCACAAGGTATCCAGGGTGTCTCGGCGACGGGTCCCAACGGAACAGCTGCAGTAGTCAAAGCGCATGGTTTGCTTCAAGAGACGGCGCCTCTGGCTGAAATTCTGACTCTTGTATCGCTTGCTGCAAACGAGAGAGTCCGCTCATTGGTTGACGAATCATATGCTATTGCTCGTGGCAGACGTTATGGCAGCCATGGAGTTGTNCCCCCCAACTTGTCAGATCTTGCAATTGGTGAGAATGAATCGGCAGCTGTGGCTGAGGTACCACGCATCACGAACTCTGCTTGGGAGAAGGTGTCTGAAGACAACATCGGCGGCATTGAGGGCGGCGTGGTGAAAGCCGAAACACCCGGTAAGTATTTCGTATATTGTAGCATGGGATCTGTCGCTAACGTGCAAGCTCANGAAAGCAAATCACTACCAACGAAGTCATTTTCTTCAGCTATTTCTACACATCTACTGGAGCTGGCCAAACAAGATCGGGATGCCGAGCGCGAACGTGTCCGTAAGCGTCAGGAACGTGCAAAGCGCGCCAACTCTACAGGAAATGCCGATGGTATCAACGGCAACGATGCAACAGCCGGGCCTGCAACACCCTCTTCAGCGGCCGCTCCATCCTCCACAGATACTTCTGGTGCTGCTCCAGAAAAGCCGATGACTAAGAAGGAACGTGAACGACAGGCCAAGATGGGCCAGACCGAAGAAGTACTGCACAAGAATTCCAACACTACCGCCGCCCTGCAATTAGGCATGGGCAAGAAAAAGAAGTATAGTTGGTTGACTGGTGGTGCACCAGCGGCCCCTGTGAACCCTTACAAGCAGACCCCCAAGTCCACTTCAGCCAGCGCAGCANNAACAAATGGCAACGGCGGCGGAAGGAGTTCTTCGAGTGGCGGCAATGGCACAGACAAAGCGCTCCAGGTACGTGAAAGAAAGTGGGGAAGTTGGAGAGAAGATGGCGTGGAAGGTAGAGGCATCCAGATCAGAGACTGGGTTGTTGTACTCGAGAGAGACGGCAAAGAGAAGAAGGCACTTCAGAAGAGCTTGCTGAAGCTCGAGAGTTCGGGAGAGTGAGCAAATATGCTGGTTACGCAAGATCTTGCCATACAAGACTTGACGACTATGAAAAGAAGAACGCGAAGGCTTGGAGCAAAAGCTGCCATCAGCGCTGTCCATAACAGAAAGATACCAACCCATTCTTGATGGCTCCTCACAAACAACGCATGCACCTGTCCACTCCAACGATCCCTGGCAACTTGTGTTCAGGATTTTGAGAAGCCTCCTCGTTGATGGATTCTTCCAAACGTGACGGATTTCGGCACGAACTTGAGTGCAGCCATGGAATCGACAATGTCGTCCATGGATTCATCCTTTGTCGATTCGTGAAGATCGTCAACAACTTTCTCCCCAGTCTCCATAGAATCGGATGCATGAACGCCAGTGGCATCGTCTTCGATGACACTCTGTTCGCGCAGAGCCTTGGGTCGCTTTTGAAAACTCTTGCCCTCTGGTCTCAGCAACGAGGTGCGGTTGTCAGAGCCATGATTTATAATGTGAAAATCGTAGTTCCGCGGAAACATGTGCTTGTCGACCAAATGCATACGCCGCTTCTGGGGAGTACTGCAGACCTTTTCGCAGTCCTCAACAAAGCAGTGATATGTTTTTTCGCCTCTGTCTCTCTTGACACGATTGAGAGGGTCGTGGCTTTCGGCGATGTGCAGTGAGAGAAGATGATCGGTAGGGAAGTTTTTGGCGCATTTTAGACATCTGAAGACGTGTGACTTGTAATAGTGAGTTTCGTAATCATTATATGTGGCGAACTTGATGGGTTGGTGAGGAGGCAGTGCACATGTTATGGCTGTATTTGTGATGTTCGAAGTCGAAGCATCCAGATGTGTATACTTGCCAGGCGGGAGTATGCTGTGAGCGAGCGATTCGTCGGTATGAGATGTGCGGTGTTCATCAGACTGTGAGTCTCGCCTGACGCGTTTGGACATGGCGTAGAGATGTGGTAGGGAAAGATACCGGAGCGAGAGCGCAAGATATGGTGAGGTGGGCATTCAGCGACAGGGTGTCTTAGACAGCAAGAATCGCGAAGGGCAGAAAGAGGACGGAGCGAATTTAGCCGGATCCCGAGAGTTGGAGGATGCTGCTGCCTTTGGCCTCGACACTCTCGGTCGTCGCTGCCAAATCTCGACGAAGGTTCCCCGTCGCGCTCATCTCGGATCCTCACGCCAGCAACGGGACTGTCCTTGTTGCACGCTCCCACCCACCGAGTCCGCCATCACTGCCCTCCATGGATCGCCCGTCAGCAATCTTCGCATACCAGCACGTTTACATCTGACCTCTCGCACTGCTCGGTCACCGACGACCCCGGTCATAGGCACTCTATGACGAGCGCCATCCTCCAACATGGAACCCACCGGCGACCAGGCCATTGCGTATGCACCCGCCTCGACAATGTCTGCCGGCACCACACTTACACTCTTCCTAGCNAAGGCCATCGCCCTCGACCAAGAATTTGCACACACGCTGCAGCCCGCCGACTCATCTCTGGACCGCGTCTTTCTAGTCTTGCAGCAGTGAGTCTGACATCGCCTGCACATCAGTGTCGCCATTTTCTTATACCAACCTCGACGCAGGTACCGCACCGCTGCCGCGCATGCTCTTGCCAGTGACTTTCTGTCTGCGCGCGCTGCCGACATTGAGATACGCCTTTGGAATGCGCACAACCGTTTGAACGTACGGTTGCGCAAACAACTCGGCAAGGTTAGTCTTGGAATAGCCTCTCGACAAGACTGCCTCCTGCTCACCTCCTTCACCAGNTTGCGCAAGGAACGCTCCAGCAAACCAGTCGAGACTCGTAGATTCATCAAGCTATATCTTGAGTTTCTAAAGGACAGCCAGCGCTATTACCGAGACTATATCCAGAAGCTGAATGCCAGGTTCGGTGGCATTCGAGATTTGGAGCGCATCGCTCGCCAGGTCCGATCCGACCGTATATCTCTCCCTGCTTTCATGTGTTGAGTACACAGAGACTGATCCTCTATAGCCGTGCCAAAGTCTTCCAGAAGGCCTGCATCTCCACAGGTTCAAGCCGCCGTCACTCTATCCTGTCACCAGACTCTGATTTATCTTGGTGATCTGTTCCGCTACCGTGCCGCCGAGAGACTCGACAAGGAGCCCGACTGGGGACCCGCTATTGGTTACTATGCACTTGCTGCCTCTTTACGACCCGAATCTGGACTCGCTTTCCATCAACAGTCCGTTGTTGCCTTTGAACAAGGCGACTTTCTCCGCTCTACATACTATCTTTACCGTTCCATCAACGTCAACGAACCACACCCCAACGCCATTCCCAATCTGGAACTGCAGTTCAAGAAGATCACAACCGGATGGCAGAAAGGCGATTTGGTGCCTAAACCCTCTCCTCAGGACCCGATTGCTTCGCGCAAGGCTCTTGTATCCTGGTTCATTCGCTTCCACAGCCTTAGCTACAATGGCGAGCAGTTTACTGGCTACAACGAGCTCGAGCGCGAAGTTTTGAGTCGAACCGTCATCGAAATCAAAGCGCGCACTCTGGACGGCATCCTATCTAAGATGACCTTGATCAACTTCTGCGCCCAGGCCACTGCCGGCAATCAGTTCGAGAGCAAGCCTGATCAACACAAATTCATGCACTCTTACTTCTTTTTTCTGCGTCTGAATGTGAAGTTTTTCACGGCAATGCTAGAGGTTTACTACGTCGACCTCGAGAAGCACCTTCAGGAGCATGCCAAAACCTCAAGTCTTGCTGATAAGCTTACGGACTTGGCACGTCATGTCCTGCCTGCTCTGCGTCTCTACAGCACTTGGCTGTTGAGTAATGCTCATATTGTTGCGGCACGCGTTGGCGATGAACCTTTCCAAACAGCTATGGATCATTTTTGGCATACTTACGCTAAGACATTGTCTATCATGGCATTCAATTTCTCGTTCCGCGAGCTCGAAGAAGTTCCATATCAGCTTGAGGAAGATGTTGATGCCTTTGGTCTCAAGCCCTTGAACTCGGACAGATCGCGCAAAGTCTGGATGAACGACTCAACCGGACAGACCAAGGCTAAATACAACGATGAAGGTATCAATCGTCTTGACACTAACCAAGAAATGCTTGGAAGAGTTCGTGAACTTCTTTTCGATGCCTTGCTACTTGCTGTTGACAAGGTTTGTACCCACAATTGTGACATTTCTTTCGTCCCAGGCTAATCGTCAACCCAGGATGTACCCATCACCTTTGACGGCTTGCATTTCCTCCACCAAGATCCTAGCTCAGCTGAGGGCAGTTCAGTCAACCCACTTCCAGATGCTGCTCCACCTCGCTCAACCATGCAGAACACTACTTCACTTGTGGCTCAGCAAGAACCCGTCGCGCAAAGACATCTGTCTCCAAGCTCCGAACTCTCTGTGACAGTAGCCACTACCAACACGAAGCCGCTCAATCGAGAGGCCCAACTCAGTCAAATGGTTGATGATCTTGTTGGGCCCGACGAAGACGACATTGTTCCTCCAGATCCGAATGACTCTTTTGGTGTTGCTGGCTACAACGGCAATGCTGCCCTTCGAGGGGTTTCGCCGCGTGGTTTCCAGGCTGTTCGAACGCCCGAACTGCGAACAGAAGCATGGCAGCTACCTCTGAGTCCGACTGGCGTTCCTTCACAGCGTCTGCATTCGGTCTCCAACATCTGGAATGATGCACCTATACGAGAAACAAGCCCGATAACTCCTTTCGGAAGTGCACCTCCTGGACTCCCCATCTCAGCCAGCGCCAGACGTTCGAACGCGCATTCTCGCGTAAACTCGACAAACTCTATCCGAAGTCCTCTCCCACAGCCAGACGGGCTGTCTTCNTTTGAGCCGACTCCAAATCCCTACAATAGTATTGGCGCCCGCGGGGACCGTTACCAGAGCTTTTCAGGACATTATACAGGCATGCAGAGCCCTCTGCTCTTCGGGGCGGGTATGTCACCCTGGAGCACAGGACCTAGAAAGTCAGTCCCCAACATCACACCACCCAATGGCCAAGGTGGTTGAAAGCCTGGGAACTTTGTCTCAAACGTAGGCAAGCAATCATTCAAACACCCCTCGTAGATCAGAGGCCTCGAGCAAGCCCCGGCAAACTCCAGGCTTGACACTAACAGCACAAATGGACCATGAATTGTGGTCGAGACCAATGTGACTTTGCGCATAGTCAAACACTCAAGGACATCGTGACCGGGCTACTAGAAATAGGGCCATCTTCGGGCATACTGTGTAGCCAGGGGACAAATTAAATTTGGATCATGGCGAGCGCTGAAATAAAGTCGGACAGTCAGCGAGCAGAGGGGTGGCGTTTTCTGTATCGTCAGCATTATCTTAAGTGACTTGCAATGCGGCTTGCTGCAGCAGCATTCCAGCTGCAAAGATAGTGGGAAAGAGAAAACATATCGAAATCCAAATTCAGACTCTCTTTATTGTTTTCTAGCCATCCAGAAACTAGGCTTGTACATGTTTTGCAACATGCTGCGTGGATCTTGTATGTAACCCGTCTCTCCAATGACCGAGTTATGTTCGACAATCTTGAAATCAAAATGCTCGATCAGCTCGACGACTTCCTCATCTGCGAGCTCGAAAGAACCAGACTCGCCAATGCCTCGATTCCTGTCTTGGTTTTCTCTGCCTGTCTCTGAAGAAGAGGAGGACGAACTCGAGTTTTTCTTCTCAGGCGAGCCGCCTTCAAAATGCCAAAGTAAAGGCCCAAGATTTATCCACACGCCCTCAGGCTTGAGGCAGTATTTGACGGTTTCGATATAGCCGATCAGATTGGGTGCCGTGTCGATAAAAAANNAGCATGTGGTGACTGCATCAAAAGCGGCTTGGTATCGCGGCTCTTTGTACAAGACGCAAAAGTCGCCCGAAGACATTGACATTCGCTGATAGGCGTGTAGTTCTGCTTTCAGATCCTTACAGCTACTGTCCAGCTCTTCGGACGGCCAAACATCAGGGACCTGTACTTTTTGGAATTGGTGAGAGCGGCGCGTATGATTTGAGAAACCTAGGGCCCAGGGGTACACTGAATGTGACTTGGGCCCCGAAGTGTAGTTGAGTATCCAATTGCTGACGAGGAGTTGATGGTATGAAATCTCGTTTCCTTCCATGGCGTAGCCTGCATTGCATATTTCGAAAGCCAGACGGCCAAGTCCGGCACCTGGCACTAGTACGCTCACATGAGAGCGCTTGGCCGGACCAATGTCTTCGAAGGCCCTGTTGAGGCCAGCCAAGATGGGCTTGTAGCATGCCTCTCGTTCGGAAGCACCTTCGGCCGCCCAGTCGCGATATAGTTGGCGAATAGTCGAACGTACTTTGTCCATGTCTTGGGAAGTGGCTGCTCCGTGCCATTCGGTTGAATCAGGGTCTATACCGTACATGCTGAGGCCCAGTGCAAGAACTGTTTCGGCTATGTCGGCATTTGCATCGATTGCTGCATCCACAGCGTCCAAAGTCTTTGGCAAACCGAATGGCTGGGAAGCTAGTAGCTCCACATGAGCCAGAGGGAGCGAGTAGAAAGATTGTCGTCGTAGATGGGTGATGTTATAATGAGCAGCCTGGCGGTATTGCCTAGGGGTCACCAATTCAGAATGTGTTCTTCTGGGCCTCGGTATTGTCTTTTCATCCTCACACACTTGCACCTTCTGAATTCACACTAGAATTCGAGAATAAAAGATCTGATGCACTTACCGAAACGAATCGAGGGCGGCAAAAAGAACCCTTCTTTCTTCTGGATCACAGAGCGGATCAATCTCCGAGCCCTCATCGTCTGCCACTTCCTCGCAAGCTACTGACATCTGTTCATCCATGTTATCCAGGCTGTTCAAAAAAAGCTGCAAATGACCGTAGAGAGTGGTATGAAGCATTGGCCGATTGATTATATAGCCGTTATCAGAAAGTAGGGAGACGCGTAGCAAACAAGGCAAACATGACCATCATGATCATGCAACCATAGCTACGATCAATCAACTCTTGCACCTTGAACAAACATAGCACTAGCAAACATGGCCACCGAAGCAAGCAGGCCACTCACAAACGGTACTGATCCGGAGTCGAAGACGATGGAACCAATACAATTCTCCATGCCCTTGCCAAACGCACCCGGAAGCCGCATCCACACGCACTTGACCATCCTCGCAACGTCAATCCTTCTCTTCTGCACCAGCACTACAGCCGAGTTCTCCTCCTCTGCCATGCCTTCGCTCGGCAGTTTCGTCTATGCCATGCCTGATGTATGTATCTTGTGTACACCTTGTTCAACCTCCACATACTGACGCCGAGACACANNGCGCTACAATCCCTCGGCACCACTCAGCACACCTCTGTACACGCTCCCATCAAGTCTAGATTTTGCAGACCGCCTGGCCAAAACATTGGCGAGAAGAACAAACTTGCCTGTACAGGTTGGCAGCTCGGTCAACTTTTCGTCGGCTGGAAACGGTGGCAGTGTTGAAGAAGAGATGGAGGCTTTCAGACAGCTGGTCGCTGTCGTGCTGAAAGAGGTTGAGAAGGCAAGAGCTGGATGAGAAACTCCAGGCCGACGAAATCATTACGGAACAACACGTCGACACGATTATCAGAAGAGCCAACGCTACTGAGCACAAGTGGCAGTGGCTACATATAACAGTGGCACATAGGATCCGTCACGACTCGAATGCTTGTTCATGTCGGGTGTGCCTCCGTGCAGCAACTACGGGCAGCCATGCAGTCAGAGACAGGAGGTTGCCAGGCCGCAGGGGGACACAACTACCGACACATCTCCCGCACGAGAAGTAGAGCAAACCACTGAGCTTAGTATTGCTCCCAAGGCTGCAACAAACAAGTTCTCGAGGTCGACTATAGAGACGCCATTATATCACAACATGTGGGTCGGGGACAAGGAGATAAGATATAATTCACAAGGACCCCTTGAATTTCAACAGGCTTCTCGATGCGTAATCAGGTTTTACTAGCTGTCGCCAGGTCATCCTGCTCAAAGTTGAAGGTTGCAAACAGAGGAACATGGTCGCTGGGCCCTCTTTCCTTTTCCGTAGCACAAACACCTGCATCGACAATCTTCTCCTCCCAAGATCTGGAACAAATGATCAGGTCAACCCTGTCGCAACTGCTTCCAAATTTCCTTCCACGAGGGTAATACGTATAACCCTTTTCGTCCCCATGAATGTGTCTGTACGTATCGATAGCTTTGAGCCCTTCATCCGCGTCAAAGATCTTCTTGTTGAAATCCGCGCGATTGATGACATGCTGTTGAGGGGATGTGCGTAGATTGGGATGACCGTCCAGATGACATCGAGAAATGTTCAGGTCGCCAGCAAGTATCACACTGAAGCCTTGTGCCTCGAGTGATTTTGCTTCGTCGAGCATATATTTGTGCACTGCGAGCTTCCTGTCATGTCTGGTACCCACCACAGCTCCCGTTCTACTGTCCTTGTACGGGTTGTCGGTACCATTGACTGCATAAATGTTCCAGATGCTCAATTTAGGTTCTACCGTCTCGACAATCTGAATGCGGCCTTCGAGATCCCAGTCCACAGTTCGTACGGTCGGTTGGTATTTGGCGACGAAACTTTTGCGAACGATTGTGCATACACCGTATACTTTTCTGCCGAAACCGCGGGCGTTGTGAGGATCGGTGGGTAGACAGAAGTGGGCTTCGTAGTCAGGCTCGTCTTCTGTGGTACTTCTAACGGCTTGTCGTACCGCTGATTTGGTCGCTTCATCGTTTGGATTGATCTTTACTTCTTGGAGACAGAGAATGGTAGGCCAGGAATGCCGCCGTAGAAAATCCCGCAGGGATGCTGTGGCTGTCTTTGGTTGTTTGGACGATGGTTTCTTGGGTTGAAAGAATGAAGTGATAGACTTCTGTATGAAGGGCTGAATTCCATTGACGTTCCAGGAATACACGCGTAAGTGGTCCTTGTCCGGACAATTCATGGGCAGAGTGGTGGGCTTGGTTTCGTTGTCGCCCAAACGCCTTCTCTTCAGAGGTGGCGGACTGACACTCATATTGCAGAGTTGTGTTCTAAGAAACGAAGTCGTGATGCTCGATCCTATGCGTCGGATTACATGAGGAGAAGAAGTAACCAGGAGCATTTGAAGGTAAAGTGTTTACTGGAGAGGGTGAGCAACAAGCGTGTGACTGTTCATCCAACTCTGTTTGCAGACTACACCATCTACCAGCTATGCGTTTCAGGTTTGAATAGGAGTGGCGGCACGTCTTTGTCTTGGCCACTACAGTAGTACCACAAGGTTTCTCTACGATAACAGCTCTTATCATTCGTGACTTTATGCTCATACGCGTACGAGTGGATATTGTGGTTGCTTGACCAAATGCATTCCCTTGCCCGCCCCACATTCTGTGTTTCCCGTGTCTGATAGAGTTTGCCGATCTATAGATAAATAGACCATTCACGCTGCGATGTTTATGGACCACAACCTGATTTGTAGGCTTCTCAATTTTCAAAAATGGCCATGACCGAATCGCGAAGCGCTGTTTTCCATCGAAGTCTCCATTCAGACCCCATGTCAGTGGTTGGAGCTACTGGAAATTACCTGCATCTATCCGATGGTGGAAAACTGCTCGATGCTACAGGAGGAGCGGCTGTGTCATGTCTTGGGCATGGCAACAAGCGTGTGAAGGAGGCGATTATAAGTCAGTTGGATGTTGTGTCGTACGTACATTCTGCAACATTTGCTACGGAAGCTGCAGAGAAGCTTGCAAAAGAACTCGTCGATTCAACGGATGGAGCCATGTCGAAGGCGTATATTGTCAGCTCTGGTACGGCAAATCGTTTAGTCCAAATGATCCGACAGTCGCTAACGATGACGNNCTCAGGTTCCGAAGCAATGGAGGCAGCTATGAAGCTTGCAAGACAACACTACCTCGAGTCCAAGCCCCCGCAGCCACAAAGAACCAAGTTCATCGCCAGGCACGAGTCCTATCATGGAACGACCCTCGGAGCACTTTCGATCAGTGGCCACAAGGCACGCCGTGCTCCATACGAACCCATGTTGCTCCCAAATATGAGTAGGGTCTCTGCCTGCAACGCGTATCGTGGCATGAAAAAGAGCGAGACAGAGGCACAATACGTGGACAGATTGGCAAATGAGCTTGATGAAGAGTTCCAGCGCCTTGGACCGGAAAGTGTGTGCGCCTTCGTTGCCGAACCTGTTGTCGGTGCTGTAAGTGGATTGGCCAAGATTCCTGATACACACTGACCGCGAACANNGGCTTTGGGTTGTGTTCCAGCAGTCAAGGGTTACTTCCAAGCAGTGCGCGCTATCTGCGACAAGTATGGGGCGCTTTTGATTCTAGACGAAGTAATGTGTGGTATGGGACGTACAGGCACCTTGCACGCCTGGCAGTCATCTCTCATTGGCGTTACACCCGATATACAGACAATTGGCAAGGGGCTAGGTGGTGGGTATGCGCCTGTAGCGGGCGTACTGATCAGTCGCAAGGTTACAGATACACTCTTTGGAGGCACCGGTGCTTTTACCCATGGCCAGACATATCAAGGTCATCCTGTCAGTTGCCGAGCGGCGCTGGAAGTACTCAGAGTCATCCAGGAAGAGAAGCTGGTACAGAATGTGGCTGCTATGGGCGAGAAGCTGGAGGAACTTTTGAAGCAGAAAGTTTTGCCATTGCCTCACGTTGGTAATGTGCGAGGAAAGGGACTCTTCTGGGGAGTGAGTCATTCACCTACTCGAGGATAACGTCAATTCGACACTGACAGAGAACAGATTGAGTTTGTCAAAGACAAGACAACCAAAGAGCCGTTCGATCCGAAAGAGAATGTCGCAATGGACATCCACGANAAAGGGTGAGCTTGGAGGACTGATTGTTCAGGTGGTTTGTAGAAGAGGTGCTAACTGATTGCAGGGCTGAGCGATCCACACAACATCACGCTCTACCCTGGAAGTGGCACCGTTGACGGCAAGATCGGAGACCACATTCTCCTGGCTCCTGCGTACAATGTGACGGCGGACGTGATCGAGCTGATAGTGCAAAAGACTGCGAGAGTGATTGAGGAGTACTTCCAGAAAGCGTAGCTCCTTCGATTCGCACATCTTCGTCAGGTGTCTACGGTTTTCGTACATGGCTGGATATCAGCTTTCTAGAGTACATTTTTATTTACTAGAACAACAATGCATACTGTATCGTCAAGGACAGGAGGTTGTCCCGTCGACTTTTGATGTGGATAGGCCTGGAGCCAAACAGAATCGGGCAATTTTAAGACTCACAGTCTTCATGTACATCGCTGTGAGCATGAAACAGACTTTGGGATCAGCAGTGGTATTGACGGTGTACCGGAACAGAAAGAGAGAGGTTTCGTAAAAGTGAAGCGCAGCTCTCGATCATCATGAAAGAGTCTAGACTTCAGCTTGATGAGTGCTATGCAGCCCTCGGCTCGTTTAGAATTCGCCCGACACTCGTTCCGATGCCTATGCAGTAGTTGGATAGCATCAGAGCAACCAGACGTGTAGGGGTTTTCTTTTGGCGATTTGTGGGGACAAGCCAGAACGGATAATGGAGGTTGGCTGTTCAGCGCCACTACGCCAGGAAAGAGCAATTGGGTGAGACAATCAACAGATGGGGTCAGAGGGTCAGAATGGTCTCAGAAGATGCATTGGACTTGAGGGCAATATTGTGCCAGGGGGCATGCAGCAAGAAGACAAGATGAGATGAAAATAAAGGGCAAGAGATAGTCAGGCAGTGTTGTTGAGGGTGTTGCAAAGATGAAGATGCGGAGAGTGCCAGAATGACGAAGCACAGTGAAGGAGCAGCTCGTCGTCCTTGTCGCCGATGTCTCGCACGCTTTCTCGTCCAGCCCTCTGGCACACGTTTTCAGCGTCTGCTTCTTCACCTCCCTCGACCAGCACGACCAGCTTGACTCTGCACCGCTCGCAGACCCGTCACTCGGTCACGCCGCCCTCACGCACAGCCGCAGTTAAGCCGCTTGTTCTCTGCGAGTGAGGTCTCTACGCCAGACTTCTTCTGCATTGCCCAGGCCGTCCTACTGCCGCCCGTCTGTCGAATGAGCCGGGAGTCTTGTCCGCACCAAACTCGCTGCCCCAGAATCGCCCGTGTCGAGTGGGCCGAGTCTCGCCGATAGACGACCTGCCTCGCTCGCTGCACGCTGCCGACGACGACATCGACCACGACTACCACGACTACCACGCCCGTGATAACATGTCGACTCCTCAAACCGCTACCGCTACCCTTGCCCCGAATCACTACCCGTCCCACCAGTATCTCCCAGCCATGACCGACTACTCATATCCCCCGCAACCATATGCCAACGGCTATCCTCCGTCACGGACTGCCACCACTACCACTACCGCTACCGCTGCTGCGCCCTATCCTGCCCCACCTTCAACCGCTGCCTCCTCGAATAGCACTGCTGTCAAGAGGCCGAGGAATCAGCCAGTCGATTGGAACGAATTCTTCGGCGGCAAGCCTCCCAAGGAAATCATAGTCATTGACGATGACGATGAAGAAGAAGACGAAGAAGAAGACGAAGAAGAAGAAGAAGAAGAAGAAGCGCCCGCTGCCACTCAGACATACCAGGACCCCGCCCCGCCCGCCAGCATAACCCAGCAGCACATGGACAAACGCAGAAAAACCACAAACTATGACCCCGTCTACCATCATGCCGAGTACTCCAATACCCATACGCCGTACTATGACGCTGCCTCGACCGACCAGAACCCTACATCATACAAGACGTCGGCTGCCACGTCTCTGGCCTCGCAACCAAGTGCCAGTGCCTATGCCGAAGATGCTGCCACGGGCCAGAAGCGCAAGAGGACCACTCGTCAGGCCGCCGCCGACCAAAAGAAGCGCGAAGTCATTGCTCGTCCCGATCCCTTCGCCGAGTACGTCCCTCCACCCAAGCCACCGCTCAAGGCCAAGGATGTCTTTGTGCCCTTGGTGCCAGACGTATGTTGACCCAATGCCTGTTCGATCGCTTGCTTTGTTTGCTAATGCAGGTGCAGNAGAACGGCCAAGCGTGACCAAAAGGTTGACGATGATGACGGTCATTACATTGTGCATGACCACGCTGACCTGACGGAGCGANNTGTAAGTCGACACTGCTTGGACACGTCCCGAGTAGCACTGACCTTTTGTTTCTCGACAGACTCGATCGTGAAGCTCCTCGGCCAAGGCACGTTCGGCAAGGTGGTACAAGCATACGACCGCAGGAGAAACGCCGACGTGGCCATCAAGATCATCCGTTCTGTGCAGAAATACCGCGATGCTAGCCGCATCGAGTTGAGGGTCTTGTCGACGCTGGCATGCAACGACAAGCACAACCGCAACAAGTGCATTCACCTGCGAGACACGTTTGACTTCCGCAACCACATCTGCATCGTCACCGACCTCTTGGGCCAGAGCGTCTTTGACTTCCTCAAGAGCAACACCTTCGTACCTTTCCCCAGCACTCACATCCAGCAGTTTGCTCGCCAGCTCTTCACGAGCGTCGCCTGTAAGTCTCGGTTGCCTCCATTCCTGTCGCTCTCCGTCTAACTCTTGTCCACAGTCCTGCATGATCTCAACCTCATCCACACCGATCTCAAGCCCGAGAACATTCTCCTTGTACAAAACCACTACCAGACCTTCACATATAACCGCAACATCCCGTCGTCATCAAATACAAATCCCCGCTCGGCAAAGTTCCGTAGGGTGCTGCTTGACCCCGAGATTCGACTCATCGACTTTGGCTCGGCCACCTTTGACGACGAGTATCACTCATCTGTCGTCTCGACCCGCCACTACCGTGCCCCCGAAATCATACTCAACCTCGGATGGAGCTTCCCTTGCGACATCTGGAGCATAGGCTGCATTCTCGTCGAATTCTTCACAGGCGATGCCTTGTTCCAGACGCACGATAACTTGGAGCATCTGGCAATGATGGAAGCCGTGTGCAACACTCCCATTGACAAGGCACTTGTTCGCCAAGTCACCTCTGGCCGTGGCAGCAACAAGAACTCTGCTGCAGCGTAAGTCTACAGCCACCCATATCACTATCGACTGTCCACTGACTGTTTCCAAGTNTACTTCAGGCGCCAACAACTCGACTACCCTCAGAGCGACACTCCTCGCTCATCCCGCAAGTTTGTCAAGGCGATGAAACCTCTTCACGTAAGCCCTCCCGTCCTCTCCAGACTTGAGAATTTCCCCTGCCCTCCTATCCCCTCACCCCGTGCAGCCCCACGAGTCGCTCGTCCAGCCGGCCTCGGCCAAAACCAATATGCACCATACTTATACACTCTTCAGGAAATCATCCCAGCCCACAACGAGTTCAATCGCAAGTTCCTCGACCTGCTTAAGAAGATCTTTGTCTACGACCCAAAGAAGCGTATCACAGCACACCAAGCCCTGCAGCATGACTGGTTCAAGGAACACTACGAGGACGACGGCACCGAAGCTGAGAAGATCAAAATCGAGAGGCAACGTGCCGCCCGTCTCGAAGCCCAGCGAAGTCAACAACACGACTCCCAGGTCGGTCAGCTCAATCGGTGATGACTGTACAAACATGACGCAAATTTTTGGACACGCACAAAACATTCCACGCATATGCATCCTCGAGAGAGAGGAGTCTTCTGGAAAGACAGATGGATGACGGAGCTCATCGCATCAGTGGAGTCGAGGGAGGTGAATGGAGTTTTCTTTGACAAAGCCATCGAGTTATTACAATTGTTCTCATCGAAAGGGTCACGATAACACACGAAACGGGAGGTTGCATCCATTGGGCAAAGGAAATGGGGTTCTTAGTTGTTATTTTTCCTTTTTTCTACTTTTTCCTCTGTCTCTATCAATCAGCGGCTGCTTGCTCGCTGTTGCCGTCCAGGGGCTTGTTTTTCCCTCTCTACTATTCTCCTGCTTGGGAGGATTCTTCATGAAATTCAACGAGCCAAATCGGTTTCTGCCCTTCTGCGACGGAGACGGGATAATGTCCTTTTTTTTTTTTTCCTTGCTGCTTTTCTCTTGCTCCTTCTTGACTCGACTCGTCTTTTGTGTTGGTTATACTAATGAATCTCGGAACCAAATCCTTTGTTTTCGGCATCCATATCTGTATCATTTATCAGACTCTTTGCATCACAGAAAATCTGGCTTGCATGGGCACATGACAACAGGAACTCCTACTATAGCGACAAAGAGTTCTACACGAGAAGCAGCAAAGGTGCAAACAGATTGTGATGGAACCACTTGTTTCGATTGACTCGAGTCAACGAGTTTCTGATTCAATCCATCCAACAAACCCCAACACTCCAGTTCCTTTCTGACGCCGTATAAACCAACACACAAGTGTGGAAGAAGAAGAAAGACCCTAAGCTTATTCTACACGAAAGTCTTGAAGGTCAAAAGAGAAGAAGACGATAAAACAAAAGAAGAGAAGTGACAGGTGTAGTGAAAGAAGGGTATAATAAACATTATGAAGGATGGCGCTGAACAACAAGAAAAAATCAATGTTCATCTGCTGCTCTCGACAAGCACGCCACTCGCCTTTCCGTGCAGGCTGGTGTTGACTCTATCTCGCAGACCCTTGAGTGGAGCCGATGACGCTTGTGATACCGTCTTCTTTCTGGGGCTGCGGCGCAGGACACGCTGTGCTTCACGCTCCTCGGCTGCTTCTTCAAGGAGGACTTGGACACCGCCTCCGGCCTGGTCGTCCAGGATCTGCTGTCTAGAACCAAGGGCTTGCAGTGCTGCTTTGCCTTCCGGGATGCTAGGGTCGAGTTGTGCTTGTGATTGCTTTGCTAGTGTGCTAGCGTTCTTCTCTTCGGACTCGTATGGTGAGAGCTCGACCTCAAGACTCTGTGCAGGACTGGAGTGAGAGATATTATCTTGGTCGATCTTCTTCTGAGCAGCAATTCTTGATCTTTCGTAGCGAGCAGAGACGTCTCCACCAACCCATTTTGTACCGAGAAGGCGATCCCAGAAAGTAAAGAATGGCTGGCTGAAGTTGGTCTTGATGCCCCAGCTCTGGTGGTGGATGTCGTGGTAACCAGCATTGTTGCTGGTAATGTGCTGGAGAGGGTCCCAAGGAAGGGCGTATCCACAGTGGTCATCGACCGTCTTGATGGTGCTGCAAGTAAAAAACCACATGGATTGTCTGCAAGTCATACCGGCAAGCATGTAGGCAATACCAGTGCCCAAGGTGTCAAGAAGGAAGCCTTCGAAGGGGTGGTTGTAAAGAGCGCCGTAGGCATAAGGGACGTAGAGGCGGTGGTGACGAGAGTGAAAAGTGGTGTAAAGCCACTTGTTCATGTGCATGGCTCTGTGCCAGAAGTATTGCCATGTGTCGACGACGAGAACCGCAAAAGTGAATTGCAAGGCGGGAATACCAATCCAGTAGACGGCCTTTGCGAGCGTGAGCTCCCACGAAGAAAAGGCTGGAACGAGGTCGCCTGAAGCTGCCTGCTGATAGAGGTTGTAGCTACCGCCTTGTAAGGCAGCAGAGAGGATTGGATGTGCGACAGCCTGCTTGGTTGCAATTGTGTTGGCGTCGAGACCGGTAATGGCAAGCACGGTGGGGATTGCACGCTGGGCGATGCGAATCCTCTGAGCCCAAACAGCGACATTGTAGTCGTCCTGTCCGATGGTAGCCTCGGGCTCAATGATGGTTATGGCGAGACCGACGGCCGTCTGGATGACCTGCTGGATGATGACATCGCGGAAGACGTCCCATCGTGAGACGTGGTTGCGCTTGAGGACCTCTGCAGGAGTGTGTAGGCGGTATTGGGGGAACAAGTCGTACTCGTCGATGAAGTGGAAAATGAAGGAGACGACCCAGTAAGCGGCTACGGGGAGGATCAGGGCCAAGTAGAGGTCGGGGATCCAGGAGAGCAGAGGTTGTAGAGGCGTCAGGGTGTATGTGGGAAGAGGAGGCAGAGGCAGCATGGTCGCGTTGGCCATGGCGACGGACTGCATTGTGCTGTGCTTGGGCTTGTGCTTGTTGTGGCTTCAAGCCGGCACGCGAGTCGAAGAAGTTGCGATCCGCGAAGCTCCGTTTGTTGTTGCGTCTGGGAGAGACGACCAAAACAGAGGCGATTGGCGCTGGAGCGGTGGTTGATTCGAGGTGTTTCTGTGGCTGGTCGTAGGGACAGATTGTGGTTGTAGGAAAAGAGTGAACAGAGGTTGGTGGATACGGCAGGAAATGAGGCAGGCGGAAGGTAGGTACCTATTTGTGATCGTCATTCGATTTCTCCTGTTGCTTCGGCCCTGTCTGTGCCCGTCACCCGATACGATCAAACCACTCAAAGAAGAATTCCTCGCCACCCCGCGACCCGCCCGAAAGCCTTCCCGTTGCCTTCCGCGACACACTGACACGTCCATGGACGCCGTATTCCAGAATCCTGCCCGATCGAGTATCGATCCATGCTGATCTGTCGACATGATAGCCATGGACGACATCATCGTGGCCAAAAGTGTCAGGTTGTTGTTTCTTCCATGTTCGCCATCCTCTGTGTGCCTGTTTGACTATCGCATATCTCTAACCTTGTCGACCTTGTCTGTCCTTTGATCATGTCCTCGTCTATCCCGGCATGTTGCATCTGTTCCTCGGTGCTGGACACGATAGACTCAAAGACTGAGAAGCCCACCATCGCTGCCCGCCACCTCTCCTGCTGCGAGCGGCCCGTCTGCCAACGATGCATTACAAAGAATCCTCGCTACAACTCGTATTGCCCATATTGCCAAATCTCCACAGATCCGCAATCTACACTACCTCAGGGCCTTCGTGACCCTCCGCCATACAATGGCACACAAGACTCTGCTCTACCACTATCCGAGAAAGAGCATGACGCACCGCCTGCCTACTCTACACATGAGCCGTCGCAGCCCCCGTCAGAGAAGCCGCGCGAGAATGCCCCAGATGTGTTACATTTCTTGACACCTATCGACACCGCTCTCTCATTATCTCTCGCCTATGGTGTACCTCTTCCTGCCTTGAGGAAGGCCAACAACGTATTTGCAGACCATCTCATTCAGGGTCGCAGAACCGTCATCATTCCTGGAGAGTACTACAAAGGCGTGAGTCTAAGTCCTAGACCAATCGAAGGTGAGGAAGAGGAATTGCGCAAATCAAAGTTACGCCGCTTCATGGTGACATGCAAAGTATCCGAGTAAGCACTTGCTGTCCTACGTATAGCCATGTCTTCGGACTCTAATCGTCATCTAGANTATGATGTCGCACAACTGTATCTCGAGCAGCATGAATATGACCTGGACTCTGCCGTCGAGGCCTATCAAGATGACGAGAAGTGGGAGAAAGAACACCCTTTGCAGGACAATGGCAAAGGCAAGATGAGTGCACGCACTGTGGGAAAGAGGCGATACGTTGGGTCAGCATAACCCTCAGAGGTTCGTTGTATAGAACTTTTATGAATCATGACCTGCCCATTTCTCCTTCGTCAACTCATAGCCCCTGTACGGGAACTCATTCGAAGCGGATGAGCCAGCCGTCCGCTTCCTTCTCGCCCCTTGCGTTGTCTCCTCCCCAGATGATTACACTTTGTCCATCGCTCGCGACATCTGCTCCGAAAAACGCTCGAGGGCCGGGATGCACTTTGCCCTCATGGCCGCTCTGCTCTGTGGCTTGCACTTCGACCTCGGCCCACTCATAACCGCCAGTCTTGTAGCCCAGCTTGTCCCGAATCGTGTCTTTGATGGCAGCTGGCTTGAAGTCTGTCCAGGTGGTAGGCTTGGTTGACTTGGATGGCAGCTGGTAGGTCCATAGATCTGACTCGATAGGCCGAGTTGTTTCGCCTGACTCGATCGATTTNNTTTCGAGATCTTCGGCATCCGCATGGGATTCTTTGCTGCCGAAGAAGTAGATGAGATATAGACGACCATATCCAGTGGTCACAGGCACCAACGCACCACCGAGTCGAGCGTTGGGACCAGGAGATGGGACTTCGGATGGATTGGTGATCCTGTGCCATTCTAGACCATGAGGCGACCCTGGGGTAGGTACACTGTCGCCGATCTCAAGTTTGTACACATGGGTGATGCCCTCCGCCGGCGAGTTGGTAATCAGGTAGAGAGTACCATCAGCAAAAGCTACACTCTCCGAGTGCTCTGGAGAATCAGGCAGGCGAGTCCACGTGTGCGAGATCATATCAAAGAACCAGGTGTCATTCAACCGAGTTTGAGCAGAAGATCGTCCTCCGTGGAGCAACAGATGACCACCATAATGGAACAGCTTGTGGTCGAACCTAGGTAAGGGCTTGGGGCTTCAAGGTAGAATGATCAGCGTTGGTGATCAAGGTGCTCGAGACAGTGCATACCTGTCTGCGACAATCTGGTGCCACTTTGATGATTCGATGTTCCATATCCACAGGGAAGAGTCTGCATCTACAGGTGAGTGGTCTTCACCACAACCTCCAAAGACGGCTAGCTCGTGACCCTGGACACATGCAGCGTGTCTGGTGCGAGCACTTGGCACAGCAGCTCCTTCGTCTCGAGGAACAGCTGGGTAACAGGCATAAGCAACGTCTGTGGAGTTTGTTTGCTTCAAGGGAAGGGTCACAGTGTGGATGTCGTTGGACACCAGCCTTCCGTTGGTGGATTGGCCTCCAAAGATGCATGCCTTAGCAGAGGCAATACTGACGGTATGGTGTGAGCGTGCAAGCGCCANGACTGAGCAGTGTCAGCTGTGATCTCTCATATGATCATGTGCATGTTGATACGTAGTATCGTCTTTGTCTGCAGTAGCAATCTGCGAGAAGGTAGCTTTCAGAGGAACGGTGGGTTTGGCGACTGCATATCCAGCGATTGCGCCTCCTTCGAGGGTTGTTGTTATTGCCTGTTCGGCGACTACGGCTCCGGCTGCTATCTCTGCCATGATTGAGGGAGAACTAGCACAGAAGAGCGTGTGTTTGCAATATGATGTGGTCCCTGGCGTGTAAATGTAGACAGCAGTTGTCATGTGAAAGTGACGTAGGAATGCCTAAAGGGGACAGGGAGGGCTTGGCATCTCCATTCAACATGTCCCCCAGACTGGAGCCGATCACATCGCACGAGCACCTTGAGCATCCAGAGCTTTGTGCGCGCTCATCTATTCTTCGAGCAGAGAGCGGCAGAGCTTAGTGCCAGCACTCGGCATGGCGACGGCGACGACAGTAAAGGCCGGCCATGCGATGCGCCGGCCACGACCCAGCCTGAGCGCCCGCTTGGGCACGCGCGCCAACACTCACACGACCGGCACAGGCAGCGATACCCCCGTCAAGAAGATGGCCGAACCGCACGTCAGATCGTCAGAGCACATCCTGCGCAAGTTCCGCGGTAGCCCTCCCTCGCTCACCATTCATCTGCATGCCACCTTCTTCCGCTTCGACCAGCAAGACGGCAGCTTCCCCTACGACTCCCCCATGAAGTTCATCCTACAACACTTGCGCAAACAGACTATCCCCCATGAGATGGTCCAGGACCTGCTGGAGAACGGCGTTGCCTTCTATGATGGCTGTCTCATCGTCAATATCGTCAACCACAAGTCCTCGGTCGCAAAGACAGCCACTCCCGGCAACCTGTCCGTGTCCTCGGCTGACCACAACGTTCCCTTCTCCATGCACAACTACCACGACCATGTTACTCCCTCTCCCTTTGGTCCATACCCCAAGAAGGCTTCGGACCGTACATCGCTATCCACCAAGTCGAGATCCGAGTCTGTCAAACAACACGATGGCTCCAAGGAACAAGCCCATACCGGTCCTCGGAGCTCGACCATTGTCCTGCATCCTACAGATCTCTCACGCCATCACGAGTTGATGCACCTTGCCAACCAACCAAACAAGACTGCGCTGGCCCTGGACGAGAAGGACTACTACCAATTCGAGGCCAGTATGCTTGTTTCGAGCGAGCCGCCACTGCTGTTAGAACCTGCAAAATCCGCCGAGGAGGCTGAGATGGCCCTGCGACTGCTTCAACATCCCCTGCACTCGGAGCCCCCGCCCTCTCCAAGATCACGCAAACGTACACATGCCGAAATGGCTCTCGACGACGCACAAGCTTTCGAAGAAGAGAGACGCATGCTTATTATGGACGAGCGTACAAAACCCTCCTTGCGTGGTGCCAATGGTACCTCTGCTTCTGAAGGTCAGACTGCCTCGGTTGCTCTTGGATTCTCCAGATTCAAGACGCTCGAGACCATCAAGAAGAACCACGAGGAGAATGATCGTAAGAAGAAGGAAGAGGAAGCACAGAAGGCCATCGAGAAGCGTCAACACGATGCTGCGCTGGCCCAAAAGAGGAAGCTTATGGAGGACAGGAACAGACAAGAGCAGGTCGCTACGCAACAGAAGCAGAAGATGATGATGCAACAGCAGCAGTTGATGCAGCAGCAACAGGCTCAGCAGCAGGCCCAACAACAGGCTCTCCAGCAACAACAACAGCAGCAGCAGCAGCAGGCCGCTCAGCTACAGCAACAACAGCAACAACAGCAACAACAATTGCAGCAGCAACATGCGCACAACCTGGCTCAGAGCCAAACGCCCATGGCTACAAATCCGCAGCAACAACATCTTCAACAACAAGCTGCCATGGCTGCTCACCACTCGTCTCCTATCGTCCACAATCCTACTCCTATCATGGCTTCATCCCCTCTCATGCCGAATGTTGCTAACATGAATATGGGAGGTTTCACGATGCAACCATCCATGTCGAACCAAGGTGCTGGAAGCCCGGCTCGGCCCCCTTCGGCTGCTATGCAACACGCCAATATCGCCATGGCTAGACAGATCAGCCAGCAGACCAGTCAGAGCCGTCATGCCACTCCACAGATGGCTCACGGAACTCCACAAATGGCCTCTGCCGTACCCATCGACACCAATCGCCAAATGAGTGGTACACCCAACATGCAACATCGCAGTCCAATTCCTCCTCAGATGCAAAACACTGCCAACCAAGCAGGCTTGTTGGCTGCAGCGCAAATGAATCAGCTCACTCCTGGGCAACAAATGGCGCTCATGCAGCAACAACGCGCTAGGAGCCTGCAGCAGACCATGCAGGCTTCGCCCAATCAGACATATACTCCTGAGCAGCTTGCTATGATGAGAAACCAGCAAAACATGGCATTGCAGCAGCAAATGAATCCTCAAATGTATGCTCAGATGCAACAACGCATGCAGATGCAAAGCATGCAAGGTGGAACACCCATGATGCAGACGCCTTCTCAGCAGCAGCAACAGCAGCAGATGAACCAGGCAATGAGTCAACAAATGAACCAGCAGCAGATGCCAAACGCCCAGGCTCAGAGGTTGCAGCAAGTTCGTGCTCAGTTCATGCGCACGAAGCAGTTGATTCTGCATATGCAATCCCAAGGTCAACAAATACCTGTGGAACTGCAACACAAATATCAGCAGCAACAGCAAATGGTTCACTCGGCACAGGCGCAGATGACAGCGGCCACAGCGCGGGCGCAGCAACAGGCACTTGGCGACACAAGCAATACGGAGCAATATATGCAAAATCTCCGTAATCAGCAAGCATTGATTGCAAGAATGCAGCGAAACCCGCAAATGGCGCAGCAACAGGGCATGATGAACAGTACAGGGCAGCAGCAACAGAACATGAACATGTTGCAGACTCAACAGGCACAAATGCAGCAACAGATGCAGTTCGCCCGCCAGAACGCGATGAATCAACAACGACCCGGGTCGGGAATGGGTCAGTAGGTCGATATGATACCCCTTTGCAGGAAAATATTTACAGGCGTTGGTGATCTTTTGGGCTGAGTGGGTTGGATGCTTATATGTGTACAATGAGTCGAGCTTATGTGCTCTTTTGTTTTCTCTTTCTGGTGTTGGTGGTTGGGCTGGTTGTTCTTGGAGCACGCCACGACAGTGCTTGTAAACTGGATTCTCCCTACCCAGCAGTTGTTGTCATTGCTATATTCCTCTTTACTCGATACTCGTTCTCCTCTTCTCTTGGGTTGTCTGTTGCTTGTGCACCTCAGTGAATCGTTTAATGTACAGTCCCACAAGTTCGGTAGACTTCTCTCCTGAGGTAATTAACACGGATTTATGGCTGTCAAACAATGGCATCCTACGAATTACTGAGCGTTACAGCTGTAAAGAGATTTCACAAGCGGTACACTTCGTATGGCGGGGCTCGCGAGGATACTGTTGGGAGCAAGAACATAAAAGAGTCCTCTCGAATGAGGCTCGACCTATTGTGTCTATTCTTTTGGAGGCAGTGGCTCTCTGAACAGCGTTATGGTTGTGTGCCCAAGAGCACAAAAGAATATATAGAGATCAATTCTGCAAGCACGCATCCAACAGCCACAGAAAGCCCAGCTTTCACATCTTCCGTGGCGCAATTGGCTAGCGCGTTCGACTGTTAGATCTGACGTTGTCAGGTCGGCTATCGAGAGGTTGACAGTTCAAGCCTGTCCGGGAGAGCTTTCTTTTGTCATTTTTCCTGACCCATAGCATGAGTGTTCCGACTTCTTCTCTTCTCTTGGGGGCACTCACTCTATAATACACGTTCACCGTATAGGTATTTGGTCAATTTTTCAGGAATATGCTGCTACAAACCCTCGCAGGACTATGCGGTAACCAATGATCGATTATGATATTTCAAGTATCATGACTTTCCTATGTATATCGACACTATTTACAATGTCTTGCTTCAACAACAATCTGCTTCCGGAAATTGTCTTAGCTAAGGTAGTGACCCTGTTCCATATATTCAGCACTTCGATGTGTATAGAACAGCACGAGGCTTGACCTGCAAGATCTCTTGACCAAATCTCGACAATTTAAGTACCGATATTAGAGACACGCTGTTTGATAGTCTGCTGGTATGTCCACGGTAGCGGCTGCTAGGCCGGCCTCTTTATTCTGATATTTAAGCTGTTAGATATCTGGCTTTTGCGTGTTGGCAAATATGTCGTGCGAAAACACTAGTGGGTAAGCTCGCCTCGTCAAAGACGTTTCAACAGACTAGTATGCTACGCTGTTCTCTGCAGGACAGCAAAAGAGAAGATTTCTCCATGGTTAAGTGCAAAACAATGCTCATGCTGGGGATCGAACCCAGGATCTTCTCTGTGTGAGAGAGATGTCATACCACTAGACCACACGAGCTCATTGCAATGGATCGAAGTCTTTGCTCAATATATAGATCACAAATTTGCCAGTCTTAGGTGTCATGCACCTATGTCGGCGATCCTTCTCACCCATCAACCAATTGCCCATGCAATCGTCATGTATAGCGAGGTCGTTAACTAAGATGCATGGTGCATCACCAGTAGAGACTCAGATGCATTGGGACAAACAGACGACTCAATACGAGTATCTGCATACCGTACAACTTCCATTCAATCACGGCAAAGCGATACGGGATCCGCTGGCGATCAAGCCGTTGGGTCAGGAAAGAGGTCGCGTTGACAAAAGATCAAGAGTCGTAAGAGATGGCAGACCTTTCCAGGTCAGGCAGAGAACATATCCGACACAACCGGACCCGAAATTCGGTAACCGACTTGGCTATGGACCCGACAGTCGTTATAAGCAAAATGGTGTTTGCTGTTATCCTACAAAAAGCTTGCAGGTAGCCTGAGAAACTTCATAGCAGTGGCAGAAACAGAGCGCATGGGAGTGCCTAGATGATGAAGAGATCATCGGCAAGCCGATTTAGGCAGTTTTTTGCTGCACAAAGGTTGAGATCAGGTTTCTTGATGTTATTACTCACCTAATTTTCGATAGTTTGGCTGATCGAGCAGGCCTTGGCATGAAACTCCGCTCCGCTTTAGGTTGATCGGGCTCTGCGGGCCATGCAGCCACTTCGCTCTTCTCCCGGGCCTTATAGCACAGACCATGTAGATGATGCATGTGAAAGGAAAAGCTTGAGATGTGCGCAAGAAACACCTGCAGGAACAGCGAAAGTTGTGAGTCTGTGAAGTAAGCAGAGCAGGCAGACCGAACAAAGGGCGAGCGGATGTCGTTGATCGGCTCACGATCTCACATGTGCAGCGGTCCGCGGCGGTTAGCACAATAGATAGCTGTAGATTCATCGTCGGCGCACATGCCGGAAGCACCGGACAGCACGGTCGTCGATGTGGATGCTGTATGACTATGCGGTCATTCGATCGCATTTCTAATCCCCAAGTTACATCTGTGTTCTTACTTTTTCACACTCGCCATCTCCTTCGGACCTTCGTTTGCTTCACGTCAAATAGTCGGCTCACCCACGCACGCGCGCCTGGAGTCGCTGCTTCTGTGGGAAATCAGACAGACCTTTCCCGAGCTGGTCTCTTACATCACTTACAAACCCTCATCTCGACCCGCCTCCTGCTCAGCAAACATCAACCATCGCCCACTGAACATACCACTGCAATCGCTGCTACGATGGGCGCAACGTACGACAATGCGAGGTGCGAGAGCTATGCTGGTGCCGATTTTTCGAGTCAAAATTAATAATATCCGACAGGACGCTTAGCATGGCTGTGTCCTCGCTCATCCTGATATATCATGCCGCTACAGCATACCTATGCACCTTTCTCACCAGCGACCCCCTGTACATGTCCTTCAGTGTGACCGCATATGCCTGGTATGGATGTGCGTTGGCTATACTTGGAGTATACGGATCGTATAAGGTATTCATACTAGCGCAACCCTTAACTTTATCACTTCTGACTTCGTGCAGNAAATCACCCACACACCTGACAATCTTCTCAAACCATTTGCTCATAGATACGGTCCTCTCGCTCGTTCCCAAAATCGGCCTTGTCTATCTTTTCTACGATGTCACTGCAGATCTCTGCTTTACCAGCAAACTCAACACGTCATTTTGGTTCCCTTCCACCACCGCGGACTTGCACGGTCCCGGGCGCGTCATCCAGACTTCCTCCACGGAACAAACTCTTGGTGCCAGTATCAAGGCACGTCGCCACTGCGAGACGGACGTCCTCATAGCTCAAATTGCCTTTGGCGCCATTCTCGTCTTCTGGACAATTGCTCAATGGGGTATGGGATTGAGCGTGCGTCGATATGCTCTCAAGCTAGAGCTGCAGAACTACAACACGGTCCGAGGCCATCAGCATATGGACGAAGAGAAGGCTTTTTATGAGGAAGAAAGCCTCGCCGACGAGTACCAAGATGTTGTCAAAAGCGTTCAGCAATGGACGTCTCGAGAGAAAGACAACATCACGTTCATTGAGGTTGCTGAGAAGCCCTCGTGATCACGATATTTTCCCTTCGATTCCAATATAAGCATTACTTACGGTTTTTTCTTCTTACGCTTAACGTCAGCGATATTCACCTATTACTTAGCCATTCGTCCACTCTTCTTCTTTGAACTCAAAATAGCTTCCCTACTGAAGACGTATCGACTGACTGCAATATCAGGTGAGAATTCGTGTTATATCATCTCTGAGTATCAGGCTCGGCAGCCTTCGCATCTACAATGCGTGTATGACACCAAACGTCCCTTTTCCAACAGGTCTGGCATGAAGCCTCACAGTCACATCTACCCCAAGCCAAAACGCCTCCGCAATGCATACATGCTTTCTCCAGAGTCCAACCCTTCTGTGTCTCTTGACCCTTCCCGGAGGTCCGCCTTGAAATGGTGCGTTCGAACCTGCCACGATGCCATCTACACACTCGATTTTCCATCATGCTACTTTCATCCTGAAGGCCACTGCCTGGTACAGTGCGTTGATCCGGTACCCATGTGAACAAGGCAATAGGATACCAGCTCCGACATATTACACAGCACCTACGTGTGGATTGCTCTTTCCCTTCCTCCACAGCAGTGAGAATGGCTTCTCTCTCACAACTGATCAGCTCGCTCATCTTTCGTCTCTTCGGCGTTGGGATTGCTGTGAACAAATCTCTGTTGCTCAGGCGAAGGGAAATGAGTGAGTCGTATGGAAGGTGGGCTGGTAAGTGCAGAGCCAATATGTCGAGAGGCAGTTGTAAGAGCGGAAAGGCAGTATGCCGTGTTGGTTGTTTGCGTTGTTTGGATAGAGACCCTGGTTGTAGCCTTGTTTCATTGTTGTGTTGTCGGTCGGCTCGATGTGCGTTGGTCGTGGGAGGCAGATGCATTGGATCCATGATGGAGTGACAGATTGTGAGTAGCTCGGAGGGTAACCACATGGCTGCGCTGTTGCTTCTCTTCCAGACTTCCGGTAATCCTTCTGCTTTGTCTGCAGAGGCTCTACTTGACTGTCCTTCTGCGATTCTCAGACAAGGCTTTTCGTCTGTAGTATCGTCGGCTGGGCAGTTCTTCCGCGCTACTATCGTCACAGACCCAGACACTCGCTGCAGCCAAAGCAGTTGCTATAGCCAGCACAGAGACTAGAGTAAACATCTTGTCCGAGGTAGGGACACTTTTATATATAGCTTCGAGACCGTTTTGGTGGTGGCTTCTGCTATGACGGTGTTTTGGTGATTAACGATGAAACAGGGTCAAGCTTGTCTGTTTGGTGAAACCTAGGTCTGTTCAGGAGGGTGGATTTTGGCGACCGAACTTGCGATTCGTTTCTTTTGCAAGAGGTGGATTGCTGGACAAGGGTACACCAAGGTGTCTTGTGGGGTTGTTTCGCTGCAAGCAATCGAACGTGTCGAGTAAACAAGCAAAGCGCTTCGAAGATCGAAAAGGCACGAATCGCGATGCTTTGTCTTTCGAAAAGTTGTTTGTAGTATTGCCTCTTATATTGCTGCATTGTTGTTGCCTCCATGACCGGCGCCGTCCAGCTGCTTCTTGCACCTGTAGACCACAGCCACGCAACCCCCGGCGCGTGACCAAACCAACGCTGTTCTCCTGCCAATCTTATTTGATTTCAGTATCATTTCAGTCCATGTTCTTGAGATAAGATGACTGAGGTCACGATTACACCTGTTTGCCTGCATGAAGCGTTTGCTCAATTTACTTTCCTTGGTCGTACGGCCGCAAGCACGACCACCCCCATGTTTTGGATTCATGCAGGAGAAGCGTCTCCTAATTGAAACGTGACACTCGTTCTACTTCTTCAGCTGTCATTGAACATTTGTACTGTTCTCAGAAGCATACGCCAAGATGAGCCTACTGGACACGTCGCACGAGCTCTTCATGTTTCACGTACAATGAAAGACGGCTGACGCGAAATCAAGCCAGACCTGCTTCCAGGCCATGACCTTGTCTGAGTGATACGAACCGCGTGACTATGGCTTACCTTTCTAGCCCCAATCCTTGATCCATCAGGTCAAACGCGTCCCTATCATAAATCTGTGGTCAACTGCAACGTGGTCTGTGGTCTCTTTCAAGAAACTTCTGGGCTGTCTCACTTAGATCGGTACCTGTAGGCTGGAGTAGGAATCAAGTGAAGTAGAGTCTCTTGCATCTTCTCGTTTGGCTAATGATAACATCACACCCACACGTTGGTGACGCGTGATGACGACCTCCTGTCTCCTCTCAGATCCAGCGTGACGAGAACGTATCGCGGAATTGATTAGCTGTGGTCTTGTCAGTAGTCAGAAACTNCCACCAAGGCTGCCATGTCTACTCACCGTAGTCAGATACCTGACCGCAACCACTTTGCTCCCTTTTCATTTCAGCATCGCCCAACCAAGATTGAATCTTCTCCATTCTGTTGTGACTGGAAGGGTGTGTGGAGAGGAATTGCGGTGGGGCGCCTTCTTCTGCGTCGTGCATTCTTGACCATAATCCGACGGCAGCTGATGGGTCATAGCAGGCTTGCGCCATCATCATCAGTCCGATATAATCAGCCTCGGACTGTACTGTGAGTCAGTCTCGATGTTTCGGTGAACAAGACAGAAGACCGCCACTCACCTCCTGCTTTCTACTACCAGGTCTCAGGAAAGCCAAATCCACAACCATCCTCGTGAACACGTTTCCAACATCACCCAAGCCCAACAGTAATGAAGCAACGACTGCGACAGGCAGGAACACAGCATAAGAGCTCATTCGTTCGGCAGAATGGTGGGCTACATTGTGTGCGATCTCATGTCCCAACACTGCCGCCAGTCCTGCCTCACCTTGACACACGTCCAAGATGCCGGCGAAGACGAAAACCTTGCCGCCTGGAATCACAAAGGCGTTCTTTTGCTCATCCTTGATGACGTGCACTTCCCAGTTGTTGGTTTCTGCGGATAGTCCAGAGTGCGGGATGAGACGGTCCAAGACGCGTTGGACGAGTTTGTGTTGAGGATGAGATGGAGGTAGGATACGTCCTTGGTATTGCTCAATGACTTGTTGGTACAGCTCTTGTCCGGATTGCTGCTCTGTGCTTGCAGAGACGATGTTGAAGCGCCTACGGCCAGAAACCTGTAAAGTAACTCAATATCTTGACGACTTGCATACGCCAGCCTCGATTGTATCCGAACTTACGGGTACGACTTCCAAGTTGTACACGTAGAAGCCACTACATACGCCGGCCACACCACCTGCTTCGTAATAGAATGTGGGCCTTGCTGCCCATCGCCGCATCAGTCCGCTTGCTTGCTGGAACCGTGAGTACTGATAACCACCGCCTCGTCGGAAACCGTTGGCATAGGTTCTTGACTGCTGCTTCTGCCAGGTATTACTGCTGTTGTTCTTGAACTGACGGAACATTGCTTGTCTAGGTGTTGAGCGAAGAGCAGCATTTGTGCTGAAGAAAGTCCGCGCTGTCGCCATGGTTGCGTGCTACTTTGAGCAGCTTACTCGAAGTGATAAGCTGAGAGATGATGAGCAATAAGTCTCTGAAAAATTCAAGTTTTCATATGTGAAATGTATCGTAATCCGCGTCTCATGTGATGTTTGCTTGACGGTATGCGATGACGATGTTGTCACGTTTTCACAGTTTTGACTTCCCGAAACTCTAAACTCTATGTCGGCTTACGCCTCATTTCACACCGAGCCTTGGTTGGAAACCCGAAAGCAGCACGGCTCAGCTTTCTTTGTTCACCAACGAATCCTTGGGCCCAATGGGTTAGATGGGCTTGTACCTGACGCCTTCGTGATTATCTTCCAAGCCCTGGCACCTCCACAGCTTCGTTGAACCATTTTCTCACCTCGTTGCCCTCACCAAGTACAGAAAGTTGTCTAAGCCCACAGAATCCCCCTGGAAGTGCAGCTCTCGTCACATTTCTGTACCCGCCAGACATGTTGCCAGACACATTCAGTGCGGCATCATCATACTCCCAAACCACATCTTCGTACTCCTTGCCCACTTCTTGTTTTCTTCTAGGATTTTCGATTGGCAGACCAAGACTCGTGCTTAGCAACTTCTGGATAGGTGCAAACAGACGCTCGAATCGACGACTAAGGCGAAGGAAGGAAAGGGTTCTGCTGCTATATGCGACCCTGATGTAAGGATTCAGGTAGATACCAGTTGATGCCGAGCCCGAGTGGTTGACGGCTGCAGCAAGATCAGCGTGGATGAGGCAGCATTCGCTGGCATCCCAAAAGGTGTCGGCCGAGGCCCGGAAACGGATCGGTCTGGCAGAGCGTTCTGATAAGGGCGTGACTGTTGTGTAATCATAGTTCTTGGAATCTTGGCCAGTCGATGTCGCGTTGTGGTCCACCGTCAAGTCGGCGATGCCCAGATCAAGATGTATACCATCTGGCTGAAACCAGGTTGCGTTGAATGCAGTCATGCCACCCCAGCAACTCCGTACTCTCACTGCGTCTTTCTGACCAAGCACATCTTTGCGGCTGTTCGCGTTGCCTGCATCACTGAACCACGGATAGATGGGCACACCGATCCGACTGCCTTGATCGTCTCTCGTTGCAAACGTGTCATAGTATTTGAAAGGGTCGATGAAATCGGCTGCACAAGCAGCATGATATTTGGCCTTGCCGGTTTTGTCGACATTAGTCGAAAAAAGGAGATTTGCCGCATCAATGGGATCGAAGACAACGTCGTTAAGGTAGAGCAGCTTGTCGAAACGTACCGAGTACGCAGACGATTTTGGATCTTCCAGAGGGATCAAAGCACGATTGCGGACGTGGGCAAGGAACTCGATCCGTTTCAGTTTCTCTTTGCCGTTCGAAAGCTTTATGTGCGGCAAGGCCGCACGATCAACATGTCCCGCAACTATCGAAGAGTNTACCTAGGCCGGTCAGTCATGTTTCGCGTGGCTAGTTGACCACGACCTACATTCGACTTGCTTGGAGAAATGTTGTAGAGATGTTCTTGCCAAGCTATCTGGGTCGTCTTCAAAGATACTAAGGAATACGTTCTCAGGTCCTAGGAGATCTATAAGACTGAGTATACTTTGTGCCCATGGTCCGGAGGTAAGTTTGCCCTGCTTATCGTAGATACTGCTTGCGATGAATATATTCTCTTTGTGAAGATTGATACGTCCAGGGTCTGTTGATCCCAAGGCGTGTCTACGAAGGACGTTGTAATGTTGTGGAGGATGTGAGTAGGATGGATAGAGAACAGCAACGAGGAGTACGATCGTTACAGCCAGACAAGGCAGGGTAATCAAGATCGTCCATATCAAACGTCTAGCTCGAAAATGTCCGAGAGAGCGGAGCGCTAATCTTGACCAGCTGTGAATTGCATCACGGCTGTAGTTATCCATGTCATCGTTGCTCAACAAACTGTACTGAGGCGTTCTCACGGCTAGCCAGCGCGTGACGAATGTCAACACAGCCGTTGAGAGGCGCGCGTACCGTGGCTGAGCAGAAGGAGGGGAGCGACCATGGGTATTTTCCTGTGGTGAACGCGATCGCAAAGAGGCCAACTCGTATTGACCAGACATCCTGACTGGTACGTTGGTCTGTCGGCGTCGCAACTCATCTGTGCTCACTTTTGCTTTGAAGCAAGGCAGACCGAGTCGCAGCCAGCGGCCAAAAAGAGCGCATACGTAGGGCTATGCAGAATGTCCCGTGGACCCTTGAACACACGCGGACAAGCTTTGTGTGCCACATAGAGTTTCAGGGTCGCGATCGATTGGTCAGTGCCAACAGTCGCAGGAATGTGTGCGTAGGTACGATAGGTATTTTTGATGAAATAGCAAGTTGATCCTTCGCGCGATCCTGTTGGCGAGCCGATTGCTCAGACGCAGAATACAATTCCCTGGGGGTACCTATGGCGTCACCTTGGTGACACCTGCCGCTGACCGAAACTGTCCTTGTCTGACCACTGGTGTGCCCGCTCGCGAGGGTCGGTTCGATGCTATTGGCTCCCTCGTGCATAATCAGTACAAGGTGTAGAAGACTTTGCGACTCTGCACTACATATTTGTTGGATTCTCGTCGAGGATTTTGCATCACGCACAGCGGCGAAGACTTAGCTTCAGCGTGGACTGCACGCCATCCCTTTTTGACCTTGTAACACGAACATTGCCGCTATGAATAGTCTCATTGACGGAATGAGAAATCCAAGCTCAGCGCCAAGGTACGAAAGAACATGTCGGTCTCGCAGAAGTATGAATTGGACATGTTGAATCACATGCCACCTTGTATAGCAAAAGACGACAGGATCAGGACGAGGGAGTTGATGATGCCCCAAGAAAAGGGGATCCAGGTAGACATGCGAAAGTAGCCAGCAGTATAGACCCCACTCAACAGACCACCAACGACGTTGCCAGCAATCAGAGCTTCGACGGCACCGATGAAGCCGAAGACGATGGGGGCAATCCAGATGAGCTTCCAGTTGCGCCATTGAATGGCCATGGCGAAGGCGGCAGCAATCAGGTGGATGCCGACGACATCAATGATGGTCCAGAGAAGGGTGAAGCGCCATATGTCGTGTGAGTGGTAGAGGTACAGGGTCTGGGTCCCGCCGACAGGAAAAGGCCAGTACAAGGAGGGAAAGGGCGGAGTCGAGTATGAAAGCGGAGGAGTGTCGACGATGGTACGGAGAAACGAGTCTCTGAGTACAAGGGTCAGAAAGGGCGAAGAGGATTTGGCGTGTGGCCAAGAGGGAGGAGGGTATACCGGATGCTACGGCTGGTTAGAGAGGTGGATCAAAACCGCATTGCAACAAGAGACCATGGCACTGACCCCATGGCTGAGATAGGTCGACGTCGCCGTGAGTTCAGGTGCTTGCTCGACGTGAAGCCTGTCGACGTGCAACAGACTCGGGTGTTTCTGGGAAATAATGTCGAGACAATTGATTGCGACTCGCACTGACCAAGTTTCGCGATCCAAGCATCCAAGGGTCCGACGGACCTCGGCTCGTTGCTGCAGTCGGCCAGGGCAGCTACTCAAGCCACTACCTTGATTGACCGAATAATCATCATCATCATCTCTCCAATCCACGGCCAAACATAGAATCATGTCGACTGACAGGTTGTTGGCCACTCTGCTCAGACATCTGCAATCGAGCCCAGACCAACAAGACTCTCGTCGGTACTGCCTCGCACGAACATTCCCACCACCGCTGCCCTCAGAACTAATCATGATCAANAGATTACTTGGAACAGCGGCATCCTTGCTGACATCGCTGAACAATCCTCTGAACATCACTTTGCTTACCAGTCAACTGTTGTCGGCGCCAGCCTTATGGCCACGCTCGAATGCCTTGACATCCTCGTTGACCTTTATGAGTCTGTTCCACTCGGCTGCTATCAAATGCCATGAACGTGAAACCACCGACCGAGAGAGCCAAGAATCTCCCATTTCCACACGGCCTCATGTCGAATCCCACCTTCCTCTACACGAATGGATTGTAGCAGTGCTCAAGGGTGCGGACCAGCACTCTTCTCCCGACCATCATCTACTTGCTATCGGCGGTTTGATTGTCGGTCTGGCCGCGCGCGACCATGAATTCTCGTCAACCAACATTGCCCGCGCTTTACAATCCGCTTTGGTCAAGGCCGTCAATCTGGCTCTACTCGAGACTCTCTCCGATGACGACTTTGCCCACGCCAACATCTGCTTGGCTCTGAACCATGCATTCGCTCGCCTTTCTGACGCCGACCGCTCTGCCATTGACTACGATCGTCTTCTACCCATACTCATGACCTCTACCTTCCATTCGTCATACGGCTTGCGCTCAGGCTATTTCCTGGGCGCCGCGGACGCTGACCTTCAGCAGGTCTCAAGCCAGCAGTTCAACTGGGCCATTGAATCGCCGTCATATCAACAGATCGAGTCTATCATCAAGAGCCCGCTAATCTCATCTCTTGGTCCATTGTCGAGGCTAATAGCTCATACAATGGACAATGTAAAGGACCCCTGGCTCGTGCTGTCTGCTGTCGAGGACTTGTCAGACTTCTCGAAACGTCTCGGTACACAATGGAGGCAGAACAAGCTATCCGAGATCGATGCTTCGGAAGAGACCATCTTTCTCCACGAGGAAGCGCGGAAAAATACCGTTCCAACCTTATGGAGGCTCCTCCGCTCGACCTTGTTCGCTATAGTCATTGTCCTTCGCAGTGCAACCGGCCGCGTGGTAGGAAATATGTCTCTGGCGGCTCACAACAGTAAGCTGCTTGCATCAAAACGTGTTTGTTCAACGCTAACCTGNTCAGATGCACCTCACATGGCACAGGCTATCCTTCATTCGCTACGCAGTCTCTCATTCGTCTTTAGCCGCATGGGGAATGTCTCCTTCTCGCAGTATACCTTTACCTACCTTACCTCTATTGATATCCTCGCCAACTATCCAACTCACTCGTCCGCTTTCCTCGACGCCATTGCTCCATCCGAGCCCGGACATATACCATCTCACCCACTCGAACGTAACCTAGACCTCTTCTTTCTCAACACAGCTGAGCACTTCGCTCTTGTTCTGACATCCCGCCAAAACGAAGACCTTCTGCTTGCTGCGGCATCACCCTATCTTGTTACAGCCGGACACCCAAATCTCCTTCCAATATTCGAAGCCGCACATAGTGTCACCCTGTCAGTCTTCTCTGCGCCTCAGAACGTCGACCTCACCGCAAAACACCTTCCATTCTACGTTGACGCCTTATTCCGCGTGTTTCCGCATAATCTCTCCGCCCGCCAGTTTAGACTGGCTTTCAAAAATCTCATCAAGGTTGTCTCTCCGCCTAGCCGCATTGCTGTCACCCAACCGATGCTTGCCGCCACACTCCTTGATCTCGTACATGAACGTGCGATGCATGCTCCGGAAACTCCACTACCGCCGAAAAATGTCCCTTTATCAGCAAATGTTTCAGAGCTTGAAAGTGCTCCTCAATCGGCCGTGCCTGATTTGTCCGAACAGGCAGTGTTGATACTCACGCTAGTTGACGCTTTCCCATGCCTATCCATGGCTCTGTTGGAGGAATGGTTGCCACTGACCGCCGCGGCGACGCGGACGATTGCTGACCCAGCCATACGCGAGTACTGCAAGAAACATTTCTGGGAGGTTCTGGTTGGTGGTGAGATGGATCCGGAGCGCAGTCAGATATGCGTGCGTTGGTGGACCTCAAGGGGAGGGCGAGAGTCTTTGCTCGAATTCGAAGATCCACGAGATGATGAGTATGTCATGAGTGGAGGATTGGGAGAGCAAGGTAAGGTGATGGCCAAATTATGACGGTCTTGAGGACGATAACGAGACTATGATGCATTTGACCATGATGTGTGCTACCCTTGAATACAGTTTAGACCATATACCTCTCTTGTCAACATCTGCCAGGTTCTGATTCCTCCCTTCTGCTTCCTCTTCCCCCTTAATCTGTCTGAGTCTCCCCACGTCTCTTGAGCGAATCAAGCCACGTCGCCATTTACGGTGTGTCTGCTGACTGCCCTCTCCATCCTGATAGCAGCATCCTCCTCTTCAGCTAAATCTTGTCTCTCATCAGGCAAGAGTACTGCACGATCGATGGCAATCGGCAAACCTCTGTGTCTTCCTCTCAGCATGACAGCGCAGAGAATCAGTTTGCTCAACTTATGCCATGAGCCACAAAACGAGTATGCATTGTCAGGGACACCAACGCTTATGCCCACTGTNNTGTGTAAGAGTTAGCATAATCTACAAAGCAGGCAACGGAGGATTGATCACGAACCTGTGCCGTAGCCGGACACGACTTCGAAAATGACATTGAAGACGGAGAACGTATTCGGGTCACGTTCGAATTGCCCACCTTCGATAATCATGATGAGGAAAACAGCAAACACGATCCACCAAGCGTCATGGGCAAGTTGCGCTCGCAATTGCTGCTGTAAAAAGTAGCTCTTGCCCTCGCTCAATCCACCAAATCCAGTTGCTAGTTGCTTTTTGACGCCACGAAATTTGCTGTAGATGCTGTTGGGATCTTTGGAGGCCTCGGACAAGTTGTCTGGGTCGTTTTCGTCGTAGACGCCCAGACTTCGCTCCTCGTAGACGTTGCTATTACGCATTGTGATGACGACAGGATAAACGGAAATGTACATCATGATGACATACAGGACTTGGAGCGAGATACGAACAGTGGGTATAGCGACCACGTAGAAGCCTCCAGAGCGGACCGCAAAGGCCTGAAAGAGACCATCAACGACACGAATATGGACGGGAATGGTCGCGTTGAGTACGCGATTGCCGATGTTCAGAATCTCAAAAGCAGCCCAGTCTACACCATTAAGCGCAAAGACGGCGAAGGCAAGCCACCAGGTATGCTCTGACGGGAAGAGATTGGTGTAGCAGCGACGTGGATGATCGAGTAAGAAACGCAAGGTGTTTCGATGGTCGTCGAACCTAGCTCTCTTCGGCAAGAGTTTGTAGATTGTCCAGACGATCAATCGTAGGAAGATCGGGTAGCATGTATTCCCGGCAAGAATCAACAAGCCCATAGTTAGCAGAAGGTAATAAGAAGTCTGGAAGGCTATCATATTGGCATCAAGCAAGCTCATTCCAGAGTTGTTGAAGGCAGAAATCGCGTTGAAAGCTCCTGCCCACCATGGATTGAGACCATTAGCTCGAGCTGTCCCCGGACGATTGTATGCAACCCAAGCAGCACAACCTATAGCTCCAAACAGTTGCCAGAAGACAAGGTACAAGGGGACGATCCACGAGAGCCACAACAGCGCCTTGTATTCCACACCGCCAAGGTGTTGTCGTTCGGCCTCGGTCAGATTGTGGAATGTTGAGTTGCGAGAGATGTAACCAGCAGACGGGAAATAGTCAGCGGTAGATTTATTACCTGCAGGAGCCTCTTCGGCAATGGAAGTGCGCGATATAGACGTGACACGGTGAAGGCTGGCTTCAGAACGAGCTCCGACACCAGAGACCGAGAACATGCGTTGTCTTGACTTCGTGGGCGATGCTTGGTCTTCTTGGGTCTTTTGTGAGCGGAACACAGTCTCAGGGCTGAAGGTGATACGATCAGGGGAGGTGGCATCGTTCATCCTATCTTCAGCAGCACGCGGATCATCGCTGGTTCCATCCGTGTCCTTGCTCGTATCCAGACGCAGGGAAGTTTTGCTGAGCGAAGCACGACCTCTTCTGACAGGAGTCTGAGCCTCATTTGCGTCTGCTGAGCGAGGTCCTTTGTCCAGTCCCATGTTTGGGTCTTGGTTTTCTCGAGATCTGCTTATGGAGAGCCTGGACATTGAGAAAGTGGAGCCTCGTAGAGACGTACGTCGCTGTTTCCGAGCTCTGCTTTCGATGACACTTATGAACTTTCGTTCAAATGCTTTCCTTCTGACTTGGAGGACGAAGTTGGAGACAAAGATGGCGGAGCCGATGAAGATGAGAACGAAGAGCATGAACTGTTGCCATGTGTTAAGTTCGCTGAGGTTGACAGTATTCAAACCNNTCTGTGGTAGAGATCAGCAAGGGACCCGGCATTAGAATGAAGAGTCGGACGAAAGGACCATGTCAACTTACGCTTCGGTCATGGCACTGACGCACAGGAACAAGGCGTCAGTAAATTCAACATGTCTAGTGGTGGAAGAAGCCCAGAAGATGATAGCAGCCAACAGACAGGTGAATATAAAGTACGCATAATGCAGGGTAATGAAATTGACCGGAGGCAGAGCGCGACGGATGGCTCGCAAGGGGCGAGCAAAGCGCAACTTTAGACGTCGTCCCAGCATTTGGATTTGGAGAATTATTGAAGTTTTGAATAAACAAATGGTATCGAGCATCTACTTTTCCGGACGACGCCTTAGTAGCTTTGGGGGGGATCGGGCTGGTTGTCGTAGGCCATGGAGAAAGTCCCTATTCATGCAAGTGCGGTGACAGGGATGTGCAAACGGATGCACGGTGGGTGGAAGGAGACGGTGCTCGGAGACGCGTGCCGTGTATCAGAAGTAACTACTGTGAGGGGAATTGACGTGTGGACGGCTGAGGTGAGGGAACAAGCGTGAGAGAGAAAGACCTTGTTTGGGCGGCGAAGGCCCGACAAGTTTTGGATTCCTCAGCCACACATTCTCCAGTTCAGAGTTCAAGTAACCTTCGTACAGAATCGAGCCCCCTCAGCACCATCATGAAGGATCTGTCGGAATCACAAGATTATATAGGGATGTTGTACACTGCTTGGAAAGATCAAGTTGTAGACTCTCGACTAGTGGGCACGTCTCAAGAGTGCAAACAATTGTGTATTCCTAAAGCTGCTTGTGTTCGTGTTCGTGGAGAGCGGTGCTCAAGTGTCGCCGCCACAATGTGGCGCAAGCATAGAAGCATAGCCCCGATGATCAACAAGCCCAATGACGACGAGGGGTCCCCCAAGACAAGCAGGAAATCAACATGTTAAGTCACCTTGACCCGCCATTCTATCTGGCGTCTGACTCTCTCTGGACTGCACAGTGACGAACAAGACACATACAACATGGCAGGACATCACGACCCCAAACTTCTATACACGATCGCCAATGTCAAGGCATACCACATCCAGGGCGGTGAGGAGCAGGACTTGACGCCGTCTGGCCCTCAGACACTGTCTCTACTGATGGTGCCCACCTCGTCGCCCTTCTCGGATCTGTCGTCGACCATCCCGCAGAATGAAATGCCCGAAAACGACTTCTACCTGCACCTGAACCTGCCCCCAGAGCTGGATCTGCCCATGCCGGCCACCACCCAGGTCTACCACCAGCCTCCCCACTCATATCTAATCCCCCGCTGGGATCTGGGCGCCGACAGCGGCATCTTCACCCGCATCACCTTTGACAGGAACATCTCACCCGAGGACCACGATACTTTCGAGACCATCCTGGCACAATGCACTGCTTTCCTTGAGCGTGCTGCCCCTCCCAAGCCCTCGCGTCCTCTAGAACAATACGACCCAAGAGATTATGCTCCCGGTGGCAGATATCACGATGCCAAGGGTTCTGGACACGGCCAGGTCGTGCTCATTGACGAAGACAATGGCAGCATCATCGGCGAACTGGCTGGTGATGCCCACATTGTCGAGGACTCGTCCCTCAACCAAGGAACCAAGAGTATGTCACTATATCATACCTCTTCAAGTCCCTACTAATTGCTCTTGTACNNAGATCCTGTCGAACTCGAAATCTCCGCCGACGGAAAACGTATCAGCGTCACCCCTATCAGCGAAGAATACCTGCAAATGGCCCGTCACCCTGCCTACAAAGACAGTGGCATGGTCCAAAATGCTGCAACTGCCTCTCGCTTCATCGTCACCTCTAGCAGCCGTCTCGGTAACATCTTGACCGCTGGTGCCGAGAACTTTACTCAGAAGGTCAAGCCTGCCGCTAAGCCCATGGAGTTCAGCCCTGCCGCCCACGAGCGTGTCCGTAAGATCAATGCCTTTACAAACAGTGCCGCTGGCATGTCCGCGAAAACCGTCGGTCAGGCAACCAAGTACGCTCAGAACATTGGTGCCAGATTTGGCGGCAAGAATGAGGACCGCTACAAGAAGGGCTTCGATGCCAATGGTAAGCCTCTTGCCCAAGACCAGTACAAGCCCGGTCTGCTCAACAAGAGTATGATCGCCTTCTCCACCATTGCCGATGGTCTAGCCACGAGTGGTAAGCATCTGCTCGAGCAGAGTGGTTCTGCTGCAACAACCGTTGTCGGCCACCGCTATGGCGCGGAAGCCGGATCTATCACATCCAGTCTCGCTGGTGGCGTCAAGAACGTCGGTCTTGTCTACATTGACGTGACAGGTGTCTCTCGTCGTGCGGTTCTCAAGTCAGTTGCCAAGGGAATGGTTGTAGGCAAAGTGCGCAACGGTGGCCAGGTCATCGTTGGCGGTGGAGATGGCGGTGTTGTCGAAGACGAGGATATGAGAAAAGCTGGTCTCAAGAGCGATGGACAGCCTGCACAAGGCCCCGGATATGGCAATGTTGGCAGTGTTGAAGGATACGGCATGCAGAGTGGACCGCCAGCATACACGAGTGGTGTCGGCGAGTCCCTTGCCGGCCAGCCTGCCCCACAGCGCGATGTGAAGGGCAAATATGCATGAAGTCATGATTAACGTGTCTCCTCACGGAGCAAGATATGAGTTATACAGCGTTTCAGTAGTTACAAACAAACCATCGAGCCACGGAGTGTTTTTTCCATCGCTCAACAAACCATGGTCTTTGCTAGAGGCTCCTCCCCTGCAAGTCTTATGCTGCTTGAGTGATTCGTCTACGCCCCCTTTCCACAAGACACCTTCTATGAAAATTCATAGTCTGCTTTAGAAGGATCATGGAGCAAAGGCACTTTCAGATTGTTGATATAGCATTGTCAACATTCATTGTTCCAAACACTTTATTCACAACGTTCCCCACACTAACTTTCCAGCCCCTCCCACCCGTTCCATTCCATCCTCTTGCTGCGTAAACTAGGGAGGACAGCCAATATCCGATCTCACAATCCTATGGGCTACGATAGGCATCTTAATCCAAGAGCCAGATGACCTGGCTCGTTATGTCTGAATACGGTAAGTTAATGAAGTCCCGCGTCTTACCACGACTTCCAGCAAGAGCCAGGACAAGAGAAAGGCTGGGTATGCTCTCCGTCCATCGGGTTCTGCTCCTTAGTTACTACGATATCCGCCACATGACTTGAGCTACTGATACTAGCCTGATGGAGCTAGGAGCAAGTGATAGCTCTCATAGGGACCTCTTGTCGGTATCCGTCCCTAATCTTGAAGGTTCTCGCAGACCCGAATAGTACAAGGACGATTTTGTGTTGATAGAAATGTGCAAGCTGGTGTTACAAAGATAACCGCAAGGTGTGTCGAAAGTAGTTTCGAGGGAAATGACACACTGGAAAAGATTTGGTGTGGAAGATAGATGGGTAAAGGCGTGACTGGCTTTGGAACGAATAAGAATTTATTTGATATGTACGATCTCGCTGTTGCCATGGATTCATGCATGCTGTTGATAGTGACCTAATCGCTGCGTGCTAACCCTTCCTATCTAGATCATCCATCTTGATGAACCTGTCGGCAACGGGATGATCCTCGAATTGCTTGTGCAGGTAGACACCCGACTTGCCTCCTGCTTTGTACACGACACGTACACCAGAGATGGTCATGTTCTTATCCACGGCCTTGCACATGTCGTAGACTGTCAAACAAGCTCCCGACACCGCAGTGAGAGCTTCCATCTCGACGCCTGTCTGACCACGAGTGTACACTCGAGCCTCCACCGCGACCTTTCCATGTGTAGATTTATCCTTGGAAGAAGTGCGTATACTTGGGGCTATCGTCCCGATGTCTAATGTGATTTTTGTGACAGGGATGGGGTGGCAAAGGGGGATGATATCTGAGCATCTCTTGGCTGCCATGATGCCTGCGACCCGTGCAACACCGAGGACATCGCCCTTCTTATTGAGGTTCTCGGTGATGAGCCTGTACGGCTCATCGCTGCCGAAACGAACGAAGCCGACAGCTACTGCGACTCGCTCGGTCGAGTCTTTGGCGCCGACATCGACCATGTGGGCTTCGCCAGTCGAGGTGAGATGGGTTAGAGTAGTAGCAGCATTGGACGACTCTTCCGTTCCCAAGCTTGAAGAAGTTGTCGGTGTACTCTCTATTGTGTCGAGGAGACCAGTGTCAGGGTTGGAGAGCGGTTTTGAAGAAGGTTCCTCAGCTGCGACATTTGATGATACAGATGACTCTTCTTGACGAGCAGCCGAAAGCCTCTGGTTGATGTGCTTTCTGGCCAAAGACGTTGGGCGCAAAACGTCGGTTTTCTGGCCTGACGGGCGTGGTCTGGTAAATGCAGATGCAGTCGATGTCTTGACCTTTCGCTCATCCGAACGAGATGGCTGTTTGAGATCTTCTAAATCGGGTTTCCAAGCCGGCAGGGGCTTGGGCTGCGGCGAGTTTATCTTGTTCGTGGCTCTCGACTTGCTGGGTTTGGTAGCCTTCTTGTACTTAATGTCGTGGAGGGATTGTACGGCCAATCGGGACCCGAGTGGAGCAGTGGTCCTTCGTACGAGGGACGAGTTTCCAATCAAGTGAGAGCCCCTTGAGGGCTCGATAGAAGCGACGGAAGACAATATCTCATGCGCTTTCTCATCCTCTTTTTCTATATTAGGGAAAAAGTTGTTGGAATGGTCCACAAACTGGTTACCATCGAAAGGATCATCGGTAGAGTTAATATCCTGGGTCGATCTCCCAGATTGCGTATCAGTAATCGCATCTGCTTCGTGTATTGAGGGCTGAGGCGGAGACCAAGGTTTTCTGGGGCTCCCGAAAAGGCCTCTGAGGCTTGTAAATCCAGATTCTGGTTCCTCAGTCCTTGTCGATAGCAGGGGTGGCGTGACATCAGATTGAACTTCCTCGGCGGGCTGTTCTTCTGAAGACTGAGGTGGAGATGAGGAGGTGGATGAAGAAGAGTATAGGCGTGTTCCGAAAGAGTTCGGGGCACTAAAGTGCAAGAGATGCAAAGGAACGGCTTGTCCTAGTCGGCTAGAGCCACTGGGCCGGATTTTGGAGTTTCCAAATCCTCTCCTCGGGCTACTGCCCTCAGCTACCACCAAATCAGTATCAGCTCCGGTATCGTATAGGTCCAATTGACAGTTCAGTACGGCAGTCGTGTAAATGACGGTGCTGCGAAGGTCGAAGATATCAAAGGGTTTGCGGAACCTACCNNCACCAATAAGTATCATGGGCCGGTTCTCCATGTTTTTCAGTTCCTCCATGCCAGCATGTTTCTCCTNTTTGCGCTTGACAGCCTCTCCAATCAGATTGAGCAATGCAGTTTCTCGCTCGATCCAACTCGGTTCGGGTACGAACAGTCCTTGACGCCGATTCTTCTCTATCTCTCTGACAGCTTCAAAAGCGTGCTCATCCATAGGATTGCCATTGTTATCCTTCCGCAACAGGTCTCTTAGCGAAACTTCAGTGTTGCCGTGAAGACAGACTTTCAGACTGCCATCGCTCGTAATGCGCAAGCGATTGCAGGTGCCGCAGAAGTTATGCGTCATGCTGGTGATGAAGCCAATCTTGCCTATAAAACCCGGAATCTCGTACGTCTTGCTTGTGTCGTTTAGGTGACCCTTTACACTACGAAGCGCGGGATATTTCTCACGGATTATGTCCAGCATCTCTTGGTAGGTCAACATTTTCCGCTCGCTCCACTTGTTCCCGCCGAAGGGCATGTACTCGATGAAGCGTACTTCGATGTCCTTTTCACGACCCATCTCAACAAAAGGAATAAGCTCGCGTTCGTTGATGCCGCGCATAACGACACAATTGACCTTGAGCTTGACGCCGGCGCCCAACTTGTTCATTTCCAAGACACGATCGATGCTCTTCATGACAGCGTCATAGCCTTTGCGACGAGTCAAGATCTGGAACTGGAAGGGGTCGAGAGTGTCGAGACTGATGTTGACACCGGTCAGACCAGCCTCGACCATTTTGTCCAGCTTTCGGTGTAGCGAAATGGCATTTGTAGTCAAAGCGAGCTCGCGCAGACCTTTTGTTCTGAGACTTCCAATCTGCTGCATCAAGGGCAGGATATCAGGACGCACGGTGGGTTCGCCTCCGGTCAGGCGGATTTTGGTAACGCCTTGGGACACGAAGAGTTCGGAAAGGTAGACGATCTCGGGCGTGGTAAGGAGGTGGCTCGACGGTGAAAGCGGTACACCCTCNNTAGACGAACAAAGTCAGCGGTGTGGACTTTGTCGGTGTGCAGCACAGGTTATCGTACCTTCAGGCATGCAGTACAGGCAACGCAAGTTGCATCGCTCCGTGACACTGATGCGCAAGTAGTCGTGTTGGCGGTTGTATCTGTCCGTCAGGAAGTCGGAGAAAGGTTTCGCCTGCTGGATGGCCTGCCGCCTGTTGGGCGGCTCCGTCAAGGTGGTGGCCTCCTGGCCGAGGGCTGGCGGTGCTGATGGCGATTGTGTTGCTGTGGCGGTCGCAACACAGCGCCTTTCTAGTCGCAGGCCACGGGCCAAGGGCCCGAGACTGCGGCTCGAGCGGAGGGCAGCTGAAGCCATGGTGAGGACGGGACTGTCATGTGCAATGGCGCATCTTCTTATATCTTGGTTGTCGCTTCTGATGCTTGCAAATGTGGGCCTCCAGTTACGGAGTTAGTGGGAAAACTTCCCCGTCCCGCTCGCCGCTCCGCCCACCGACGTCTCCTCCGCCTCTTATCTTTGGCCGTCCTGCTTGCTCTTACGTGAAAGTGACCACGTTCTGACTCGACTTTTGGTACATGTATAATATATATCTATATTACACTCTCACCCCCGTCGTCACATGTCGAGTGCTGCTTTCTGCGCCTCGACAATTGCGAAGATGTCTCGGCCATGCTCGCTACCATAGAGCTCGTTCTCCGCCAGCCTTCCCACGTACTCCCAGAAGTCCTTCTGTCCCTTTTTGCCTCGCAGACCCACACTGAGAAGTCCCTCCTGCTTGTGACAGTCCACAACTATCTGCCCGACTCTGTCCCATTCGTGGTTGCGCGCAAGACATTGCACCACCGCAATCATGGCTAGCCAACCTGGTCGCTTGCCCTCCTTGCTCATGCGGTTCAAAAAGGCCATTGTCCTGCCTACGTCTCCATGTCGTGAAAACCCTTCGACCATTCTGTCGTAGAAAATCACGTCCATCGTGTGCTCTCTTGAACTCCGTATGTCGTTCCAGAGTGCATCCGCGGCAAGGAGCTCTGGTGGGTCGGCGTCAAAGTAATGCGTCATGAGGATTGTGTATATGTGAGGTGTGCACGCAACATTTCGAGTGGTCATGTGTGCCAGTACGCTTCTGGCTGCCTTCAGATTGTTATGATCTTTGAGCATACGATCGATGAGCAGAGCATATCCTTGAACGTCCACCGTCATGCCACACCCTTCGACTGAAGAGATGAGGTCCATGATCTTGTCCTTCTGCTCATCTTGCGTCATGTCGCCGTGCAACGTCGTCGACAGCATCGAATCAACCAGGATAGTAAAGGTTGATGAGTTGGGCTGAATGTTGGACGCTGCCATACGCTGCAGTATCTTTGCCGCATCTGTCGCCTGCCCTCCAGTCAGGGAGACGGCAAGCAAAGCATTGTAAGTCACCACATCTGGCTCGATATCGAAGGATCGACTCCATGCCAGGACTCTGGGGATTTGACTTGCTTTGCCACCACGAAGTGCTGCGATGGCCGAGTTCAATATAGCAGTGTTGGGCTTTGGAACCTCTGGGACGTCGTCCGCGACGGTCGACTTTGACTGTCGCCTGTTTTGGGCGGTGGTCCATTCCATTCCCATCTCATCTAATGCAGACATGCCATCACGAAGACTGCCAACCCGGAAATGTCCATATATCCTGGTGCTCCAGGAAATTACGTCGGGTTGAATACCAGAATCTCTCATGCGCTGCCACATGGATTCCATGATCTGAGTGGCGCGAGAATAGTGGCAACTCTTCATCATGACATTCCACGTACGGACAGTGGGTTCGAAACCTGACTGAAGCATGCTGTTCCAGACCTGCAGCCCAGACTGAGGCCTTCGCAATTGGAAGAAAGCATGAAGGAGCCCTTCAAACAACCGCAATGTCGAGGGCGCATTTTCCGGTGTGCGTGATGATTCGTCTGCAAATATTTCTTGTGCATTGGCCCAGTTTTGTTCCAATCTGTCAAGATTCTGCTGTTCGACAGCGTTGTTGACTCTAGAGATAAGCCATCTGGTCCTTTGATCAATGGGTTCCTCATTGAATGTAGAATCTGTCTGTGAGTGATCCTTCAGTACAAAGGCCGGGCGAAGGCTGTAAAGCCTTCTGCTAAGCTCGGCTGGTTGTAGCGCGTCATCTGAAGTTTCGCTTCTGAGTTTGGTTTCGATGTGACGTAGAGCGGCTTGGTTGAACTGCATCTTTGGGCACGCATTGCCTAGAGCTTGGAGAGGAGCTCGATATTCCTCGAGGTCATCCGGGAAAGATGTGGCACGGCACAGAAGATCTTGTATAAGCAAGAGTGACACAGCGAAGCTCGACGGTTTCTCGGTTGGAGCTCTGAGGTGACCCATGAAGCGCTGGTAGTACGTTGCATTAGTCTTGGCGGGGTAGAAGCAGAGCGGCCATATGTCAAACAACTGAAGAAGGACAGGCTTGGTTGCTGGGTGCGTCAAGACGTCCAAGCCGTTGGAAGCAGCCAGCTGGAGGTGAACTGCCAAAGTCAATGCTACAGAGGAAGCGATGGGCGGTGTGGCTATGGCGAGCTGAACGAATCTTCCGAGAACAGCAGAAGGGGACAGAGAGGTTATGTTCTCGACCGACTGGCGTGTGTCGAGCTGTGAAAGCCAGTGACGGGTCATCAGAGATAGCAGATGTGTATAGACAAAACCTCTTCTGTGCTTCGGGACGTCGAGAAAAGGAAGGGAGGCGGGATCTAAGGCTGCACAGTCGGGCGCGGTGTAGTGGGTCGAAAAGTAAGACCAGGCAGCGTCGGCATCGCCTCTTGCAACCAGATCTTCCAGATTGGAAGTGTACGAGGTGAGGGAGGCATCCCGGGACTTTCTTGCATGAGATCCATCTCGAGTGGGAGGGTCGGAGTGTTTATGAGACTGATGCTTGGGGGCAGCAGCGGGCTGAGCGGGTCTGCCTGTGGAAAAGCGAGCGGGCTGCTGGGTGGTGGATTTTGCAGCTACATAATCGTACAGACTTTCGGGCTGGCGAGAGACGGGCGTGGCAGGCTTCTGTCGAGGCCGCGAATACCGAGTGCTGCGCGGCAATTCCGAAACGAGATCATCAAGGTGGTACGACGGGGACGAAGAAGAGGCGCATCGCTGCTGTTGCTGGTGCTGTATGCAAGGATGCCGGCGAACGAGCTGCACTGCTCGCTGTGCCGTAGGGCGACAAGACTGTGAGCAGATTCGAGCGCCGGACATGAGCTCGGCTACTTGGTGAGGGTCGACGCAAGAAGAATAATAATAATTGTTTCCAGTTTCGTCGGAGCTCGTCTTTCACATGTTCCGCGCTTCTGTCCTGCCAAGCTTTCGGGCCTGTCGGCCTGCTCCCGTCATCATACGCCTCCACGTGCTTGACTCGGCAACCAACCACCTACACTTCCCTCCAAGCACCCTTCATCCTCTGTCCTATTGATATTTTCCTAGACTCGTTCCCCTTCGATCCTTCATTCTCTCCCTCTCTTCCTCCACTGTCGCCATGACGACACTCATACCTCGGGAGAAATACACTGCTGACGAGCTCTCCCGTCTTTACCCAAAGGAGCTGGCGCTACAGCAGGTTCAAGTTGTACGTATCTGGGACACTTAGCATTTCGATCACCAGACTCATGATGTACAGCTTCTCAGACACGGTGCGACTGGGCCATTCAACCATACAATTACTGTTTCTGACTGTCCCAANGGCGAACGATCTCCGGTCTCTGCCAGATTCAAGAATGTATGTATTTGATCAAGGTTCCTGGCGCCAATGCTCGAGTACTAACCATATCTATATCAGGCTGGTCTTTCGGCTAGTATGTCGCGATTCTAGCCTTTAGCCATCCCTGTTTGCTGACCTCGGAACCANGACTGGCCGTATTGCAATGCCGCGCAGCATCTTCGTAGTGTAATCATGTCAGCGAACAACTCGTGGGACGAGCTGGCTTATAGGCGAAGACTCGAAACTTTCGATGAAAAAGATGACTCTGCTGTTCTGTCACATGGTCCTGGACGCGAGACTGATGGAATCTGGTACATTTGACTCAACCAAGCAGCCCAGGCCTCACTGACGCCTTCTATAGCNCTTCCCGGTGAACTCACTGATCAAGGACGTGCTTCTACTCTGGCTTTGGGCCAGCGCCTACGTGGCTTGTACGTGGACCAGCTTGGTTTCATGCCTGCCGTCCTGCAGGACGCGAACCACATGTACCTGCGAGCCACTCCTATCCCAAGAGCTCTTGAGTCTGTACAGCAGACCTTCTATGGATTGTATCCTCCTTCGTCGAGAGCTGCTGACTTCGTTCCGCCGACCATTGTTCAGCGTCAACCTAGTCATGAGACGCTCTTCCCTAATGAGGGTGCTTGTCGGCGTTTTGCCCAACTTAGTCAGGCCTTTGCTCAAAGAACTTCAGATCGTTGGAATGACTCGCCAGACATGGCATATCTCAACAAGATGATCGGGAAATGGATGCCTGAAGATACGCCTACCGTCAAGGTTGATGGCCATCCAAGACTGAGGTTTGTAGACAATCTTGCATACATACCTGTCACACCCTTCTGATAAAGTACNAGTGGTATCATGGACACTGTCAATTCGACTCTTGCTCATCCTCAAGAAACTCGCCTACCGAAGGAGTTCTACGACACCAAGGGCAGAGCGATTATCGACAAGATCGGTGTAGAGGAATGGTTTTCAGGCTACATGGAGTCTAACGAATATCGCCAGCTTGGTAAGAGCATAGCTACGGAAAAGACTGTGCTTGTTACTGACGACCGATANGGTATTGGTGGGTTGATGGGCGATGTTGTAAGTCGCATGGTCGAAAAAACCAGAGCACCAACCACCAGCAACAGCGACATCCAAATGGCACTCTCTGGTTGCCACGACACAACTCTGGCTGCTGTGCTTAGCAGTATGGGGGCCTTCCAGGGCGAAGCCTGGCCCCCTTACACCAGTCATGTGGCTATTGAGTTGTTCAAGGATCGTACGGCCTCTACGGCTACCCAGCCTGCAATCACCACGGGTAGTTGGTGGAGTTCGCTGTTCCCAGCCAAGAGTATGTTGAGTCCGGACGCTTCTCCCCGCACACCTTTATCAAATGTTTCCGCGTCCGACAAGCAAAAACTGGATGGCTATTACGTTCGACTCCGCTACAATGACCGCCCTATGAAAGTTCCTGGATGCAGACCAGCTGGAAAGCATTATGGCGATGATGAGAGCTTGTGTACCCTGGAAGCGTTCAAGGGCATTGTGGACAAGTTCACTCCCAAAAACTGGAAGCAGGCTTGTGGTGCCCGCCTAGGAGAAAATGCGTTCCCTGAGAATGTCGAGCCTGCCGGTGTGTAAGCCTCGAGTGCATGAGGATTACGCAGTAGAACTTGGGTAACGCTGGGCACTCCTCAAACGTGACCACAAGAAGGATGAGCTAGACTAGAGCAGAGAACTAGAAATACAAGATTCTTGATATACACATCGCTATGAGCGGACGCGAATCATGGTTGATCAAGGTCGCGACGGGTTAATTATCGCTCATGTTTGGACAGACGCCATCATGCATGGGTAGTTTCGCAGGTATTCGCTTGGTATTCACAACAGCGGTTAGGATATGAACGCCCACTTCGTAAGAGGCGGTACAGACTCCAGACGAGTACTCGGCCGCAATATAGATGGATAGGATGGAGTCTTGCTCAACCGAGCATGTGCTTGTTTCGCATTTGCAATTTGATGCTGATCACCGGAGTGGAAATAAGAAGGAGCCGTGCACACAGCGCGACGTAGGCCAAGATAGGGACTGGTCTCAAGGTGATTGGTGCAAAGCGGATCTAGGCGTGGCAGGCGCGAGTTTAAACCTTGATTTCGGCTCGACAACGAGTTTGTGTTGGCGCGGGCTCAAATACGACAGCATGTCCGTATGGCACGCGGGCGACAGACAACTAACTATCGCCTGCATCCACCCCTCGCTCTCCTTCTCCACCTCAGACCTGGATCTGTTTGTCTGCAATTCACCTGACAGGAACTCGACATCCCTCATACCCTCGACGGTCGCTATCTAAAGACAAAAGCAACCGGTGTTGCAAGTGACATGGGATATTGGCCCTCAGTCAAGAGCGTCTGCCTCTAAGGAGCCTCCTCGTCTTTTCACGACCCGTCGAAGCGCTCTGTCATGTCACAAACATCAACTACGGCATCGCCCACGACCAGCTGTGGCAGTGGCCTCTTCAACGCTGGTTGCGGTGGTGCGCTGAACAGTTATGGTCAAGATTGGGGCACCCTCCTGTCTTCGATTGTTGTTGCTCTTGCATCTTTAGGAGGCCAGCTGCTTGCCTTTGTCATTTTCCGCTTCCGCCTCAGCAGAATNTTAGTAAGATGCTTGTCTTTTCGCCCGCCACACCTCATCGCTGTCTGACTATCCCTCTTTAGTCGTCCCAAATCCTACCTTGTTGCCGAACGCGAACGAGTGCCAGCGCCGCCGAAAGGTGTATGGCAATGGACTGTACCCCTNTTCCGAACGCCCAATCAGACTTTCATCGAGAAATGTGGTCTGGACGCCTACTTCTTCCTGCGCTTCTTGCGCATGCTGCTGAAGATATTCATACCTCTATCCGTCGTCATTCTTCCTATACTGTTGCCCATCAACAAGCTCAGTTGCTCGGACTGCACTGTAGGCCCCGATCAATTGGGCTGGAGAAACATCCCGTCTGAGCACTCTCAGCGCACCTGGGCTCATCTTGTGCTGGCTGTCCTTACCATTTTCTGGGTTCTATATGTTATCTACACTGAACTGCGTGGCTACATCCGCATTCGACAGGCTTATCTCGCTTCACCTGAACACCGTATTCGCGCCTCGGCCACTACTGTGCTTGTCAGCGGTATTCCTAGAAAGTGGCTGACTGTCGACGCACTGAATGGCCTGTACGACGTCTTCCCCGGAGGGATCCGCAACATCTGGATCAACAGGAACTTCGACGATCTTGCCGACAAGGTTTCTGACCGCGACAACATCGCACAGAGTCTCGAGGAAGCAGAGACTAGTCTGATCCAGAAATGCGTTAAGAAGCACAAGAAAATAGAGGCCAAGAAGGCCAAAGAGCAGGGAAAGACAAAAACAAAGGAAGAAAGAGAACAGGACAGGACTAGAGCAGATGAACAAGCCGAACGCATCGCCCAAGGAAACGGTGTCAGTTCTGGTGATCCTCATCAAGTGCCGCACAATCTGCAGGAGGTTCTTGAAGAAATCGAGGAGGACGAGCATAGACACGACAAACATCGAAGCTCGTCTCCAGAACGCTTGCGGGATAGATTTGGTCAGGGATTCGGTGCTGTTGGCCATGGATTTGGTGCGATCGGTAACTTCGGTCGCAAGGTCGTTGGTGAAGTTGCCGACGATGTCAATCGTGTCATTCGCAATGTCAACGACTCGGTAGACCAGGCCAACAACATGACCGGCTTCTATGCAGACGTTGATGATATCAACAAGCCTGCGCCTGCCGACAGACTCGCGTTTGACGCATCCGTCCCTGCTTCCGGACCTGCCCCTGCACCAGCGCCCGTGTCTGCTTCTATACCATCTGCTGCTCGTGTATCTTTTGGCCATCAGGAGGAAGGCAAGGACCACCACGAAGACGCAAGGGACCCATATGAGCCTGAACATCCAACTGGACTCAGGAAACCTGACGACGTTGCGGTCTTGGACCGAGCTGAGCCTCCAGGAACTCGGCGTTCCGATTGGAGCGAGCCTTCTTCGGCAAACACTCAAACCCAGGGCCAGGAGACATGGGCAGATAACCCCAAGTCTGGCGTTAAAGGATCATCCACGCCTGATGAAGCGAACACTACAAAGCCTAGAGGAGCGCCTAGAAGAGCGTGGGACGCCATCATAAAACAGGTGCAAGCAAGTCCATTGCCTATCCCCAGCCCCCAACCTCATGCTGTGGAGGAAGATGAATACCCTCTCCGCACTCTCGGACAGCCACAGAACCCCGATCTTGACAAGAATTCGGCCCAAGGACTTTCTAAAAGCAAATGGGCTAACAAGTTTGGTTGGCTCCAATTTTGGAAGAAGAACGACGATGAAGAAGAGAAGCCTGTCTATCCAGAAGCTTTCGACAAGGAGCTTGCTGATGCTGAGGAGACTGAGGCTCTGTGGAAGCAGTACATTGAACCAAAGGATCGCGATACCCTTCGTGAACCGATATTCAATCTGTCATGGTGGCCTCGTTTACCGCTCATGGGCAAGAAGATCGACAAGATCTATTATCTTCGCAAGGAGCTCGCTCGGCTGAACGTCGAAATTGAAGAGGACCAACAGAATGTGGAGCGGTTCCCATTCATGAACTCAGCTTTCATTCAGTTCAACCACCAAGTTGCCGCTCACATGGCTTGTCAGTCTGTCAGTCACCACATGCCGCAACACATGACACCTCGCTTGGTAGAAATTTCGCCTACCGATGTCTTGTGGGACAACATGTCTATGAAATGGTGGGAGCGCTATCTGCGCAGCGGCATCGTTTTCGCGGCTGTCGTCGGCATGTTGTTTCTCTGGGCGCCCGTGGTTGTTGTATCTGGTTTCCTGTCGACTCTCAATACCCTGGAGACTATCTCATGGCTGTCATGGATTCAAAGGCTACCTCCCAAAGCTGTAGATTTGGTTCAGGGTGTTCTTCCTCCAATCTTCTTGAGCATCGTGCTCGCATTGGTTCCTATCATACTTCGACTTCTAGTCAAACAGTCAGGTGTGGCTACTGGTAACGGCAGAGAGATGGGTGTTCAGATTTATTATTTTGCATTTCTCTTCATTCAGGTCTTCCTCATCGTCACCTTGTCATCTGGCCTACCCGCATTCTTCAAGGAGGTTGCAACTGAGACCTCAAAGATTCCACAAACCCTCGCTCAGAATTTGCCAAGAGCCTCGAACTACTTCTTCTCGTACCTGACTGTCCAGGCCCTCAACAATAGTGCAGCTGCACTACTGCAGGTCGCTGCTTTGTTGAAGTGGTTCCTATGGGCACCCATAGTAGACACCACGGCACGCCAGAAATGGACAAGGCAGACAAAACTTAATATGGTGAAGTGGGGATCGTTCTTCCCTCCGTTCACCAATTTTGCGGTCATCGGAATCATCTTCTCAATCATTGCACCTCTGGTCATGGTGTTCAACCTCATTGTCTTCTCCGTTTACTGGATCACGCAACGGTACAACGCCCTCTACGTCTACCAGTACCGTCATGACACCGGAGGTCTTCTGTTCCCGAGGGCCATCAACCAGTTGTTCGTTGGACTCTACGTCATGGAGATTGCTATGATAGGTCTTTTCTTTGCCTTCCCAGGCAAAGACAAGTGTACAGCACAAGCCATCATCATGATTGTCATGCTTGTGGGTACAGTCATCTTCCAGTGGGTTCTCAACGATGCGTTTGCACCATTGTTCCGATACTTGCCAATTACACTGGAAGACGATGCCGTGATCCGCGATGAGGAGTTTGCTCGTGCACAACGTCTCAAGTGGGAGAGTCTGGCCGACCATCCAGGCGAGCACGAACGACTGGAGCATGACCCAGAAATTACGATGGAAGAACAAGAGAGAAAAGAAGCCGAAGAAGAAGAGAGAGCACTTGCCGAGGAGCGTAGAATGATCCACGAGTACAAGCGTTCCGCTACTCGCATGTCAAGCTACGGCTCTGCCTCTCGTTCTGAACGCCCCGCACCCGCTATTATGGACACTAAGCCTGCCAATAACAACAGTGGTGATCGCTGGAGCAAAGTAAAGCAGGTCAGTGAACCTGTTCGCCAACTGCGCAGAATCGCTCGACCACATGCACATGGTGCGGATGGCCTTAAGCCCACGGCCATCAACGTAGATCCTCAGACCGCAAAGGTGGACATGGAATCTCAAAGACAGGTCGGTGACGTGCTCTTTGGCGGATTCAGCGACGAACTCGAAGACTTGACTCCCGAAGAGCGCGACACGCTCATCCGCTATTCCTTCCAACACTCTGCGCTCCGCGCCCGTAGGCCAGTGGTCTGGATCCCGCGCGACAACCTCGGAATCTCTGACGACGAAATTGAGAGGACCAAGCGCATGAGCACCGTCGACGACATTCGCCCAGAGACCGAGAAACGAACTCCCAAGACCAACATATGGATCAGTAACGAAGGAACTGCTTTGAACGCAAAAGGCAAGGTTGTGTTTAGGAAAAGCCCGCCAGATTTTGCTAATGTAGATCTCATCGCTCTTTAGAGTGGCAAAGATCAAGGAGTTTGTGTGGGTTGGCCTTTTTTTTTTTTCTTTCTCACTTGCATAGCGCTGGGCATGGGTATGAAGAGCGGCAGGCATGGTATAGTCATCGCATTTCTCATCACAAGCGCATTATAGTATTCATTCAGACCTTATTTTCCCTAATGTTGTCTTGACCGTTTCGTCCATACCACGTAGCTGGACTTCTTGGTTATTGGTCACTTCCCAATCTGCTCCTGGGTAGTTTCTCCTTTGATTTCTGATGTGGAAGTGCAACCAACTCCAGCTGATATTGATCGAGCCTTGACTTAGGAACGTACCTTCCTCTTTCGCTCTACGAACACATGCACCTTCCCCGTGTGGCTTTGTTCATCAGGCAGATCTCAACCTAGACAGAACGATTCCGACGGTTTGTATTTACTATCTACAGTACTGTCGACTTTTGAACAACAAGGCTACTTATGCATATCTCTGCCATCTCGCTAGAAGTACTTCACCTCCACCAATCTCGTTCTTGCTCCAGAGGCTTGTGTCATGCTGAGTCTGACCTGCGTGACACTGGTAGAGCTGAACTGTACGTTTGTGATGCCGTTGGCCACCACACCACTCTTCTGCTGCCCGCCAATATCGACCCAATTGCCATTGCTCAACACCTGTATCGAGTAAGCAGTTGGGGCCTTGAAGTCATTGCCATTGTCAAAGAAAGCAAGTTCGGCCCTCGAGATCTGGGTCGCAGACTCAAAGGTCACAGTGTACCATTGGTTAGTCGCAGAATTGGCGTCAGAGTTCCAGCCATTGGCGAGCTCGGAGAAGAACCAAACACGGCCGTCGATGGCATCGTGGACGTTCTCTACAGCTGTGCCGGAAGATGCGGTACCCTTGGGATAGTTGGTGTTGCTTTGGAGTTGGATGCTCTTTGCAATAGCTCTGTTGATGCCGATGATGGCCTTCTTTTGGAAGGGGATGACTAGACGCTTGAGTGTGGACGAGGTGGCAATGACTGCACCATCTCTTTCAACACGCAGACCGGCGCCTTGGCCGTAGCGGCTACCGTCTGCGTCCCATTGAACAACAATGTTGGTGCCGTGGTAGGGAACTTCTTCGGCGCGGAAGTACTTGATGTCGCTTGTGATCAAAGGGTTAATCTCCAAGAAGTCGTCGGCGCGGGGACGGATGCCGACTAGACCGGTCATGATCAGGTCAATGTAGCCGGAGTGGAAGTAATGGGGCGATCTGGGTAGGCCAACGATTGCGCCGCCTTGGTCCGGGTCGTAGTCTTCCTGGAGGTTGAGAGTTGCGCCATTGTAGTGCAGCTGTGTGTACTGTCTAAGTAGTCTGATGTAATCAGAGTTGGTGACAGCATTTTGCTGATAATGGTCAAGCAAGTTCGACATGCCCAAGAGCGCTTGTGTGGTCTGGAAGGGCCATGCGGGCCCGTTCCACTGGCATTCGCGCCTGCCTGTCGCTCCATCGTAGCGATATTGCTTCATATAGTATTGATAGCTAGGCTCGACGGTACGTAGGCCCTTGGCTCCGCCGAGCTCATTGGAGTTCAGAAGGTGCTTCCACGAAGAGGCATACTCAGAAGAGTTGTCAGGAAGATTGAAGGTCCAGGGTACAACGCCAACAAGTTCACGCCCACGAATTGGGTCCCAGTACTTGACGTAGTCATTGCTGACCTTGTACCTGTCAATGAAATGGGTCAAGGTTGAGTTCCACAGACTCTTCTGGACGTTGCTCTTGATGGCCGCGGCGCGAGAGTTGTAATCGTTAGCCACACTGGACTGATCGACAAGACCAGCCAATTTGGCGAGGGCTACAGCATTGGCGTACATGTAGCTGTTGATGGAGGGGCGGAAAGCGTCGCCGCCAGTGAAACCATCCTTACCACCAGAAGCATCGATGGAAGAGATGGTATATTCAGTTGCATCAAGCAAAGGCTCAANTCTGTTCTCACATTAGTCTTTGCGTCTTGCAGTATAGTTGAAGTGGAGTCTCACCCAGTACAGTCCCTTTGATGAATCGAAATGATCGCTCCAAGAGTTGTATAGAGACTTCATCTGATCCAAGTACTTCGTCGCGCTCGGGACATCATTATCGACAAGATAACTTCCCCAAACAGAATCCTGGATATAATCTGTGAAATGACGGTCATCGCCACCAGCCAACATGTAGCTCAGATAATCATCCTTGAAACGACGATCTCTGTTCCATCTACCCTCAGCAACATGGAATCCAGTAGCGTCGTTCAATGAAGCGTAAGGCTGAAGCTGCCAACCAACATCATCCAAGAATTCAGTCGAGATGTAGCCTTTGGCTCCCAAATCACGCTGGTGGGCTCTGAAGATTTTCCAGCGGTAGTAAAAGACGTCCGTGATTTGGGAGTCGCTACACTCGAAATATGCAATGCGGTCCTGATACCAAGGTGCATCGTTGCCGAAGTATTTCTTTGCAATCGCTGCGGTGTCGAGGGCTCGCTTTTCGTGGGCAGGGGCGGGAGTGGCCTTGGCTCCTTTGATGGTAAGGCCAGACTGGAGAGCCATGAGGAATAGGGAAGAGTACAACATGCTGAAAACGCTGCAGGTATTCAGCTGTTGGTAGTGTAAGTGCGAGGTGACAGTGGAGATGGTGCAAGTCTCCCACTGATGCTGATGGAATGATTCCCGAGAGCCATGTTCGAGAAGTTATATAGCAAGAAGCATCGGCTAATATGAAACAACGCTTGCAGTCAGGCGATGAAGCATGGCAAGGTCATCATCAGAGGAACAAGGCGAATTCTGCCGACAAGTGGTTGTTCGTCCGTCCGTGGCAGATCAGTGCATACGGACGATTGAAAGAAAGAAGAGCTAAGGTCGCATGGCAAAGCATGATTTGATGTGAGCGGAGTAGGAGGCTCGTAGTCAACGTCGATCCTCCACAACCCCTCCGCAACTTCCCCAAAATCACCCTGTCCTAATCTGCCGAAGTCGGATGACTCTGTAGAAGCTTTTCGAACGGCTCGTGTAGACGTCTTGCCCTATTCCATTTCGCTGCTCCTCTAGAAAGGTTCTGTCAATAGAACTGGCACAGTGACATAGCATCTGCTTGGCAGACTTGATGGTTAAATAAGCTATGTCAAACAGCAGCAAGCGCGTTTTATAATTATAATATGCAACCCTCCGGAGGCTCCGACCTAGTGACTTGTGGCTCAAACTCGGCCGAGCAGGTCGGTTCTTGAAAATGCATGAGTATATTCGTAACTTCGTCTATAAATTCTGGCCATTTACTTCGTTCGAACAGCGCCACCGTCGACGGTGATAGCTTGTCCAGTAACAAAGCCAGCGTTGACTAGGTATTCGACGGCGTCCGCAATGTCCTTTGGTCTGCCGGCTCGGTTGGTAGCGTGGTCTTCGACATCCTTGTCTTCGTTTTGGTGTGCCCATTTAATGCCCTTTTCATCACCGTCCTTGGACTCATGGGCGACCTTGATGCGACCGGGAGCGACTAGGTTGCAGCGAATGCCCCAGCGGCCCAGACTGATGGCCATGCTGTGCATGAGACCGATCTGACCTGACTTGGANNCTTGTTAGCTTTCTTGCTGCGGATGTCGTGTTTGTGTCAGGATGATTACTTTGCTGGATGCGTAGCCTTCTTGGTTGGGGTCGCTCATTTCTGCACGGAAAGAGCCAATGTGAATGACAACAGGGCCGGCGTCTGAGTCATCGGCGTGATGAGAGTCTTTCTTGTCTTCGAGCTTCATGTAGGGGAGGCAGGCTTGCGACACTGCGAAGGGGGCGGTAAGGTTGGTCTCGATGTAGCTGCGTGTGGTCAGCTTCTCGGTTGGCTGGAACGACCACGACGTGACTTACGCCTGCCATTGGGAGAAGGTGTCGAGATCGTCCATCGCCTTGCCATCTTTCCAAGTAGGTGAAGCGATGCCTCCGTTGTTGACCACGACCTCGATGCGGCCTCCCAAAAAGTCCGCAGCCTCTTTGACCTTGTCGCGAATCTCGTCGACGGATCGCAAATTGCAGATGGCCGAACTGACTTGTTTCTTGTCGTAGTATTGCTTCAAGTGCACCGTAGTCGCGTGTTTCAGCTCCTCCTCGTCAATGTCCAAGACGAAGACCTTATAGCCTCGCTCAAGAAATCTGCGCACGATACAGCGGCCAATGCCACGTGCTCCGCCGCTGATGACGGCTGTCTTTGCGACCGATGGGCTGGTGTTGTCTGGCATGCTTGATATGGGTTGAGAAGATGAGCAGAGCCAAAGAAATGTCGAGGTTGAGCAATCTGTTGCTGGTCATGATTGCGCACTTTCTTCCACACACCACAACACAGTGTGACCATGTCGAACGTCATGCCCCGCCTGTTTGCCAAACAATCTGGGGAAAATTTCACTGACCACCTTGATGGCTTCGGTCAGTCAACCCCTCGATCTCCCTCACACATACTGCATTCATGTACATATGCTACACTTTTCTAGCAATACATGAATATGCGGAAGTGTTACAAGGGAAAGACACGTCAAGGCACAAGATAGACAGTGTGAGATTGAGGGAGAAAAAAAGTATAAAATGTCCGTCTATGTACATACACCCTGCTAGGTGACAAGAAACACCGGCTGCGAAAACAAGGTACCCAACGCCGCCATCATAAACAACCATCCAAGATCATTGGGGGCACACTGTCAGAGGCACTCATCTGACAAGTCCAGCTTACCACATGCTTAGAACCAACAGAAAGGGTTCCAGAATGAGCAATATTGCTGGGAAGAAGAGGCTGCCGCACTCGTGGTGGCTGCTGCAGTGGTGCTAGAAGTCTTGCTGGCGCTGGTGCTGCTTGCACTGCTGCTGGTCGAGGATGATGCAGACTTGGTGATGGTGCTCATGGTAGTGGCCGAAGAGCTGAATGAAGATGAAGTCTTGACACTGCTAGACGAGGAAGAAGACATGGTGGTCGACACAACAGAGCTGCTGGAAGACGACGACGACGATGTTGCCGAAGCACTGCTGGAAGTCTTCGAGACTGACGACGACGAGCTGGAAGAGGAGGTGGTCGAGACAACGCTGCTGGAAGACGAGGAGACGGCCTTGCCAGAACGGACACCGGACAGGACGTTGTTTCCTGAGCTGGAAGGATTGCCGAGTTGCGACTTGAGCCAGCAGGTACCTAAAATCCATGTCAGTATTGAGGATCGAAAGAAATGCAAAGAGAGACTGACCTGAACCAACACCGTTGGCACCGCCGACATAGGTGAAAGCATTGCACTGGCTGTCGGCATCACAAGCTGTCATGCAGTCGGCGTAGGAGTTGCTTGCTTGAGCGTTGGAGTAAGAGCCCTGGGTCGAATCGGAGCTGTAGTAGAGGGTGTAGATGTTTCCAGCAACGTCAGTGGCCGAAGCGGCTGCAGATGAACTGGAAGTGGCAGTGGCCTTTGCGAGAAGCTTGGTAGCGTAGGATCCGGCGATGTATCCGTTCGATCCGGCGATAACAACGTTGAAACCATCTCTCATTTGGCCGAAGTTGTTGGCGTTGTCGGCAGTGACTGCACCTCCCCAGAACACGCACTTGACGTTCACGGTCGAGGGAGGGTTTGCGCAGCCAGCTACCGAAGGATCGTACTGGGGATCTCTCTCGTAGTAAATATTGAAGCTGTTGCAACCATCCATAGCAGTACACTTCTGTCCGCATCCAGCGACATCGTAAGAGTTCATGAGAGTGAAACCGACGTACTGGTCAGCGGAGTTGGAAGCAGTCAGGTTGCTGAAGGTCTGGACATATCCGGTAGGAAGAATGGCGGTCAGAGCCTGGACACCATACCAAAGATCGGAAGCAAAGGCAGCAGCAGTGTCGGGAAGAGTGACGTGGCCGATGTTGACGAGAGGCTGCTGAACACAAGAGCCGTCGCGCTTGACCACAGCAGGTGTGGCAGTGGCTGCAGCGATCTCAGAGGCGACAGAGATAGCCGACGTGACATCTGCAGAAGAGTCAAAGACGGCAGTGGCGCTGGGGTCGCTGCTCGGGGTAGCGGTGCTGGCCAGAGTTGTGGCAGTCAGGGTTGGGGCACCCTCAGCAGTGACATAGACGACGGGAAGAACAAAGACGGAGGTGGGAACAGCAACAGAGATTGCGTCCACGTCAATGGTGGTGTTCTGGGCACCTACAAGGGCGGCCAGAGATGCAGCTGCGATGGTGGAGAAGGCGGTACGCATCTTGGGAGATTGAATTAGGATCAGGTAAGTAGTAGAAGTAAGGGGTATCGAAAAGAGGTAGAAGTGTGTGGTTTCAAAGAATGAATGAGGTAGTTGGTTGTAGTTTGGGGTCCAAAGAGTGACTAGTACCGAAGCACTGAAGGATTGTTGTAAGTCTGCTAAAGAGAGTGGTGAAGTTGGAGCGAGTTGATGGGTTGTGAAACAATGCGAGAAAATTGCATTTATATAGCAATGGAGAGTCCGTATACAGGATTTCCGTGTCTCAGCATTGCTCGGAGGACATTCTTGGCTCGGTCTTTGAGGCGTAGCAGTAGTAGCCGTTGCTGCCGACAGCATTCAGCATATTCATGGCCGAGCCCGAGTCGGTATTCCTGGGAACAACGGTCATGACTGAAAGAGGGTGGGGCTCGAGCGTCGATTAAGGATTGAGTGACACAAGCCCAAAGTCAACTTAAAAAGTACCACCAGACTTTTATAGAAGCGTAGTCTGGAAGCCACAGCCGGATATACAGACGTTGTAGAATCTGCACGAAGGATCAGACATATTCGAACGGTTTTACATTGCCGAGTGCGATAGCATGCTAGGCATCTCCGAGTGTGTCCGGCCCTCTGCAGCGTGCAACAATGGTGTCTTATTCATGTCCGCGCAAACGCCATGTACACTCTACCTTATGATCTACTGGAGTAAGGATTAGAGTAGGGTCCAGCTTGGTGGAGTTGCTTCCATGATATCGGTAGAGACGTTTACGACGTTGCCGACGTTATCAACGTTACGATTGCTCAGAGACGGATTCAACATCCTTCTGATATGTGCGTATCACTCGGTCATGGAGTAGCAGTATCTCCCTTTCTGATCGTTACTGACAAAGCGAATATATCGGGTGGCTGGTATTGAATGCAGGGTAGTGGCTTGCCGGTCATCACTTCGAGCTTCGGCAGGCAGATCGAGGCATCGGTGGCATAGTGCATCAGAGACAAGAGCAAAGTAAGCGTCGGTGGGTCTCCGAGATCGTACTCGATATGGCCAGATTATAGTCGTTGATAGAAAGCTCCACTGTGTCTCAGTGCCGGCAAACAGGAAGAATACGAGGGCGACGCGTGAAGTCGGAAAGATTTTGGGTCAGTGATGGCAACTGTTCTCACCAGGCTGTCCGCAACAGAGCCGACAGTTCCAAAACCACGCTCTTATGTTGCCAACAACAAGTCACGCAGTAGCGCCTTGGACTTGCTGAGATCAGCACCCTGGCTGCAGACAAACAACATAGTCGAGCGAGGACCTTTGGAGGGAGGTAAATACATACACTATTCTTCTAACCAGATTGTGAAGCTCAATGAGACAATGAACTGATTGAAGGTTAACTCCCACGGGTTCTGCAAAACTTCTGATGGGTTGTATATATTGGCGTTATATGCATGGAAGTGCTGTTTGAGGCGAATGACATATCCAACCATTGGGTGAAGTCTCGTCCTACAAGACAGACTATCGTGAAGTGTTGTCGTTGTACTAAGTTGCATATCTGAAGCGGAAGAAACCGCCGACAACAACATCATCACTTGCTAACGACGTCTATAGTATGATTACCTCCACCAATCTCAAACATCAAGCCATCTTTCTTGTTGACACTTTTATTCTTCAAGCTCCTTCCGTCTATTGTCACTTTGCCTGTCTTACCGGATGGCAGTGGAGGCAGTGTGACATTGCCTGAAGTTCCCTGAGGCACCTTCCACCATAGAGAGTACGCTCTACCAGCATCCGTAACATTCCAGCCTGCGCTGAACTTGCCCAAAGAAGTCACAAACCCTGCCTGAGCATACTGCAGATCAGCGAATTGCGGTCTCAGAGTCCACGTCGACCCTACACGACCTGTAACGGACAGTCCAACGATGTAATTCGTCAAGGCGTAAGTGGGCCCTGCTGACCAGCCGTGGCTGTGTGAGACATAGCTCTCGTCGTAGCTATAACCTCGGGAATTACGGTAGGCGAAGCTTCCATTCGTGAGATAGCCTTCAATGACAGTACTGCCCGTCCCGTTGGGATGATGGAGATACCAACCCCAGCTGCGGCGTATCAGATCTAGTGCCCGCTTACTCTGGCCAACGACAAGGTGTGCCTGGATCTCGAAAGAAGAGATAAATGGTGAAATGTTGTTTGGCAGTTCGGGAGCTTCTGCACCAATGGGAGTCCAGTTGTCTGTGAGTCTGGACGAGATGCTCTGAGCAGACGAAGACGAAGGAGGGACGACGCCAAAGTAGACGGCCATGCTATTGGCATCTTGGGGGTGTAGCTGTGTGTCCGTAGCATTGTCTTTAAAAGCTCCAAATGGATTGTCCCAGCAATGCTTGTTGATCGCGGTGCTGAGGTCAGTAGCGCGATATGTGTAAGTTTGAGCAAGACCAGTCGTGTCTCCCTGCCAAGTCGCGAGCTCGGCTCCAGTCACAAGTGTGCGATACAAAATCATATTGGCTTCGCTGTTGTTGAAGCCTTGTTGCCATCGAGCCCAGTCACGCGTACCCGTTACGTTGAGTAGTCCAGATGGCTGTTGCACCTTGGCGTAGATGTACTGCATGGCATGTAGATAGCGGTCCCAGTTCTTGTCCAGGAATGCAGTATCGTTAGTGTACAACAAGTAGTTGTACGTCCCTATCATAGTCCACATATGGTAAGTATCAGAGCCCTGCTGCAATAATGGGGGTCCAGCTTCCGGGAAAGATCCGTCTTTATTCTGGTGATCATACATGGTCTGCAAGGCATTTGCAACGCTATCTAAATCTCCGATGCTGACGAAAGTTGCTGGTACCGCGATGCCCATGTCTCCAGGCCACACTGCTCTATCTCTCTTGGCTCCGTCCACGATTACTGTAGAGCCATTTGCGAGAGAACCACTATTGTTCCAGCCACTTGCGACAAAATTACGGCCAGTGTCGACAGGCACCGAGTTGGTTTGCAAAGTGTATGCACTGCTGTACCAGATCTTGTTCAAGTCATCGTCGCTGCAGTCGAAATAGCCAGAGTAAGCACGTAAGTTGCTCCAAGTAGGTTGAAAGCCAATGTCGAGAGTTATGTCATTGATGTCGATGGAGGATGTGGTCTCATTAGTGATCAAAAACAGAGTAAGGTAACGGAAGCCACCACGAAGATGGACTTTATCCATTGTATAGCTGTATCTGCCAGAGGCACTGAAATTCGAGTAGATGGCTCCATCGCCTGCCTGGAATCTTCCATTGGATGAGTCGGACCATAAGCCAATCCAATTCTTTGCTTCGCTGAAGGCTAGACCCAGGGCACCAGTGCCTTGTGCTGTGTAAGATATTGTGGCCAGGCCCCNCACCTCTTTATTAAAGTCGAAGACGAGCGCTGACCCGTTATCAGGGATGTGAGCGGGGCCGGGCCAGCCCGAGATAATCGAAGCATTCGTGAGGGACAGAATCGAGGTTGGAGAGATGGTACGAGAAACAGGTGCAAAGATATTGGCCTCCCAATCACCTGGGAAAGCACTTTCGAGAGGACCGGTGCAGGTCAAATTTTCCCAGCATGTTTGAGCCCGGACTGCCAGTCCAAGCCCAAGAAGGACAAGTAGAAGATGCATGTTGAGTGCCTAGAGGAGAAGTGGATAGCAAAGCCATAGTGCGATATAGAAAGCTTGATATGACTTGGCTTTGAGCAGAGATGGTTCGCGACATCTCAATCCGAAGAGACGGAAAAACAGTAATCCTTTCATGCATCCTGTAGATCAATCCAACACGGAGCGGGGAAAAGGAGGGGAAGCTGGGGATGCGATCAACCTTGAATTTGATGATATACAGTACCTCGCTGATTCGATGCCGCTTAGTCAAAACTGCTTGACTTAGAAAAGATCGAGTGACAACCAGAACAATGTTCTAAAGATGCTCCAGTGTGGTTGTTCAGAAACGCAAAGACCTTGATGTTAAAGCAGTAGCCCGTCGGGAGCGGATTTCAATACTGTTCACCAAACATACGTGTAATGCTCGAAACGGATGGACATCATGGCAGGTGTCCAGAAATGAGAGCTGTAGCTCAGCGAGAGCGCTGTATCAAACATCATTTGCCCGCCATTCTTGCAGCTGGCGGCGCGTCTTCATCCATGATGCTGGTCAGCGCGCGAATGACTCAGGGCAATGACCGCGCAACGCCCGTTAGTCCTGTAGAGAGCAACGAAGGGATACACGACGGCTCTTTAATGAGATCGTCTTCTGTCCTTGAATGATGCAGTGGATGGAGCACAATGGAGTTTGAAAGTGTCCTGGTGAAGCTCACGCGTTTTGCCAAGGCTGACCGTGACGAGGTGTCGTTTCCAGACGCGGAAGGAGCTGCTTCACAACACGGGAATCCAACCTTCAAAAAAAAAAAAGAACATGAAGATCAATTTTCTCCTTGAAGTCGTCTTCGTTATCAAAAGTATCATTTCAACCCAACATATGTTGTTGTCGTCTGCCGTCATCGGCCTTTCTGCCAAGCTCCCATAGCCGCAAGAATCCTTTCCAGATGTTGGTTCTTCAGATCATTCTATTCAATTGGGTGTAGTGGCGCAGATCTGTGTCTATATTTGTCTCTACGTGCGTATGTGGAGCTGTATAATCAACACCTCGCCGACTTCATTCAAGTCCATTCAAGAAGAACACACACCATATTATACCTTCAGATGCCTGGGAAGCCTCGCAAGATAGCTGTGTTGCATCGAATAATGTAGGTAGTGTGAACATCAAATCGAGTCACACTCTTGCATCCTACAGCCGCCAAGCAGGACTAGAAATCCTTCCACGGCGAACATGTATAAGATCGACTCGAACTTGGTTCGGTGATCGACTCGAAAGCATACCAGGTGATCTTGTTTGCGCCTATGCTGTCATCCTAAAGTACAATCTCAACAGCTTATAAGCAGAGCGAGTAACCAGTCTCGACTATTCTTATCCTTCCAAGATAATTTCTACCTCACCAGACAAAACTATTCGCAATGACCCTAAAACTTTCAATCCTGCTCTCTGCCCTTGCCTTGGGCTCAGTCCAAGCATTTGACACTGGTGTCTACGGTCTAGGCTACTGGAACGAAACCTACGCGTTCGAAGCAAATGAGAATCCAAACGCCACGCACTCCGTCCCTTTCTCAATCGGGAGTCAAAACTATACTTTCCAAGTCAATGTTGCCGAATTCACACCCACAGGGATCCAAGCCAATCGTACTGAGAACCCTCGCCAAGCCGCTGCTTTCTACAATCTCATCTGGGATGGAGACAAGAGTTTGAACCAAAGTCTCAAAGATGGCATTAGCCAAGGTCAAGGTGGCATACCACAACTATGTGTCACTATACCCATGGGAACGATGACGAGGTCCGCGACGAATGGCTATCGCGAGCAAGATGACGGCGATTGTACGAACGCGTTTGGTAAACAGTGTATGGACGATCTCAANAAAGTCAGCAGTTCAGAGATAAGCAGTTGCAATGGACTTTGGATGCCCAAGAGTTGCAGTTCGAGCTTTGGAGATGGCGGGCTTGCAAGCACTAGTAAGTCTTTCCACTTCGAAGACAAATGTGATATNAAAATAACCTCAGCCCGTTGTACAGAACTTGTCAGTGCCACGATCGCTAATAACCAAACCAACTATGCCCTACACCAATTGTCACCGGTCGAGTTCTCGTTCTACAGTTCACAGATCTTCTCAGCAGGAAACGAGAGTTATTATGAGAGAGAGGATGAAAGACTTCATGCGGCTTTCTTCTCTGGATCCTGGGGAATCACGCCTGTGTGTAATCGCGTTAACAACACGAAGTTGAGTAAGAACGATGGAGCAGTCTATCAGGGAGGCGCTGTGGGTATGAGTAGGAATGTTGGACTTTTGGTAGCGATGGCGTTGGCTGTTGTGTTTGTGATCTGAGAGAAGGATTGGACGTCTGCCAGTGGGCTGGGAGTCTCTCAATGGGTTAAACGCCGCCAAATTTTAGCTGCGAGTATGATTGGAAGATTCAATGAGCATGGTTGAGAGGTCTCCAGCACAATGATGCGCTAGTGTAATGATGTTCAAATTCACAATCAATTACAGAGATGAATGCCGGAGGTGATGCTGTTGTTATCGTGCCCTATGAAGAGACCAAGGAGATGTCCGTGACTTTCCGATCACCCGATGCTTCCGAAACGTGCACAGACTATTCGAGTTTCGAACAGATGCCTTCCTTGCACGACATGCTCTATCTACATCGTCCTCAGTCTTCACTTGACAAAAGTCGACAGGTAAGTCATAGACTAATCGCGAGAACATCCTGCACCAGGAAGGTCATATCTGCATAAGAACTTGAGACATCTCAAGCCTACCACGAGTTTGTATGCAAACAGAGTCCAGAATACATAGATTGAGCAGGGCTCACACTACCTGGATGCTTGAAGAGATCATTGGGATCGTCGGCATTCTTACTGTCGTCGTCAGCGAAGCAATGTCCCACATCAGCAGCAGTCCTGATGTCTAGCAAGCATCATAGTCTAGCCCTGAAAGCTGTAACATTCAACATCTGCAAAGAGCTCTCGATGTGGACAGCTCAAGCGAATTTCAGTACTATATATGTAGGTCTGCCATGGGATTCCTACTACCCTCTGTCAGACACTTTCTGTTCATATCCAACTATCCACATTCTTTTTCGAATTCCTTTTCACAATGAAGTACTCTGGTATTGCCGCTTCGGCCACCGCCTTGATGGCTGGTGTCGCTTCCGCCGCTGTGACTGGTGTCACCGGTAAACCTGAAGGCTTTGCTTCTTCCACGACTGGCGGTGGTGATTCTACTGCTGTCTATCCTTCCACCACCGATGAGCTGGTCTCTTACCTTGGCGACAACTCCGCTCGTGTCATTGTGTTGACCAAGACCTTTGACTTTAGCGGTACCGAGGGTACGACAACCAGTTCGGGATGTGCTCCTTGTAAGTTGATTTCCGGAAGTTTTGTTGGATCACGGATAAGAGGCTAAAGTTGTGTCAATACAGGGGGTACCGGCACTGGATGCCAAACTGTAAGGTCATGTCTTATTCTTGATTGACCAGATCTCGAATGACTAACCACTACTAGNGCTATTGACAAAGACCAATGGTGCGAGAACTATGAGCCAGATGCACCTTCTGTTTCCAGCATCACGTACGATGCCGCTGGCACTCTCGGCATCACCGTTGCTTCCGATAAGTCAATCGTCGGAGATGGCTCCAAGGGCATTATCAAGGGCAAGGGCTTGAGAATTGTAAACGGAGCCCAGAACGTCATCATCCAGAATGTTCAGATCAGCGACATCAACCCCGAGTACGTCTGGGGCGGCGATGCCATCACCCTGGACGGAACAGACAATGTCTGGATCGACCACGTAACCGTAAGTCCTCCACCCTCCCAACCATCTCGAAAAAATCACTAATCTCTTCATCAGACCTCCAACATTGCAAGACAACACATCGTCCTCGGCACCGAAGCCTCCGGCAACGTCACCATCACAAACTCGTACATCGACGGCTCAGGCGACTACAGTGCAACCTGCGACGGCCATCAATACTGGGCCCTCTACTTTGACGGCTCAGACGACAAAGTCACCTTCAAAAACAACTACATCTATCAAACCAGCGGTCGTGCCCCCAAAGTCCAATCAAACACTCTTCTCCACGCTGTAAACAACTACTGGAACGACAACTCTGGCCATGCTTTTGAGATTGGCAAGGGTGGCTATGTTCTTGCTGAAGGCAATGTATTTGACAATGTCAAGGCTCCTCTGGAAGCTTCTTCGTTTGCTGGAGAATTGTTTACTGCTGATTCGGGCTCGGCTTGCAGTTCTGCTCTTGGCCGTGCCTGTGAAGCCAACTCTTTGACTGCTTCTGGTACGTTCAGCGAGAGCAACACTGATTTGCTGAGCAAGTTTTCCGGCGCTGTTGTTGCTGCTGTTGAACCTGCTTCGGGGATCAAGTCGTTTGTTACTGCCAATGCTGGTATCGGCAAGCTTGCTCAGTAGGTGCGAGAGATGGATGTAGCGAGTTGTGGTTCTTGATGGATCGAGGCGAGTGTGGTGTTTCGCTGACCCTTGTTTTTGTGAGCTCTAGGAGCAGCTGGTATGCCTAGAGCTTTCTGTTTTGACTCTGTACTGCGTACATGATGTATAGATAGACCTTTTATCACACCTCTTTCTATGGTCTCACACACCAATTTCCACGGACGTCTGCATTGTAGCTTACAGGATTGCCATGTGTCATTGTGATATTGTGATACAATTCAGCACACGGCGAGGTTGGATCGATAGCAACAACCAATGTCCCACTTCTACTGTATCTCTAAAGCATCGGACGTCATCGAGCCCCATCCTCGACAATAGCACCAATCTCCTCTACTGTAACAGATAACCCATCTATCTTCCAACAGTCTTGACCGATCTCGCGCCCTCCAACCGGCTATCTCTTCCACCCGTAGTAGCAAGGTAACAATTATCTCCTTGCATGGTAACACCCTGGCAAGGGGGTGTCATTCCAGCACAATAGCCGATACAGTCTTGGAGAGTGGCTCCCTGTAAAGTGATGGTACCAGAACCTACAGGCTCCACGGATGTGGTGTTATCATCGCCGCACTCAATCTCATAGATTGATCCAGTATTTGGGTCGGTGTACTGGACAAAAGACAGACGCCGCGGAAAGACTGGGCACAGTGACGTTTGTAGTCGCTGTTGCGTTGGTGAATGGAGCCAGGGTAGATACCGTGGAGAACGTCGAAGAATAAATGGCAGTGCTAGGCAAGGTTATAGTGGAAGTGTTGAATAAGGTTGTTGTTGAATCGGTGGCGTTTGACGAGATGCACAATGGTATGGACACATTGAAAGGCAAGGAGCTTGGTGCGGTGGTGAGGGGCACAGGAATGCTCGTGATATTTGCCGACGAAGGCAGAGACGAGTTAGCACTCGATGTAGTGTTGAACGGTAAAGATGAGTTTGAAGAAGCGGTGGAAACTGCAGCTGAAGGCGATACAGTGGCGGTCGTCGGTGCTGAGCTTGATACTGCGCTGGATAATGCTGGTGGACTTGGTGGTGCGGGGATATATCGGAGCGCATTGGGGTTGGTGAACCGATAGAAGAACTCCAAAATGATGGGGATGGAATCGACTCGTACTTGGTAACTTGGCCGTTTGAAAGAGGTGTGGCAACGCTGGCATTGGACATGCCGTTTCGGACCGACCAGTCAGAGATCCAGTGAGGAATTGTAGGAAGACAATAACCACGACGCGGTCCTCCATCGTAGGAAACCGTGCCATCTGCATCACCATGGAACTCCAGAATTGGGATGTTTCTTCTGCCTGGAGAACACACAGGCTGTACCAGAGTGTTTGTCAGAACAGTCGATGGGACACTGCCAGACCGGGGACAGCCAGCAGTATAGCTATCATTAGTGTATTGAGCACCAGCGTTGACGGCAAAGGCAATGAATTGGGTTGATAGAGAAGAGTCGCAGGCCAGCACTCCCACAAGGCCGCCGCCATTAGAGAAACCACTGGCAAGGATGCGACTAGTGTCGATGCAATAATTCGATGTCATGTGCACGAGGAGATCTTGTACAAATGTCTGATCGTCCACGTAAGGAGTTCGATCAACGGTGTCTAGATCACTTTGCCACTCTGGGTACCCCGAACCATTTGCCTCATGTCAGCGTTGGTATGAGCGCTCAAATTTGAGCTCAAAACGTACTACAACTCCCAAGGGGTATACGACAATGCCATATGGGTTTACAGCTTCGCTGGAGAAGCCAGAGTATCCTTCAATACTCGTAGGCGTCTCGCTGCGACCATGAAAAGCAAAGACCAGGGGGGCTGCGCTGTTGGTGTAATACGAGGATGGTACATGAACACTGAACGAACGGTTGAGGCCAGCAGAGTTGATGAAGAACGGAGTAGTTGCAAACGAAAGCCCGAACAATCGTAAATGGCAACACGACTTAGGCAACCTCGGATTAGATCCAACAAAGAAATGGCCTCCTGTCGAGAAGATTGCATTGTATGATTTACGTGTATATGTGCTCATATATCATGAGCAAAACTGATCCTCGTAAGGATTGTCTCATCTATCCTGCTTTTTCGGAAGCAGCTGGTCGAGAGGCGTCACGATCGGCTGGTTTCTGTGCTTCACCCAATGCACGCTGATCAGCGGCACGTTCCTCGAGTACACTATCTTGGCCATCCTCATCCAAAGCCATCCGCCAATACGCATCAACAAATTCGTCAGCAGCTTCCTTCTTGATAATCTCGTCAGCATCGCGCTCGGCGATATCAGGCACGGCGCGCTGACCAGAGACCTGAGAAGCCTGTGTCTCTGCTTCTGGTATCAGAGGCTGTGGTGCTGGAACATTTGATGAGGAAGGTACAGAAGCCTTGAACGTTGTAGGCTCGTTCTGGTGAAATCCCTTGTTGGACCGGGCCCGCTCGATAGTTCTGGAGCGATCAAGTTCTATTGATTCGGGGGCAAGCATACGGTATGCAGCTTGTGCATAAGCAAGGAAGGTGGGGACCGCGGATTGATTTTGCGGAGGATTGATTACTTTCTGAGCCCTCCAGACATTGGTGACTCGGGCGAAGACGACGCGATGGTCTCCGATTTCGACCGACTTTTCAGACAAAATCTCGCACGTAAAGCGCGAGAGAACGTGTTTACCCCATATAAAGGGGCCAGATTTTTCGTGGTCAGATTTGCAGACATCAGCCAAGCCAAGCCCTCGCATGATACGGAAAGGATAGGAAGGATCATCGTGGGGCGCGGAGAAGAAGTTGGCAATTTGGGCACCTTCAGGAGAGGGAGAGAGGAAGTGGACATTGAAATGATGACCAGCGGTAATACATTCGAGGGTACGGCTTGGCCCTTTGATGCTGAAAGAGATGATGGGTTCTGGGTCGAGAGTGACAGAGGTCAAGGACGAAACAGTCATTCCACGCAGTGAGTCGATATCTGAACGTGATGAAGAGATACGACTAGTCAGGACGACGACGCTGGAAGGGACACNTGCGCATGGTGGCTTTGTATGTAGACTTGATATCTCTAGGGCTCGGCCGAGTGGCAGGCTGCAACTTCTGTTGTTCCTTGGGCTGGGCTGACTGTTNNCCGAGGCATCATGCAGTGATTTCAGAAACTTTGTAGCGTATTTGACTTTGAGTCGGCGACCACTGATGCGCATGCGGCGCAGACCTTGGCTTGCGTCTGGTACAAAGTCCAGCTGAACCGAAAAAGCGTCTTGAATGCGCAGCCTCAACTCGTCGTTGTCTTTCTCAAGCATGCTGGCTTTCCCGGGAGGTATTTCGGTCTCGTAACTGACGGGAATAGCGTCATTGCGCTTCAGTCTAGAAGGTTCGAAGACGATGCTGTCAAGAAGCCGATGGTCGTCGATGCGACGGCTGAGGAGACTTCTGGCATAAGCGGCGATTCTTCTCTCGGGAGCGTCGATGCGGATTTTGACATGTCCATCGGGTGTGGGGTCTCCAATGGGCTGGACGGTCACGTCTAGTGCGGCTTGCATTCTGTGCAGGAAGGTGGGATGCCGGTGCATTTGTTCCCATCGAGCTCCTGGTACAAACAAGTCCATTATCTTCCGCGAGCCTTCTGTCTGTACACCATGCTTATCCTCCGTGGTTCGAGCAGCTTGGGCGACATGGCTGTCTTGTCTCTTGTGTGTCGGTTGGAGGTGATTGGCCTCATGGGCAGAGGCGGTCGTCACGAAGCGTCGTCGCTTTGCGTGTAAGACAGTACTGGTGCCGAGGTTGGACCAAGCATGAAAGGCCTTGTAGAAGCGAGCAGCCGCTGGTCCTCGGATTGCCGCTGACATGTTCGTGCACGAAGCTGGACGAAGTCGCCATGAGCAGCGAGTTCAAGCTTCAGCTTCGCATGAGACAAGCAAGGAACGATGGCGGAGGAATCTTGGCGCGGGGCGGAGCGGAATCCCGAGGCCCGCAAAATTGACAGACATCCAATGAGCCCTACAACTCCCATAGCGTCGACAAGACAGCACTTGCGCAAACCCCTCGACGTCTCACACACCCATCGCCTCGCCATGCTGCTCAATCAGACACCCCGCGCATGTCTGCGCATCGCCTCTTCTTCGACACAACAAGTTCGCCATGCCTCATTGATGCGCCGCCCCAAGCGACCATACACCTTCACCCAGCTCGTCACTCTGTCCGATGGCAGCTCTTTTGTCCAGCGCACCACCAGCCCGCAACCCGTATACCGCAGCACAAAGGACGTGCGCAACAACCCGCTCTGGAACCCCAGCAGTCAGAAACTGTTGAACATTGAAGAGGATGAGGCTGGTCGTCTGAAGAGATTCAGAGGTCGTTTCGGTCGTGGTTGGGATGCTGAGGCTGTTGCTGGTTCCGAAGACGTGCGTTTTTGTTCCGTCCAAGATTTTGAGAAGCATATCGTTCACTGACACACANNTCAGGTGCGAGATGGCGAAGAAGCTCTTGCTCCCGAAGAAGCAGAGGACTCCCTGCTCGACCTCATCTCCAACTACGGAAACGAAGCCGAGGCCGGAGCCAAGGCTGCTGGCAAGAAGGAGGAGGCCAAGTCAAGTGGCAAGGGCAAGGGTGGTCAAAAGTAATCCCGAAAGACATGTTTGTGCTTTTGGTCGTCAATGCATAGCGGGCGTTCTTGGGTTGATCTATATGTACAAAAAACTGGGGGTCGGATTTCGAGGGCTCGGTATATTGAGATCCTTCGTGTGTATTCTACAAGTACAGGATTTGTCTCAGGCGACAGATTTGGGTATTTTTATCATGTCAAATCGTTTACCATTACACCACTTCAATCTCATTCGCTTCAAGCGCTTCCGACCCAAGTGGTCGGAACGGCCACTCGATGTACGCTTTCGTAAGGGCTGTCAGTTGCTCCCGCGTGATATCTTTGGTCAGCAGGAGCTTGGGATCCATCCTTCCACCTAGGAGCGGATCACTGAACTCGGGTCCCATGATATCGCGTGCTCCAGGACCGAGTCTTTCGACCGACTCTATCAGTGGGGCCGCAGGGTGTGTGAAAAGCGCTTTGAGCAGGCCACGCCTCACATGGTTGGCTTCGGTCGCGTTCATCAAATCGTCTGCAAGCGTTTCCGGCCGTGGCTTGAGGTCAATCAGTCGCATGGGAAAGCGAGGATAAAACTCCTCGTCCACCGCCGTCATGGGCTCGTAAGGTCGTCGATCCCATTCCATCATCGGGTTTGGCCTACACAGCGCGAAAAGCTCGTCGAGGAGGACATTTATCTGTCTTGTCATGTCGAGGCTGAACAATTTATGATAGGCAGATGTAAGGCTGTCGCTAGCTGCAACAATCCTTGACTTCAAGCCCTCACTCACTTCCTCAGGTCGCTCGATTTCGGCTTCCCTGTACTCGCGTTCGAGAGCAATCTGAACACCCCAAACGTCGACGAAGAGTCTACAAGCAGTCTGATCCGCCAGCTTGAGGTACTCCTGGCTGGTGCTTGTGAGTTTGAATCTTGGTGTCGGAAGTTTCATATGTTTCCGCTTCAATTTGGGAATCGCTGCGAGTTCTAGCAACTTCTTGAGTTGCTCTTCGTGATCAGCGACGGTTTCTTCCAAAGATCTGTCTTTGGGCAGACGTATGGGATTATAGTCGATGAGACTCTCGTCGTCGGTGTCGAGAGCTTTTTGGTGCAATTCAGGGCGGCGATGCTCGGGAATAGACATGTCCTTGGACTGCATGCGATCAAGGACTCTTCGGGCACTCCAAACATCAAGTTGGTCTTGACGTTGATGATGGAGGTTCTTTTTGTTTAGGTCGGTGCGGGCGAGCTGAGAGCGATCACTCCCCACGACTTCAGCAATCTCAAAGACCGACTCCTGATTGACGGAATAGGCACTCCTGAACAGCATGGTGTCCGGCAATATAGTGCTCCTTAGGTCATCAGGAACCCAGAGAATCATGCGTACCAGACCGTAGCGTTGGAACATGACGTTGGACTGGGCGGCCTCGGCCATGTGGTGCAAGATCAGACTTGGAAACGGGACGGCGTTGTTGCCGAGTCGATGTTCGCTGTAGCGGCGGACAAGGTTGCCAATAACGAGCAAGCTATGGTTGGGTTTGCGCAGGCGTGGATCATGGTCAGGAAGAGGATCTCTTTCTGGCAGGAGATGGCCATTGAAGATCTTGTCGTAGGTCTCAAAGTAGCCCTTTGGGGCGGCGCCAGAAAGACTCGTGTGACGATAAGCCGAGTCCTTCTGGTCCAGCAGAGGCTTGATAAAGGGGTCTAGGTAGCGTTCTTCGGGCTCAAGAAGGAGATGACGACGCGGTTTGAGGCGTTCGTGGATCTTTTGCGACCACAGACAAGCGCCGGGGTGAATATCGATGATATCGCATCCTTGGTGCTTGTCCAGGTCATGGCCAAGGTGATGGATGATTTGATCGCATAGAGAGTCGCTCACAACGTCGACGTTGTTTGGGAACTTGTCCCTGCTGGCACCAGACGGACCAAGACTCCTGCCCTCGGCGAAGACGTTGTTGAGAGTGCTGCCCAGGGGATAGTCCTGATGGGTATAATAGGTGTAGCTGTTCCGGTATGAGGTGAGAGCCTTGTAGCGGGCGGTTTCCGAGACGTCCTTTTCTTGGGCAGGCAGGTTATCTGCTGACGGTGCAGCTTCTTGTTTGGGGCCTTCCTTCTTTGCAACTCTCGATGCCCTTTTTGGAGGCCTGGCCGTCTTCTTTGGGAGCTCGGTGACCTTTGTCAAGGGCTCAGTCGTCCTCTTCACAGCGTCGTTTGTTTCAGCCGACTTTTTGGCCTTTTTCAGCTGCGAGAGGGCGGCGGCCAATTCGCCCTTGTTGACCTGAGTCGCAGCCTTCTCGGCCGTCCGCGCAGCACTCGCGATCCTGGACGCGATCCTGGCCGCTTGGCTTAGTGGCGGTGGCATGGTCGTTGGTCGAGAGGACGGCCACCTCGAAACTCCAACCATCAACGTCTTTTTGTCGCGTCGAGCGTCGTCATTGCTCCAACCCACTCTTTATCCCCTGCACCACAACAATATGCCCTTTTCGTAAAACAACACTCACCCCTCAACATGACTGCGCCCAAGAGCGTCGAGCAGATCGTCTCCGAGGCGTCCAACTTCGACCATGCCGCCAACATNCCCCTCAACATGGCCCTGCGCACCGCCCAGAACATGATCAGCCAAGTGAGATGATGGTCCACGCTCTCTCTCGCGCCCGCCCCGTCCTAATCGAGAGCCCACCAGGCCGCCAACTACGAGCGCGATGCCAACTTCCAAGACGCCTACTACTTTCTGTACCGCCATGCCGACTTCTTCTTCACCCACATCTCCAAACACCCGGATGCAAAGAAGCCGGAGTACAAGGCCCAGATGGCTCGCACCCGCGACCATGTCAAGGCCGATCTGTCGCGCATGGAGGCCTTGAAGCCCGAAATCACAAGCCGCTATCAAAAGTACCAGGATGTCGTCAAGAGACGTCAAAAAGATACAGCAGCCGCACCGCAAGAGTCGTTTGTATTGAGTGCCGCCGAGCACAAGGACATGGCTCTGCAGTTGGCCAACCGTGAACTCCGGAGGAGGGCAAGGGAGCCTCGCGACGACAGTGCTGTCATGGACGACCTAAGCCGTGGTATCCAAGATCTAGGCCGACGCATTGATGCCCCTCGTCAACAATCACACCATCCTTCGACTGAACAAGCCTCGTCGCCATACCATTACCCTTCGGTGCCGTCTGCTCATGCCAACATTCCTTCAACGTCACCCTCGCTCGCACCCAGCCGACCTCCAAAGAACCTCCTGCCCAACTACGCCGAGGCTCCACCGCTCCCTGAGAAACCAGATCAGTCTCTGAATTCTCCTCCATCATTACCCTCGAAGCCTAGTGGGCCGGCACCACCACCCAAATCAGATCTATCTCCAACCCAATCCTACCAATTCCAACCAGCTGCCTACACCGAAAACGGTACTCCACTACGCACCCTCTTCCTCCCCACCTCGCTGCGCACCTCCTTTGTCTCTCTCGCTTCTGCAAACACTCGTTCCAATCTCGAGACTTGCGGTATACTCTGCGGTACTATAATCTCCAACGCCCTCTTCATATCGCATCTGGTGATTCCAGACCAAACAGCCACGTCCGACACTTGCGAAACCACCGATCAGGGAGAAACAGACTTGTTCGACTATGTGGACAACGAGGGCTTGATGGTCTGTGGATGGATACACACACATCCGACCCAGACCTGTTTTTTGAGTTCGAGGGATTTGCATACGAGTGTAGGATATCAGGTCATGCTGCCCGAGAGCGTGGCTATCGTGTGTGCGCCTAGTAAATCGCCCGAGTGAGTGCTCTATCTTCGTCTTGGTCATCTTTTGTGTGGATGCCGGCTAACAAGTAATAGTCATGGTATCTTCCGTCTTACGGATCCACCGGGCAAACAAGCAGTCTTGAACTGCCACAAACCTGGTCTCTTCCATCCTCACGATGTGGACAATCTATACACTGATGCCACAAGACCCGGCCATGTTTCAGAATTGTCGGGCCTACAGTTCCAAGTCGTGGATTTGAGAAAGGTGAAGCGGTAGATGAGTAGATTATCATGGCATTCAAATCGAACATCAGCTATGTAAACATCATTCAGAGTTGTCAAAAGCGCACCGCTTGTCAATGAACAATTATCTAATATGCATTACGAGTAGAAAAGAAACAAATGTCCCGACACTCATCAAACCCGCTAAAATACCAATCCCAGTCACTGAAGAGACTAGCATGGTATTGACGAAGATGGAGGTAAGAGTATCGTATATCCCTCTCTGTCCACCAAAGCCCTTCCAAGAACAAAAGCCACTTGGGTCTGTTCGGATAAGAAGCCTGGTTTACCATGAAAGGCTGGACAACGAGGGGATGTTTTGATGTTCCGCGTGGAATACTGAGCAAGGATCATGGCTCTTGAATATCAATGCTCCACCTTGCAACGCGGGTTGTGTGTATGTGTATGTGTATGTGTGTCACTTGAGATACGTCGGAGAAAGGAGAGAGAGGGCAAGTGGGGAAGAGTGGCACAGACCTTCTTTGGGTCTTAATGTGGTTTGTTTCGTGACTCGGGGAAAAGAACAAAAAGGGGTATATCATCCTCTCGTATCGACCGTTGTTCTTGTCCTTCTCGTCTCCAGTGTCTCTTTTGGTTTCATCATGTCTAATGCTGCATGTCAGTGTTCCAGAACTTCTACCCAGCGAATCCGACGCGTTTCTTCGCCGCTACTGGCGCAAACCCATTGTTTCTGCTGCCCATGGTGTCGAGCAGACGGTCCATGCCACCAAGGTCTAAGTCTCCGCGTTCCAGTAATTGTTGGTCGAATATGCTGGGTCCATTACTCACGTCAGCTGTTGCTTGTGCGAACAGTGATTTGGAAGGTGTTTGTGGCCGCATTGATTGGATGATGACCAAACGATACTCGCCAGTGACTGCAAAGTCGCGTTGAGACATGGGACCTAGGTTGATTGCAGTAGATCGGACAGGGAACTGCGTGACACCGTTGAGGATCTCGCCAGAAAGATCAAGACCTTCGATGTGTGATAATCCCGGTCCGTAGAGAGACCCGATATCCTTGCCGCTGCTGCTAAGACTGCGTTGCCAGAGAGCTGCGAGACTTGGAATGTGGTATGCTTCACGACCGTACCACAAAACAACCGAGTCATCGAGCGAGCCATGGCTGCCGGGTGTCGCGAGAGCACATACGCCACCTCTAGCTGTGGTCGTTGCTGGAGCAACAGACTTTGAGGCACCAAAGAGGGATTCCTGTCGTTGTTGACGAGTGTTGGGTGTCGATGGCGCAAGTCCCTGTGTAGATCTAGATTTGAGTTCCGAAGCAGGGGTAGCATCGGGACTACCGATGAAGCCTTGTATAGCGAAAGTGTTCATCTTTTTCTGCGTTACAGCATCGATATCCCAGACACCCCACTCACCACGATCCAGCAAGATCAAAGCAGCTCTGGCTCCGGACACCCAAGCAACATCTACAATCCTTCTCCTTTGGGCAAGGCCAGGGTAGTTACTTGTGGCACCCTTTGGCATCTGGAAAGCAGTGTTGAAAGCCGAGATCCAGGCACCGGTTTCGACAGAGGTGTCGTCTGTAGAACCGCGAGACGAAGGACGACCCTTTGGTGCCAGGGGGTCGTAGATCTTCAAGGTTCCTTTCGTATCGGCGACCAAGAGACGTGAATGTTGGCGTGAGGNGTATTGGGCAGTGCTGAAGCGAAGGCACTGCGACGAGGATGATAGCGGTACGGCGTGGAAAGGAGCGACAGTAGTCGGGATCTTGCCGCCTGTCAAATCGTTGAAGACGATGGGGATGCGGTAGAAGGTGAGGGTCTCGAGGTGGGACGATGTGGAAGAGGCGACGAGCAGATCGAGCTTTTCGTCATTGGTGGTGGGTTGTTGATAGTTGTCTAGGTCCATTTGGTCACCAGTGGTGGACAAAGTTGAGCTGCTCGTCCATGTCAGAGCGATATCTCTAGCCATGGCCGAGGATGGAGCCGATGAACTGAGATCACAGATCTGAGCACCCAGTCGACCATTTCTCTTAGCAGATGCCGAGGGAGGTGTGAGAGGCAGCGTAATCAGGCGCAACGAAGCATCGGCGCACGCAACAGCCAGGACAATGCGTTGCTTGACTATGAGGGGCACCCTTGCTTTGGACTGCAGAGAGGAAGAAGCTTGCGGGATGTTGGGCAGGGCCAAATGGAGGACAGGGCTGTCGAATGACAGCTTCAGCTCTTGTGTGAAGGATGGGTATGGCTCGTCTTCATCCAGCTCTTCGTCTTCGGCATCGTAACGCGGCTTGTCTTGGTCGGGAATGTCATCAGTGACAGGGGATCTGAGGATGGAGATGGACTGATTCCACTCGGAGTGCTGGGTTCGTGCGCCTGACAAGTCCTTGACGCGCTCGGTGACAGTGCGCGATCTAGGCGACAGCGGTCGGCCGCCTCTCCAGAGGATGTGAAGACCGTCTTCGTGTCCGGAGATGACGATGTCGGCACCGCGCGGGCTCTGTAGGGGGTAGATTTTGGTAACGTTCGATCGGTGTGGACAGTCGTAGCNTATACACTTTTGTTAGGCATTGCAGTTTGTATGTCGGGACATGGGCGCATACCTGAGGTGCATGCGCTTGCCATGGCGGGAGACCCTGGGCTTCTGCAGTTTGGCAGAAGAATCATAGGCTGTTGTCTCCATGGTTGGTATGTGAATTGGCTGTGCAAAGAAACATGGTCAAGTTGTTGCTGCAGCGAGAGACGCCGAAGCTGTTGACGCGCGCGGGGAAAGTGCAGCCGAGCCAGCGCGTCGACCACGAACGAAACATTAAGACATGGGCACCTTGTCTTCCAACACTCTATCGTGGACTGGATCATTTCCAGATCTCATCCAAAGCTCGTTTAACTCATCGAACTTCATCTGCCTACCAGGAAATATCTTCTTGGGACTGTTTACTCGTCTTCACCGATACACAACAAACACTTCTCTTGCTGTCTGGCCAATGGACTTTCTGCAATCATATATCCAACAATAATGTGTACACGGTCGGCCACATTACTTTCTGTTCCATGGCCACCTTTGTCTCATTGGGCCTCCATCGCCCCTCTGCTCTGCCCTACCTGATTTCGGAATCCATCCTCCCTGAACATCACTCCTCAAACGACTACATCTGGAAAGTCTATCCAGGTCCCTTGAATGATTCCGAACATGAGCTTCTATACACATCCAAGTGTGTAGTCTGGTCACAAGATGGTCATGTCCGAAAAGTCTTCAACTTCGACTCGCGAAAGCAGTCCGTTAGCCATGCTTTGATCACGCGCTTTCGCAATCATCCTCCCTCCAAAACTTCTACCACAGCCTCAGACCATGTCATCTCTTACGCCGCAACTGCATACACATCAAGATGGGGTACAAAGTCTCAGCGTGACCCCAGGAGCCTACTGTCACTGAGCACTAGCGACCCACACGGCTTCGACCGTGCTTTGGTCATCGTTTTGAAGTCTGAGATGCACATCCACTACCTCTCTGGATCAAGCCATGTACTTAACGTACCGTTCGACGTCGAGAAAGCTTTTCCTGCCATCGATGGTCTTGTCGTGCAGAGGAAGGCCACTGCAGTCACCAAAGAATCTCCTACCCCTACCATTCCTGCTGCACCCCCAAACTCTTTTGCCTCTTCTCAGCCGTACTTGTTCTCTCAACCAAAATCTCCCGAGTTAAGGCCCAATCGCTACCGTCCAAGTGTTCTACCTCCAAGCCCATCAGCTCACTTCAATCTCGATGCTTTGTTCCAGGATCTTACCAAAAGCCCTGAATCACACACGATCGATGAACTGCCTCGATTCTATTCATTAGAGAATCCACTGTCGGACTTGGCGCCTGTGTCACACGCCAGTGTTTGTCGCCAACCTCGATTTCCTCGCCCTGGAGCCCCTAGTGGTCCCATTGTCGAATATGACATGCTTGACCCTGCGGAAGAGCTTGTTTACGTGTCCTCTCAGGACGAACTTGCTGATACTGCAGAACCCGAGGATGCGCCTCTCTTCTTGCTGGTCACTGTGAACAGAGAGCTAGGTCAAATCACGGTCTGGCAAGCGTGGTATCTGCAACCTCCCAAGCTCTCCGACCTATTATCACAAAGAGCTGCACATCAAGCAGCCAAGGCTAAGCGTCCTAGCTCCGTGATGACTAGTCGTACAGCTGGCGCTGCCACTCCTGCCCTAAAGCCCCGTGATCATCGCGACAGGGTACGTGAGAGTTTTGCTGCTTCCACTAGACTGTCTGTTGCTTCAACTACAAGACCTTCACAAGACGACGAAGAAGTCATGGCATCACAAATGGACCCGGAATATTTGCTTAAGAAGCCTTCTGGCGGTCCCAGACGAGTGAGTTCTATCCTCTCACGTGGTGATGTTGGCAACTCGGATCCGTCCATCAAGCAAACCGCCCTTGGTGCTAGCTTTAGCGGAGCTGGCCGTAGGTATCCTTCAATGGGAAGCTTTACAGATCGCGATCGTCGAAGTCTTGGAGGCAACCAGGTACTTCGCAAGAGTCGCGCGTCAACTCCAGGAAGCATCTTCAGCAAAAGTATCGGACCAGATGATGTCACTGAGATTGAAAGTAGCCGAATGCAAGACTACAACGATGAATCTGAGAGTGCTGAGCGACTCATCGGGGCTACTCACAGATCTGCCGGTACTGAGTCTGTTCTAGGCTCTTCGCCTGACGGCCTTCGAAAAGAGCTTGTTATACGCAAGCTCGATGTCTTCATGACTGATGTCTCAAACTTCGGATCCATTGCGATCGAAGATCTAGTCAAGGTCTTTCCACTGGTCCATCAATCTCAGTCAGAGCAAAGCAGTTGTCTGATCTCACTATACATCCTCGACGCCTCATCGAAGTCCATGACAACAGTCAAACTGCGTGTACAGAGGAAGGATGAGACAAGGCTCCAGGAAGGCAAAGATACAACAGCACGATACATGCCTATACCATTCCTATGTGACCGCAACATAACACATGACATTGCCGACATCACTAAGCTTCAGGATGGTCGTGTAACAGCCATTGCCTACCTCTCAGAAAAGTCCCGGGAACTTGGCATTATACCTGCGCGAGGTGTCACATGGTCGCTACCGATCTTGCGGCATATACGCATGGAACATCCCTCTGATATTGCAAGTATTCTCCACTCGACTCCAGAGGGCACGCAAGAGTCAATACCACTCCAGTGGCCTTGCAAATTACAGCACCCTGGAAACCATGGTAAGATCACTATAAATTCATCAGACGGCCTCCAGAACCGAGTTCAGCTACGACTTAGTCCGAAATCTACATCTGTGCGCCAAATTCTGGAACTATGTCAATCAGTGCTTCCAGCAAAAGAAGGAGGTTCGATTGCGGCCATCTGGTGCAACATACATCACCGGTTCGCTGCTGATGAGATCCAACTTACTAGCGGTCTCGATGTTGAGTGGGAAGCGATGATCATAGCTCTCTTCGCGTTTGCAGCTGGCTCGATCGGAAGGACATTACGTGGCAATCAAAGGAGTAAATCTTTTATGGCAGATGGAGCCCGACTTGGAACCTACGGAAGCCAACTGCGATCTAGAAGCCTGAAGTCAGATCTTGATAAACTCACATCGCCCGCCTGGAGCTGGCTTGAGAAGCCTACTATGACCTCCAAGCTCAGTGCTATCACTCCAAGATCAAGACTACGGACTCCTCGCAGCACGCATAAGACTAAGAAGCATCCATTCTCGTTGATAGAATACGAGACGATGGCCCGCCACCTACTGCATGACATCGCTGTAGATGAGCTGGACTGGCTGGTGTCATCGGAGGCTGCCAGCTCACGTTATGCATGTTGTACCAAAATCATGCTTGTTCTGTACCTTTTCAGAGAAGAGCGCAAACTGAACTCACTTTCTGACGATGCGGAGGGAATTGTCGCTGGTTCTCTTTGTGCCATCATCGCCCAATTTGGGCAGTGGCTCTCACTTGATCCATGGTGCTACAGAGCTGGTTCCTACTATGATTCAGATGGCGAGATAGATGATTGGGAGCTGTCTTCGTCCATGATGAACACAACTGTGAAGACTTTACAGAGCACATGTCCGCTTCCTCAATCCGTCTTTGCTTGGGTCGAGAAGAACTTTGTCCAGGGAACATCAGAACAATTCTTGGGTGTTGAAACGATAGCTTCCTTGTGGACAGATTCACCACCTACCATACCTTGGAAACTTACGGGCGAAATCCTACCTCGACTGACGTCTCTGCGATCGTTGGCTGCTCGTTTCTCTGCCATAAGAGCCTTGCCAAGTGCATTGGTAGAGACGATGAAGGACGCAGGTTTTGGTTCTGAGGCTTTCGAAACTCTCCCTGAGGGTGTGCTTGCTCCACTTCGCGAAGCTATCAGTCGTTGTCAAACAGCACCGCCAACAACCTGGTCTTCAGATCTTCTAGAGTTTGTCGCACGCGAGGATCTGATTGGCTTATCACAGCTGAATAAAGACGCCAGTCGTCCGTCTAGCCGAGGCGCACCGTCTAACGTGCTAGTCCCTCACGATGTGCAGACTATCTACAGCTCTGCAGACCGAGCTCCTCTCACAGCCAAAACACATGAAGCAGAAAGACACGCAGTAATCTCGCTCATCTTCTCTGAAGACCGTCGCTTTGTTGATGCCGCCCGACTGATGAATCCGACTGCCGTTCAGGTTGCCGAATGCCCACCTCAACCCGAATGGTCAGAAGTCGAGCATCTAGAACAGCAAAAGCGAGTGATGCAATGGGTGATGGTAAGGACACTTGCACTATCACCTGGAGATGGTATGATTCACTTTGAAAGTCAGCGTCCTCTTCTCTCGGAAAAGTTCCATATCAAGGGCTTTAGTACATCATGTCAGATGAAGCCAATGGATACCACCATCAGTGCGGACCGAAGTGGGTTCACAGAAGAAAAGTTCGCCTGGACTTTCTTCCATGCTGGTGTCTCTGCAGGACTGAGCATCTCGCGAAATGCTACCGGCATTGACACTTCTTGGATTGTCTTCAACAAACCTACGGAGCTCAACAACCGTCATGCTGGATTCCTGCTCGCGCTTGGTATCAACGGTCATCTAAGGACTCTTGCCAAATGGCTCGCTTTCAAATACTTGACCCCCAAACACAACATGACATCAATAGGTCTTCTACTTGGGCTGTCGGCATCATATCTCGGCACCATGGACACCCTGCTTACTCGAATGCTGTCGGTACACATCACGAGAATGCTTCCTCATGGTGCCGCTGAACTAAACGTTTCACCAAGCACACAAACTGCCGGACTCATGGGCATCGGGCTGGTTTACTACAACACGCAACACCGACGAATGAGTGAGATAATGCTCTCTGAGGTTGAACATCGTGAGATCGAGGACCCTGGAAGTACAATGGACCAGTTACGCGACGAATCATATCGACTTGCTGCAGGATTAGCTCTTGGATACATCAATATTGGGAAGGGTCGGGACCTGCGTGGTCTTCATGGCATGAACCTTTTGGAGCGATTGCTGACTGTTGCCATTGGTCCTCGACCAGTAGAACTGGTTCATGTCGTCGACAAAGCCACTGCTGGTGCAATTGTTGCAATCACCTTGATCTACATGAAGACTGGAGACCAGTCAGTGGCACGCAAGATAGACATACCTGATACTATTGCTCAGCTCGAGCATTGCCGTCCGGACATACTGCTTCTTAGGACTGTTGCAAGCCACCTTATCATGTGGGACGCAGTCACTGACAAGCCTGATTGGGTCCGTAGGAACCTTCCTAGCGAATACGTGCACCGTTATTATGGTTCCAAAAACTCGATCGAGATGACAACTCTTCCTCAACTACGCAGTAAGGATGTACCGGTCTTCAACATCTTGACTGGCCTTGCTTGGAGTTTGGCCCTAAGGTTCGCTGGTAGCGGTAATCAACGAGCGAGAGACCAAGTAATCGCAATCCTCAAGGCGTTCATCGCAGTATCTAAGCAGGACGCATTCTTCTACGACGCCAAACTAGCCAGAGCTACGGTGAAGCGCTGTATCGATGTACTGGCGCTTGCTATGGCTACTATCATGGCAGGTACTGGTGACCTTCAAAGCTTCAGATATCTGCGTTCATTGCATGGCCGAGTCGACGCAGAAACAACATACGGATCACATCTGGCAGCTCATCTTGCAATCGGCACCCTCTTCCTTGGTGGTGGTACATATACTTTCGGGACATCCAATTTTGCGATCGCGTCTTTGATGTGTGCATTCTACCCTCTCTTCCCAAGCGATGTTTTAGACAACCGTGTCCATCTGCAAGCACTCAGACATTTCTGGGTTTTTGCCGCTGAGCCCCGTTGCATTGTCGTACAAGATATTGATACCAAACGTCCAATTCACGTCAAGCTCCGCGTCGTCACTCGAGATGGCAGACAGCAACAGATGACTTCTCCATGCTTGCTGCCAGAATTGAGCACAATCTCACGCATCAGCACAGACGATCCCACTTACTGGCAAGTCACACTTGACTTTGCGGCGAACCCAAAGCATCTCGCCACCTTCCGTCGCTCGCAAACAGTCTACGTGCGTCGTTGTCCACCAGGCGAAGCTTCAAATAGTGTCTTCAGTACTACTTTGTCGGCTTTGATCGATGCTCAGTCCAGCATCGGTGGCCGTCAGATGTGGGAGTGGATTATCAACCTTCCTGCCTTCGAGGACTTTGACCAAGCAGACTTTAGTCTTGTCTTGTCTTCTGATCCGCGTAGCGCGACACACTTGGATGAGAAATTGACAACTGTGGACAGCAGGCTGGTGTTGATCCGCAGCGTGGAGACTCGCAAGGCGAATGCGCTATGGAGCATGCGATTGCTCTTTGCTTGGGCACAAGATGCGATGGACAACGGAGATGGAAGGCTGAGATGGATAGGCAAACATGTGGTGGACATGTTGCGGGCGAAAGTGGCAGACAGAATGGGAAATCCCTGAATGTCCGAGAGAATCGAGACTGAAGTTATCATCCAGTATCATAACTCTCCGTGTTTCTTCTACGTAAAACATTTTGTGTCGCCCAGCTACTCCTCTTCCGTCCGTTGATTGTCGCCATGCGAATCTTTTGTTGTCAGCCAGTAATGACTGCTACCATCCAAATCAACTCTTTTTTCCTTTCCTTTTACTGGAAGACCTTTGATCGGTGTTCGGGAAGCGAGGGCCTGTGTCGAAGAAAGTGCTTTTCTGTCTTGCGTGATGTATATATGTACAAATAGAATCGCTCTTCTACGGAGCGTCGAAAAGGTAAGCTCAGGTCCTTGCGAACAGTCAAGTTCATTTGGAGCAGTTCGTGTTGCCGCTTCGCAAAGTCTTGTTGCTAACCTTTGACCTTGGTTGGTCCCAGAACTTGGTTGAGTGCTGAAGCGATGTCCTTGGGAAATTTTGTTTTTCCTTGCACTGTTTCGAAAGGCTTGAAGTGCTCCTGCACAACATTCTCTTGTCTTTCCAACTGGTGGAAGGCATTGGTTGAGGGAGTGGGAAGACACTGGTGTGTTCTTTCTGTTCTTCAGAGTTGATGTGTTCAATCGCTCGGTTCAGAGGTCTTGCCCTCGGCCTTTTCCTTTCTGCGCATGCCGACATCCCAGTTGTAGACACGGGCAGTAGCTACCTCGAGTGTNNCTGTTGTGCATAATCTGTTAGCCCTTGTCCACTTCACAGACCCGAGAAGGAAGAAACTCACCGTAATCTGCTCCCTCAAGAAATCCATATCCTCCTCTGCATTCTCCAATCCACTCTTCGCTGCTTCCAACTTGCCCTCCAACAACTCCTCAGCCTCCTCCATGGGATACGCCAACATGACATTAGCACCCAACCACAGATACACCTCGTCCGTCTTTGGCACTTTGGCCTTTGCATACAGCGTATCATTCAACTCAANAAAGCTCTCCAACTCTTCAGCGCCTTCATCCCTGCTCTTTAGGAACTTGACCGTATCCAACGTCTTTGAGATGTCGGGAATCTTTTCGCGCAGGCCGGCGGCGCGGCGAGAGGTGTTTACCTCCATGAATTGGTACTTTTGAATCATTTCGGAAAAGGACTTTAGGGTTGGTTCGACTTCGGCGCGGGTGGTGCAGTAGTCGGCGACGTTGTCGACGAAGGGGGCGAAGGGGATGCCGCGGGGATTGGTGGGTGCGTCGCTTTTTTGCTGTTTTTGTGATGCTTGTTAGGAGATTGTTCATTTGATGGAGAGGGTTTGGTGATGGTGAGGGCGAGGTCTGGGAGGAGGGTGCTTGAAGGTTGAATCGGTGATGCGCACCTTGTTGTTGCCATGTTTGCGATATTTTGTTAGGGGTGTAGACAGGTATTGTCTGAAATTCTGATGCGCTCTTGCTTGTTTACGAGCTTTAGCAACTTGCGCATGTGAATGTTGCTTCTGGATGTGGAAGTTACGTCGTGTTTGAGCTGTTTGCTCTTGTCTTGCACAGCTCTTTGTGCTCTGTAGCTATGTATGAGCATATACTGGAGCATAAGTTGTGCACATGCATACTCATTGAGCCGCTTGCATGCGGAGACAGGAGCTTAAGCACAGGCCACACCAGCCATCAACCTCACTTGTTTACATCAAGACCTCACCCAAAATTGATGATGCGTTCATGTCGGCACACCTCAACCCGCCGTATTCCCATGCCTCAGCTCTGCAGTCCATCTTGAACATCCCCGTGTATGTACGACGATCATCATGTTGCTACTCGCTCCAACAAAAGAACAGCCAAGCAAAAGTCCAAGACACGAATCGCATAAGGAGCACTTGTTGTTGTTGTTGTTGTTGACTATGAAGGATGCTGCTTTCGTATCGCTGACATGCAGCATAACCTAGCTGAGTCAATTCCCCGGACCCCCGGATCCTCTCTTTCGTAAAGAAAGCGCAGGAGATAGACCTGTCCAAGTATCCGGTTGTTCCTTCTCTGTTTTTTCCTCCTTTCTTTGCGCTCTTTTCTTGCTTGTCGCTTTCGGTGCGGATCCACCATGCTCTTTCACATGTCAGTCCATATTCAAGGCTGGGGACCTCAAGCCCAGCCGTTTGCAGAAAGAGGTGGACTGGTGGAGCCTGTTGCTGGTGCAAATGAGCTATCTGTCACTGCCGCTAGGAGTCCGGCTCTCTAGGTGGACCGTTCTCCGAACAGTCTACGTGGTGGAGGGTTTCTCCGTACGTGGCGTCCTGTCGCTGTCCTTCAGCTCCTGTACAATATGCACCTCGAAGGTTGTGTATCTTTGTGTATCTTGATGGTTATGCCTATTTGCTCTTGCACTTTCCGGACAGCCACACCTTCTCTTGACAAGTATAACAAGCCATCGACGATGCGTGAAGATCTGGACCTCCGATAAGAGCACCCATCCTTGTTGACTGTGGTGGCTGTTCTCCATCCTGCTTCCCAGCCGCGGAAACGTCGGGGCGCTCGATAGACTTCACATCATAGACTTGGAATGCTCAAAGACGTGATATGCAGGGTACATGGTGACAGTGCTGGTAAATCCTGGGGGTATTTTCGGACATCTGCGAGGTGTGAGGTAGTGGGTGGCCCTGCATTTAGCGTCGCCTCGAGATACTTGAGTAAGGTACGAGCAAGGTCGATCAATCGGATTGTCTTGGTTCTCAGTTGATCGCTGTGATGATCGAAAGCGACAACGGATAGTTCAATTTACTTCGCATGTGCAGGTGAAGGTTGCGAACAAGCAAGGACCAGAAAATCGTTTCCAGAGCAGGAATATGATAATGCGCGGCTCGGAAAGTACGAGTCTCAATGTCAAAATTGGAGAGCATGAACCGAGTTGTATTGTAACAGTGAGAGTTCGCAATCTGAGATTGGGAGAGAAGAACGAATCACTGTCCAGAGAAAAGAAAGCACAGGGCGCAAAGCAAACTTGAGAAAGTGCGACTCAAGCTGGGTAGAATCAAGTTGCTGAAGAGCAGAGGTCGTCGAAGATGGAAAAAGCAAGTCACATTGAGATGTTGGAACGAGTAAATAGTGGAAAAAGAATCATCTGGAGTTGAAACACTATGTATAGATAAATCGAGGAAACTGGTTGACCTCTCGTACTGTGGAGTCCAAATTCATAAGAAACTGATCGTGAACCTCTCCAGGAGAATGTTAGAAAAGCAAAACAAAAAACATCCGTCTAGCGAGCCGACACCTGTATCGTTGCAAGCAAGTCGCAAAACATCAACAATAGAGAGAAAGGAAAAAGAAGCCACACAAGGCGGAAGAGTGAAAGAAGAGAACGAGAAACAAGAGTCAGTAACAAGGCTCTCACTCAGCCCAAGCAAAGGCCATGTCAGTCACCCCATAATCGTATCCTCCTCAACTCAAGGCTAGGGTGTGGGAGTCACAGTCGACCTCAGCCCAAGGCAACCACTGCCTCTCAGCATTCTAGCATGAGCACCCTTCCGCTACTTTTTTTATGGAATTTTGTTGTTTTTAGATCTGAAGACCTTCTTGGATAAGCTTGCCAAGTTCTTGAGCGTGAGGGTCCTTCATCATGCTGAAGTGATTACCGCCCATGACACCGAACTTCATCTCGTTACCGCAGAGTTGAGCCCAACCGTTATCGGTGAAGTCGGTGCGGTGGTTCAACAACCAGGTCATGGGTGCAGGGTCCTCTTCCTCGGCCGGGGGAGGGCGAGGGTCACCGGGGTTACCAGCAACACCATCACGACACCAGATAGCATAAGTCTTGATAGGCTTCAACGAAGGTTGAGGCTCGTAGTCAGAGAGCGAACGGATGGCAGCGGTGAAGTGAGGAAGCAGCCACTTGGGAGTCTTGGACGGGTCCCCAGTGCCGAGAAGACCGATCTCGTTGAAGAAGACGTGGAGACGCTGAGGGAGAGGTGCAAGGTTGACGGGACAAGGAGAGTCGAGAAGAAGGAGGCGATCAACTTCTTCACCGTTGGCAAGCAGAGCCTGGGCAACAGCGTAGGCAATGACACCACCAGCAGACCATCCACCGATGATGTAAGGGCCTTGAGGCTGGCGTCTCTTGATCTCAGCGAGGTAGAGGAGCGAGACAGTCTCGATACCACAAGTCCAGTCGGTAGGGCTCTTCATGAAGGGGCAGTTGAGACCAAAGGCAGCAACGTCAGGACCGATGTTAGGGATGCTGACATAGGATGTAGCAGAGCCAGAACCATCGGGCAAGAAGAAGATCTTCTTGGTAGCAATCTTAGCATTTCCTTGGAGCAAGACTGAGGTTGCGGCGGGGAACTTGGAGAGATCGGTAAGCTTGGCATTGACCTTGTCAAGTTGAGGCGAAGTCTGCTTTGCAGCCTTAGGAGCAGGAGCGGACTTGGCCTTGGGCTTCGGGCGCATACCGAGGGCATTCTCGATGTCTAAGATGGTAGAGTTGGTGGAGAGGAAGGTCGAGGGAAGGTCGACGCCGGTCTTCTCGCGTAGCTCACTGAGGATGGTCAAGCTCATCAAAGAGTCCATACCAAGCTCGGAGAGGTCGGCCTCGTCAGTAAGCTCGGAGCTGTCAATACCCATCTCCTGGACGATGATGTGGCGAGCCAAGCTGACTTCACCAACCTCAGAGTCGGGGATCTCGCGAGTCGGAGAGTCGATGTCGGGCTTTCCGGCATCACTGGGAGCGGAGCTAGGAGCAGAGCTGGCAGGGGTGCTGAGGTCGTCCTCGTAAGGGGTAGCGATGTCCGAAGGCTCAGACTCGTCCTCGGAATCATCCTCAACTGGGCCGACGTTGCCATCGAACTGAGAGAAGTACTTCTTCATCTCACCGACAGTAGGGTAGTCGGTGAAGAGAGTAGAGCTGATCTCCATGTCAAGGTCCTCTCTGAACTTGGCAGAGATGGTCAAAGACATGAGAGAGTCGACACCAAGGTTTTCGAAGGCAGCCTCGTCAACAAGCTCAGTTTGTTCAACATCAGTCTCGGTAGCGATGATTTGCATCACACGGGAAGTAATGGTGGCACCCTGAGGCTTCTTTGCAGCGACCTTCTTGGGAGCCTTGGCAGCCTTGACAACAGGCTTAGAGGCCTCGGCCTTGGAAGCGGCAGCCTTGGGAGCAACAATAGCCTTGGGAGCAGCAGTAGGGGCAGCAGGGGCAGCAGCCTTGGCAGGTGCGCCAGCCTTCTGGGGAGGAAGGAAGACGTTCAGGACACGGCGAGGGATTTGCTGGAACTTGAGACCACCGCAGACAGCAACGATTTCGTCCCCCTCCATGATGTAAACATCACCTTGGTACACATTACCAGGCTTGGGAAGCATGCGGACGTAAGAGCGGTAGTTGCCCTCGGGAGTCATCTGCTTGGCGATTCTCATCGAGCCCCAACCGTGAGAGATGCAGACGTTGTTGTCAGAGTCAATCAGGTCAGTAGCGTTGACTATGAACCCTGAGATGTGGCACATGCTGTCAATTTGGTAAGGAGCTTGGTACCAGTCACCGTCGGCGGGGCCGTTCTGGAACTTGATGGACGCAGTGGCCTCGGTAGTCTGGCTGTTGACAATGACCTCTTCCATACCACGGTACTTCTCGTCGTAGTTGACGAAGCACTTGAAGAGCTTGTAGGCCATACCGCGCTGCATGACGTGGGCCTCCTGGGTCTTGGTCTTAGCCTTGAGAACATCCACCTGAGACTTGACCATGAAGTTGATACGCTCCCAATCCTCAGTCCAGGAGTTGATGTCCTCGAACTTGACAAGACAGTGAGCATGGTCCTGGATGAGCTTGCCGTCGGGAGTGACACTTCTGAACTTGAGGTGAGCGACACCCTCGTCAAGGTCAGCCTTGGCCTCAAGTTGAATGTGCTGGCCCTCAGCAGGCTGCTCCAGCTTGGCGATGAAAGGCTTAGGGACCTCCATCTCGCAGACGTTCATGCCAATCTTAGGAGCAGAAGGTCTGAGCTGCTTATATAGGTAGTCGCAGACAGTCAATGCCATATCAGCGTACAGGGACGAAGGGCAAAGAGCAGTGTCGTTGACCTGGTGACCAATAACAGCCTGGAAGAGCTTGGGCTCAGCGACGTTGGACTGGATGACAACGATACCAGAGTTGGCCTCGAACTCCTCGTGCACAACCTTTTGGCAGGAAGTGGAAAGGCGCTTAGCAGGCTTCTCAACGACGGGTGCAGCTTGAGGAGCAACTTGGGGTGCGGCCTCGATGGTCTTCTGGACCTCACCCTTGGTCAGGGTCCAGTTGTTGTGGTAGTCGAGCCAGTACTTCTTGTTGTCGAAAGCGTAGGTAGGCAGGGGAAGAAGTTCCTGAGCAGAATTGAACTCACGGTGGTACTCGTCAAAGTTGATCTGGACACCGGCGTTGAA